ACCTAGATAGAAAATGGTAGACCTTATTGTGTAGAAATCACATTCTCCGCAGGTGGGCGGATGTCATCAACTACGAGTTGCCTGTTTGCGAACGGGGAGATTGTAATCATCCTCAAGATGTGCAAATTTTATCATTTTCTCAATTCCTAACACTAATCTAATATGCGAAACAAGAATTCATGACGGACAGCCCGCGACAGAGGGGTTCAATTCAAGTAAAGGCAATGCCCAAGGAAAGTCTATCATCAAATCGAAGTCAGCAAGGATACGATGAAATCGTTTGACGACTCAAAAGATGGAAATAGCATCGTTGTCAGAAGTCCATTAAGATCATCGAAGCAGACCACAAGGATCTGCTTCTGACATAAGAGGTACCAGAAAATAAAGTAAAAAAGGTGCTGTATCATCACATAGATAAATCACGAGGAACAATGAAATTGCAAGCTCAGAACATACCTTGTGAAAACTTAGCTGAGAGCGATTGTGGAAACGTCAGTCTGTCATTTGTACAGCTCTAAAGCTGGCAACCTGTCAATTGATCACCATCACGATCAAAACATCGAGTATTTTTGACAAAAGATAATAATGATGGGGGAAAAAGAAGTTTCTGCGGACGCTGAAACCGCAGAAAAAGTAAGAGAAGCTAAGCGAACTCCACCCGCACGTGACCCACACTCCACCACACACCCGTCCTTTATCCCATTCATCTTCACATCGGCTTCAATTTTTACGATTTCATCCATCGCCAGTCCAACTCCGTCGACACACCCGACCAGTACACCCCCGACAATAATTCAAGATGGGGTAAGTTATCGCTCTTCGCGATTCAATGCGACTCGAGACGCATCACCATAGTCGCTTTTTCCGAACAATCGAACTAATGAACTCGCTACAGTCGTATGCACAGCAAGGGAAAGGGTATTAGCGCCTCTGCTATTCCCTACAGCCGTTCTGCTCCTGCCTGGTTGAAGACCACCCCCGACCAGGTCGTTGACCAGATCTGCAAGCTCGCCAGAAAGGGTGCTACCCCTTCCCAGATCGGTGTTGTCCTCCGTGACAGCCACGGCGTTGCCCAGGTCAAGGTTGTCACTGGTACGTTTACTTAATATTCGTCCCGACCGTGCCTACCGTTCGCTAACATCATTCTGCAACAGGTAACAAGATCCTGCGTATCTTGAAGTCCAATGGTACGATAATACCGTCCATCATAACTCCAATCGCACCGGTATAGACGAGGATATCAAGGATAGGGGATCATGGACAAGGATGTACGGCGGTTGCTCTGAGAATGAGATGCACGAGCGTAGAAACACCTCTGCATGAAACTGCTGTTGCCTGTTCTGATCGCCCGCCTCGGTTCCGAACTCTATCACTGGAAGTGAGAAAATCTTTTCGCAGAAATGCAAAAGTTTTCTCTATGCCTCTGCTTGGTCAATCCACAGGCTGACAGAGAGATTTTTCGTAAAAACAGGCCTCGCTCCCGAACTCCCCGAGGACCTTTACTTCCTGATCAAGAAGGTAGCGTTGCATTCTCTCTTGCGCTGTATTTGCTTCCTGCTGACTGTTGTAGGCCGTCGCCGTCCGCAAGCACCTTGAGCGCAACCGCAAGGACAAGGACAGCAAGTTCCGCCTCATTCTCATCGAGTCTCGTATCCACCGTCTGTCCCGCTACTACAAGTCCGTCGGTGTCCTTCCCCCCACCTGGCGTTACGAGTCCGCCACTGCCAGCACCCTTGTCGCTTAAGCGGCTCGCCATCTCTCTGGTCTTGGTGTGTGGTTGTTGGTTCTGTGACATTTCGTTGTCGATGAGGAATTTCGCTCTTGCAACCTGAGATGGTTGCGGGGTGATAAGACTAGGACTCTCCTAGTTTTAATGCATGAACGATCCTAGATACCTCTTGTCGCGAATAGTCAAATAATCAAAACAAAATTCAACTACCTGAAATTCCTAACTCTAGCTTCGAAGTAGTTCACTCGATCATTAAATATGATTGCCTGCAGGGTATAAACAGCTATAAATCCCAGTTCTTCTACACATTATCCCATGTACCTCTATATGCGACATCAACTCGCTCGTCTAACCTCCTTCGCAACAGCGTTGCAAAGCTCAACTCTCACGCCCGCTCCAGTAAGCACATGAATCCACAACCTCTGGGTATCACTCAAACGATCATTTTCAGACTTGACCTCCACAAACATGACTTCCTTCTTCTCCACACTCCACAGAAAGAGATCAGGTATGCCCCCACCGCGCTGCTGATACTCCTGGGCCATCACCTTGCAAATAGTGGCCAGGGCTTCGCCTCGAAAACACTGCACGATCTCAACCAAGTCGTCCAGCTCAAAGGACCAGTCGATCCCGATGGCGCAGGTTTGCTTCGCTGATTCGCGCTCATGAATATCGCGAATGATTCTCTCAGCGGCGCCGTTGGTTATTTCTACCAGGCGGTGATTGATCTCTGATGCGCGGGAGGGATAGAATGCGTCGGTGTGGAGGTCTAGCGGACAGGTTTGAAAGGGTGTCTGGAAGACATTAGGAACGTAGGTGAATAGGATGTCGTAGAATAGGTAGCCGAACTAGGATTTGTGTGTTAGCTGTGAGATCGTGCAGTCAGACGGGTTGAGGCATACCAAGGTTCTGACGATCCCTCCTTCTGCGTGGTAGCCTTTCCAGCCATGATCCCTATACCAGCTCAAACACATGCTTTCGACCCTGCATTCAGCTCCGCCTTCTCTCTCGTCAATCCATATGGTTGGGCGTCCTCGCCTCGTCGAGGCTTCCTCGCTTTTCCCTGAACCGCGAGCAGGGGAGTCCTCCCGTTCGATTCGTATACCTTCAATCGTCCGTACTTCTGGCTTGGCCAGCATGACATGGCCAAAGTCGTGTTGCTCACGCTTGACTATTTTCAGAGCCCTTTCCAGCTTGGTGATCCGCTTTTGAAGATCGTAGTGGTAGATAAGATGGCAGTCCGGGTCTTCCAGTCCGTCTTCGCATGTCCTCAGAGCAATTCGTTTCCAGTGTTTCTTCTGGAGGTCTTCGCTCCGTCCATCAGACGGTGTAAGAGCCCACATATAGTGTTCCTCCAACAGTGCTTTTCGCTGATACCATGCGCCACGTCGGGCAGCGTGGAACAAGCGCTGGCCTAGCAATTCGCACAGAATTTCGTGTTCCCGTTTGTGTTCTTTGAAGCGTCCTAGAGGATGAAGGCCTTTATGAATGATCCTGGTATAGACCCAAGCCGGAGAAAAGCGGCGCAAGTAGGCGCCTTCACCCGCCTCGTAGATCGTGTCTTCCTTGCGCTGTTCCTGTTCAAGTAAACTTTTCCATCGGGAATAGACGTCTGTACAAATGCGTTTCACATGCTCCAGCCTTTCCTGAGTAGGTGTACCGTTGAACTCAAGAAGGTTGTCTATTTGATGCTGTTTCCGAAGTGCTGATTCGAATTCGAGCAGGATCTCCCTAGATGGAAAGATCGAGCTAGATCGAGATACAATATACTCGGGGAAATTTCTGCGGGAGATCTTCGCAAGGATTATAGTGGTGAGGGATTTCTCGGTCCACTCTGTAGACCTGTAAAAGACCAGATGGACTCTCTCGAAGAGAGCATAAGGCCCCGGCGCGAGTCTGATGCAGTCACCGGTATACTCAAGGATTTTCTGAATATAATGGTCATCTCGATTGACAGCAGGGGGCGCATCCTGCTCTTTGTCGTTCCAGTTGAGACCTGTTTGTCTCTGGCTGGACGCACGAAAGGCTTCAAGCAGCTCCTTCTTACTCTTTCCTTGAACCTTGGCATCCTTTGCGAGGATTTTGAGTTCTTCAAGAAGTAGCAAAGAGGAAGCTTCCTCCAGAGTCGTTATCTCATCAGTGTCATCAGCAAACCTGAAATGAGTGAGGTCCGCACCACTGTCGGAACTCATATCTTCAGAGATATCATCTGTAGATACTAGAGGGCCAGGCAGCTTGCGGCTGGACCGAAGATCAGCCACCGCTTGGGACATATCACTAATGTCAGAGTAATAACCCAAGCGATTGATGCGATGCCAAGCCGACGTCTTGCGAAGGAAGAGCCGTACATATCTGACGAAGACAATCAGCTTGTTTCTGACGACATGAATCCGCTAGCTCGACTCACAAGTATTGGGACTCATACGACAGCTCCTTCCATTGTTTGAAGACCTCTAATTCTGCCTCATTGAAAAGATGGGCCTCTTCGTCCAGCACAGTTTCCAGTGCCAGGTTGAACGCATCCACATAGATTGAGCTCTTGCCCCTCCGCCATTTACCGTCTTGAAGCCTCTGGCGCAGATCAGGCTCATCATCCTGTTCTACCGCATGCGAGATTTCATACTCTTCGATAGCTTGTCTATCTGTGGGAATATCTGGTAGCGAAGACTCTAGTTCTGTCTGACTGTTCGGAACCGGGTTCTCGTCCTCAAGCGCGAAATCGCCTGCTTGAGCTGAGGGCAGGGCATCCCATGTATCTAACGGACTATCGGAGCTATCGATTTCAGTTTCGTTGATGCTGGAATCCTCTTTTCGAAGTGCGACTGTTCTGGGACTGTCCTGACCCTCCTTAGGGGTAGTCTTCCGGCGCTTCACTGGAGGGCGCGATGTGTCCCAGTAGTCCAGAAGGGACATGCTGCCACGAGAGCTTTGAGATGATCATTCGAGACGAAATTTCAGAGAGACACTCTGCAAGCAGCATCACTAGTATCAATTTGATGGCCAACGACGCGCTGACACGACTGTTATTGAAGTCTGATAGACCATCCCCATCTCTAGGCGCCCAAACGTGTCACGAAAAGACGCGAAGTCACCTGAGTTTAATTGGATTTTGTACCTGTTTGATATGTTTGCAGCCTAACCACTTGGCAGGCAGCAGTAAGATAAGCAGCGCTGATGAAGGCGCAACGGTATGCATCTAGAATAAGCGCATGAATTATGACATCTATCCTCGCACTCTGTATATATATCATCCTTTGACATAATAGTAGCCATGGCGGACGCTCCTGTAAGAAATACTCTCCCCTCAAGACCATCCCCACAGTGGAGAGCTTGAAGAAGCTCCGCCCGCAAGCTCCGCCCTTGGAGATCTTTCTTCGTTCCAATTGCGACATCACTTTTAACTCTCTGTCTACTCTTGCTTTGTTTCTCTTTTCCCCTTCCTTCGATCAATCATACGCTGAGATTGCTATCCCTCCATCTGACTCCAGTCTTTAGTCACCCGACTCAGCCGCCTCAATCAAGAAAGAATTACCCTCTACGTCCTCCGCCCCTCTGAATAACTCAATCCAACACACTGATCCGACCTCCGGACCCAGCGCATTACATCTACTCAACATGGGCAACGGAGCAACACCCAACAGCAACACCGGCGCAGCAAACACCCCGCGAGCAGAGTCGAATACCCCCGCGGCGCAGGTCCGTCCCGGCGGCGCCCCCGCACGAGTATACATGAACGAAAAGATAGTGCCGTACCTGCTTGAGGGGATGAAATCCGTCGTCAAGGAACAGTGAGTGGCTTCTTATTGCTTGAGAATGCGCCTGCGTCGTAATGGCTCTGCGCAGGGCGTTGTGTGGGAAGTGCGTCATTCACGCGACTAGTACTAATTTTGCCTTTGCGATAGACCCTCAGATCCCCTGCGCGTGCTAGGCGAGTTTCTAATTCAGAAGAGCAACGAAGTGGAGGGCGGAGCGGTGCCCGCGAAGAAGTCGCCTGAGTAGGCTGGGGATTTCGAACGATGGCGCTAGCGAGCGCTGTGAATTCCATTGAGGATCGGTTACCTCATGGTTACTGTGCCTCGTGGTGCAAATCTCAGAAAGGAATTTGCATGCTCACATCTGCATGATGATGAGTACTACACCGATCCTTGATTCAGAGCAGCTAATGGGAAGGGACATGGACCCTCGTCAATCTCTGTCTGTGCCACAGAGTATCACGGTGCTGACATTAATGCTCGACTTGGATTATTCGGTATTACGGGAGAACATCCCACCACGGGCAAGAATTTCAATCTATGTTGCAAGCAAGATTCAGCGAGGACTCTACGACTTTTGCCTGCATATATTGTGGATATAGCAAGAACCTTAATCGAGGTTCATATTGTCTCTCTAGAGGGGACGACATAAAATATCTTCTCCGTTATATGAATCACAGTAATGATTTCGTAGTTCTTGCGTGGATCACCTCGGCGGTGATTGCAATATATATATTTCGAGGTGATTCAGCATCAACCATGAAATCACATGCCCTGTAACAAACAGAATGAAGTACAGGCCAGCGAAGCAAAATCAACAGGATAATAAAGGTTATACAGTAACGACTCATGACGGCAGTCTACAGAATATTGCAATAGATGTTGGTGCCAACACAGCGGCTGAGATCAGAAAGACTATGCTCTCCAACAAGACTTCGTATGATGACTACTCCGTGTACAAGAACCCTGTTGCAAGAAGACCTTCCATATTAGAAGAAAACTACTAGGCACCATAAAATCTGTGTGTAACAAGAATAATAAAACCTTGATTGTTAGTGTTTCAGCAGAGCCAGATGAAAGAACTGTCACCACAGGGCTAGTAGAAGGTTGTAGTAGAATGGGAAAGGAGAACACTGCCCCAAAACTTCAATCAATGCAAGTGATAGAACAGCAGTTATTACTGTATCTGACGTTAGTATCCTTTTTCCTAATGTTTATCCTTACCTCTCGAGCTATTTTTATCAATCAGTGCCATCGACATGGGGTCAACCAGCCTCTGGGGGTGCGACAGCAGGCCTGTAGATAGTGAATCAACCCAGGGTATTACTTTGGACTAAGTTGATTCGGTCCGGTGCCACAGGAGATGCCACTTGCAGAAGGCTGTCCTCGGGTTGGCAATACTACAGGCACAAATAACAGCGGCTGTGGCAGAATTGGCGAGGAAAAGCAGGATCCCGTTCAGTCAGTTTGGTTCAAACAAGGCGTAAGAGCAGAGTCCTTGTGTGGGTGAATGGGCCGAAGCCATTTTGTTTATGTGTTTCAGGCCGAATACAATCGAGTCGTTACGTAGAGAAAGCTGTATAAGACGCAATAAGGCGAAAAGCTGACTAGCGAGACAACGACCAAGTTTTCCGGAAGAGTTGCAAATGTAGCAGTGCTGACCCATGAGATAATCCGAAGAATTACAACGTTATTGTGAAAATTTGTTTCTCTTTCCCTGCCGCCATATTTCCCGGGTGTATCGAAGCGATGAACAAATGAAAAATATCAGCCCGTGACCGAAGAGAGTCGACACATTCTGTCCTGGCCTTTCTTTCTTGCTTTGTTTTGTTTTTGAAGTGGTTGAGAGACTGGTCGCAAAACTGGTGGCCTTCCGAAGGGAAAGACACGTGCAAGTGAAGACGACTTTTCCTTCGAAGACAAGAAAACAAACCATCCACGCCCTAAGGCCGGCCGTGGAATCGAGACCCGATTGTAGGGAAACTCTCGAAATAGAAGCGTTTCAAGGAAATTGGAAGCGTAAAGGCACGTCACAAGAGGAAGGAGCGGGAGGATAGGAAGACGGGAAAAAGCCAGCGAAAAGAGGAAAAGACTAACATGGGGAATAGTTACGTTGCATGAACCCGATTCGAGTGTTGGCTTCCCATGTCGTCAATTCGCCTACCGGCCACTGTATCTGTCTTCACCACCACGGGGTTCGTAAGAGCGGCCAGCGTAGGGTTCGCGGGCAGGAGGGGCGTCGCCGTAGCTGGGAGGGTTAGCATCACGATCATAATAGCCACGACGATCGTCACGGCGAGGCTCGCGACTGTACCGCTCTTCACGGCCACCACCACTACCGGAGGCGTAGCGATCAATGCCACCACGGTAGCTGTAGTCGTCACGGTACTCACGACGAGGATAGTCGCGGTATTCGCGGCCGCCTTCGCGGCCACCACCATAGTCACGACGATCACTGTAGGAGTCATAACGACCATAACGGTAGTCGTCACCACCACCACCGCCGCCGCCGCCGCGACGCCAGCCGCCACCGTGAGGTCCGCGTCTGTCATCATAACGGTCACCACGGCCGCCGCGGCCACCACCAGGTCCACGGAATTCTGCAGAAGGGATAAGTTAGTAGTTGAATAGTATCCTTGAGACTGAAGGGTATGAGGGCTTACCACGCTTGGGAGGTCCAAAGTATTTGCCAGGGGTAGGAGTTCTGGGACGGCTACGACGAGCCTTCTCAATGCTCAGAGTACGGCCTTCGATAACCTCACCCTGCAGGCCCTCCTTGGCAGCATCAGCCTGCTCGGCAGTGACCATCTTGACGAAGCCGAAACCACGAGATTCCTTGGTGTGGGGGTCCACCATGATCGAGCAGTTCTCGACGTCGCCGTACTTCTCGAACAGACGGGAGATATCGGACTCGGTCAGACGAGGGTGGATACCGGTAACGAAAAGGTTCGAGCCGGGGTTGATGGCACCTTCTTCATCATCGTCGGGCTTGCGAGAATCGACGGGAGCACTGGACAAGAGATGTCAGCGTGCTGGTTCAAGTGATACAAAAGAACTGATAATCCAAAAAAGAGTGAAATTACCGGTCATCGGCGCGTCCGTTGGGCGAACGGCTGCGAGCACGATCGCCCCGAGGCTCATCGCGAGGAGAAGCGCTGCGGTCGCGAGCGAAGCGAGGCTCGTCTGAAGTTGAGAGAAGCAAAACAAATTAGTACTGCGACCACTGTGTTGACGACTAAGAGAGTTGTCGATCGCGATGTCCTTAGGCAAACACATACCGTCGTAGCGACCGTTCTCGTTATCGTATTCAGCTGACATTATGTCGATTTTGAATTGGAGGATGAAACCAAGAAAGTAGCTAGGTGATAAGTGAGGTAAAAAGATGAACAAAGCTTGTTACTCGAAAGAGCGCGCGAGATGCACGTCCTGCAACAGGCTGTGGTTGAATGAAGGGGGAGAAAAGTAAAGCAGAAAAATCCAATCAGCAACAGTCGCGGATTAGACTAGTCTGCGTTAGGAATGCTGAAAACCCGAAGTTATCAGATTCCGTCAGTAGAAGGAGAAGTAGAAAAAGAAAGAGGAATGAAGAGATGGGAGATGGAAGGAGGATGGATGATGATGATGATGGAGGAAAGGAAGGGGGAGAGAGACGGAGCAGGAAAAAGCGAGGCGAACAATTCCAGACTGGGCGCGGTTTCTCGTGCGGATGGCGCCAAGCCTCAGCACGCCTGTTGTTTGCCTGCTGCAACGACATGTAGACTACCAGTCCTGTCAACAAGGAGTGTCTACGGAGTCTTGTTGACATATTAGTAAAAGCTGAAACAGTTCCTACTTATCTACAGATGAGAAATAGATTTTTTGCAGTAAACTCAGGCTCAATTCATCCGTAATCAATTAATTCCCAATCTTAGCAAAAGACCACAATGCGCAAAACAATGCTTCATCCACACACTTATAACTCATAACACGCCTTTGCTCCCATCTCTAAGGTTAAGGTTCGAAATAAAACTCGTAAGGGGAATAGGAAAAGATTCAAAACAGGATCGCGGAGGAGGAGGAAAGTTTGCTACAGCCATGTTCGCAAGTACGTCAAAGAATCACTTGAATCCACGCCATCGCCTCCGAGTTCGATGGACTTTCACAGCCGTCTCGCTGGTTGGAGCGTCTGACGTAGCAACGGCTGTATCGGTGGGCGCCGAGTCCCCCTCAATCTCATCGTCTACCAAGTCTTTCAGTTCCTCCTCGTCCAACTCACTAAGCTCCTCACTCATCCCCCGCATGACATCGCGACCGGTCCAGCGTTCTTCGTGGATAGTCGTTCCGACGGGATCGAATGGTTGCATGTACCATAGAATACCACCCTGTGACAAGGGATGCTGCGGATCACCCTGAAAGCTTGGTGGAGGTGTGAGGAGCCCTTTCTGGGATTCAGCCGGCTGTGCGAGTAGTGGCGGGCTATTGACTTCCTCCTTGCTTGGCTCGGCTTCCTGCTGTGCTTCAGCACTGGTGGGAATTGTTGCCGATGCTGCAGGAGCAATCTGATTTTCCGCCTCCGTCAAAGCCGCCGGAGCAGTAAGTTCAGCGAAATCAGTCATGGGAGTATCCTGTACTGGAGGATTTGGGATAGACTGCTCATTCCCAGCGTCAGGCATGGGAGTATCCTCGGCCGTCTCGGGTAGGGCTGAGGAGGATGATTCCTCTTGAGGCTCGACTTTGGCAGAGATTTCTGCTTTATCGCCGACCTTCTGTTGCATACCATCCGGGACTTCACTAGAAACCTGATTATCGATATGCGTCTCGCCTTCAGCCAACTCTGCAGATTCTTCTTCCACCGATCCTCTTCGGGAGAGGACACTGTTCTCAAACATGAGATCCAGCTCTTTTAGTTCCTTCTCGAAGGGCTTGCGGTTGAGCTCGCTTTCTTTCTTGATCGCATCCTCGAGAGCGGGCTGGATGGCTTTGATGATGCGCTTAGCCAATTTCCTCTTCTCACGCTGTTCAAGAGGGAGCTCAGGAGCGCGCCCGCTGATCTGCATTTGTAACTCAGCAGTGTCCCCGGCAGGTTGAACCCCTATTTCCGACGTGAATATGGAAGCTAGGTCGGCCGAGAAGGCTGCAACTGATGTGTAGTACCGCTGCTGAAGTTTCGTGCGTAGAGAAAGCAGACCTTGTTTGAAAACACCTTTTCCGTCAAGCCTAAGATGCCATTAGCGAGGAAAATTTAACCCTTCGATGACCAGAAAGAGAATACTTACCCTTGAGCTTTGTCATAGATAGGCCAGAGCAGAGGGAAAATAGGAAAGTATACGGTATCCACAATGGATTTCAAAAGTTCCGCATCCTTCAACTTTTCCCGCTCGCGTTTCTTTACTTCATCGCACAGCATCCTGAGCCGATCCAGGTCGTAAGACAATCTTTCACCGAATTCGATGCGTCTCTGGAGCCGCTTGCCGCCACTGACTCCCATGGCGACATAATCTCTTCGTGTCATCTCCATTGACGAGAAGGTTTCTAGTGACAACTGCAATCGTTTCAAAAGAGCTGCTCCTCGTCTGGCCTCGCGTTTGAGTGTCCAGTACTTGCAGGCATCTTCGGCATACTGTTTCCTCTGCCGAACACCAAAGCGTTGAAGAGACGCTACTACAGAATTAAGGACGACCTGAGGAATAACGGGGGCACCTGATGGGAGCTTCCATATCGTCTTTGGTGGACCAATGCGCTTCCTTTTGTTACCACCAACAGTAAGCGTGATGCGCGGGGTATGTGTCCTTTGTCCATCGAGCTCGCCGGGGTCGGCTCCCAAAGGATGGGAAGGCTCCAGCGACAGAGCAGCCGCTTGACTATCACCCCATTGCCTGCCTTGCATTGTGTTGCGGTAATATTCTATTGCATCCGCCGTAGCAGCGTCGGTGCCATGCTCCAAGCGCCAATCGTCAGGGACATGCTTATCACAAAACGCTTTGAGAAGATGAGAGTCCATGATGGCAGGAGCTCCATGGCCGGATTTCATCTTGAGGTAAAGCTGAGCCCGCCGTGCACAGGTAGGATGGAAGGCAACAAAGCAATTTTTGTTGCTGCACTGAATTGAAGCTCCCATTCGCTGCTTGCAGATGTAACAAGTTAGCTTCCAACGGCTTCGGGGAACTTTCTCAACATCAGTCACCGGCTCCATGAGGGAGGGATTGCCAAGGGAGACCTCTGGGATCCATATGGCACAGAGTAGATGAGACCACTTAGAGCTCGTAGTCTGCTTGAAGGCACCCTCCGTGTTCGGGCAGAAGATACAGTTGACGGATCCCCGTCCGATCAGCTGGCACTTCCGACACAGCCATTGCCCCTCGGGAATAAAGGGAACACCGTAACACTCTTGATGCACCGCGAGATCACAGCCATCGCAGAAGACAATAGCATTGGAGTTTTCGCAGTCGCCATCGTCACAGATTGCGCATTTACTGTCTTGTTCCTCACCCGGAGCAGTCGTTTCTCCATTCACGGCTGCTGCGGAGCTTGACCGGGGGCGTTGTGTCTGTGGAGGTTTCGGGTTCGGCTTTGGTATACGCTTTTCCAGAGTATGCCACTCTTTCTCAATTTTTGTCATGGTAATCTCAAAGACAGCCGGTTTGATAGGCTCTAACTGCTCTTCCCTTCGCTTCGCATTGTAGTCTTCCAGCCATTTTTCGTCTTGCTCATCCATGTCATATTCAACTCTGCCAACCGAGGCATTGACTTCTCCATCGCTAGTGGGCAGGTTGATAATATCCAGGTCGTCTTCTTGCGCTCCCTCAGTCATACGAATCATCTGCCGCTCATGACGTACGAAAAGATCGCTTTCTTGGTAGCCCACACTCGCCATCGTCCGGTCCACGTAGTTCTGCTGGCCAACCCCTGGCTGGTCATAGAAGACAAATGGATCCCGCAACCGGAACGAAGGTTTTGGGAGAGTGAGCCTCTCACGGGGGTTTGGACCCGGTGGCGGTATAGCTTTCGGCTGAGGTGTGATACCGAGGGCATTCAGGATAGCCTCAGGACGACGGGGAGGACGACCTGGTTTGCGCTTGATAGGTGAAGGAGACGCGCCACTGGTATGGAGTTTGATAAGCTCCGCTAACGGATCTTTGCTCCCATTAATATCGATACCGTTCAACTGCAATATCTCCGTAATGGGTGTCGACGGAGCCGGACGATCTACTTCCTCCGCGTTGAAAACTGCAATTTTTGCATCGATATCCAGGTCCGGGTGGAACTCCTCCCAACCACGCTCCTCGCGCGGCTTGTACCCGTCTCCCTGCTGCAGGGCCAAAGCGGCGGCGGTCGACGAGCCATACCGACCACGACTCTGCGATTTCTCCCTCCTCAGGCGAGCCGAGGGGGGAGTTGTTGGAACAAGAGGCGGCGGCGGCGGTGGAGGGAGGAGGACTGGTTGTGGTTCAGGTTCAGGTTCAGGTTCGGCTATGGGTTCAGGTTCAGGTTCAGGCTCAGGCTCCGGTTCGGATTCAGGTTCAGGTTCAGGTTCGGGGGCAGGTTCGGGGGCAGGTTCGGGTGCAGGGCGACTTCGTGACGATGAGGTTCGTCTGATGGGGGTTCGTTTGATCTTGGGGGGTTCGTCCACGTCTATTTCGACATATCTTCCTCCACCTCCAGGTCCTCCGGGTATGTATCTTCGTTTCTTGAGAGGGGGGCCTTCGTTGGCTGCAGGGTCTGGCCCCTTGAGGGTAACTTTCGGACCCTTTCGCGAGGCCCTGCCAGCCGACAAGCGATATTTTGATGCAGAATACGGCGCCATCCTAAAGAAAGTTCATGGAAAGGCAGAGACTAGACGGAGGTAGCTTAATAAAGCGTCCCTGAATGGCGGTTCGTTGAGTTCGCCGCTGAGCCTCAAATTTCAAACGTAAAAGATTCCAGGCCACGCCGTGCTTTGCAGAGAAACCAAATCAAACAACATAGGGGCGCAACTCATGGCTTGGAGTATGCATGGAATGAATAGCAACAGCAGTAAATAGAAGGCTCCACGGCCATGACGGGCGACGGCGAGGGGCGACGCGACGGCAACTGGACGTCCGCAATCCACTACTGTCAATGTCTTGGCGCTAACCGCCCTGGGCCACCCTGAGCGGAGACTCCACCCCGGATCAGATATTCCCAAGCAACGCGGAGCTTATCCATCATTCTCACTTACGTCTACGACGGAGCAATCAGCTTGTTCCAGGATGAGTGGTCCCGGTGAAGAACGGTATGCATTCTCACTTCGAATTGTATTCTGTGTTAAACAAGCCAGATCTTTTTACTGACAGGTGTACTTCTAGATGGCGCGGAGGTCGTCCGTACGATCAAAACCGCCAGTCGGGACAAAGACACTCTAATTCGAGGAACATGGGCGCACACAGCGGGAATCGCGGCGGACAGAGCTCAGCTCCCTGGTCGGATTCCCGTGAGCAACTCGCCACCGGGCCGTCTCAGGAGCATGTTCCTGTGCGCGGGTTCAATTCCGCAGAGTTGAAAGCAGCTCTACGGAGAGGTAGGCATTCTCTAGGCATCTTCTCCATTCTGTGGGATCTATACTAACGCTCTCTGGTGTTCAGGCCCAGGAGGTAGTGCCCGCCCATCCAGCCGGAACCTACATATCCGCCACGAGCAGAAGAGTCGCTGACCACCGCACCAGAGCCCAAGCCTTTCTTCTACAGACCAAGTGGAAAAGATGCAAACAACAACCGTGCCAGCGGACCCTGGGGTGCAAAGCGTACGTCATGTTTCCACGGATCTGTCAGAGTTCAACGCTGTTAACACATGGGCAGCCAACACGATGGCAAACGGAAAAGACTTCTTCCTCGAGCTTCGCAAGCAGGTGACCGCGTTGCACCAGGGAGCTACTGTTCCTGGAGGCTGATTCCAAAAGGGATCAGTATTAGCTCTAGGCGAAGAAGAAACATACGGGGCTGGTACCGTTCTCAAGCCGAGTCTGAAGCAAGGCTTCAGGGGCCTCGGATCAGGACGAAGAAACGAGGATATGCTGACTGCTGCTGGCGTTTGCTGGTTATTACTAGAGTGAGCGCCCTGGTCAGTGTGGTACGCGAACTTGGGGTATGCGTTAGGAATTGGGTGGTACCGCTATTCCTTTGGCATCTTCTCCTGTTGTACTGGTAGATGGCTATGACATGAACATATTAAGAAAAGTACATTCAAGGCAAGGATATCGAGAGAATCTTCATGATCCGCATATTGGTCTATAAATACACTGTGCGGAAAACAATGCAATGTATGGTACAGGAGAGAACAGTCTAGTATACAGTATCATGGCCTTATTTTATCATCCACCCATTAGCGCCCAAAAGACCACCGTCCTCAGCGCGCGGATCAAGAGCCCACCTCCTAAGAGCCCTACCACCGAGATCCGTGCTGAAGCCTGCCTCGAACATCTCAATCCCAGCCCACCCAATCATGGCCGCATTGTCCGTACACAAGTACGGCGGCGGCGCAACAATCTCAACATGTCCGAACCCGCGGACATCAAGGAACGACCGCAGCACAGCCATCAGAAACCTATTAGCCGCGACTCCACCGCTAATAACGAGAGTTTTGACCTCTGGGACACCCTTGTTCCGCGCTTTCCGCTGCAGCTCTTCAAGAGCGATGATCGTCCGCGAACCAAGATGCTCGAAGCAGACGCGCATCGCCTCACGGGCTAGAGCAACTCGCTCCTCATCCGAGACGTTCTCGCCGACTGTCTTCTTCGCTCCCATCAATTTGTTGATCATGCTCGGTAAAAACGAGAAGCTGAACTGCAGCTGCCGGGTATTGGCAAAGGGGGACGTGAGGGTCCAGCCCCACGGGCTCGGCTGCTTGATCAGCTCCTCGCCTCGGGTCTTGGGAGCACAGTAGCTGCTCCAGTCGGCGCCGCCGTTGGGAAAGGCAAACCGTTCCAGCAGTTTGCCGTACATTGTAGTTTTGGCTTCGTTGAGGACCGAGGTTGGGAGGATTTCTCGCGCAGCTTTATCGAGAGATTCGCCGATGGCGATATCCGCAGTCGAGGCCATTATAGTATGGTCCGTGATAGAAGTAGATTCGACAAGCATTGAATGACCACCGGAGACAAGTATAGACAGGAAGGGAAACTCGGGGGTTAGAGGTGCGTTGGTAGAGGCGACATCGCTGCCGTATTGCGCCCGGCTCATGGCGGAAATAAGTCGAGGAGTGAGGAGATGAGCTTGCATATGATGGACGCCGACAAATGGGATCTGCCATGCGACGGACAGGCCTTTGCCTGTATCGAGTCCAGTGAAGAGGTTCGCGCGCATCCCAGGCCCGCGCGTGGCCGAGACGAAATCCGGCTTGCGCCGTTGAGAGCCATCTGCCAGTTTTATCCAATTTGATATATCTTCGCCATCTTCTGACACGGGGGGTAGGTGCCGGAGCGCCTTATCGACGAGTTTGGCCAGATTCTCCTGATGTGATTCAAGTGCTAAAATGGGGTGAATGCCGCGATATTCCCTAGTATCTGCCGTCACATTCTCGAGGAAATGGATTCTCGCGGTGGCATCTCGGGATCGGTCTTTTTTCTCGACAATCGCAACTGATGTATCGTCGCTACAGGGAGGACAAACATGAGCGAGATCCAGACTGGTGGTGTAGTCCCACGATAGCAAGAAGACTTACCATGACGTTTCAATGGCGAGGGTAAGAAGTCCTCGATTTCGCGCTGTCAGAATCACTTTTGAAGGACTGCATATTCTCCCACGGAGGAGGGCAGATGCAGATCTCGAAATCAGCATTGGGGTATGTAGTGAAATTGGTCCTTCGGTTTAGCATGGCATGAGGTTGCGCTGCGAAAAACATACCCCGGAACCCGCACGGACCATCCATGCCCTGGAATACAGCCCTAAACGGGTATCAACCCAGCAACAGAGACGATATCTACTAGATACTTTGTGCTACTATCAGCTTAGGTGCTGGTAACATGCTTTGGGGACTGTGGGACATAAAGTAATAATGCCAGCGTATCTCGGTCTACGTCCTACAATCTAGACTTCACCATAGTCTGATCACAACTAACACTTCAGTCAAAGAATGCATTTGGATCGTATCATCACGTCATAAGCCATAATAGTATCTATATACACACTGTTTCACAGGTTGCTCTTTCGCTGAGATCTCATCCAAAAAGCAATCACCGAATCCATGCGTCGCACCGACAATGCAAAATCTGGATTCTTTGCGACGATCCCAAAGTCGGAGCCGGCAGCAGACGCCAGAAAGCACGGCGTCACGAACCCAACTGTCGACCTTACGGTCTGGGTTTTGGCTGATCTGGTGTTGGATTGCACCGTACCACTTCGTTTGATTGGACCTCTCATTCACGCACCATCCAGCGTCGCTCTTCCTTTGACAGTTTCGTGTAGGTGCCGTAATATTCCTCGGGGTTCTCGATTGGCGTCACGCAGTGTACGGTAGGCGTACCTTGGAACTGGATTCGCTTCTCTGCGTGGCTGGTTGCACTGGCCATTGGTTGCTTCTTGAGAATGCTCTTTGATTTACACGAATTGGTGTAACCGTACGATTGCGCTTGAATACTCGAGAAACGCTTTCCGCCCGGGCTTGGGGGAACCGGCGAGTTTGGCGTGCGGGGGAATGGGCCAGGAGACTTGAGCGATAATGAAGGACGAGTAAGGCTCTGCGCGGTCGAAGTGACAACAGACAGCTTGGGTCTCATATTGACGGTAGTGTGTAGTGAAAGATTAACAGACGGTGATTGTTGAGTCTTGACGGAGTATGGTTGAGCGCTCTGAGAGAGAGAGATGGGCAACTTGAGGTGAAGACTTTGATCAACAGAGTCTTCGCAAGATGCAAGTATGTAAAAGTGGCTATTATTGACGAAGTGTAGATCCAAAATAAGAAGGCAAAATATAGTAAATAATGTTTGGACCAGCCAAACAAACCCCTTGTGGGACGAAAATAGAACAGAAAGGACAAAAACGACAAACTGAGACGGAAAGTGTCTGAGGAAGAGAGAGACTCGCAGCAACCCAGGGGTACTGCGCGGCTATATAGTCGCCCACTGCCCAGGAGGGACATGAGATTGGGACGGAGGAGAAAAGAGGGGAAAAGTGAAGAGCGAAAAAGGCGACGACGGGGTCGGGATGTTGACTGCCGGCAGCCAATGATCACCACCACATCATCGTCCTAAGCGCCAGACACCTGCAGCCAACGCACACCAACAGAGTCCATCACACTTGGGTTGTGATTAGTCGCATTGTAGTAACGAATCATGAATTGATAGCAACGGTGGAAATGCTCTGAAGGATTTCAACCTGACGAATTGGCTGTCTTTCCCATCGACCCCGGCTCAGCACTTCGGCAGAGGTAAGTATAGAGCGAGATTATAGCCAAATGCTTGACCATTGCTTTAGTGGTGATTAATTTAGATCTCTGCAGGAATCGAGTCAATGAATGACAATCATGTTGTTCGGCCGACCATGAGCCATGATCCTTGCCTTCAGGCCTCGACCGTACGAACTGCTACTCCCTCAGAAGAAAAGCAGCTAGGACACCCTCAGAGTTCCCTCTCGGCCATGACAATCACTGACTCGGTTGGATTAACCTTTGTCACGCTCGACACACTACCTGGCCAATCTATTGGTCGTGGCTGGGATACACCTCTCAGGCTACTGGAAAGTTTGATGTTATAGTTACCAATGATTGCAGAGGCCGGACGGTCCTGCACCACAGTCACAATCTGTCTGCAGCCATAATGCTCTCTTCACTCACAGACTGCTCTCTGTGCCCATCACCCCCACTCCTTCAGTATAATCACACTGCAGTGCGAACCTAGAGTTGTGAGCTCAACGCTGACTTTTGGTGACCATCTTGGTGGCCGACGTCTCGGTAGGTTTGAAATCTCAGGCATGTACGACTGGGTTGGTCTTGAGTTTCGTCAGAGCCATCCCAAATACCCTTAACGGAACAAACCGTACAGATAATGTCTAATCTGAACGCATCGTAGATTTGGCAGTATCCTGCGTGCGCAAGAAAAAAGACACGAAGAGACAGGAAAGTGGTTGGTAGGAGTCAATGGCTCTTATTTGACCAAAGTAAGAGAGACAGCCATCGAAATCTTAAAAAGGGAAGAATGACCAACTGACGAATCAATTTTCATACTTCGCCCACTGGTCGACTTTTCGCTACCATCCATCTTTTGGTTTGACCACTCCTGCTTACTGAGCAGAAAAGGCAGTCGTTGGAAAGCACAGTCAGATTTCTTTTTCTCTACCCGTTCTATTCTGCTCAGATCATGACGGTAGACAGGGAGAAAGATCATGACTACGAGAACGATAACAACAGCAGTTTAACCATGTCGGACAAAATTTCTCGCTCTGGGGAGGATAGAGGTAGTGCTGAATGCAGATAGAGGAAGGCATCCATTATCAATAGCAGCAAAGACTAGCGCTCAAGCTTGCCATCACTTTGATATAGTCCTCGTTCATTGCATTTTGCGAAGAACAAGATCTTGCCTAGTGCTGCATTTCTGTATGAGCTCCAGCTTTACCTTGTATGCATGTATCTCTTCCTTTATGCAGCGGGTCTGGAGGTTATGTGTGGCTATAGCCAATTGCTTGCACACAAGTACTGTGTGCAAGCTTGCTATATCAATACTAGATGGACGACGTGTCTGCAGAGCGCCTGGGAAGCTAGGGAAGCAGACAAATGGGGTGTCTGTTACCCATAATGGCGCCTCAATAAGTACTTAGGCCAGTGGCTTAACGTTTGCCAATGCCCGATTCATCTGTCAGCTTGCCTGGAAGAGATTTTAATTCCTCCTCAGCTGCTGATGGGTCCACTTCTCCCCGAGCAGCAGAAGCCTCAAAATCAAAAATTTTTGCACCGTGTTCCGTCATTAGAAAATTGTACTTATTGAGGTCCCCATGAACAATTCCACATGTATGCAGCAGACGAACAGTTTTCACGCAATGTCTGAGATTATGTATGTCTGGGAATTTCCCCAAAATTTCCTCCATTAGAAAGCCAACTATTCGTGCTTTTGTTTCCTCATAGACAAAGCCAACAAATTTCGGAGCGAGAGGAAAAGCACTTGATGTTAAGGTAGAATATATCGAAACCTCTTGTTGCAGGGCCGGAATTTCGTGTCTGAATCGTGCGACCTTCAGTATCCACGTTTCACCGTCATACTTTACTCGGGAGATGCGATCGCTGATCCGAGAGACCTTTTTCAGGTCTAAGAAATTGAGAAAGATGGCACCAGGAATACTAAGTTGTTCGAGGTGTAGCCCATGTGGCATGAATTCGTCTGGGGTGCTCTCAATACCCTGCAAGCCTCTCCGAACAGTGAGTGTTTTCCATTCCTCCTTCCACTTGGGAATCTTTCGCAGCTTTGGGATAACTCGATCGCCATCTGTCCTGCAACCACGAGGAATGATGTCCCCATCAAGGATAGAAACATATACGACCCTTGAATTTCTCCTTATTCGATAGAGATAATCATTTTCCTCGAGATCTAGGGACAATACTTCCTGCGTTATCTTCAGTAGAAGCTCCGCTGACGGGTTAGATTCAGGATATGCCTCACATCAACACGTGCTGCTGCGACTGGCCGGCTGCGCAGAGGTAGGAGTGAACTCACACTCCTAGAGTAGTATGATATTGAGAGCCATATAGTGGGCCAAATCTGCCATCTAAATGGGTTAGATATGCTGAGCATGCCGACCAAGATAGCTAAAGTGTAGATATGCGACGACGATGCTACGAGGTTGTCGGGCTTGAGACGTACAAGTTATCCCTTGGGGAAATTAGTAAACATTGTCACGGTACCCCACAAAGTTGAAGGTGCGTCATTGTACCTCTCGTAGGTACTTGCTTAATGCAGATGGTGGAAGATATCTATATCAACAGCAGCTGAGTACCCGGCCACTTGAGTTCAGACTTGCGGCCACACTGATTTATGCCCTGTATACCTATCTCTATTGTTCAGAACAACTTTTTACCGAGGGCTGTCCAGCCATCCAACCTTATCCTTGGCTTTTTTCATTTCTCTCCCTGTTGTTTGCAGCAAGTCTGGAGGTGACGTCAGCCATAGCCAATTGGTAGCACAGAACTGTCGTGTGCAAGACTGCCTGATCCGCGCTGAGCCGACGGATCTACAATTTAAATATTTATTAGCACTGATCACTCTTAATGATCCTTGAACGAGCCATCGTGGATCGCAGTCGACAATATCATCATGGGCGCATTGGGAATTATTCTTGAGCCCGCCGGTAAGTCGACCACTACAACATCGACAATCACAACAGACAAGATTGACTGACTATTTGTGACTACAGCGATTGTGGCTACATTTACAGCTGGTACCCTCATCAACCATCGCAAAGAACTCAAGTTCTCGGAGACACCTTGCGTTGAGACACCATTGCTTGAGGACGAAGACTGTGAGGATCTAAAACCAAGGAGGTCGTCCAAGGGGCACCCCAACATCCAAACACGAATTCTTGCCCGTTTTCCGTTTCTTATAGAGATATGGTATTGGCTACTTACATATTGGGTACGCTGTCATTCGTTTTCTCTTCCTTGATCTGTGACGCGATTATCTGACAGTGGCTCAGATCTACCAAGGACTGCGCGCGATTTCTGCCCGAGCGATCAGCGGCAACGAAGCCGTTTTCGAGACGGCTAGGCGCCATGCGCATCAGATCCTCAGTCTAGAACATTTCCTCCATATAGATGTCGAGCTACGGGTGCAACGGTTCGTCCTCACTCGCGCGCCTTGGCTAAAGGCTGTTCTCGCTAGAGTATATTACTCGCACATTGTATTGGGCGTCATCTTCCTCGTCTATGGCTATACCTTTTTCCAAAGGGGAAAATACCAAGGAGTCCGCCGCACTCTGGCTCTCGAAAATGTGATAGCCTTTACAATCCTCACTCTTTGGCGATGTACTCCGCCACGACTACTGCCGGAGGAGTACGGCTTCGTCGATATGCTGCATGACAACAGTGCCGGATCCGCTTGGACACAAAACAAGTTCCAGCTCACAATTGCGGCAATGCCTTCGCTGCATTTTGGTAACGCTGTTTTCATTGCTCTGAGCTTGTTGCGATACAGCCCACACTGGTTCATTCGCCTTGTTGCGCCGCTCTGGCCCGTGATGATGGGCGTGACGATTGTCGCAACGGCAAACCACTTTGTTCTGGATGCCCTCGTCGGTGTTTGCGTGACATTGACGGCGTATAGATTCAATCATGCCATGTTGGTTTTGTTGCCGGTGGAGCGGGTACTGTTCAAGTTGCTTCGCATTGAGAAGCCGGAACAAGAGTGATTCAGAGGCAGTCGATTATATTCTTTTTTTTATGTCTTAGGCAACATTATTAGAACTCAGTCAAGAGGCATGCGCCGCGTTCTGAAATTATTTTCAGACTAAAGCCTCAATGAAGTCCATAGTCTAACTTTCAATTTCGAGATCCACGAAGGTAGAATATATGTTGTACATACTCCGTACATACTCTAGGAACCAGCTGACAACACCCACGAAGACATTGGACAATTCAAGTATCCCAGCCATACAGTGTTACAACACATCAGTAGTCACTTAGCAGCGAAAAGTCGAGATCAAAGGAAGCTTGTGTACAACGACGTGCAGAATCTACAGAATATGAACTCCAAGTTGAATAAGGTGTCGATAGTGACGTTATGGATAAGCTAATTCCACTAGTGAATCACCCTGTCTTTATGTACTGCAAATCATTAATCCTAGCAGACCTCAACTACGGAGTACCGAGTACTGCTTCTCGAAACTGGGAGATGGATGCCACAGCGTACAGTGGCACGTCAAAAGTTTAAATCCAGCGTATTTACCACTAGGCCTGATTAGGCAATTTCCTAATATTCTATCCGCAGATTTGAATCTTTCGATACCTCTCTCAATTATAATCAATATTATGGCACCTCGCAAAGAATTATCTCCACAGATATCTGGACGTATCTGTGAGCCCCATAGTGTTGGATGGAGTCATGAGATTCAAATCTGCATATAAAATATTAGGGTTGCCTAATTAGGCCTAGCGGTAAATACGCTGGATTCAAACTTTTGACGTGCCACTGAGTAGATAACACATCTAATAAATCGCACTTTTTCGGCACCCGGACTACTATATCAATTAATCAGATCCAAAGAACATAAGAACCCATGCTGAAGAACTGCACCGAATCGACCGAGCGCTCCCTGCCATGGTGGCCGGTGAGCTCTCTTGGGGAAATCCCGCGCGGGCATAGTCCTACACCCTTGCCTAGTGACCAACTAGCGGGGTTGGATAAGTTGAGAAATCCTTTTTCCTTTGAAAAATCATCGATATATGGAATGTACAATGCATTTGCTTGTGCTTCGTACTCCGCAGCCCTTACTCAATACTTCTAGCAATCACACGACGTATTCCACTCTTCTCCGTACAGTGAGAGAGAGTTATGAGCTGGATTTGGAAATTCTCCAATTCTGGACCCGCTGCACTAATTTACTCCGCACCGAAGACGGAGACGACTCAGACGAGACCAAGACTCGACTCCCACATCGGGCCGAATGTGTGGGCAGGAATATAAATGCGCCAGTCAGACAAGTCAGTGTGTCATGTGAAGACCTCCGATCCCGTGCTTTTCTTCCAGAAACCAGGTAGAAACAAGGGATAATCTGAGTGCCTGATTCTTGGAATAGTCTTCAGTCTACGAGATATCATTCTTTGCAAATTCCATATTCCAGAGATCATTTATACAGGCGTAAATAGTCATCTCGGTTACAGCTATCCTCGGTCGCGAGATCTTTTGGCGGGTTTTTCTCTAGGGTCACCTGCCTCCGATCTGGTTATCGAATCAGTGGATATCGTGCGTTCCGGAGTTTACCGTGGCTCGCCATCAGGAGTACTTCTGCCCCTGGCTCGTGGCATGCGAATGGCTGCGTAGGATGAAGACATGTCCTGCCGCTATAAAAGGTCCGATATAGATCTGTGTGACATGCGGTAGAACATCGAAGAACACTGTAGACATTCCAAGCAGACGGGAGTTGGTTAATGATGAGACTGCGGAGAAGCGACTGGCCTCATGGCCTGAGGCAATAAAGTGTTCGGTCCCAAGTCCGACCACTCACCGGGTAATTTACCCATTCCAGAGGCGGTGAAGCGCTTGTTCCTTTTTCTGTTTTTTTCTTTTGCTTTTTCCTATTCGCGCCTCATTCTTAAGAGCCTGAGAGGCACAGGTCCTCTGAAGGAAAACTTTTTTTAGCCGGCTTATGAGAGAAAGTCAAAGATAGAAAAAAGGATCTCTTCGTAGACAAGATAGAAGGATTTAGAACCACTTCAGATCTGCATTGTATAATTTATTATTTCAACTGCATAAGTGGCAGATCAATCTGTTGTCACCTTGCTCCCCATTTTTTTTGCCCTTCTGTTCTCCCTCTTTGTCCTAGTGATTCTGTTTCTCCACACAGATTGTCTGGTCCCAACCCCTTCATAACCCCGTCCTTACCCACATTGAAGTCTCTCAGACCTCCCTTCTCTTTCGCTTCTTCTTGGATTTTGGATCGTCGAGGCGAATTGGTTGCATTGGCTTAGTGGTCTGTGTGTGATATTCGCATGAAACAATGACCGTCAAAGAAGCTGTGAAGGAGTCGTTGCTCGGCAGCTCAGACGAGCCCCGGCTGTCGCAACAGGTGAAGCATCATTTCTTCCACCATGCACGGAAAGATGAAAGCACTGGCGAGTTTTATATGACGGAGGATGACTTTATCAATGCTATTGCGCCAAAGCATGAGGATTATGTGAGTTTTTGCGGCCTGTTCTTCCCTCTGATTCTTTGCCTGTTATGCCATGTGTCATCGCGCTGGTCCTCCGCGGGTGAATATGACTAACAAGCTTGCTTTTTGCAATTGACAGCACAAAATCAAGCGCGAACACTATGGACTGCTCTTCCGAGTCGCCGACAAGCGAAGAGCCGGTAAAGTCACTCTCAGTGACTGGGCGACCTTCGAGAACCTCCTGACGAAACCCGACGCCGAATATGAGATTGCTTTCCGACTCTTCGATCTGGATGGAACGGGCACGGTCAAGTGGGAGACATTCAAGGACATATACAATATGAACAAGAGCAGGGATAGTATACCTTTCGATTGGAATTCGGAATGGGCTTCCTTGTACTCCGGACGAAGCAAGGCCCGGCATGACATGACATACCCCCAGTTCGCTCAGATGCTCCGAGGATTGCAGGGCGAGCGCATTCGGCAAGCTTTCCACATCTTCGACAAGGATGGTGACGGTTACATCGAGCCTGAAGATTTCCAGCGGATCATCCTCGAGACCTCGAAACACAAACTGTCGGATTACGTCCTGGAGAACCTTCCCAGTCTGTGCAACATCTCCGCGGGCACCAAGATCTCCTACGCTACCGTTCGTGCTTTCCAGAATATCATGCGCGAAATGGATATGATCGACGTTATTGTCCGCGAAGCCACCCAGAAGAGCGAAGATGGCAAGATCACGCGCGCCGACTTCCTCAACGAAGCTGCTCGCATTACCCGATTCTCCCTTTTCACACCAATGGAGGCAGATATCCTATTCCATTTCGCCGGCCTCGATGCGCCTTCTGGCCGGTTATCCCAGAAGGATTTCGCCAAGGTCATTGATGCCTCCTGGCGTATGCCTTTGGCCCTGGCTGGACAGGCTGTCTCCACCGCAACAACTACCGCTCAAGTCGCCGCTGAAAAGACTCGGTCGGTGTTGCACAGCGTTTTGGAATCGGTCCACCATTTCGCGCTTGGCAGTCTTGCAGGTGCTTTCGGTGCCTTTATGGTTTACCCCATCGATCTCGTCAAGACACGCATGCAGAACCAACGTTCGACGCGTGTTGGCGAAAGACTGTACAACAACTCACTTGATTGTTTCAGAAAAGTCATTCGCAATGAGGGCTTCCTCGGCTTGTATTCCGGGGTTCTGCCTCAGCTGATCGGTGTTGCTCCGGAAAAGGCCATCAAGCTGACCGTGAACGATCTCGTCCGTGGCCACTTCACCAACAAGGAAAACGGCAAGATCTGGTACCCCTATGAGATTCTCGCTGGTGGTACTGCTGGTGGTTGCCAAGTTGTAAGTTCTGTTGAGATCTCGCCCACTCTGGAATCCTGCTCTAACTCGCCTTTTTATTAGATCTTCACAAATCCCCTTGAGATTGTCAAGATCCGCCTGCAGGTTCAGGGTGAGATTGCCAAGACTGTTGAGGGAGCTCCCCGGCGCTCCGCTATGTGGATTGTGAAGAATCTGGGTCTGGTGGGCTTGTACAAGGGTGCCAGCGCTTGCTTGCTCCGTGATGGTAAGAATGAACCAATGCGCTCCTTCTACTTTTGTGAATATGCTTTCTGACAGTTTCGGACTCTAGTTCCTTTCTCTGCCATCTACTTCCCCACATATGCCCATCTGAAGAGCGACGTTTTCGGCGAGACTCAAACACACAGACTCGGCATTGTGCAGCTGCTCACTGCCGGTGCCATTGCCGGTATGCCAGCGGCTTATCTTACCACACCCTGCGATGTGATCAAGACCCGTCTGCAGGTTGAAGCTCGCAAAGGAGACGTTCGTTACAATGGCTTGCGGCATTGTGCGGCCACCATCTGGAGGGACGAAGGTTTCAGAGCCTTCTTCAAGGGTGGTCCTGCTCGTATCGTTCGTTCGTCACCGCAGTTCGGTTTCACCCTGGCTGCCTATGAACTGCTGCAGAAATGGCTTCCCATGCCCGGAACTCACGCTGATGTGTCTCCCTCGGGACAAGTTGAACCCGGCGTTGGGTTACAGAGTGCCAAAGCTCCTCTCCCTTATCTGAGGTCAAGGAACGCTCTGAAGCTCCTCCTCGACCTCGACGAGAACATTGGTCGCGTCTATATCCCTCAGGCCGATAAATGGCCCAAATTCCTCCAGCCGTCGAAGCAATGATTTGCATTGTCCTGTTTTCATAGCGATCATTTGGCTTTCTTTTGTCTCCTGCGTTGACTTGGAAATATATTATGTTTCTGTATTTTCACAACCGTCTTTCTTGATTCACGTGGGTTTGGTTTGGCCGGGCGAAGATCACGCATAATTTTTCTTCTCTTTTGTTCATACAGGAACCAGATTACATTGCACATGTACCAAAAGCAGATAGACTGGAAAGAAGGTCATATCATTCCTAGCATGCAACTATATTCAATGTCAAGCACGAGATTTTGCCTACTTTGTTATCTAGAAAGGCCTCGCTCACGCGAGATATAATCAGAAAATTGACCCGAATAAGACCATAGCCGGATAGGCTATCACAGAGAACTACACCTTATTCTCGGAAATTTGAGGGTGCTATCATGAGTCATAATTCCTCCTGTTGCCTACGCCTACAAGATTGTCGATGGTTGCCTGTTGAGTTCCCCAGATCGATGATAAGATAAGCTGCTGAGATCGGAGCACGTGATATTATCCACTTTTTTTTTTTTTTTCATAGACTGCAGTGGACCCGCCGCAACCTTTCTTTCTCTCTTTTTCTCTTCCCCCCCTTCCCTGGTTTTTACCAGGAGGGCTACCATTGAATAATACAGTCTGATCTCAATTAGCCAAGATGAAGTACGTTCTGGTCTCTGGAGGTAATGATCTTTCCGTGTCTTTCTCCATGACGCTTTCGTTGATTCTTGGCAGGTGTCATTTCTGGTGTTGGCAAAGGCATCATCGCCAGCAGTTGCGGGTTGCTACTCAAGACTGCTGGTTTGGCCGTTTCGAGTATCAAGATTGATCCTTACCTCAATCCGGATGCCGGTCTTATGAACCCTCTAGAGTTGGTCTCACCTAGTATGCTCACCTTGATTTCTGGACTTGACGTTGACGCATCAAAGACACGGAGAATGTTTCGTTCTCGACGACGGCGGTGAGGCCGACCTCGACCTCGGAAACTACGAGCGCTATCTCGGAGTCACTCTCGGGCGGGATAACAACATCACCACTGGAAAGATCTACCAACACGTCATTGAGAAGGAGCGTCGCGGCGATTACCTGGGAAAAACAGTTCAGATCGTGCCACACCTCACCAACGAGATTCAAAACTGGGTGGAACGGGTTGCCAAGGTTCCTGTGGACGAGTCAGGGCGGGAACCCGACGTTTGCATCATCGAGTTGGGAGGTACTGTTGGAGACATTGAAAGTGCACCTTTTGTGGAGGCCATGAGCCAGCTCCAACGGCGGGCCGGCAAGAACAACTTCTTGGAAATCCACGTCAGCTACGTTCCTCTGATTGGCTCGGAGCAGAAGACCAAGCCCACCCAGAGAGCCATCAGCGATGTTCGCAGTGCTGGTCTCAGGCCGGATCTGATCGCCTGCCGCTGCGAAACCCCTCTTGAAGAGAGCACTATCCAGAAGATCGCCAATGCCTGCCAGGTGGAGCGGGATCAGGTTGTCGGAGTTCACAACGTGTCGACCACTTATCAGGTACCCATTCTCCTGGAGAAGCAGGGCTTCCTCAACACCATCAAGGAACTGTTGCACATTGACTCGGTTCCGAAGGATCCCAAGCTCATCGAGCAGGGTAAGGTGATTTGGCAGGAATGGCAAGGTCTTGCCATTAGCCAGGACCGTGTGTTTGAGACTGTCTCTATCGCCCTTGTCGGCAAGTACACCACTTTGCATGATTCATATATGAGCGTGAGCAAGGCGCTCGAGCACTCTGCCATGCATTGCAAGAAGAAGCTTGACCTCATTTGGGTCGAGTCCTCTCACCTGGAGGATGAGCACAAGGAGACAAACCCGGCCGAGTACTACAAGGCATGGCACTCGGTTTCAACCGCCAACGGAATTCTGGTTCCTGTAGGTTTTCCCCGTATATACTTTATGAATGGCTCTAATGTTATGTTCAGGGCGGTTTCGGCGAGCGTGGTACCGAGGGTATGATCAAGAGTGCCCAATGGGCCCGTACGAACAATGTTCCTTACCTGGGTGTTTGCCTGGGTATGCAAGTGGCCGTGATCGAGTACGCTCGCAATGTGTGCGGCTTGACTGGCGCTGGTAGTGAGGAGTTCCACGAGAACTGCGAGCACTCTGCTATTGTTTACATGCCTGAGATCGACAAGACCAAGATGGGAGGCACCATGCGACTCGGCAAGCGGGCCACCCACTTCCAGCCCGGCACCGAGTGGTCCCGTCTGCGGAAGCTGTACGGAGATAAGCAGGAGATCTGGGAGAGACACCGTCACCGTTACGAGGTTAACCCCGAGCTCGTCGACCAGCTCGAACAGGCTGGTCTAACTTTTGTCGGCAAGGACGACAGCGGCAAGCGTATGGAGATTATCGAACTCAAGGACCACAAGTGGTTCGTCGGTGTGCAATTCCACCCCGAGTATCTCAGCCGAGTCCTTGCGCCCAGCAAGACCTTCCTGGGCTTCTTCGCTGCCTCGGCCGGCTGCCTTGAGGAGATCACCGAGGTGTTCAAGGATCGTCACGATTTGAGCCACCGAGAGATGAAGATCCCTCTCCACTAAATAAATATGGCGCGGCTGATGCCGGTAAAAGGCATCAGCTGGTTGTTGGGTTGGTTATTTCATGTTTGTTTCTGGCGTTTGGCAGACTAAAGAGTAACGTGGATCAATGTATGAGAGACAAATAGAACTATGCCTGCATTGCTGGAATGGGCCCAGCTAGTATAATAGCTACATAATGATACTCCGTCCTCGCGTCATGCTCGCGACGGCAATCATCTCAGTCCACGCTATCACATTATACACCCCTCTATCACAATCACCAATATCAACGCGATCCGTAGATCAGTACTCCGTACAAGCACATAGCGCCAAGACCGTCTCACGCACCACAACATCAATATACGCGTCTAGTCAATATCAACCACGTCCACAGCACGAGAACCCAACCACATCCAGCCTAGAATTGATCAGACCTGGAAGCAAAATGACCACCCTCAACATCACAAACCCCGACGAATTCCTCGCCCAATTCAACGAAGCCCTCAATGCCGCGCCCTCGTCGCGCCTACGGCATATCATCCGCGACATATGCAGGCTTCTCCCGGCTGCTCTCCCAATCGTCTCTGATTGCCTCCTTGTCAGCGAGGAGCAGGTCCCAGGGCCGGATGACTCTGGCTCTGAGTCTGGATCTGGGTCTGGTCCCGAAGTAAACGCAAACGTAGAAACAGCTCAACCAGCGTCAGCCGAGCCCAAGCCTAAGCCCGCAACACCTAAGTCGAAGAAGAGGGCTAGGGCCAGTGTCAGGCCGCGGTATGCAGTGTGTGCAAACTGCGAGGTTGAGTACGACGTTACGAAGAACTCGCGGGGTAGTTGTTGTTTCCATCCTGGTATATATGTTGTATTTCCTTGTGGGTTGCGATTGCTAATGCTAGTTGCAGAGGAGGCTGTACAGGATGAGGAGTACTGGAGTCGTATTGATCTCTGGGAGGATGAGGAGATTGACAATGAGGAGCACCGGGAGGATCATCCAGAGGGGTTTATCTATAGGTGTTGTGGGAAGTACTATGGGAAGGAAGGGTGTAAGGTTGGATGGCATGAGGAGGAGGCGAGGGATCGGAAGAGGAAAAAGATTCGATCTGCTTTCACTGAATTAGAGGTTGTGTAGGTCCTGTATAGTTTGGCCTGCTTCTAGTGTTACTTAGAGGTTGAGATGATGGAATTGATTATGGCTGAAGACCTGAGGCCACCAAGAAAGCAGGCTATGACAAATACTCTCCGATATTTGCCAGATTGAAAATAGCAGACACACCGTACCTGGCTGCCTCATTCGTCGTGATCCAAGCAGCCTCCTCCCCATGCGTAAAGTACTCCGGCGGCGCAGTCTCAACAACCCTCCAGTCATGATCCTCCGTATACCCGTCCGTATGGAAAAACTGGTCCCACGCTGCGCGAGCCAGCTCCTCGCTCTTCAGCTGGTCGACCGCAAACGCCGTAAGCGTCGAATGACTCTGTCGCCAGGTCGCATGATCCGGGAACTCGAACCCGAATTCCCTACGCTGGACTTCAGCGCCTCCATTATATGCTTTGCAGTAGGACAGCCACACGGCCATAAACCTATCTACAGTGGCCGGGTGCGCATCACGCACGTAGTCCAAAACCTCCGCAAATATCTCCGGAAAGCCGAAGAGCATGGATAGATGGGAGATGGAGTACTCGGGCGTGGGAGGGGGACATTCGCGGATCTCGCCCGTGGTAGGGTTCAGCAGGATAGCATTGTTGCCGATGCCGTGTTTCAGGCGCGCGATGCCGTCTAGCAACTTGATCAAGAGATCACGGCAGTGCTCCCAGCCCTCAGTCCGTCGTTCCCAGGCCGTCAACCATGCTGCCGCGAGGGCACCACAATCAAGGCCGATGTTCGTCATGGCGAAACCCTCGGGGATATCAGCGTGCGCTTGCACCTTGCGGTGCGAGTCGAGAGTCAGGAGGGCGTGTTGGCAATCCTGCAGCTCGGAGATCAAATCGCCGATGCGCTCATCGCCAGTCAGATAATAGTATATCCGTTTGTAGAGCACATTCGAGATCCGCAGCTGCTTTGAACTATCGCTGAAATGCTGGACGCCGTGCCGTGTGCCGAAACCCTTGAACCGGCCTGCGTGGTAGGTGTCCACCTCGCTAGTGTGTCGGGTCATTGCCTCGGCCATTTTGAACACGTCTGCGCGGCCAGTATGCAGGAAGTACAGCCATAGCCATAGATCGGTCGACAGCTCCGAGTTGTCCCAGGCGAAGCCGCCGACGTCGTAGCGCCAGGCGTGCCGGTAGGGGTCGTACGTGTGCTGCACGTCTCCGTGGTCCCAAAAACCATACCAGCGGTGTTGCTCTACCTGTTTCTGGTAGTGGTTGAACAAAAGGTCGAGGTTGCGCTCGATGGCAGCTTCTTGCGGGGATGCGGGTGGTTCGTGCGCGGGCGACCAGCAGCCATGGAAGACGTCGGTGGAGTGCATGTACTCGGCTGTTGGGACAAGACGGGGAGGATTCCTAACGAGAGCCGAGAAAGAGCCGAGTTCCTGGTTAGAAGGGGTGGATGCGTACGGCATGAGGAAAAATTGGTTCGTCCTGCCGATACCGTTGGCAGTGGCAAAGCCCGGCTCGTAGTCTTCGTACGTGACGTCGAGCGCGTGGAGCTGTTTCTCGTATGAGTCCAGTCCCAGGCCATCATGGTAGGGGGAAGTATCAAGTGGTTCTGCAAGAGGAGAGTAGAGCCAAACGGTGATCGCACCCTCGCTTTGGGTGAGCTCGGTCAGGTCAAGCTGAGTCGGGTATCGTTCCCAGAAGTCGGACATGCCCACGGCGATGCCGCCGTGTCTGGCTGAGCCTAGATACACGGTTCCATCTGCGCGACCACCGCCGGTTACCTTGACCCACGAGCAGCCCTTTTTCGTTCGTTTCTTGATGGTGAAGCCGTCGGAGGATAGCTGCGAGAGTGTGTAGGAGTCAAATGATGGAATGTACGAGAGACCTTGGTGGAGATCAGTCTTGGACCACTCTTCTTGCTTGAGAGTGACAGCCCGTCCTGCTGTTTGATCAATCCTGTTGGTGACTGTTGGACCGTGTCGTAAGCCAGACAATCCTTGGATTTCTTCCTTGAGGATGCCTCCATTGGACCCTGCAAAACGTACGTGCCGGTTATAAAGCTCTGTATTCTCCAAAGGGACTGAGAAACGAATTCCCAGTGAGGTTAGAGGCTCATCTGCATCTAGATCGTGGACGAAAGAGTGCAGGATCTTAATGGGTAACGCGTCGGAGTATATAAAGACGCGCACATCGAACGGGAGGTGCTCAGAGTCAGGGGAGGCCATTGTCCCGGAGACTTTTATGACTGTTCTTAAGCTCGTAGCATTCTCCACTCCAACCTTGCTGACAATGGTCGAATACTCCTCGCCATTAATGGACGCGACGAGTGTGGCGCCAGAACACAGAGCGTGGCCCCGCAGCGAAAGGCTTTCGAACAAGGACGAATTCCCTGAGCGTGCAAATTCGACCTGCAACCCAAGGCGCGTAGTGACTGTGATACTATACCCTTCCTCGATAAAGACACCAGCATCGATGTCCTTAGATTTGGAGGTGCCCTTGACAGTGTACTCCTCGCTGTACCCAACGTGCCCACTGATCGAGTGTGCCGTCCATTTGAGCGATCCGTCTGCCCAGTAGGCTATTTCTCTCGAGTTTATAGCATATTCCCGACCATCCCCTTCAATGACAAAAGACTGACCTGGCTGATACAGACCCTTTGGCCAAGGCATACCAAAGGAGACTCCACTTGCCAGTGGATCCTGGCCATACTTAGTCAGCCACCGCAGATTGCCTGTCATTGTTGATTAACCGTCGGTGGACGATTGACACTTTCTCTGTTAATACGAGGTGGTCATCTGGCGAGACAAAGAGGTGCCTTATTCACTTGTAGTCGTCCTGATCGGCCTATTTCCTCCCGGAGAACGGAACAAATCTCCGCGGCCCCTCTCGTCCTAAGTCGTTCATATAGGATGATGCCTTACTAGCTTTTGTGTCGTTCTTTTCGGGGTTTTACTGTGCCGAAGGATGTTTCCCCGCAAAGTCTATCATGCATCGCTCCACTTCCCCGGATTCCACCATAGAGAAGGACGGAAAGCCACAAGGAATGGGCACAGAGAAGGGTCACAAGCTTCTACTTGGCGAGGCTTATAAGAAATGGCCTCCCTTGGCTTCTTGGACAAATGTCGTGCTCGATTGACATCTTCGTGTATACAAAATGGCCGCTCACCAGGAAGACGTGACAGATCCCACCACCGTTACGGTGATCCGGGAAAAAGACGAGGAACACTATGTCGTGGCCGAAGACATTGTCAAGGGCGCGCAAAAGGCCACGGACGATGAGCACGCCATGGGCCTGAGGGAGGGTCTGCGCAAGTACCCCAAGGCGGTCTTCTGGTCCATCTGGTTCTCGTCTGCACTCATCATGGAAGGCTTCGACCATTCCTTCGTCAGCGGGTTCATGGCTTTCCCAGCTTTCCAGAGAAGATATGGTGTTCTCACCAAAAACGGGTCCTACCAGGTTCCAGCAAACCTCCAAGCCGCCGTCAGCAACGGAGTCAATGCGGGAGAGATTGTCGGCCTTCTACTTAATGGTCTTCTGTGTGATTGGTTCGGCTACCGCTGGCTGATGATGGGCTCGCTCTTCCTCATGGCGTGTTTTATTTTCCTACAATTCTTTGCAACCGACATCTACATGTACATCGGCGCGGAAGTCCTCTTGGGTCTACCCTGGGGAGTCTTCCAGACGATCACGACCACCTACGCGGCCGAGGTATGCCCCAACGTGCTGCGTCCCTATCTGACCATGCTTGTCTCGCTGGCCTGGAGTATCGGTTACCTCACGGGGACCTGCGTCCTCCGTGGGTTCCTGAGCATGTCTGGCGAATGGGCGTACCGCATCCCCTTTGCCCTGCAATGGGCTCTACCCATCCCCCTCGCCATCGGCATCTACCTCGCCCCAGAATCGCCATGGTGGCTAATCCGCAAGGGTCGCACCGAGGACGCTACCAAGTCACTGCGCCGGCTGCGTACCAAAGACGCAAGCGAAGAGGAGATAGCCGACACGCTCGCCATGATGCTGCACACGGTCAAGATCGAGGACGAGATGAACGCGTCCAGCTCCTACTGGGATCTGTTCAGGGGCGTCGACCGCCGCCGCACGGAAATCACCGTCTTCACCTACCTCATCCAGGAGCTCTGCGCCCCGCTGGTGGCCTACATTGTCTATTTCCTCGAGCAGTCGGGCCTCGATCCCTCCTCATCCTTCGACTTTGGTATCGGCGAGTATGCACTAGCCATCGTGGGGGTCTGCGTTGCGTGGTGTCTGGTCCCGCGCGTGGGGCGCCGCACCCTCCTCCTCTCTGGAACCTTCTTCATGACCGCGACAACTATCCTTATCGGCTTTTTGGGGATCGTCAGCCGGAAGTCCCATCCCAAGATCGGATACGGCATCGGTACCATCCTGCTGATCGAGTACTTTGTCTTTTTCATTACTATCGGTCCCATCATCTACACCATCGTCACGGAAATCCCGTCAAACGCTCTGCGGACGAAGAGCGTCGGTCTCGCGCGAGCGCTTTATAACGTCGGTGTCTTGGTGTATGGCCAGCTGGCGCCGCGTATGATGCAGCAGGCGGCATGGGACTGGGGCGCCAAGTGCGGGTTTTTCTTTGGGGGCATCATGGGGCTCAGTCTTGTGTGGGCGTACTTCCGGGTCCCGGAGACGAAGAACCGGACATTTGCAGAGGTGGATATCTTGTTCAAGAACGAGGTTCCCGCGAGGAAGTTTCCTGAGACGAGGGTTGATCTTGCGAGTGAGGAGGTCAGAGAGGAAGTCTTGTAGATAATAGTTTCATTAGTCAATGCAAGGGTGTTCTTCAAGATTGCAGGAGTCAAGGCAGGAGCAACGCCCTACTCTTATACGCAAAGCTGATTTATGAGATGAGCTCGATGCGGGAGACAACTGTCAGAAGGATTGTGGGCCATATGACGTGCGTGCAGCGAGTCACTGACAGGTGCAGTGAGCCAGTGACATCAAGGCAGAGGATCGTTTATCGTTCGAGAGCCTCCTGAAGGAGCTGATACTGTCTCGAAGAGGACGATGAGGATGAGCCAATCGTGGCAGTGTCGGGCCTTGATCGACCAGTGCTCAAACGGGGATTCCTTTGGTCCTTCAGATCCTTCTGACCCTTCATATCATTCAAGGTATGTTTCAAGGTAACCTTCAACGGATGCCCGATGGAGTAATAATTGCTCGCAGAGAGATATAAGGCAGCACCTCAACCAGGGCATTCTCGCCTTCTCATGACAAGCAGCAAACCTACTTTATCAACTTCTGCCTCTTGGTTGAATCGAATTGCCACATTTGCGAGTCACGACGATTGTAATCATAATACTAGCTACAATGGAACGGAGGAGTTAACTCAGGGTCCTCACATGCTACGCGTACTGCTATGTAACTAATTACTGCTGTCAACAGCCAATTACTAGGACGGCCCCTGTCCTCTAGGCCTTACAGTGTCTCCCAATGAGGCAACATAAGAAGTCCATCTAATTGAATCTAGCGAGCGTGAAAGCGACAATTTCCAAACTGATTTAATCAAACCGTAATGAAAAGCAGCATACATCTCCTTCATCAAAAGGACACATACTCAATGTAATTATCTAGTTGCAGGTGCAAACCTTCTTGTCGGAGCACTGACCACCAGGCTTTCCGATGTAGCTGCAGTGATCCTCACAGCAGAGTCCACCCCAAGGGTCAGGGAAGCTGCAGCAGATACTGCGCTTATCCAAGGTGACATCTCTAGTATCCACCTTCTTCACCACATCCTCGATACCCATGTTGTTCAGGACGTCGCGCAGGGGCTCGTCTCCGTCAATCACCTCATCGCTGCGCTTGTTGTTCGGGTAGCAGGCGCAGATATCGTAGCCGGGGCAGCCATCACGGGGGAGGCAGCGGCCACCATGGGGGTTACCCTGGCGCACGCAGACGTTGTTGCAGGTGGAGTCGCCGCCGAGCATGCAGGAGATGGAGTTGTGGCAGAGGGCTGAGGCGAGGGTGGCGCTCGCCAGGAGGGGAGTGACGATGGTGGTGAAACGCATTGTGGTCTTTGTGGTGTTGGTTTGGTAGTAGATATGGGCTTGAAGCCGCTCGCACCTTATTGCTTCGGAAAATGTAGACTTGATAGAGTAGACTTGATAGATCGGGTTGTTGCTTGTGGTGAGAAGGCGAGAATGCCCTGGTTGAGGTGCTGCCTTTATACCTCTCTGCCAGCAATCATTACTTCTTCCGGTATGTGTAGAAACTCGTATTCACCCTCATGAAGTGCCTTGATTCAGTATCTGAGTCTCCTGGACTCCTTGCTGAACGCATGTTGCGTTGACTAAGATCTTCATCGACATGACGTTGGGTAGAGCACCTCCTCGTATTTGCCCGAATCAGTATATCGAAGCCATTCACCTCCTTGCAGACTGCGGTTGAATTAACTTTGACTCCAAGTATAGAAACCATAGAAACACGAGTTGCGGCAACATGCCAGGTTTTTTGCCTTGGCCGACGACCGATCGGCAAATGAAGGAGGGATACGAAGTGCGAGACGATGTTATTCATAGATGGCCCCATTCACGTGTTCCGGGCTTGCCACATCATTGTAGGGTTCCCCACAGTATCTCCAGATCCAAGATGATGATTCAAGGGGAAATACGAGGTGTGGCTCGTTGAGGCGGCGATCATCCGTGAGGCGTAAACCCTATTGTAATGATGGCCTATGTGTCGATCGAATCATTGGTCTTCATCAATGAATCCAAGGAATTCTGCTGACTCGAGCAGTTGTTGTCCCAGGTTCGGCGTAAGTTGGGGTCCAAAAATGGCTCGTCCTCGTCGATGCGGTATCTCTCGTTGAGCATACCTAAAGGGATCAGTATGAGGGATACACGGTCATGTAGACACGGCTTTGACGATCGTCTCGTATTGTAACAAAGAGGGCTGCCGTCACCATGATGTCCTGGTCAGTGTGTTGTTATGAGCCATCCTCTGCCAGGAGACAGTTACCTCTGCGCTGTAAGGGGATGGCATGGACTATGCGCGCTGAGCAACCCTCCACAACGACACGGTCCCACGGGCATGGATAGGGAGTAGCAAAGAAGCATGATGCGGTCCACGAAATAGCATGGTGGGAGCATTTCAATAGTCGGACCAAATCTCAAGCAAACTTCCCAATCGTCATTGCCTTGTAACGATGTACTACTTGCCGCAGGAAGAACCGGAGTCGAGAGAATGTAACGTCCAGTTTCTTCTATTCTCTTGTTAGCTTGATGGAGCCTGAGTCCAAGCTTGAGTCCATGTTGCGGGAGGATTTCCCAATTGGTATGAAGATCAGTTTACGTTTCTCTACCTTGTCACACCGCAGACTGGGGGTGAGAAGGAAGTGATGTTCAATCAGCAGACTTAGCTGTCTGCCTTTGTCAGCGATAAATCACGGCTATGTGCAGTCAAGGTTGGACTAGAAGCCTCATGAGGTTATCCTTGACGCATATCTCGAGATGCTCGACGAGAGGATGCCATTTCATCTCCGGATCCAGACTCGATAGAGACGTCGGTCATGGCATCGATCCATACAGACCATGGATCGTCATGCGTATTCCCCCGTCGATCTTGAGAAACCTATCCTCATGAAACGACCCCTCGCTGCAATTGAGGCCCGCATAACAGCCGCGCACACAGTCTCGTCTCAGATCTGTGGTACGGTGACCAAACCTACCCTTTCTGAACTACTCCTCTAACATCGTCCTGCGCCTTCAGATTTCTTTCTGCATTGACTTTTGCAATGGCAGGTTCGATTCCGCTGTATTACTCCTGAATCCGTTACCAACTTCCTGCGGATTTCCCTCTCGATCCATTTACTTCCTGTCGGGACGTTCTGCCTTCCGTATACTCCCTGACCGAGCAGACATCCCTATCTTCCTAAAGAAGGACGAAGAACAGTGCATATCGACACCTGATCAAGTTGGATCGGAAACAACGTTATCGATAATGTACCCGGTTTCTGCACCACTAGAACCACACCTGCGTACAACACTGCGTTGGGAATAAATGTAGCTGATCCTTCCTTCCGGGATTGAGGAGAAAGGTTGGCTAAGGAGTCTGAATGGTCACTATGGGAAATACGTTCTGATAGTAATAGTCCTGTGCTGGAGGGCGGGTACACTGGAGTGTATCCATCTGGATGCACAGGCTTCACAGACCTACGGCTTGTGTAAATGCATTAGATTCTGATAAACTAAGCGGAGAGAGTTGAAGAGGGAGCTTGGGATGTTAGGTAGATGGAGTCACGAGTTGAATCGAGAAGTAAAGAGGCAGATAGAGAGATAACGGGAGGAAATATCACACCACGTGGGTGACATTTACTGCTTTAGGGAGTCAACAAAGATATCATAGTGCAAATGTGAATGCCATGCAGTGGAAGAACTTCGCAGGTAAATGGCAGGTCCCATTAGTCGTAAGATATCATTCACTGTTCAACATTTGCAGACGGAAGATACCGTTTCTAGCCATGTCTACTCTTATTTACATATTCACTGTCACTGCCCTGCACTGGCTACATAAACTCCCTTCTTCCCCTGGATCTCTTCTGTTTTCTTCATCTCTCTCTATCCTTCTATCTCCAACTTCCACCTACGTTCAACCTCACTCTCACACTCATCTCACTACAACAACCACTCTATCAACAACAACTCCCTCAAGATGAAGCTCAACGCTATTCTCCTCTTTTCCCTCATTGGCCTCGGCCTCGCTACTCCCGTCACTGTTGATGGAAACCTCACTGCTCGTGGCGACAGTACATCCCTCCACCCACCAACTCATCATGACAATATCTAACCCTGCTGACCAACTCTAGACGCTGACCTTGACAACGACGGCTCTCTCATTCCTCATCCTCCCTGCGATGCCAACGGCGACTGTCCTCGCTACTTCGGCTGCAGAAACGGATGGTGCTACTGCCTTCCTTACCATGTATGGCTTCCTTTTGTACTTGAGTTGAATTTGATGCTAATAGCTCTTGCAGATGCACGACTGCCAACCTCCTCGTCAGGAGTAAATGATGCAATGCGGCTGCTGAGCGATGCGGTCATCGAGCTGCATACTTTGGTGGATTGACTGCGTCCTTTGCTGAGATCCTTTGCAAACTGGGGTTGGTTATGAATGGGGACGGTGACGGTGACGATAGGCGCAATGAGATTGCATGTAGCTAGCTAGCTACGAATGCCATTGTCTTATGACTTATGATAGAGAGTATTTTGTAGGTCAGTCCATGACTGGGATGTGTTGTGGTTTTAAAGCCGTAGAGATTCCGGTTCTCTTGCAGACTAGAGGAGTCTAGGTATTGATAATCTCCGTGATCCTCGGCTGCACCAAGCCGCACCACGAATTCCCAGGGAGAGCTTCCACACCAAGCTCTTTTACTGGTGTAACTAATCTTCGGAAGGAGCCTGTTGGAGATACTCCTGCATTTATATGCACTAATGCTGTCGCGGAATTTGTGAATCTCTTCTTGTTCCTCTTTTTGTATAACATCTGGGTCTTGATGAAATTGAACAAATTGAGCTTCATCATCCCAATCACAGCAGGTACGCGTGACGTCCAGTTCCAAGTCATCAGTCGAATAAAGATTTCGCCACAGCAGCCAGAAAAGTTGCATTTGTCACGGATAATCGCAATTCCCCACAGTTTCTAAGGAGGCTCCGGCTAGGCTTCTTAAGGTAACTGAGAGTGGTGTACATCCATTCTTCGAGGCAAGCGCATTTGCAGCCATCAAGCTTGTTCTCCGTGATTGCACTATCAGAAATACTCGATTTTCCCGGTCCAGGCATGCGAATTGAAGATCCACATACTGCTATATCACTGCTTTCGAAGTGACAAAAGCGAGGTCCTGGATCAGAACCGTGCTGGTGCTGATGATTTTGTGCCTGGTGGGGGTAGCTATGCCAGGCAGAAGCCGGTTGGGATTCGCACCTTTTAAATCACCCACCTTGCTCTATCCAGAAATTGCCCTAGCGAAAATGCTTCGCTGGTATACATTACCGGTGTCCGTGCATCTACGTCAGGCGTGTCGACATCAGTCAAGCCAGCATGATACAGCTTTTGCATGACCTAGCAGGACAGCCCAACTTCATGGAAGACAAAGTCATAGTGGTCCTCGAGTTCTGGCTGAGAGTCGGGTCCTCGGATATACGGGCGAGACCCTCCACGGATCCGGTCTTCTTTCTCCCGTTATGCCCCTTGTTTGAAGTGTTTCGTAGACTTTGAACGTATTCAGATTGGATAGAGAGTGGTATGCCACCTCCAGATCGCGGCATACGTGTTCTGTAAGAGTACTGATCGCAAAGTCACGCAGCCGCTCTGGTCTAACGATCAAGTCGTCAGCTAGGAGGTCCTTCACTTTGGCACTCGCATAACGAACACTATACGCAATAAGGGAGGAGCAGATGATGTATACTCAAAAGGTAACAGAAATATGCCAGGAAGGGCACTGTGTAGGGTAGATTTAGTCTTTCATCCTCAGGACAAGGCAACCCTCATAGCTAGCATATCCGGCATCTCCACCAAACCTGTACCAAACACATGCATTCCCAATTATAATTCCCCCGAAGGCACTTGGCACGGTTCGCTCAAGCTGCAGCCAGCTTTGCAAAAGAGGAATCCAAACAGTCCATGACTGTAGCGCCATCTTCATCCTGGATGGTGATGTCGGGATCGTACCGGCATAGGAGTCGCACAGCCCCGAGATGGCCACCCGCAATGGCCCAATGGACAGGTGTTCCTTTCTTTGTACGGATAATAGAAGGCTTAGCACCGAAAAGGGGAAAGGATGGAATCTCATTAACATCCGCACCGTGATCCAGGAGGAGCTTCATCCTTGCCAGGTCACTTTGAAACGCAGCAAAATGCAGGGCGCCAGATCCCTTAACCTTAGCACCGGCCTCCAACAGACGTTGCACCCATTTGATATCCTTGGTGTATCGCACAGCCACTGACAGGGGAGGTAGCCAGTGTCCCCAGTGCCCCTTGTTGGGGTCAACACCTTTTGAAAAGAGAAATTCCAACAGTTCCTGATGATTATGTCGCAAAGCCGCGATCAACGGGGTGCCGTTATGACCCATGTCTTTGTTGATGTCGGCGCCAAAATCAAGGGTAGTCTGGAAAGTTGCGACATCACCGCTCTCCAACGCTGACGAGAAAACCCAGTCATACCACAGAGTGGCGCCACGGGTTAGACAGTCCCGGAGCCTGGATGCATCGCCTCTTCGAGCGGCATCCGCGGCCTCTTGCTGTAATGCTTCGTCCCGTATCGAGTTCATTGTTGGTTAGAATTCGCGAGTAAAGTGAACTTGTTAGAATTCGCGAGACTTGGTCGATAATAGGCTGCTTTCCGGGGGTCTGGTTTGAATAGAGGAGTAGTAGAAACAATTTTACAGCTCTTCGGCCCTTATGAACTTTTCCTGCATTGTTGGTGTTTCAGTAATCACAGGAATCATGAGTTACACCTCCCAACATGGACAGTAGATCAATGCTGCAACTGATAGGACTGCCTATTGGACTTGGCATCTAGGCACCAAGTAATTCTAAGGTGATCCTGACCATTCCACTCCCGGCTGGGACAGACTAATATCAAAACAACGCAACTAATCGCTGCGGCACAGCGTTCTAACTGGCTCCTCCAACCAAGCTTAATCAAGCTTTCCAGATGGGGCGAGAGCGGGAATCTTACAGTCCTTACTACAGGCAGCGGCATCTGCTCGGTTGCCAATACTGTGCTGTCGAACCTTTCTTACAGGAAAGGGTGAGTGTTTCTCTGCAAATGGCAAGACTGGATCAGACGCCTCAAATAGTCACTAATCTCAGGACAGACATGGAAGACCTGGCCGACTCCATCTGCAACACGATGGTCACCCTGGGCGTGGGGATCATCACCAAGGATGCAGGAGCAATCGCCTCTGCTATCACGGTTCGAGGAGGCCATAAAAAAAGCCTCTCGATTGTCCACAAACATCGCAACCTACAGATCATAGCCACGGTGGCCAACGTCGCCGGCATCACTGCCAAATCCAAGCTGGTGGACCTCCGCGTGCAGGCCATTAGGTATCAGGCAGAGACCTGTTTGACGGACTTGAAGTATGGGGCCTTCAACTCCCAGACAGATCACGTTGCGAAGCCGTCAACTACTACATGGAGGGATGGCAAGGGCGCGGTTCAGGCGATCTCTGACATTGGTTTTGCCATGCCTGATGTTTTCCGTTGAGTTTCTGCGAGTCACTTTTCGGGGATTCAACATCTCCATTACATCTTCTGATATGCGTCCAAATCTTTGCTCTGAATTTTCTCCAATGCTGTATTTGCCCTTTTTCCTTTGGTAGTTTCTGTACTTGAATTGTTGCAGTGTTAAGCGTCTCTACTTTCGTTTATAAGTACTACCTATCCAATTTTATAGTATGTTTGTTGTGCCCAATTGTCATAAAAAATACCAATCTCGTAAGAGTCCTCTTAGCGCTGCTACCTAAAGGATACACGTCTACACCTGATATTGGATCTTGTCCATTTTGCCTGGACAGTGCATGTATTTTGCGGCGCTGGGCTTGGTTGGCTTGATTATTATCAGTTTGGATTGGAAGAGCCTCTTGTTGACCAAACAGGAAAGATGTGACATGGCTGAAGCCCAAGTTGCCCCATCGCTTAGTTCAAGGTAGAGCCTGACGATCTGGGGGCAGTGTAAGTTGTTGGATGTCGGGGTTTCCCAAGTTTACGATGGTTCATAATCTAAACTGGATCCTTGACCCACATACTGGGATTGGTAACGCTGAAATACGGAGAATGCCGATTTTAACGGCGAATAGTCTTGATCTTACCAAACGCAAGGCGGCAAACATAGTAAAGGCCGGCAACAGGAATGCTAATACACTGAATGAATGCACAACCACCACAGAAACTGGCTTGGTGAAGGTGAGGACTGACAGTGTCAGGTAGTATTCGCACAGTAACAACCCCGAGTCTTGGAGCTGCTGCCACCTGGCGCAGGACCCCTATCCGTGCATGTCGAGGCTTGCGCTATTGGTGCGGCAAACCAAATGCAGCGCGGTGTCTGCTTAGTAGCTATTACACTGGGAAGGTTACCTAAACAGCAGGAACTCGAATGAGACAGCGCAGCAAAAGGGTCACAACAGGGGAGCATTATCATATCTCCTAAGTGATGTGCACTACTAGGTTTAGCAGCAACCATTTAGCAGGGAGCAGTGCTGTTGGTGGCAGCGAACAGCAGAGCCCGCCTCCAGGCCAGGTTGAACAGGCACATTTGCTCGCTGAAATACTGGAGGGAACCGGGCCGCGTTGATGGGATCTGCAGACATGGGTGAGAGAGTGGGCGATTTCCAGAAGGAGTTGAATGGCAATTCATATATGCCAGCTATATTAGTGACAATATCAATGCACCTGAATATGCGCAAAGCAAACTCCCACAAGGCACCAAGTCAAGCCAGTCAGCCACATCTATTTGTGGAATACTACAATCAAAGCTCCAGCTGTGACCGCCACAAGACGGTATTGGTTCTCTAGAAATATTAATATCACTAGATAGCCTAGTATCTAGTCTTTTAAAAAGGGAATATTAATTCAAATATTTAGTAATTACTAAGATATAAGGGAATAATTATTTCTCTGAGGGGTTGGTATGGAAGTAAGAGTAGTTCTAGCATTCGCTCTTAATCTAAGCCTCCTTCAGTTATAGATAGGATTAGGCTTTTACAAGATACGCGGCAAGAGTAAGATCGGGCAGCACATTCCACAGGAGCCACTTAGCAGTGCTGTCGAGTTGCACAGCGTAGGTTAGATAGTGGTTGCAACCTGTTTCCTGAAACTTTAAATTTATGAAACTGGATAGATATGGCGAGAAGTTGTAGTAGATTCTGCTGTTTATACTAATCAACCAACTATATTGCAAGTTCCCGCCCACGTAGATGTCATTGTAACAGTGCATGTCCCCGCTGACGTAGATGCCATCATAACCTGGATGTAGATCCATTGAAATGAAACGGAATCAGTTATATCCCCTAGAAGCATTGAAATAGCGCAGGTAGTTGAGGTCTAGAAAAAATTCACTTTCTGTTCTGTTATCTCCCCAATATCCGGATTAATATACTCTCCCCAGAGGATGACCTTTCCTGACACACCTCTCCAAATAGCCCTAATCGCCGAACTAAGGTCGACCTACCACGACCAAGGTTATTCAGAAGAAGAATGCGCAGCTCTACCACATAATGGTGAAGTCAACCAGGTTCTGACTGCCTTGCAAGAATTGGGGCACCATGTCACGCTGGTGCCAGGAATTAAAGCCCTTGTCAAACACCTAGCAGCTGGCACAAATAAGGATTGGGACCTGGTGTTTAACATTGCACAAGGATGTCATGGGTTAGCCAGAGAAGCTCAGGTCCCAGCGCTGTTAGACGCTTACCAGGTTCCGTACACGTTTTCCGACGCTGCAACCATGGCGTTGTGCCAGAACAAGGTCGCTACTAAGGTACCGTACCCAAGGGGCTGGGTTATTCCTTAAAAGACTAAGGACCAGATAACTAATATATCAATATGTAGATTATCTTAGCTCACCATAAGATACCCACGGCCCCATTTGCAGTGATCTCACGGGCAGAACAGAATCTGAGCCTTGAGGATCTTACTCATATGATACCACATTATCCACTCTTTCTAAAGCCGGTTACTGAAGGGTCGTCTAAGGGGATTGACGGATTTAACAAGGTGATGGAACCTGCAGACTTAGAGTCGGCAGTCAAAAAGCTAAGGTCACTATTACCCGACCAAGACATCTTGGTCGAACCCTTTCTGTCGGGTCGGGAATTTTCAGTGAGCATCCTAGGAACTGGTGCTCTGGGCCGCGTAATTGGCGTAACAGAATTTTTCTGGAAAAAGCCTTCCGACGTCGGCACTGTGAGAAATGGGGACTGCAACAGTCTCGAGTTTGCCAGCAGAAAAAGCAAGAGTAGCGACTCTGACATGCTGGTAGAACGCAACGACCCTGGTCTTATGACCGAATCTCAGGTCAAGGCTGCCTGTCAAGTTGCATTGGACGCCTGGAAAACTTTTGGCTGTCGCGATGCTGGGCGTGTCGATATTCGACTCAGCTCCAATAAGCCAGATGCTGTGCCCAATGTTCTAGAGGTAAGCCTTCCTTCCCACCTCGACCTCATCCAAGGCAGGAGGATTTTATCTAACCTCGTCCAGCTGAATCCTATTTCCGGCCTACTTCCCGGCCATTCCCCGTTGGCAAGGAGTGCTGAAGAAAATGGCCATTCATACAAGAATCTGTTGGCTGCAATCATCCAAAGCGCATTGGCCAGAAAGACTGTCTGCAATAGTTAGCTAGAAAATTCATAGCATCCTCCCCGTTGTTGATGGTCTCCTAATGTGATGGAATATAATCCATGACTTAGTAGCATGTTGAAGCAAAGGTCTTCGCTACCTGCAGCGCTAAAGGGAAGCGAGGCCTTCTCGTCGAACACTACGGCATCAAACCTGGTCATATCTTCGGTAGCCGTTCTGGAAGCTTTACTGCGGATATCATGACTTAAACAAATGGCAAGGGGGTTGATGTAATTCTTAACTTTCTGTCTGGGCCGCTGTTGAAGGCATCTTGGGGTTGCATGGCCCGCTTCGACCGCTTTGTTGGTATTATGAAGGTGGACATGGAGGCCAACCGCTGGTTACAGACAGCCCCATTCAGCCGCTGTTCCATGTTTTCGAGTTTCGACTTGTTCCAACTTACCGAGTGACATGGCGGCGACAACGTCAATTCTCAGGTTTAAGTTCTAACGTCCTCTGCATCGCAGTTCCCACTTATATATAGTCCAACAGGCTTTCAAACCATCGGGGGTGCCTTCATGCAAGCCGGTGCCCAAGCCGCATTTGCCAATCGACTCCTGGACGAACTGCCCAAACACCGCTCCAGATGTTGACCCGGGAGCTGTGGTAGCGGCTGGAGCAACAGCGCTCAAATCCTTGGCTCAAGCCTTGCGGGAGTGCGTATTGCCTATATGCGGAGCCTGAAAGTGGCATTTGCCTTTGCCTGTGCTTCGATGGGAGCGGGCTTCCTTCTGGCACTGTTGTCGCGGCGGAAAAGGATCACGGGTGAAGCAGCCAGAATGCCATGGCAGCTGCGTAGATTGAATCAATCTTGCTGATCTCATCAAAAGCTAGGATAATATATTCTCGGGGAGGGGTATTCTCACGCTGATAATATCGTGTGCGGACAAAATACACATGTCCATAAATGGATATATATTCAAGCATACCACCTAGAAATAACGGTCTCTAATGCCATTGCCAATCCCAGTCTGGCAAGTATATAACATTCTATGTTCCACGGCCTCAAGACACATATTATAATATAACATACTAGCTCCACTTAATACAACATATTCTTTATCAATCTGAGCCATCATATTGGCAGTACTCACTAGGCACAGTCTCTACGCTAAATCAAAAGGGGAATAGAACCCTCCCTCCACTAATAGGTACTTAATTGTGGAATTGCGGGCGAAGTCTGTCACTGACTCACTGGAGTCTCCTACGTACTACAGTGCTTCACGCAAAAGTCCTGGAAATGCCATCATCTGCCGAGCAAACTTTCAGCATTTATGAGCTTGCTGAGCATATAATCCTGCAGCTGGATAATCCTGTGGAAATCATTCGCGCCCAGCGAGTTTGCCGTAACTGGAGAGACGTTATCCAAACATCCCCAGTCCTCCAGGAGGCCTGCTGGTATCAATCCAGTACTACGGACGCTCAAACGCGGTCAATTTCCAATGAACAGACATGGAAACTGAACCCTGCTTTCAACCGAATAGGCGTCTCAATATCCCGAGATAAAGCAAAGGGTGGAGATCAAGACCAGGGGGATTTCAGCTTGGAGGAAGACTTCTACGACGAACCTGGATCATGGACGACCATGCTGGCCACGCAGCCTCCCTGCCAGCGAATGCTGGTTGAATGCTACGGCGACTACTGTGATGATGAGATAATGTAAAAGCCACCCTGGCCTTTACTGCACACTCTTAAGCTGATATATTGCTTAGTTTCTATCTAATCGTATCCATGACCGGCTCTCTCCTTATGGGCGACATCATGGCTGTTCTAGGAGAATGCCGGAATCGACAGCAATACGGCCTAGACCGGTGGTGTGGAATACGCCACTATACAGGCCTGTTAGTCCGATGGGAGGAGGACTACTGGGAAGGCTATAGCTGGGTTGCTCTTGACAAAATGCCGGATGATGTGTCAATTAATGTTGCGATTGAGATGCCTTGGGGATCGGGGGGGTGCCCTGCCTTTTCTCTTCGGCGCGTCTACGGCACCGAGCACTTTCTGCATGAAATGATCCTGCATAAGATGATCATGGGTCAAGGGCATGAGTATCAGTGGGAGTATGCTTCATCGGTCCCCCAATACCGCCCTACGTGCAAGACAAAATACAAGGCAAATCTGTTGGTTGTAAAGGAGTATCAGGAGGGATATCTGTCGACTTGCAGTAATGTCTTCCGCCTACTATCTGATGTCAGTCATTGAAGTTGATTACCCCTACGCAGTGGCCTAAGCGTTATTTATTATCTTAAGCATACCACATGAATGGCATCACCTTATCCTGAATAGAATGCATTTAAGTATAGACAACGGATCAAATATGTGCAAGCTGGCAAGCATAAACATCTGCAACTAACAAGACCCCGCGGCCTTATCCGCAGGATACCCACAGTACACCCCTGCTCCCCCCTGGATACAAACCAGCCCACCGGGACACCGCTGCATCACCCAGGCACCGTTATCACACAGCCCGAAGCTCGCCCCGTTGCACGCGGTTCCTCCCGCTGAACAGCGGGCACCAGCCGTGGGACAGCTACCGCTCGGAGCCGTCGTGCTACTCGTCGTGCCGCTCGTCGTTGTCGAAGTCGTGGTCACACTCGTCAAGGTCGTCGGGACACTCGTCGTGCTGGACGAAGTAGTAGTAGTGGTAGTAGGAGCGGACGTAGTCGTAGAGGTAGTAGTAGAAGTAGAACTCACAGTCGTCGAGGACCCCGCCCCCGAACCTAGCGCCGCTCGCACCCCTTGCAAAAACCCACTATTGGCCATGACCTGGCTAGCATCCCAGGCCATGACGCCACCAAAGGAAGAGAAGCCCTTTGTGTACGCGATGATCTTCGCCAGCGTATCCACAGAAACATACCCGCTTCCCGCGGCGGTGGAGCTACCCGGCACCCCGAGGAAGACTTTCACGTTCTTATTGAGCGAGACGGTCTTGGCCCAGGTATCCCACGTGGCGAAGTTGAAGTTATTCTGGGATGTGGAGCTGGCGTCGTAGGCCTGCAGGCCGCAGTAGTTATTGTAGAACTGGACCCAGATGGCGTCGAAGGAGACGGCGCCGTTGAGCATGGGGCCGTCCGCGGCGTCGGGGTAGGGGCATTGCGGGGCGGCGGTGAGGTAGTATTGCTTGGAGGGGTCGGAAGTGAACAAAGAGCGCAGCTGGTTGGCGAAGGCGGGCATGTTGGAGACGGTGGATTCAAAGTCCAAGTCGAAGCCGTCGATGGTGGCTTTGCCGAAGGGGCGGAGGGTGGAGGAGTTGGTAGGAGGGCCGAAGGTCTGCCAGAGCTTGTTGGCTCCTGCGATGGCGGCGGACTCGCTGGTGAAGCCGCCTTCGGTGTAGGTTGCGCCGCCGATGGAGAGGAGGATGGTTTTGCCGAGAGATTGGCAGATGGGGATATCTTCTCTGTTAGGGCGTTAGTTGCTGCACTGGCAGTCAGGGCGGGCAGAGGGAATACTCTATCTGAGGACAGCTGAGGAGGTTTGTGCCTTCAAAGGTGGTGCAGTTGTCGCCTGCATTGGCAAAGTTGACTTCGGGGAGGCCATTGGCGCCGTTGATTCTGGTGACAAAGGCGAGTTGGAAGACCTGTGACTGTTAATGTGGTGTAAGGGTTAAGTTGTTATGGAGTCATACATCAAAGTCGGCATCTATACGGTCAGTCAGTGGTATGCCATATATACAGGTTGTGTGGCTTACTCTGGCAATAGTAGGACAGTCTTTGCTGTGCGACGAGACCGGTGGATGCCCCATGGGAGTTTTGGCCTATTTCATCAGGCAAGGAACACACAGTGATAAGGGATAGAGCATACCCCAGTAGATGGCAATGTTGGTCTGGCTGTTGAGGTTCAACTTGGCAGAGGCAGTGTGGAATGTAGCCAAAAGGCTGGCCCAGAGACCCAGTTTGTACAGAGCCATGATGATGTCTACAGAATACCTGATCGAGGAAAAACAGGGAGGAGATCGGATGATGTCAAGGCAGATCCAAAGTGATCTTGGCTCTGATTCTTATATCTTGACAATCACCCCTAAGACTGCATGCATCCTACTGTATGGAAGAAACCATGAGAGTGAGGAATGTGACTGTGGCATATTGGTGGCCTCAAGGTGTCAGCCATCATCAGGAATGCCAGCCCCATTCCTGACAGGGGGCTCGTATAATGCTTCATTTGAGGATATTGATGTCGCATGATATGATAGACAGTAGAGCCAGAGTAAGCAACGTTCTTGATAGCATCAGTTGCATCAGTTGCAACAGTAGGAGTGTGGAGTGTGATATTGTCAGGGGTGATGCACTAAATGTACCTGCAGAAAGATAAGCATGAAAGGATGAAGAAACTAGCGAATAACCTCACTTTAATAAAGTTATATTGTTCCCCTCATTATCTCTCCAGTAGTGCTGCTACTGTAGCAGTCATCACAGACCACTAGCTGCAGACTAGCAACTGACTAGCAATAAATTAGATCCTCTTCACGGATCAATGGAAGTTTACAGCGTTATCATCCGAGAGTAATACTGGCATGTGTTTCTTGTGCCTGACCATCTGCACCGATCATGCGCCCCTTAATATGCACCGCTCTTACATACACCAGACAAAATATCTACTGATCAAAGTCATCTCATCCCGCTTACTGTAGTTTTGGCTTCACTCGGAAATTGCATGCGAGATACGACTTGCGCCATGTGCATAGCTGACCGGGGCAGGACACCCCTTGCATGTAACATTCCCCGGGCCATGTGTAACAATTTATGTACCTCGTAGTCTGTACTCGGTACATGCTGCATGCAATCATTAACGTCGTAGTATTGGAAAGGCTATAGAATATATTAACTAGATCCAAGTGACTGTTACTTCAATCTGGCCTCGACAACGCCGACAGGCACACCAGGTGCCCTCCACGTCTTGACCAGTCTCAACCCAGCCTGGTCCAACAGGTTCGCAAAATTCTTCTCCGTGCGCTCGACGCCCGCAAAGGTCATCATCGTATGGTCCATGTACGCATTGGACATGGTCGCTCCGACTTCAGGCATGATGAACTCGACGATCAGGATGCGCGAGTGCTCCCCCATCGCCGCCGCCAGGTTCACCAGGATCTGTCGGACCTCGTCATCGGGCCAGTCGTGGAACACTCGGCGGACGTAGTAAACCAAGGCACCTATCCTGTCAGTCTCAGGCAGCCTAACAAAGGAGGAACAGAGGACGTACCTTGAACAGGCTGCGCTTGGAAAAAGTCATGCGCCATCGGCTCAATGCCATGCGATTCCAGCTCGCGCCCATTCTCCTCAATCACAATCGGCCGATCCTGCAAGATAAACCGGCCCTTAAGGCCCGGCTCCGTCTCCCGAATCTGTCGCAGGATATGGCCACGTCCACCGCCGACATCCACAATCGTCACGCCGTCATCGCGCGCCAGACCCCCCAGCTCCTGCGTGAACCGGTACAGACCGTGCACGACGAGCGCCGAGTCCTGCGCCATCATGGCGTCGTTGAGCCGGCTCAGCCGCTCGGGGAACTGCGAGATGTAGTCGAACATGGTCTGCCCTTTGCAGTTGTGCACGTGCGTGTAGGGGTTATCGGTCAGCGTCATGGTGTTTTTCCAGTTGTGCTTGGCGAGGAATTCGTGGTTGCGGAGCATCGGCGGGCAGTACTCGTCGACCCTGTCAATCTCAGTATCTGCTCCGAGGGGAATAGGAGGGTGCAGATGTACAACACCTTGAAGATGGCGCTCATCTGTGGCACCATGTAGATCTCGGAGAACGGAGTGTGGGCGTATTCCTCCTCGCCGGTTTCGCGGAAGGGGCCGATGGGGGTTAGGGCGCGCATCAGTCGGACTGGCTCGTCAGCTTGCTTCTTTCTGTGGCTAAAGGGAAATACCAATCATCTCCTTGTCCATTCCGGTCTTCGCGGATATCTCTTTGGCGGAGATGCTTTGTCCGCCCGTGGGCATGGCATGGAAGACGCCGGCTTCGAGCAGGGTGCGGAGCGCACCCATGCTGGCCATCTATTTTCCTCAGTCTCTCTCATACGAGGTGCAGGGCAGGGTATGTACATTCTCAAAATTGGTAAAGAGCATATCGACCGGGCCACGGATGGTCTGCAGCAGGCGCGTGGCCTTGACCATCAAGTCGTAGCGGGCAGTGTAATCATTGTCTGAAGTCTTGTATGTATTGGTGGCATTGACGACCTCGTCCAGATCCTTCTGGATGGCGTCTATATTGTTCTCGATGCTGCCCATAATGAAAGATATAAGGGCAATCCCTGTCTCACCTGCAGGATTTGTTACACATCATCTGAGGCAACCCGGTGCAGCGGTACTTCTTATAATATGGACGAGTATTAGCGGGGAATGGCTTCAGTTCTCCCTCGGCCAATCATTACGGATGCTCCCGTCCCTAATGTGATCCATCACAATCGTCTCCTCCTTCTCCCCGCTGTTCTGTCTGTGCTCGTTTTTGCGATGGGCTTCATTGGCCGGGGATGGCGCGCGGCGCACTTAGCTGCAGAATTAGATGAGTTTATTCTCCGCTGGGGACACTCGCCTGGGACTCCCCGAGTGTTTCTTCAACCATGTCCCTGTTCTGATAGGAGGATACTCGATGATCGGCTGGTCCAAGCGAGATTTCAACCTGTCATATATTGCTTTGAACATATTGCTTTACGGCCGGAACGGTCTATGTGAGCCGTCACATAGACTAATCTTCCTGATTGAGTAAAAGGGCCGGCGATGACAACCCTGCAGAGACACTGGCATTTACTGGCTGCTGACAAGACAACGACAACAACAATATGGCAGTATTACGCAGTATGCTTAAAAAGTAATCCTATTATGAAACAGCCACAACGCCATAGGCATCGGATTTGTCTGCGCCATAGAGAAAACGGGATACAAGACTCGCACAGTAGAATGCCCAATCCGCAGTTAATTTCCACTGCTTTCGTCGGCACTAGGTAAAAGAGACAATCGGTATTTATTGTTCCCCACTCTGTAAATCTACAGGTCACTTCACTTAGTCTATTGGGTCCTATCTGGACACTACCCTACCCGTCGGACCGGATCCTCCGCGCAAATCTTGTCTTCTAACAAGTAGATACGTAGATAATGCAGGCAAGGCCGAGAAGAAGCATTGACTCGCGGATGAGTTCCGAATAATCAATTCTTCATCTCGAGCCATTCACCTCGCTGGGACAGGGTAGTCGGTTATGGCTCGTCTGCAAGGGCTATGAATAGTGCCGCTGCACAACAGTGATCGCCATCGCGGGTATCTCCTATGTCACAGTCAGGAGGATTAGGCGTGTCACGCGCTTGAAGAAGCAAAAACAAGGTTGTCTCAGCGTCTCAGGATACGAAGATCGGCGTGGATCTGATAGCTCTCTCTATAAACGTTACAGGTGGACCAGTTCGCAGAAACTAGACTAGGTTCCTTAGTATTAGGGATATTAACAGTAGTCGATTCGTCTGAAATGTCGTTATATGGACTGTGCATGGCTCCATAGTAGTAGCCAATAATTAAGACAGACATAGGTAAACATGAGATATATCACTTTCGGTCGATCGTACTTTGTCGACCACAACAGGAGTCAAGGGGCACGACTCCAGCATATAAATCGGAAAACTCTCCCGAATCAAGCTCCTCAACTAAACCTACACAACTCAGCTTTATCCATTCCAATCTTGTCGATTCGTTGACTGCAACCGCCATGGATCTGAGCAAGACGCCCGCCTTTCCTCCCCCACCGGGCGTGACGCCCAACTTCGAGAACCCAGAGCGGATCGACTATGATGTCTACTCGATCAACATTGCGATGTGTCTGACTGGCACGTTTGTGCTTGGGCTGCGGATGTACACACGGGGCGTCATTCTGCGAACGGTTGCCATTGATGACTGTATGTCCATGTCTTCCACTGATGGTAAATGATACTAACCGAGTAGGGTTCTGTATTGCCGCACAGGTCTGCGCATGGATCTTTGCCATCCTCGGCTTTGCCAGTACGTTTCCCTCTTTATCGTAAGGTATTAAACTAACAAGGTAGACATCCAAAACGGCTACGGCGTGCACATCTGGGACTTGTACCTCATCAAACTCAAGCCTTTCAAACAGGTACGTCACCCATGCTCTATGCCCGGTGTCCTATTGCCTGTATTCACTGACAAAAATAGAACGATCTCGCCGCAGAAGACATCTTCGCCCTCGGCATCTGGTTCGTCAAAACCTCCATCCTCCTCTTCTACCTCCGCCTGAACCCCGAACGCCGCTTCCGCCAATGGACCTACGGCATCATGGCCTTCGTCTTCATCTACTCGCTCATCAGCATCCTCGTCTTCACCTGCGGCTGCATCCCCGTAACAGCCATGTGGGACATGACGCAAATGGCCACAGCCAAGTGCGTCGACCAGCTGGCGTTCGTGTACGCCAACGCGGCGTTTAACCTACTCTCTGACCTGATGACGCTCATCCTCCCGATCAAGCTGTGCTGGTCGCTGCAGACAACGCTGAAGCAGAAGGTCTTGCTGTGTTTGGTGCTGGCGATGGGTTCCTTCGCGTGTGTGATTGCCATTGTGCGGATTGTGACGATGATGCCGTTTGTGCATTCGATGGATTTTACGTGGTATAAGGTTACGTTGGCTAAGTGGGCGTATGTCTTCCTCTTCCCCTCCCTACCCCCTTGTCTTTACAAGATATGCTAATGGTGATGGGTGAAGAATGGTCGAAATCAACGTGGGCATTATCTGCGCCTGTCTACCCGTCCTCCGGCCACTGCTGCTACGCATCTTCCCCAAGTTAGCTGGAAGCAAGAACTCCAGCGGGGATAAGCACACCGACGAGAGCTATGCCCTGCAGGAGTCGGGGTCCAAGAAGAAGAAGAAGGGCATCCGGAACTGGGATTACCTCACCACGGTGGGGGGGACGCAGAATCCTCGCGAGGACGACGTGGAGAGTCTCACTGTGCGGCCGAATGGGAAGAGCGACAGCCAGGAGGGGATTATCATGTCGACGGAGACGAAGATCACGTATCACTGATGTCTCGCTCTCGGGACTGGGAGTAGTTACTTCTGCAAAAGCTGTACTGTTGTACTTTTAGTGTTAATGCTATAGCGCGCGGGACTAGTTCATGCATCATAATCATATACAGTCTCCATATTCCTGGGTGATGCTTGGTAATGGTGCATCACCACTCAGTACAATGTCGAGTCGAAGATCAGAGCGCAAATAAAGTACGTACAAGGGACTGTTGATGGAGTTGGGTATCTGGAAATAGCCTGTTTTTTCCAATCTTCAATATATATGTACATGCGAATCCGAAGGCGTACTCTACCTAGATTGCAAGTTTGATCTCTAAATGCTCCCATCTATCTGGATATCTGACTTCGGACACACTAAGAGGACTTATGTCCCCCAGAGCCGACTCGGATCTCATGAAGCCTCCTCTCCTTGTAGGCTATTGCCACAATCAAATTGTTGACAAACATATAGCAAAAGACAAGGGTTATCAAGCCTGCAACTGCCAGAGGACCCAGAACGGCAAACACAGCGAACCCGTACGAGGCCGACTGGAATGCATCGTTGTCAGCGAGAACCTTTGTCACCAGCCCGACTTGCATGGCGCTGAGGACGATGGCGATGTAAATTGTCGCTGACGCCAGCCATCGGAAGTTTTCCTGGAAGAAGGTCCCATACTGGTGCCAGTGGGACATGTAGCCGCGCAGGAACGGCCGTTGGGAGAGGCGCTATATCTTATTTAGACGGCTTAGACGGAGCTCGCCGTAGATGAAACGCGGGTTGATCCAGTGGTATATGGAGTCCGTACGGAGTTGTTCAACGAATGTCCTCCACCCCTGCCATGAGAACTCCTCATCAGGTGGGAGGAGATGCTTGTTCTTTGCGATATAAAAGTCGTTCTCGTGGGTGATTAGCGCGGCGTATGAGAACGGAAAGCCGAGCGCAGATTTCCATAACTTCTGATGAGCACACTGCTGGGTGCCTCCGGGGGAATATATATACTCCCCGCTGTGCAAGCACTCGCAGTCCTTGCTGTGGCTAAGATAGTCAGCCCAAAAGCTTGGCTCAAGCAGGAAGCGCGGGATTGGTTTGAGGAAGATGCGGTCCCTGCCCAGACAAGATGCATGCCCATTCGTTCTGTGATGGAGATCTCCCGACCTAGAAGAAGCTGGTGGTGGAGAGGTCGAGGCGGCATGGGCCGACCCACGACCCAGAGCCAGTCAACTATATTATCCAATCTTTGCAGATCAAGCTCTTTTTCGACGCAGTCCATAACATTATTGCTCGGGGAGACTAGATGATCGGCTTCGGTGCGATACAACGCGGGGAGGGCTGCCAGGAGCTGCTTAGTTCTGGACTGAGACGCGCTGCCCTTGTCGTCGTTGGCCTTCAGAAGTCGACTGAGAACGGAGGAGAGCCAGGGGACTGCAGGTGGCGCTAAAGCGGAAGGTCCTGGGCGAAGGGAGTCTATATACTATGCGCACCATGATTGACTTTGGTCGACTCTTGATCTACCTAGGAAAATATGACGAAGCTAAGAAGATGTACAAGCAGATGTACCGGCAGATTCTGGATCATTAAGTGAAAATGTTAGATAAAGATGACCCTTGTCTTTCTTATATTATGAACAGTCTTGCAGAAGTGCTCAGCAGCCAGGGACGTTACAAGGAAGCCGAGAGCTTCAGTCGACAGGCCTTGGAGCAGATGCGAAAGAGATCCAAAGAAGGAAATCCATACGTGCTCGACTGTATGGCGACTCTCGGACAGGTGCTCGGTACTCAAGGGAAGTACGAAGAAGCCGGGGAAATTTTGCGGCAGACGATGCAAGTGCGGGCAAACGTGCTCGGTAAAGACCATCCGGACACACTGAGAAGCATGAGTGAGCTTGCAGATGTGCTGAACGGCAAGGGGGAAGCTCTGGAGGCGGAGGGCCTCTGTCGGCAGGCACTGGAAATGATGAAGAATGCCATTGGCGAAGAGCATCCTCGCAGGCTTAGCAGTCTGAGTGTCCTTGCTGCAGTGCTGAGCAGTCAAGGCAAGTATCAGGAAGCTGAAGGCATGCTGCGACGGACAGTCGAATTGCGGGAAAAGGTGTTCAAGAGCCAGGGAAAGCGAGAGGATGCAGTGGCTCTTATGGAAACGTGCTATCAGTTGCAGGTTCGGAAGTTGGGGCCAGACCATCATATGACACAATCTTCTCTCAGAGCGCTGAATAATTGGAAACTTGAGAATTAGAAATATTTATTTGGTTTAGCTGTCAGTTATCATCCTAACCTGATTCTAACCCTTAAGGAAGGATATTAGCTCGTTTCTCCAGGAACCAGTTCTGGTTGACTATAACCCTGCGGCCACCGCATACGTCTTCAATGGCACAGATGTCCGAGTCAAATCTATGGCGTCATAGGAAGCGTTACTGGGAGAATGAGAAGCTGGCTTTCCGTGGATAAGCATAATAGTTCAAGGTAAGGTGTTAAGGACTGGATTTCCAAGTCTCAGGCTGTGGGTAAAGCATAAGCACTGTTCCTCTTGAAGAAGCCATTCTTAAGAACCGGTAGCTATCTATCTTCATTACAGCGAGATGCGTTACTCGTTAGACTGTAGCTGGAAGACTCAGTATACTATTGCATTAAAAATGGATATACATTGGCTAACTCATCATTCAGCCCGAGCTATGGTGGTTCAACCAACAATTGGCAGAGACCCCAGTCTTTCAGTAAACGAAAATCCTGATGACATGGAGAGGTACCTTATCTCCCTAGGACTAAAGGTTATCTAGGTCTAAACCTTCAATTTCATCATTTAACTCCCCGAACAGGGATGTGAAGGAGGAGTCGTAACAATTGTGGCAGTAGCTGGAACCATAACTTGAATAGCCAGAGTATGGACCTTTCCACTGAGGTGATGCGAACGACGATACCTTCCGCACAAGGTATTTATAGTTCAAGTTCGGGAAAGGAGCGGCAGGCCTCGGCGAAAGCAGATCATTTGAGTGCATCTCCTTGGAAAGAGCTCCATACATGATTGAGCTGCACTCAAAGCCACACCCCCGAATGCCGCTTAGGAGAGCCTCACGTGCGCCATGAAGGACCTGGATTAAGCTATTGACAGCTGCCTGTCTGCGTTCATTCATCACTTCTGCGTTCCATTAGAGACTGGGCACATTTAGAGTTCGCCTAGGCTTACCCATGACTTTATCAGGTATCGGAAGCCCCAGACCGTTGTGAATCCGACCGTTACTCCGTGACATGGCAGTCGATGTTGCCTCTTTGAACTGGGTTGGGAGTTGGAAAAACCAGGAAATCCATAACCACAGAAATAAATCTCGAGAATATGTCGAGGGGATCTTTTCGTCCACAGCGTCGATCCAGATAGTCGTCCAAACGCACATGGCTTCCTTACATTCATAGTAGTCGGCTAGGACGGTTACCTTAGCAAGCATCTCGAGAGTTAACTTTCGGGGTATATGGTAATGTTGACCATGAATAGCACGGAGTAGGATCAAAAGCGCTTCGATATCCCAGCCCTCTGTATCGATCTCGACTGAGCCTTTTTGCAGATAAGTAACACTTTCCTTCCAGCCGCCATTGAGTATTTTCTTGAAAACGGAAGAGGCAAGCATTAGATGCTTCGCAGAGACTTGGATGCGGAAGCAACTCTCGTCCTGCTGTTCACAGTCAATCCCGGTTTCGATCGGATCTTCGACAGGTAGTTCTTCAGCAGGTAGTTCTTCAGCAGGTTGTTCTTCAGCAGGCTGTTCTTCGGCAGGTTGCTCTTCAGCAGGCGCTGGGCCACTCTCTTCGGCAGGCTCTGGGACGAACTCTTCGACAGGCTCTGGGGCAAACTCTTCGACAAGCTCTGGGGCAAACTCTTGTACTGGCAGTGGAGTCGGCTCAAAAGAAGTCCAAACAGCGCTAGATACTTTCTTCTTCTTCTTCTTCCCCTTAGAAGTTCGCATTGACTTTGCCATATGGCCCATTGATGTTTCAACGTTCTCTGTAGGATCCTGGACAGAATTGCATTTTTCTGGAAAGGGTTGAGAGACAAAGTTGGCAACCATATCTTCATCCGGTTCCGCAAAAGGAGAATTGGCATTGCGCAATATTATCACCACTTCGCCATCGGGATCAATAATATGAGTTGGTCGATTCATAGTGACTAGAAACAAACTAGAATATGAAGGTCTTTGCCGGTGAAAGAGAAAGGGGGAAGAATTAAGGCAGAGAGAGTCCTGGACGACGTACCTGGGAGTTCGAAGTGGCCTCTGGCTTGAGGGCTTTGATATATTCTCTGTTTTACAGCAGGGTGAATGCGTGGCTCCCCCTGATTGGAACCCGCATATAGTACATAGGCATTGACATGTCATTCCATAATATGGCTTTGACGATTTTGACTTGTTGATCTCGATCGCTATAACCCATGCAGTTTATATGAATTTCGGGACTCAAACTGAGGAAGCTTTCGGATTTGGTTGTCCCCGACAGAGTCGTTTAAATAGAGCAGAACGGAGTTCAAATCCAAAAGGATTATAGCAACACACATATACTGGCCGTTAGAGTATCTTGTTCATCTGCCAAATGACATGCCAACGCTGTAAATAGTACGTGGTGGACATGGGCAGCTAACAGCTTTGTCAAAGGCTGCCTTCAAGTTTCCCTACTGGGTCACTCTCGCCCGTGTAGCCCTACACGTGGGCAAGCTCGACATAGCAATGCTTGTCGGTTACCTTACCCCTAATCGCGGCTAACCGACCAGATACTCTGTGGGGAGTGGGTGTGTAGCTGAAGGTGCTTGAGGCAGGCAAGGGGGCAAGTGTGAGAAGTAAAGGTGATTGATGTGACGCTCGCACGAAGAGTCAAGGTCATAGCTACCATATTAGTACAGCAAAGGAGAGCTCAATCCGAGTTCAAAGCGAGACTTTGAACGTGTCCTTCTCGCCGACTGATAGAAGACCTGGAGAAAAAGTAGATAACACCCGTGCTAACATTTGCGGCATGTCTATTCTTAGACTGGCCCTAAAAAGAGTGCTTTCTCTGGAAAATACACATTAAGCGACTGCCACTATGATTACCTACAGTATATGTCTCTCAAACGGCCTAAACAAAAGAGCAGTTGCGTCATCGTGGAAAGCGGATCGTTGTACTTACCTGCCATAGAGATAGCTGAGTACTCCCGTAATCTTAACCACTGGGAACCACTGCAGGTTACCTATAATGCTGCAAATATATTCCGTCTAGGGGAAGTCACATAAGAGTTAGAAATGGCTTCTACATAGATAAGCATAATAAGTTCAAGGTAGTTCAAGGATAGGTGTTAAGGGCTGGAGGTCAGGGGATATGGTGTGGCTGGGTGGCTAAGCTCAATAAAGGTCACTCTCGAAGAAGTCTTTCTTAAGATCGATAGCTACTTTATCTTCGTTAGGGCGAGATGTGTTACTCGTTAGACTAGAGCTGGATGAGTGAGTGTGCTATTGCATCAAATGGATATAATCTGGCTAAGCATCAACCCTCTCAACATGCGCATTCGCACCTCCACCCTTAACAGCAACAGCCTTGTCAGCATGCACATCCAACCCCATCTGCCTCATAGCATTAACCCCAGCAAGCGCATCCGGCCCGTCAAAGATCTCCGCCACCTCCTCCAACCCCTTGCCCTTGGTCTCCGGGAAGAAGAAAAAGATCAACACAAAGTGCACGCAAATCACACAGCACCAGACGATATAATACCGCCATGAAATCGCATCCATCGCCACGGGGTTGGCAAACGAGTTATAGATTCCCGCGAGGTTGCCCGTGAGCTGGTACATCATGCTCGCCTTCGCGCGCAGCGAGTACGGCACCACCTCCATGATGTACGTCGGCGCCACAGGCGAACAAGCATGGTACGCGGCACTGAACATGAAGATCATGACTAACACGCCAGCTGCGTACCCCTTATTCTTGAAGCCGTGTTCCTGGTTCAGGGCGGAACAGACCGTCCAGATCACGTAGGAGACGCCCATCCCGCCCATCCCGCAGAGGAACAGCCGTCGCCGACCTGCGCGGTCGACCAGCGTCGCGAAGAAGGCGGCTGTCAGGAATGACCAGACGGATAGGCAGGCGTTGATGATGAGCTGGGTGTGTGGGTTGGTGACATGGATGGTGTTGAGGACTTTGGAGAGGTAGTAGGATGTAAGCCCGTTGCCGGCCCACTGCAGCATGGCGGGGATGTACAGTGCCAAAAACAGGCGGTGCTTGTTCCCCCGGGTAGCTACCCACTCCATCCAGCGGGAGGCGCGCTGCATCTTCTCCATTTCGAGCGTGGCGGTGATTTCGGCCATTTCGAAGCGGACGAGGCGCGAGGAGGCGTCGCCGTCGGCGTGGTATTTGGCGAGCATGGCGAGGGCTTCTTCGCGGCGGCCGTTGTAAATGAGCCAGCGGGGGGATTCCGGGGCGAAGAGGCTGAGCACGGCTTGGATGAGGGAGAAAAAGCATTGCAGGACACTGGGAATGCGCCAGCTCCAGCTGGAGTCGGTCATTTTGAAGGTGCCGTAGGTGATCCAGGCGGCGATGAGGGAGCCCAGCGACCAGGTGGTTAGATAGAAAGAGACGAGCTTGCCTCGCTGGGAGGGATAGGCGACTTCGGTTAGGAGAGGTGGGGCGGCTGTAGCCACGATGCCCAGCCCGAAGCCGACGAAGAAGCGCGAGACCACAAACATGGCGTAGTTGGCGGCTGCGGCCTGAATGATCGAGCCCACGATGATGATGAGCGAGCCGCCGCAGATGGGGTAGCGGCGGCCGAAGCGCTCGCAGAGCTGCGAGGAGATGAGCACGGAGATCAGCGTGCCACCGGTGGGACCGAAGGACATGGCGCCGAGACGCGTGCCCGTTGGTTTGCCAAAGTATTTGTTCCATTGCGGGAGGGCCTGCATGCCGTTGAGCATGCTGCTGTCGTATCCGGAGGCGATTTGCGTGAGCAGGGCACACAGCAGGAGCGTGTTGAGTTTGATGAGGGTCCAATCCCTGTAGAAGGGGGGGCGTTTGGGAGTGACATCTTTGAGAGTGAGGCCTTCAAAGTTGTCATCTCCTTGTCTATCCTGTTGATCTTGGGGAGTCATCTTGTCGACCTGGCGGACTGCTGGTGGATTGCTGGTTCACGGACAGCAAGCTGGTTATGAGTTTATGTACCCACCCGACGCGGGGAAAATCTGGGGAACATCGGGCCATCTCTGGAGTCAATCGTCCGATGACCGTCGATCTTTTCTGGGGTCTGTGATGGCTTCGGGGCGGGCGAATGTGCTCGGGCATGATTCCTCCGAGGGACAATATAGTGGCAGTGATAAGCATCATAAGCGTCATAAGCACCCGCAAAGCAGCTTATCCATCCTATAATCCTTAAACTGACAACTGCAAAATGACTGTAGATTTTGCTAACCACCATATCCAGTCCTATGGATCCCAGCCTCTAGAGAGAATTTTCTCGGAAAATGTGCTGGCCAAGATCCTCCGCGTGGCCGTCCAGGCATTAAACAACAATGTACTTACTTCCCATCACACAAGGCCATCAAATACTGATACTGACTGATACTGATGTAGGACCCTCCAGCCGAGTATCCGGAATTCGTCCCTCAAAAAGGCCCCTCGACAGGCCGCTACGTCCTCCGCGAATCCTCATTCTGGACCTGCGGCTTCTTCCCGGGACTCTTATACCTCCTCCTCGAACGAGCCATCCGATATCCCTCGACCTTTCCATACCTCGGACACAACCATAACCTCGATCCAGCCTCTCTTCGAGACGATCTCATCGCCCTCTGCACCAAATGGACCGCCCCCATCTACCCCATGTCCCTGCGAACAGACACCCACGACCTAGGCTTCATCCTGGCCCCCTCCCTCCGCCGCTCCTGGGAATTCACCTCCAGCACCGACAGTCTGCGCGCTCTACTAACCGGCGCCCAAAGCCTCGCCTCGCGCTTCGTCCCCTCCACCGGCGCAATCCGCAGCTGGGACGCACTCCGCCAGTCCGACGTCGACATCACGTCCCTAGAGACTGACTGCCTCGTCATTATCGACAGCATGATGAACCTAGATCTTCTCTTCTACGCTGCTGCGCATCTCGGCCCGGAGCTGGCGGCGATCGCGACCAAGCATGCGAAGACACTTATCAGCTCCCATCTCCGGAAGGAATCAATCGCAGGGAAAGGGATACAGGCCTACTCCACTATCCACGTCGTCAATTTCGACCCCGCGACGGGGGCTATCAAGGAGCGCCGCACCGCGCAGGGATACGCGGCGGACTCTACGTGGGCGCGCGGCCAAGCGTGGGCGATTACCGGGTATGCGCAGACGTATGTCTGGACGAGGGACAGGCAGTTCCTCGATGTTGCCATCGGGTTGGCAGAGTACTTCCTGGCGAGTCTGGAGGGAGCGCCAGCTTGTGTGGAGAAGATAGTCGATGGCAGGATGGTAGGGAGGTACGTGCCGCTGTGGGACTTTGATGCTCCTGTTGACGAGGCGAATCCGTTGCGGGATTCCTCTGCTGGGGTGATTGCCGCGAATGGCATGCTGTTGCTCTCGCAGGCTTTGGTCGCTGAGGATGAGGGTCTGGCGCGGCGGTTTAGAAATGCGGCGATGAGGATCGTGAGTGAGACGATGGAGTTTTCGTATTCGAGAGAGGAGGCGAGACTTGTGGATGGAGGAAAGGAGGTGGAGGATGTGTCTGGGGAGCGGTTTGATGCGATCCTGCGCAATGCGACGGCGAACCATAATGCGAAGGATCTGGATCGGTACAGTGACCATGGGCTTGTGTATGCGGATTATTATCTGCTGGAGTTTGGGAATCAGTTGTTGAAGCTGGGATTGATATAGACTGCTCTATAGAGTGACTTCTCATATGCTATGAATGATTCATACCTCGGATTACTACTGCAGGGTGATACTATTGGCATCCCGTGGATAATTCATCCATCTCTCCCGTAGACTTCTCTGACTCTGGTCCTGTGTAGTCGCAACAGCAAAGACAGCCGTCACCAGGACCGCCTCCTGACGGTCACCGTCCAGCAATCCATGTCTCACGACAGGAATCAACGTCCGCTGCGCCATGAGATTCGTATTCGAGTCCGGCTTCAGCGCCTCATGCTCAGTCCTTGCCATGGTAGCTACCCCACGAAGACCACTCGCCCCGGCCGCAGACAGGATAAGCACACTATCTTGGGATACGTGTATCCCCTCAGCTACCCCAATATCCTTATCCAACCAATCCTCGCCTTCAACAGCAGGGAGAATCCTCTCCCGACCAGGCGTCTTCACATTCCCCCTCGGCACCCGATCAATCGCAAACCCCCCTTCCACCAAATACAACTTCTCCAAATTCCTGCCCCGAATCCGATGAGTCCTAACATGCCAATCCGGCCACCTATCTGTCGGCGGAACAAGCGTAGTCCGCACCGTAACCTCCCCATCCACCCACGGCCGCCACTCGACCTCCGCCACGGGAATTTTGTCATCCTGCCCTTGTACAATCGCAGTCCCAAACCGAGCAGGCGACGCCTTCCACTTGACAGCCCAGGTGGAGCATCCATCCCGACTCAGCGCAAGGGTACTATCCGGCGCGAGCTGCTGTATCAATGGCCCTGTAGGCACGCTAAACGCAAAGGCAGACGAGTACGCGAACTTGCAGTATTTCGCCTGCGAGGCTTTCATCGGCCAGGCGACGAATTGCGCGGGGTTGAGAAGGAAGTGGTGCCCGCCAGCTGGGTGGTTGCAGAGGAGTTGCTGCGGTGCAGATACGATTTCCACTGGTGCTTGTGTGGATGGGTACGGTGCTTCTGGGGTGGTCCAGAAGGGATGTGACTCGGGGAGGAGAAGGACGATGAGCGATTTGAGGCTCCAGTAGACTGATTGGGGGGAGTTGTAGTCTTCGGCCATGTACATATTGCTGCATTTGTTAGCTGGTAGTGAGTGGGAGGGAGGGAGACGTACGGATACAAGTAGCCGATGTTCATTGTCCCATCGGCGTAGAACATATCGGATGAGTGAGTTGCCCACCAGCGTAGATGTCTCAAGAGGAAGCCTTTGACTGCGCCGATGGAGGTCAATGGCGCAGGCATGTCAGGGATATCGGCGACAGCCAGCGCTGCGAAGAACGCTCCGCACGCAAAGCGATAGGTCAGGGATCGTCCAAAGGGGATTGCGCCTCCTACCATCGTCAGCTCAGTTCTTCACATCAAGACAGATAACTAGACGAACCGTCCTTGTCAAAATATCGCCAGAAACTCCCCCCAAAGTCCCTCGCCTGGACGCGATACCTCTCCGCCCGCTCGGGGTCCAAATGGCTCGCAAACTTGGCATAAAGACACTGACTAAACTGGATCGCAAAGCTCCCAGAATAGTAATCCGCTTGTCTTCCACATCCCACGGTATCCCACCGTCCCGTGCGCATACTCTCCTCCCTTTCCCTTTCTTCCCCCTCAGGCGACAACCACGGCCCATCACCCGACCACCCACCCCCAATATAAAACCCATCCAGGACCTCAAAATCAGCATCCATTTCTGGTCTGACTTCATCATATGGGACGTTCGCAACAAGCACAAGCGCCAGGTTAACAAACACGCGGAACCACCGCCAATTATTAACCGGCATGTCCTTCCCGTGCATCCCGCGCAGCCACGCAACAATGTTTTTCTGAGTCAAATCGTCCTGGCCGTGGAAGAAGGCGTCGGGTGCGAAGAGCAGCGCGCAGGCGAGCACCTCCGCTTCGACCATGCGCTGGTCGCCGTTGGCGATGGTGCCCCAGTATTCTGGATGGGAGGGGTCTGTGCCGGCGCGGATGCCCTCGATCCAGGGTTGAGTGACATTTTTTATAGATTCGATGGTGGCGGGGTCGGTGGTGAATTGCAAGGAATGTAGGAGGGTAGCGATGACCCAGAGTGGGCGGGCGAATCCCTCGAGTAAGGCGGCGCCATCGTCGAAGTGGGCGCCTGTTGAAATTGGGAGGCGGATGAAGGCGTGTGCGGGGGAGAAGTGGGCGTGCAGAGGGCGGACGAGGGCGAGGGCTGCGTCGATGAGATCGTTGCGGGTGAGGAGGGGGTTGTTGCTGAATTCAGAGAGGGGAGGCATATCGTGTCTTAGTCTTTAGATGTATGTTTATGGATTATATCTTTTTGGATGATTACATTTTTGTCAAGATGCGGAGGTGAGGGGAGTATATCTATCGGGGCTCGGGGTAAGTCTCGGAGATTTGCTAGTGTCAAGTACTATAGGCTACATCTGATGCGAAATACGCATTGTTTAAACTGATGATCCGGTCCATCTCCGAGTACTGCTGGTCTAACAGGATCGATGTCACCGTCGTCAATTCGTCCGGGCTGCCTGTGTTGTAGCTCATCCTCGCCGGACTAGACTGTAGCAGAGGCGGCGCATCGACTGGAATCCCGGGTGGTAGATCAGGGAAGGCAACTGGAGGTAATCCTGTTGCGTTTTGGCTATCTCCCGTCCATTCAATCTCGTTGGAGTATCCGAGGACATCCAGCTTAAAGTTCTCGTCGCTTTGGCACGCCCGGTGGATGGCATTCAGCTGGCCAAAGTACCTGGCTGCTGAGTTCTGACGACTCGGCTGTACACGGCCGGACCACCGTGATGCCATGGCATCGAGGCATTTCATCAGAGTCCAGTAATCTGGCGACAAGGGCGTGCCATAGTATCGCCAATGCACTATCCACGGTCAGCGGTAGCAGTTCACAGAATGTCCAGAGGAAGAAAATCCCACCAAGTAGAACCCTCGCACTGACAAAGACACAAAACGCAAATTGGCTATCCACGACTCCCTCCCGCGGACAATTCCCTAGATACTTCTCCGTGATATTCGCTGTCTCGGCCGCGGCCGCCTCGCAAGTCTCTGCGCTGGACAGAGTCGGCAATTTCACCACCTCCAACCACTCCGGCGGCGGATACGCAATCCGCTGATGCAGCAGGATCATCGACGTGTTGTGCGTGATATGCGCCAGCGTCAGGTTCGGATCCATCGTCACGACCGTCGGCTGCCGCGAGATATTCGTGTCCTTCCATTTCTGCGGGAGGAACATCTTCCAGCTGACCAGCCGGAGATCCAGCTCCTTGAACCGCATCAGCCAGCTTCCCATCTCCTGGCGGTCGCGGTGGTTTATCCGTTGCTGGAGGAAGAAGGTCGTTACGCGGCTGAGTGACTCGGTGGCTTCCACGCGGTAGGCGAAGGCGCCTACGGTTGACATGTCGACTTGCGCGGTGGGGGACGGCTTGTCGGTAGGTAGGAAGGCAATGAGAGTGCCGATCTTACCGGCGGAGCGGTCCCAGATCCCAAAGAAGGGCGTTGTGACGGGTTCTTCGTTGTGCCAGAGGCCGCCGTCTGCGGGGAGGCGACGGTGGACGTCGTTGGAGGTGAGGCTTGTGTTCCACCTGTATTCTCAGCTGCATTCTATACATTAGGCGTTTGGCAGACATACCCTGTAGTCACCGAGCAGAATCTGTGATGTTAGTGTTGGTAAATCGGAGAAGACGAGGACATACCGGTCTAAGTTGAAAACAGTCCAGAAAACCCGCCGTCGTTCTTCCTCCTCCACCCAGTCTGCAGCCACGGGGAGGGAAGGTCGAGGCTGCAATACTCGTCCTGTATCGTGGTTCTCGGACTCGACGCTTAATTGGAGGTACTCGACCGTTCTCGTTAGGGAACCGATGATCGGCCACGCTCGCGAGACTCTCCCGGATCCAATCTAGCCCGTCAGTTTCTGCAAGTAGTAAAGGGAATGAATCATACATCCTCAAAGCAGATGATAATCAATGCCTGCAAGTTCTCCACGTAGAGATCATCCATTGCTGTCAGGACAACAATCTTCCGGGATCGTTCACAGACAGCTTCGATATCTTTGAGATCTGCCGGAAGCACAGATTGGTCGACATGCTTGAGCATCGCAACCACCATCGCATGCAGCACAACCTCCAGGCGGGAGTTGTCAGCGCTCCTCAGCCGCCGCCGGAATCTCTTTTCGTGGAAGATCGGAATCCACGGCTGTACAAGGGCGAAGTATGAATCAACCACGGCTTCTATCACAGCTGGAGGAGGTAGACTCGATGAAAGATCGGAGAACTCATCCGGCTCAATTAGTGTATCGTTGCCCCGTCTCCGCTTGTTAGATGGTGAACGCGGTACATCACCCACCGAGTCCTCGCATGGTCGTTTACGGGCATGAGGCTGCTGCAGCTGTCCCAGGAGTATCTCTATGCCCTCTCGCAGCGCAGTAGCCACTGCACTGCTATCAGACACCGGTCTGTGCTCTTGCGGCCGTTCCTGGTGGAACACCGCATCCTCCAGTGTCTCTACTGCCGTCAGATAGAACCTGCAAATGGAGAAAAATTACCTACCAACCCGTCTCCTCAGTGCCTCGACAGCTCCAGCCTTAAGACCTGGCTTCTCTCTTTCCCCATCATACTCACACGTCGTCCCTATACGCTTTAGCACGTGAGCTTTTAAACAGAATAAGGGAGGTACCAATCCTCCGACAATGCGCGCAGAGCGGGACCTCGCGCGAGCAGCGGAGTTTCCGCTTTCGACAAGCGCGACAGGCAGGACGATCCTCTTGCACTGATACCTCGGCTTCCATTGTGCTGTTTGTCTCGGTGTCTGTTTCAGTGAGCTTGCCCTACAGTCCGGACGAGGGGCAGGCTAAATACCCCGTTGTCCGGTGGAGATGGGCCGGCTTCCGTCCGAGTTCCCCGACAGAAGGCTAATTCGTTTGCGTGTCGCTCCTGTGGGGGTGTCCCCGCGCGGGGTAATAAGCCTCGAATGGGAGAGTTTAACCTAATTCTTGAAAGGCTTCTGCGTTATGGCCTAGTCTCGGCGGTTTAGCCGTTGTGGGCACGACTAGGAGAGAGTCTCCGTCTTCCCAAAGCAGAAGTGGAGCACGGAGTTCGCTTGTGAATTGTGAGTTATTGGTTGATATGTGCCAACTTTATTAACGAAGCAAGTGAAAAACACTCAATCGGAATAACTGAAAACGAGAGGTCTAATATATCCCGGAACCATGAGATCCAGCGTCAAACACGCCAACATGTTGTCTTCCGCAGACGGAGTGGAACTCTACCACTGTGTTCTGCCTTATTTATTTGACGCCTGTGACAGTCCTTGTGTCTATCCACCGTTAGTCGAGTCATGACCTGCAGTGCATTAGCTTGATCAGTGAAACGACAGAAGACTGCCGAAGTTGACATTGGTGTGCGCTTGGAGGGTGAAGAGCCGCAGCTGTCTTTCTGCATAATACTCGCACGTCTATCAAGTTATAGATGTTGCGATCCGTCGACACCATGTCTTGGGATCAACGAGTCTGGACTACTTAAGTTTGTGGGATATGGAAGTGACACATATGCACATGTGTCCTGTTAACGGACTGTAACCGTCCCGACATGATCATCCAAGGTAATAGTCGTTCAAGCTACGGCCGATGAATGAGGCTCCATACTGCTGCCTATGCTTGACTGGAGACTCTCGACATCCACACTGCTCCTGCCGGCTTCTGCTATGCATGGCAGAAGCTGGGTCATACTTAGAGGCAGGAAGGCCCTACTCCCTTGCTGAGTACCTCGATGTTTGTCTATGCCCTGAGTATGTCTTATTCTCCAATTTAGTATGTCCTACTGATAGATATTGGTGGTAGAACACGTATCGTCCGGCCTACCCTTGATGGCAGCAGTCAGCCTACCTGTTCGGCATTCTGAGCTTTCACGGCAGATAATCCAGTCAGCAGAAATATCATACGATTGAGACAAAATTCCACGATCTCATGCTGCTCAATATCAGTCCATGAGTTAACGTTTTAGGGTAGGTGGTGAAGTAGACTGATAACGGCACAAGATTAGGCTGCGTGATGTCAGCGTCATGGAACCATCAGATACGGATCAGCCCACCATGGCCTGATCTGCATGCCCACTCCCCCTGATACCTTATATTCCCACACATTCTTAGCAGACCTAAACTCAATTAATCGAAAATAAATGCTAAAGATGGCAACTCCACCACCCGTAATCGTCGTCGGCTCCGGCCTAGCCGGCCTCTCCGCCGCCAGCACCCTCATCTCACACCACATCCCAGTGCAAATGCTCGACCGCGCCCCCAAACCAGGCGGCAACTCCATCAAAGCCTCGTCAGGGATCAACGGTGCCGGGACAAAATTCCAAGTCACCGACGACAGCGCAGATATCTTCTTCCAGGACACGCTCAAGTCCGCCGGTGACGCATTCAACCGGGCAAGTAGCGACGAGCGCGCCCGGCGGGAGAAGCTTATTTCCACGCTTGCGAGTCGCTCCGCGGACGCAGTGCACTGGCTCGTTGATGGGAAGGGTGTCGAGCTGAGCCGAGTCGCGCAGTTGGGGGGACATAGCGTCCCGCGGACGCATCGGGGGGCGGGGCGGGATCCGCCTGGTTTTTCAATTGTGGGGACGTTGCTGAAGGAGTTGAAAGGGGAGGAGCTGTTTACCTTGCAGAGCGGGGCGAGGGTTACGCGGGTAGTCAAGGAGGGGGAGTGCGTTAAGGGGGTAGAGTATGTTACTGTCGAGGGTGGAGGTGGACAGCAGGGCAAGGTGCAGACGCAGACGCAGACACACACGCTCGATGGCCCGATTATTTTCGCCACGGGCGGCTTTGCGGGTGATTCCAGAGGTATGCTGGCGCGGTATCGGCCGGATCTGGCCAATTTCCCGTCAACCAATGAGGCGAGGGAAGGCACGCAGCCGATTCTTGAGGCGGTGGGTGCGTCGGTGGTCGATATGGACTGCGTGCAGGTCCATCCGACTGGATTCGTGGATCGCAAGGATCCGGCTGCGTTGGTCAAGATTCTGGCGGCGGAGATGCTCCGCGGTGAGGGTGGGATTCTGCTCAATGGCGATGGAAGCCGGTTTGTGAACGAGCTGGAGACACGTCAACAAGTTGTTGACGCGATTGTGAAGTCGACACCTCGAATGGAGACGTCTACGCGCCAGTGGGATGTAACGCTCGTACTTGATGGGAGTTCCGCAGCGGCAGCTGGCTCGCATATGGACTTTTACGTGGCGAAGGGACTCATGCAGAAGATGACAGTTGGTGAGCTTGATTTACCGGCGGTGAAGACCCTTCAGGAGTATGGCGATGTTGTGTCCGGAAAGAAGAAGGATCCATTCGGCCGTAAATCCTTTGGCCACTGGAAACTTACCGAAGTAATGCCGGAGCACGAGGTTTATACCGGACAGGTGACGCCTGTCATTCATTTCACGATGGGAGGGGTGGTGATTGATGAGCATGGCAGGGTCATAGGAGCAGAAGGGACCCCGATAGAAGGTCTCTGGGCTGCAGGGGAGGTGACCGGCGGTCTCCACGGCCAGAACCGTCTAGGAGGGTCATCTCTTCTGGAGTGCGTGGTCTTTGGACGTATAGCAGGGAATGAGGCGGCTGCATGGCACAAGGAACACTATCCGGCAGCCCCTCCCTTGAGTGATGATACAAGGAGCCGAGCATCATCGTCCGCTCAGGGTCACGCATGATCACGCTGCCTGAGCGAAAACACTGATTGGAATCTTGCTTTCCTGGCCGCCTGATCTTTGGCCTCCTCAAGCCAAATCCTCGAGCCGATGGATGGTGCAAGGCAGCCCTTAACTCCTCTCGTCCACTCTCCAATTATATGGTCAAAGTTGTCTAGCCTATCCATCTACTCATATACTATAAGTACCTGGCCCTGTTTAACGCGTTCAGTCCACCCTAAAGCTGCTATGAGCGGAAAATGCCTATAGGTAGGAGCCCAGATTGGGCTCGGACTATAATTCCAGCCTGTTTTGCTTATTAAACACGAAAGTAGGGATGGTGCTCACAATTCATAGAGCACTAACGTTACATAACGTTAAGACTATCTACGCTTAAAATGCCTAATGGACGGTTCCAGTGGGTACCCTGTCAATGAACAGTGATTAGGTATGTCGAGGTTTGGTATGACAGGTGAGATGACACAGTTATGCAACCAAGAAGCTGTACCCGTTCAGTAGTCCTGAGAGTGTCACGGCAGAATGATATAGAAAGACAAGGCTATTGAACCTCCTTCTACAGTATGTTGGTGCAGGAATCCTTATGTCCGTGGATGTATTCTGTGTCCCATTCTTCACAGCCACCATTACCCCTACTAACCCCCGGCTAAGAGTTACAGGTGAATTCGTAGTATTCGTCCAGAGTTTGCTAAGCTTCCAATCTAGTAAAGAGGGCCTTCCACTTTCATCCTTAGTATCAGATGACGTCCGCTTAATGGTTTATCTGGATAGTGGCACTCGATCTTGTGATTTATTCTCGTGAGTCTGGTCGCCTTGTCAGATACCACCTGGACTAGACGATTCGAATATTTTCGAGTAATTCAAGGGATGTCCAAATGGCAGGAACTTCGTGACAGGTACCGGCTAGTCGACAGAGTGCTTGTTATCGGGAAATATGGTACGGAACGAGGTTCGAGCATCATTACTGGACGTCTCAGGGTCTAGACGGCCGGGTCGATAGCCAGCGAAGTCTGCCAAATGCTTCATGGTAAGGCCTTTGAAGAGTCGAGACACTGTCATGTTTCACTGGCGCAGCATTCAAGACCCCTCCTTATCTGAATCGTGGAATATAGTAGAATTAGCACGACACGAAAGTTGGGAGAGTATGCAGGTGGTTGGATGATCCGAATTGACTGCTGTATGCCCCAGCCCCTACAGTAACAACCGACTATTTCTTTTGTATGTCTACAGGAGTAGCATTCTCATGTCTCGGAATTCCGTGTAACTTCACTGGCCCGCAAAGAAGACATTGTTGGCTCCGCTCTGGAATGCATCCCTGGCGGACAATAGTGTTTTTAAAGGCCGCAAACCTAGCGGGTATAAGAGCGATGAGACTAGACCCAGTTTTCATGTCTCACTCAATTTCTATACGATAATCAAATCCTAGGCTACTATTTACTCCTCCGCACGATGAAGCTGACCGTCGCTCTTCTCGCTTGCGCTAGCTTACTCCCTGGTGCCCTGTCCTTTTCGGATGCATGCAGACCGGGTCTGCTATACTGTGGCTCCACTCTGGAGAAGTATAATGGTATGTACACATCTGTTGAATCACAGAGAGAGCTGTCTTGTCCATTTGCTAAGCCTACACTCAATAGGATACTCAGCTTCGGAGCTTATATCGGCTATCATGGGCGGCAACCTGGACGCCCTTGTTAGACCCCAAGATGCCCTCTTTCGATGCAAAGATTCGAGTGGTGGCATTCTACTAAGTGAATACTGCTACTTGGGTTGCACTAACCCTCCGAATGGTGATACTTGTGCTACTGGAGCTTAGGTAACTGTCTTCTTATGTATATTGTGACTTATGAACTTATACCGTTAGATACCTTACCTGCGAATCAATTCGTCATCTCGAGAATATGAGGCGGACTGTCGGTTCCGTTGAACTCATCAGGGTTATATGAGTGATATTTCGTTATGGCTGGTCATTGTACTGAACAAGTTACTTATAATCTAATTCTCTTTGGCCAGTACCCGAGTACATCGATTGGGTGCTAGGCATTGTCGTCGCGATTTGGCTCTTGACAATGAACTAATTCCATCTTTGACTTATATCGCAAAAGTTATCGTAGAACATTCGTTGCCGGCTATATCAAGACTACTAATGTCTGAATATTTGTTATGACCCACCTGAGAGCTAATAAACTCTCAACTATGCTCGACTATGTCCCACTTGTAGTGGAGCTCTAAACAAGCCTCCGAGAGCTTTAGTGGTTCCAGAGACTTTAGCGGTTTCTAGCTAATAGAGCTTGAGCTGCCGAAGCCTTCGTTGGACGGATTCTTCGAGAAATGAGATGCCATTTGAAGTAGTAGGCTCTCAGTTCAACAGCGAGAAAAAACAAGCTGCAAGGATGCCTTGTTCACTCTCACCCGGGCCCAGAGTTATCCTTTATTTGCATCCGACGATTGTACTTTCGAATGACGTCGCTACGAGCGCAAATGCGGGACCAACCGAGGATAGTAGAGAGGTGGTAGTTTATAGTTTCTCGGAACATAAGTGACTCGGGTTCCATTTGATTGCTCCCGAGTACCATATAATCCTGACGTAATGTTCTCCGAACTCTGAATCGAAGTCTTGCAGCCTCAAGAAGTATATATTAGACACATGCGTCTCTGTCGTAGCTTGAGTGGACGATCGAAACAGTACTTTGAGGTTACGACAAGGTGACCAGTTTATTTGTGGTGATATTGGGTTTGCATCCGGATGCATAAATCCAAGCAACGTCACCCACAGAATAGAACTTGAAGAGCCTTGCACCCAAGATAATGTCAGTAACGTATCCACAATTCGATTATCATTCCTAACGTCGGAGAAACGACATTGACGGGCAAATCAGAGCGCCAATATGCGTTACCCCTTTGACCAAGGTGACCAGGAGTCATGGACACAGGTAGGACAGCTACTGGTGGCCACCGCGCTGTCATCCATCATCGGAATTGAACGAGAATGGAAACACAAAAGCGCAGGATTGCGCACGAATACACTAGTAGGGATAGGCGCAGCCCTGTTCATGCTGATCTCGAAACTGGGGTCCTTTGACGTCCTGGCCCCCGGCCGGGTCGTGCTGGACCCAAGCCGGATCGCAGCCCAGATCGTATCAGGGATTGGATTCATAGGTGGCGGGATCATCTTCAAGCAGCGCAATGAGATCCGAGGGCTGACGACTGCCGCTGGCGTTTGGCTGAGTGCAGCGGTTGGGGCTGCCTGTGGCGCGGGGCTTCTCAGATTAGCGAGCGTTGCCACTGCGTTATATTTTGTCGCTGTACTCGTCTATCCAACTGTGCTGCATTTCCTGCGGCAATACCTGGACCGAAAGGACACCATGGAGATCTCGGCTGTGATCCGCTACCGGACTGGAGCTGATGGGTTGCAAACCCTGCTCATAAATGTCATGGAAGCAGGGTTTCGCGTACGGGTAATAACTCGCCTCGAAGAGGTGCTTGTTAATCAAGCCGCGAGTAAAGGGCCTGCGGGGGACGACAGACACCCATCGATTTCGAATTTCTCTAGGTCACCAAAGACTCCTGCGGCACATATTGAGAGGCTCGAGCGGATCTTTGATATCCATTTGACGGTGAATGGCTCTAGAGGTCCAGATAGTTTGATGCACGCTCTATCCCAGCTCGACTCGGTTATTTCGGTTTCCATTGAGGACGACGAAGGGGAATTCGTCCAGAGAGTTTGAAGTTACTTTCCCGCGTGCCACTTCACCACGCAGAGACTCCATGCCAACTTGTGCAGGTCCTCCACAGACGTGGACGGCAAAAGGCTTGGATGGGAGATAGGTGGAGGAACCCGGATGAGTGTTAGTGCGGTTGAAAGTTTTCAAGTAAAGCCGGCATCTGATGCGAACATACCAGTTTGTATACACTTTGAGAGGTGACACTCTTCTTACACCTGGTCGAGGCTTTTCAATGTCTGGGTGCGTTTGAAGTTTGTCGATGGCGGTTCAGCTGTTATGCGGATCCCATGCGACGGCAGGTCGATATTTTCAGAAGTAAAAATCCAACGAGAAGTTTCCGTGATGCGTTTTCTCGAGTTCCATACCTCCGTCCCAGTGCCTCAGATCCTTCATTATGGCATGCCCAAGGAGAGTCTAGATGAACTAGGGCCGTTCATTATCATAGAGTATATCGAACACGAGTACGACTTCGTCGACGCGCTCAATACACCGGAAATCCCAGATGATGAGCGACCAATCCTGGATCCTCAGATCTCGGAGGAACGGCTAACCTTTGCTTACGGTCAAATGGCCGATATCATGCTTCAGCTGTCAAAGCACACATTCACCGAAATCGGCTGTATAGCCCGCGCAAACGAAGAAGATGACTTTGACGACGCTTGGGTTGTGAAACACCGTCCATTGACGTTGAACATGAATGAACTTGTCCAAGTGGAAACTTTCCACCCCATCTTCTCCCTGACGGTCCTTTTCCGACATCATCATCCTACTACCAGGCCCTGCTGATATGCACATAAACCACCTTGTTGCTCAGCGTAATTATTCCCATGCCGTCTGTTCATGCTTGTACGGAAAACAGTTACAAAAACGTTCCTTAAGAGGAATTATACACATCTGACCCTCAATCCTGGAACGCCGTTTGAACCCTCGATGTTCCGGCCAGAACCAGCTTACGCTGAAGTATATACTTCCTTAGGAGGTGCTGTAGAGCAGAACAAAATGGATATTTTTCTTACTCGGTAGACTTACCCTTTTCGGTTCTTCTCTCTTTGGAGCTCTGCTCTAGTCAAACTAGTCCTGCACTAATTGATCATGTTTGACGAGCTTAGTGGAGTATATTGTAGTCTTCAGTCTCACTGGATGAGCAGATATTGCAAGAAAGACTCAACTGCCCGAGCAATGAGTAAAGTAGTGGGATCTATGGCGATATAATATCATTGCTCACTAAACAAGCAATGGCAAACCCTACTTCTTCCTAGATTAAGGCCCCTCACATCCTGACTGGGAGAGGATTACATTATATCCTACCAATATGTCTCCCCGTAAGCTTCAGCCGATATACCATCAGGAAAAGATCAGCTACAGAGAAAAGTCCTACTTTGTGTCGGCTCAAGGGCGAGTGATGCTGGCATGGTGTATGCCTTTTGTTTTTCATTCATGGGCAGCTTCTACGGTGTAACGTCGTTTGATCCATAATTAGTATTCTTATAGGCTTAACACGAGTCTTCCAAGGACATTAGTTAAATTATGTCAGTCATTGGTCAGCTTCACATAAGCTTAGCGACAATCATCAAAGCGTTGCATAATATGTGTAATACTACTATTTAGCTAGTCGGAAATTAGCGCTCATAACATAATAAACTAGCAATGATTATGGAAGAACAAGCAATTCAGCCCCAACACTTCTGTTTGGTAATCTTTTCTTCCTGTGCATGCATTCATTAGTACGATTGATCGATTGATCGATTGATCCTGACAAAGAATATGCAAAGACAAATGTCAGCTTTAGCTTTGTTTCGCCCGGTACATCCCATGCTCACATTGCGTGAAACAGGAGTTTTCAACCAACCGAGCCAATGGCTACCTCATACTAGGCGTTATGGACAGGAAAGCGGAATCTGGAAGCAAGCAAAGCAGCACGTGTCGAATCGGAGGAAAGTGGTCGAATAAACGTTCCAGCAGTTCTGTAAATCCTTTACCAAATCCTAATCTGGCTGCAGAAGTCAAGTATAAATAAGGTGCAAGGGTAGACATTCATCCATGCCATAACACTTCCTCGTACCCTACTGCCATCCACAGAGAAGCATACCTACGTTGGTTCGCTATGTATTTCCGCTTAGAAATGCTTGGGCTCTATGCCCTAATTACAACATTGACCAGTCCGACACTGGCATTGCCTACGGTTCCAACAACCACCCCTTCATCTATATCGACTGTCTTCCAGTTCACTCGCAACGGCACCTGGCTCGAAAACCTTGCAGTCCGCCCTAACGGCAACCTCCTCGCCACGCGCCTTGACACCCCCGAACTATGGCTAATTGACCCAGCCAACACCAACCCCGCAGAAGCCGGGTCCTTGTTCTACACCTTCCCCAATGCCACTAGTCTGCTAGGCATCACCGAAATCGACAGAGACGTCTACGCAGTCATCGCAGGCAACTTCTCCATCTCCACCGTCACAAGCACACCCGGCTCCTACGCGATCTGGAGACTCGATGCCTCGGGTAGAGCACCCTCAGCGAGCATCCTGGCACGGATCCCCGAAGCCGAGTTCCCGAATGGCATTACGCGATTCGGGCAGAACCTACTTCTCATAACGGACTCCGCCAAGGGCGTGATCTGGCGGCTGGATATGAGGTCGGGAGTATACGCGCAGGCGTTGTCTGATCCGTCGATGCTTCCTGCTGCGGGCCAGCCGTATGCTGTTGGTGTGAATGGGATTGATGTACGCGGGAAGTATGTCTATTATTCGAGTACCACGCAAATGTTGTTCTGTAGGGTTCCGGTGGATAGCAATGCTTCCGCTACGGGGCCTGTTGAGGTTATTACTAGTGGGATTACCCCGGATGATCTGATGGTTCGGAGCGATGGGACGGCGTACATCTCGACGAACCCAGATAATGGGCTGGTGAGGGTTGACCCGAAGGGGAGAGTCAGGTTGGTGGCTGGGAATCAGTTTACGATTGCTGTTGGTGGATCTACAGCGGTTGCTGGAAGCAAAGACGGTGCAGTGTTATATGTCTCGACCAGCGGGGGACAGTTCTCACCCATTCTTGGTAAGCTTATTGAGCCGGCTAAGGTGGTGGCTATTCACCTATAGGTGATGACTGTCAAGTGGCATGGCTTCAAGCTGCATTGTCAATCCAACTGCTTAGAATTAGACCTTAGTACCTAGTCTCACACCTGATACCTGATTAGACAGTGATATTCAGATTGCATGACTACAGTGACATTATATCTCTCAATTCCTGCAGCAGTACGTGACCAATAAGTAAGAGTCCTAGTCTATCCAAGTAAAGAAAAGAGACTGCACCACTCCATGCTCAACCTTCTCCTCCCCCGGCATCTGAGAAACAACATCGACAGGTCTCTCAAACCTCAGCTCCACCCTCTTCTCACCATTCGCCGTCTCCCACCTCACCGTCGCGACATTCTCCTTACCCACTGCCACTGGCGCCAAGATGCCCTTACTCAGCCTCAACCGCGGCTTGAACAACACCCTCGTCGCCCCAGGGGCCACAACCCTCACCCCAGCCAGCTCCGTACAATACTCATAGATTGGCACACTCCCCCAAGCATGACAATCCGAGCGCTGCCGCACATCATCCTCCTCCCACGTCGTCAAATTACACTCCAGCATCCGCCGCCACGGATCCCACACCCGTCCCCAATACGCCTCATATGCCTCATCCCCCGCCATTGAGAACGCCCGCAGCGCATAAAACTGCATCACATACGAGCACTTCGCGAAGCTGGGCTCCGCAAAACTCTCCGTCAGCAGACGCGCGCGGTCACCCTCCGCTACCGCACCAGATAATACAGCGAACACCTGGCAGTGCTGCGAGTACGCTCCCGCGTCGGCGATCTCCGCCGTGGAATCGGTGAAGAAGCGCCCGTCGTAGCAGTGTTCGCGGACGGCGGCGTGGACGGCCTCCGCGCGTGCGGTATACTCGGCTGCGTGACCGGGTCGGCCCACATCGTGGAGGAGCTGCGCGGCTCGGTTGAGGACGTAGGCGTAGAGGAGGCTGAAGAAGGTGTGGCGGTTTGATTGGCGGCCCGACGTGGGGACGCCTTTGTCTGGATGCGTGTCTGTCGCGCCCCAGGTTGTCACCCAGTCGACGTATTGCCAGACGTCATCTGGGAGGTTGCTTACCAGCCCGAGCGGGTCGATGTGGGCGTGGAAGAACTCGAGGACGCCGTCGATGCGGGGGAGGAACGAGCGGGCGTAGGCTGTGTCGCCAAAGTGGAGGTGGTGGTCGCAGACTTGGAGGATCCAGTAGAGGGAGAACCCAGCGATGATCTGCGGGACGTGCGAAGGGAACCGGGACTGGGTGAGGCCTTCTGGGGTGACGGAGGCGGCGAAGTTGGTGATCGCCTGGCGCATGAGCCGGTCGTCGCCGGAGAGGAGGTAGTGGAATAGACCGACGGAGCGGCTGTCGCCAGAGTATCTGATAATGTTAGCTAGAGCCTTCATTTGCGGAGTGGTGGCTTACTGGAGTTGCTCGTAGAACGGACAGTCGGAGTACCCGTCGAACATGCAGTTGCGCAACGTGCGGATAGAGACCTCCCAGATCCTCTCGCTGTACTTGTCTCCATCTTCCTGCCAGCTAGCCTTGACAGCCATCGGATAATTGACCTGGGTAGCGTTGAATGACAGAAGCTCAACTGGTGCAGGCCCACTGGTGATCTCAAGCCGGATCAGTCTGAATGTCCGAAACCAGAAAGGCTCATAGACGACCGCCTTTCCCGCTGGTAAATCATATATCACCTCGTCATACGGCCCAATCAGATGTCCATTCACAGCGTCCAGTCGATCAGCTTTTGTGCGGAAAAACGGGTATGACCGTGGCTCTTGCTCATATCCTTCCGAATAGGTGATCTTGAGCGTTATGCGAGATGCCTGCGCAGCTTGAAAGGACCACCGCAGGAACGCGGTTGAATGGACATCTGCCTGGATTTCAAGGACATGCAAGGAACCAGGCGGGAGTGTCAATGTCTGCTTTGCGTTCAGAAACGCCGTCCATTCGTCGATATGGTTGCCACTCTGGCACTTTCGGACAAGACCAACACCCACGGGAGACTCCTCCGGCATAGGGATCTGGCGAGGCCGTACACGCCATGGAGACAGATCACCATTCAGCGTCCGTATTCCGTACACCATCGGCGTGACTGGCTCTTGCAACACAGTCGGAGTAATCCGCTCGTTAATCTACCCGATTAGTCTCTGCCACTCTTCTGCAGAAAACAGATACCTACATGCAAAAACACATCGTCCACGAGTCCCATTGGGAAGCGAACACTCTCATCCACCTGCACCAACCACCCTTCCTTAGTCTGCACATCTACAGTCTCCGTCTCCGTCTCGATGGTCCCCACAACCGTCAGCCCTGGAAAGGCCGTCCTCTCAAAGGGCATCGCGCCCCTGCACGCATTGAAATACCTCAGCACAACAAATACAATCTCATTCTCTCCCACACGCAGATAAGGCGCGATGTCCACCGTGTCATAGTACCAGATCAGCGGGCTGCCGCGGGCGGGTCCAACTGCTGCCCGTACGCCATTGACATAGAGCTTATAGCGTGTATCCGCAGAGCAATGAACTGGAGCTCGTGTAGCAGTGGAAGAGAGAGATATGTCATGGGTGAATCGGACAATTTTACCGGCTGTGTTGGCAGGCGAGGAGTCGATCCAGTTTGGGGCCCAGATCCAGTTGGACTGGAGGGAATTTATAGTCTAGATATTTAGTATTTAGGATGTTGGATTAGAAGAGGGGAGGCACCTTTTGTTCTTGCGGAGAGATCATGTTGGATTTGAATCCTGGATATAAAGATTTGATGCAGAGACGTAGTTTAGAGGATATTTATCTGGTTTGATGGCTCGGGGTTATCGGGGGAACGATCACCGGCATTACCCCGCGTACCATACTCCTTACTGTGCCGAGATTCAAGAAGCATAGATAGACGAAGGAATAGCAATTCAGAAAGTTAAACCTTCAGGGCTACTTTCGCTGTTGAGTTTGCTAGCGCTAGTGCGTGGGTTGGACCGGATTGCGATGTGCGTCTAAAGAGGATAATTCCTGCGGTTTAGCCTCTATTATTATCTACGGCGGACTGAATGTACAAACGCTCCAAAATATCTTTCCTTGCTAGGGTTGCATAACTGCAGAACTAAATACTCACATTAAATAAAGAAAGCTAGGGCCTCGTACACACGACTTCGTCCCTGCCGCCTTGTTGTCGACAGAATGTAGAAATGTATTCTCCCAGGACTGGCTTAAACGGCGGGTAGCACAGTTTCAGAGAATACGTCCTATTCTCGCCACAGGCAGATGAAGTAACGGCAGGTAAGCAATGATAGAAGGAATCCAACGGCCCCTTTAATGAAAGAGACTACAGATAGACTAACAAGGCCTCAGATGCCCCAACGGTAAATGTCGCCTTCCCCGAGCTGACGGTAGCTGTCTCCGTCACAGCTGTGCCCTGGATCGTACAGGTTCCGTTGGCAAATGTCTGCCCTGCGACTGTGGGGTTCTGTCCATGGTCCACGCGAGAAGTGGCATATGGGGCTGTGAGTCGCTTAGCCGTTACGCGGGAGGAGGATAACCCGGTCAAGGTGTATGTCTGAGTCGACCGAGTGCCACTTGTGTAGTAGTCGGAATTGTAGAGGAGAACACGGATTGGAGCACCATTCTGGTATATAGCGTAGGATGCATATGCGGTCGTCTGATCGTCGAGAGGAGCGATTTGATCTGCGTTAGCCAGCGCCATCGTTGCAAAGTAGGCTCCGTAATAAGGGGATCCCATGTCGTAGCGTCCCCACCAGCAGTATTGGCAGTTGCCGATCGTGCCTTGATGGAAGTAAAGAGCCTACGAAGTCCATTAGGCAGGCAATGCATGCATGATTAGGAGTGCTCACCTCGGTGCCCATGACAAGCGTTTGCATCACATAATCCAGAATCCAAAGAGCGGCGCCAAACGTCGGGCTGATGCCACCGCCTCCTTGCGTAGCTGGAGGGGGTCAGTCATGAAAACTAAATTTGCAAAATGTGCTTACCAGAGTTGGTTTCGCCAAAAATATGCGGCTTCCCTTTAGCAGCGGCCGCAGCAACTTCGGCCGCAAAGGGCTTGATCTGCGAGGCAATGGCGCTGTGGCTCATAAGGCTCGCCAGATTGGCAGTGCTGGCCGACTGCGGGTAGTTATGCGAGCAGTAATCTTTGACGTAACTGTTGGCAGTTCCCTCAGTGGCTGTTAGACCAGCGATACTCATTGGAGAAGTGCCGAAATATACACCGGCAGATATCATATCTGAGGTCGACAGATTGCCACACACTGCATCCTGCCACCCCACCTGCGATGAATAGTCCGCCGAGGCTGTCCAGGACTGCGAGTTGGCAATCGGGTCACTGCTTGAGTAGACTGATAACGGTCAGCCGTAGAATGAGTAACGCTCGGACTGGGGATTGCGCACAATTTGGTTCATTGCCTAGCTCCATAGCATACAAGTTATTCATCTCGGTCTTTGCCAGAGTCGCTGCGGCAATGGTGTTTGAGAGATTATTTAGTCGCCGATTCAGACCAAGAATCACCTCACCGCCGTAGCTTGCAGCTAGAGAGACGAATGGTGGTCCAAATGTGAGACTTGTTGGGGCATCGCCGGAAGAAGCGACGGTATAGGTGACAGCATTGGTCGATGAAGCATCGTACGTCGCTCGGTCTCTGCTTATGTGAGCATACACGCTGCGTAGGCTGATGACTGTTTATACACATACTGAGTAGTCCCTCCAATTCGCAAAGGAGGCCATACGCCAGTAAGAGCCTTGAAGTTCTGGAGACAGGTAGTCGTCGCGGCGACATTGTTCATGTAAGCCGGAAACGCAAAGAATTCAAGACTAGCCCAGTCAGAGATGCTATCAGTGCTGATAGAATGACACTTACGAGACACCGACGGGTGCAGCCGAGAGCTGCCCACTAGCATTGGACGGTGGTGTAGAAGGGACTGCAAAGGTTAATGCTGCTGCCACCACAGGAACGCAGCTGCACAGCACAAGGGGCGCGAGAAAGAGAGCCATGTTTACCGCCTTAACTGTTTGAGACTTGTTTGAGACCTATGGTATCCTTTATTCCGAACCGTTCAGATCTATATATGTACACAAGTATTCTCTTACCCAGCAAGATCGGTTCCAGGTCGTCAAGTACAAACTACAAACCCCACGGGGAACTTCCCCCGGACAAGCAGTATCCGATTTCCCCCACCAATCAGACTAATCTACATAATGAATGTCGGCAATTGTCACTCCCTTCGGCGAGTGATCCCCGCTATACAGTTGCCGGAGGACTAGTTTTCTCGTGCATATGATAGTGGCAAGGATGCCCCATCCAGCAGATAAGCTTTTCTGCATACGCAATCGCCAAAGCTTATCCTTTGCTTCAGCAGCTCAAGCTTCCCGGAAATGCAGCCTGGACTCTAATGTCGGCAGATGTTATACCGAGCTCTAAAATCCTCGTGTTCTGGCTCTTCTGAACAGCCTGGAGAAGCTGCTCTGAATTGGCCGACTTGAGTATGCGGGGAAGTTCCCCTTAGTTCAGGATTCCATTAGAGTCTGCACTAGAGGGCAATCTGGCGGCGAAATTGTCCACGTGCATTAGCAGACATGCAGTGGCTGAGAGACAAGATCCTAATTTGACCCCGTCCATTAGCAGTCGGGTTCTTTTCCACCGACAAGCACTTAGTGGCTGACACACGAGATTCACAATTTGCCTAGTCCATTGAGTGATATTTGGTCTGATTGTGGGGTTCCCCGCACGGAGTGAAATTCGAGGCATTGGGGCCGCTAAGTCATGGTCTCAGTCAGTTTGGAGGATGCTTAAAAGAGTCTATTTGCTCCAGCAGGTTCAATGATCTACTCTAGAGTCGCGTCGCTGCTGGCTTGTTGTTCGTTCGTTTCAAGATGTCGACCGTCAACAGTTTTGAAAACTCGCAGAAGACTGGCTCGGCTGGGATCATCAAGACTCAGGTCGAAACTGTAGAGCATTCTCATCCCGCCGAAATGAACCCTGCGACTGGCAAGGATGCTGCCCCCTTGATGTTCTCGAAGGAGGACGACCTCACTGTTTGGCAGTCGGTGCGACGATACCGGATGGTCGGTGTGATTGCTATGGCGGCAGCATTCAGCGCTTCGCTGGATGGCTACCGTAAGTTTCAACATAAATGGTTTGAGAGCAATGAGACTAATTTTCATCACGCAGAGATCAACCTCAACGGAGGCATCGTTTCCAATAAAGGCTTCATCCGACAAATGGCCACGGCTGGCACGACCATCATCGCGGGCAAATACATCTCAGCCTGGGGCGGAATCCAAGCGACTGGACAGACAATCGGTCAGATTGTAGGTTCTTGTCTTTTCTAAAGAGTGAGGGTATGCTAAGGAGGACAGCTTCTCCAATATGCGACGGAATCGCTAGGGCGAAAAGTAGCTCTATATATCATTTGGCTCACGTTCGTGGTGGTGAGTTGTACACTGCGTTATTCTGCGGTTTCAAGGCTGACGGCCGACAGAGCGTTCTGATAGAATCATTCGCCATGAAATGGGAACACTGGCTCGTCGCAAAGCTGTTCTCGGGAATGGGTGTTGGTATGCTCCAATGCACGATGCCACTGTATCTGTCTGAGATTGCTCCGACGCAACTCAGAGGATTCTTCATCAATGCGTACACCTTGTCAGTAAAATTCCCATTTACTGTCTTTCAAACTGTGGTCAAGATACTGACCCAAATAGCTGGTTTGTGGTAGGGCAATTGTTCGCCTCGGTGGCTCTGAATAGGCTGAGTGCCGCGGATCCGTATGATTTCCGAACTCCCATCTACACCCAAGTCAGTCATCATCGGGCGTCTCCCCTTTAATCCGAAAGTGAGCTAATCGATAGTAGTGGGCTATGATAGGCGTCGCAGGCATTATTTTCATCCTCGTTCCGGAGACACCCTGGTGGCTTGTCAGCAAAGGCAAGACCCAACAAGCAGAGAAGGTCCTAAAGACATGCAACGGTAGTGTGCCAGGCTATGATATCCACGACCAGATTGTCCGTACCGCTCTCATTACAAGTGATGCGCCAGACTAACGCCGCGTATAGAATGTGATGTCTGCCACCGTAGCGCACGAGCGAATCCTCGCCGAACGCAACAAGGAGCAAGGCATGTGGGCTGTTTTCAAAGGTCGAAACTTGATCCGATTCATTATTGCTGGATGGCCCAAGATCACGCAGCAGTTTATCGGGTTATCTGTGTTCAATACCTACGCCACATACTTCTGTAAGGCTGTTTCCCCCCCTACCTTCACACTTCGCAGCTGACCCTTCAGTCCAATATGCTGGGAACAAGAATCCGTTTCTGGTGACCGTCATCCTTTCGTGTGTCCAGCTCATCTCCATGCTCGCCACAGCCACATTGACAGATCAACTCGGTCGTCGTCCGTTGACGGTGTATCCCTATGCTGTGACCGTTCTCTCAGTGCTGTGTCTGGGTATTATCGGCTGCTTCGACTACAAGACGACAGCACTCAGTTCTCTGCTGGTTAGTTTTAATTTTAAACCCCCTCGACCCCCTTCATATGTATTTCAGTATAGTGATGAGATGAAAGATCTTCTTTGCCTGTCTGGCGACCTTCTCCACGACTGGTGCGTCCGCCATCGGATACGCCTACGCAGCCGAGATCCCTCAGCAACGGCTCCGCGCTCAGACAGCCGCCTGGTCTCTGGCTTTGTCGAATATGATTAGCATCATGTTTAGCTTCTGTACCCCGTTGATGATCAATCAGCCACCTACCAAATGGGGCCCAAAGACCGGCTTCTTGTGTGTATTTTCCTGGTTGCTGCAACGGACAAGCACTAATCATCGGCAAATAGCTTTGCTGGTACTGGTACCATATCTGTGATTATTGCCTGGTTTATCCTTCCCGAGGTGACGCGTCGCACACCGGGTGAAATTGATGAATTGTAAGTGGCGTCTATCGATGGCCTTCCTTTCGGACGTTTGAACATTATCTGACAGCTGGGTTGTAGGTTTGAGAAGAGGGTCAATCTGCGCAAGTTCAAGGGCTATGTCACTGATGCTCGAATCGCTGCGGATGAGCACCGCAAGCAACAGGAGTCGGCTTGATGAGCCGCTCGTGGATGAGTTTCCCTCGATGGCCGTATGATTTGCAGTGGTATCAGTTCGCGGGCCAATTTATCGAACTGAAATGCGGATCCTGATTTCTTTGTAGGGTAGTTTAATGCGAACTGAATACATATTGGCTTCATTAATGATGGAACAATGCGTTTCTTTGACGTTGGTCGGAAGCCGGACTTACGATTGTTACCAAACCCATCTAGTAACTCTGAGCATAAGCTATACAGCGGTGGCCTCTGCTCAACCACTACAACGGCTGTGTCTTTCACAGCTCTAGTGAGAGACTCTGTTGACTGACGCCAGTGCGCTCATACTTTATCCGGACGTATAGAGCGCAGGACTTTTGCTTTAGAAGACATGGAATCATGGAAAAGTGGGAACACTGCCACTGTGGGAGTTAAGAAGAAGCATACAGACAACGGAATAGCAATTTAAAGATCATCTTCAACTTCTATAGGACTCTTTACCATTTATCTGAATTCAAAAAGCCAAGTCAGAAACTGATACCACATTCCCGCACATCTCATCTCCCGCCAACGATCTTAGCGTTCACGCTACCATTCAGTTCCATACTGGATGATATGTGACATGCACACAGTTACTTGCAGTGCTTGTGAACGCTCCATCCAACACAGATGGCTCCCTCGTAGCAGTTCCAAGGAGCACGGCCAGCAGTAGCACAGTCAAGGAACTACAGTATCTCGTCAGCCACTTTCTTTACCCCCAATGCAAAAAGTACTCACCTCATCGCCGCACTTCCAGAACGGAGCAGTACCAACACAGTAGATGTAGGACCAGGCCCGCTTGCCATACTTGGCAATCAGCTTGGCGAATTTGATGGCAAGCCTCCACTTAGCCACGCGCTTCTCCAGGTCCTCGTCGTCGTCGTCCATGTCAGCAAGATTGACTTCCTTGCCTTCGGCGTCGTAGAAGGTAGCAGCTGGGTCTGTTAGTGTCTGTTTCCAAGGCGTGGAGAGAGACAAAGGACGTACTTCCTTCCGCGGTCTCAATGGCAGTGACCTCGAGGGTGCCGTCGACATCGAAGAACTCCATCTTCTTCTTGCCATCTTCGAGGACGGTGCTCACGATGTTGCCGTAAGGAGTGGCGACGGTGGAGTTGTTATTGCTGAGGGCATCCTCGCGGGACATCAGGGAGGGGTGGCCGATGGTAGAGGCCAGCGCGACGTGGCTGCAGAGAGCCACCATGAGGGCATTGACAACAACGATGAACTTCATTTTGAAGATGATGGCGCTGTAGAGCTTTTTATTGCTTGCTATGATTGCTTGCTTGTTGCCTGCTTGTTTCTCGCTGGGTTGCTGTTGATTCCTCTCGGTTCTCGTGGACGTCGAGGGGTTTATATACCTTTGCTTCCCTACAGGAAGCCCTACTCGACCGAAGCGTTCACCATCATCACGGAGACAATCTCGTATGCTTCGATGCTATTGCCATTGCTAACTTTGCCATCCCCAGATGAAGCCGATGGCAACCGAACATGAATACGATGCAACCTCGTATCATCATTCGAATCCCAGCGTCTCCCTCACCTGCGGAATCCTGCCAGTGGAACTGAACGCTTGGCCTGCAGAGGCCGATCCCTCCGGCCCTCGTATTGGACTTGGCATCTTGAGTATCTGCTGCCAAGCCGTTCGAGGACTGCTATAAAAAGCTCCGGGGCTGTGCGTGTGCCCAGCGCCAAGGGAGCCAAGACCTCCCACTCGCATCTGCATTGGGGTTCCTCTATGCTCTGTCTTGGCGGCTTGGACTTCTCAGTTTGGAGGTAAATCGCGATTGCATGGAATGAAGTCACTGAGGGTGTATGAGATGAGGCTACTGCTCGTATTCTATTACTTACTTGCCCTCTTGCCAAGGCCTGAAAGGCTCGCGTGGGATGCAGGCTTGTTCGGATTGCTCGGTAAAAGAAGCAGTTCCACTCAGGACTTTGGTCAAACTGAGCCGTTTCTCTTAGACTTCGTGTGTAGCGGCTCAAGCATGCAAAACTTGATACTCCTGCCTCATGTTAGTTCAATGGGACTATTCTCCAAGGCTCTCAGGTTAATCCATCAACCGCAAGGTAGAATTCAGTTCCATCTCCCGAACGAAGACGCAGATACGAGAGCTGATATTATTTTTACGCAACAGATTCTTCTAGATATCTACTTAGTGCTGTGGTTCGTGTCCAAATGTGCTTCACTCTTGAGCCACGGTACTGGAGGATTCTGGCTGAGTCTGAGATTCGTGCCATGACTAAGAACTCATCAACCTCGTACGATGCCGCATGCATTGCCTCGTCCAGATATGGCAGGGCTCTACTGAGTGGCCAAAGGACGGGAAAAGATGAGTCTCGTGAAAATAGCCTGACTGGAGACGCTTGCATCGCGTGTCCGGTTGTATCCATCTGTGACTTGAACAGTACGGAGGTTCCTGTGGTCCTCCGCGGCAGCCCGGGATAACAGAGATATACCGATCCTGAACCTACAGATATTTCCATACACCTCATTTGTACTCCTTGGATCTATGCTTACACTGACCAAGCTGAGACTTTCCTGCTCGGGTGATAGATCATCGAATCGTCGACACCTGCTTCCATTGCTATTCTACACTCGTGCTTCGCGTAGCAGTAACGGAGAGCGTGCACTAGGTGACAAATGGCAGGAACATGTCGTCCCAGGCTCGAGGGCGTTCAGAGAATTCCCGTCCAGACCGAGATCCCCTACGGGCTCTATGGCTATTGTCGGACCCTCCTTATTTTCGATTCAACCAAGTCGGACCAAGTGGGACAACGGGTCGAGGGCAGATTACATACCAGCATTTCACCTCTTGCAATTCATACAGGAAATCCTTTATTCTTTCTGTCAAAGCATTTTGCCATCTGTGTCAGTGACAGTAGGTACGGTGATGAGGGATCACGATGAATATGGCAGGAATGGACTGCAAATTCTCTGAGCCTAAGCCTGGGCTTATCCTGAAGTCTCCTGCTCACCTTCTCTTGAGTCCAGCCTTATTCCGCTCCTATACCGCAGCTGCTCGCTTTCACAAGGCTAGTGACGTATCCATCCATTTAGTGGGCTCTGATTGTCGTCCCTATAACAACATTTCCTGTGAATTCCCTTCGTCAGAAGCTATATGGGTACTTCTCTCTGCCTTTAACTGCATAGATGACAGCCTGCATAAAGCAGTGCAATGCCATCTTCCATCTCTCGAGATTACTCTGCAATCTCACGCAGTGAAAATAACAGCTTCCGCTGCCTACCTATATATATCCCAGCTCGTTTACCGCTCACCGCAACGCCATGTCTGTAGGCGGGTAGCTTTTTGGGCGAAAGTGGGCTCTAATCTACAATATATGTTAAGTAATATCTTCGAGAGTCATGTTATGTTTAAGAAGTTCTTGCTCTGTACCTCCATAGCTTTCTCCAATCATACTGCCTATCCTACCATCTGTCACTACTCTCTGGTAAGATGCCTCGTTTATGCAGTGATACACTTTTACTCCGAGGAGGAGAAGCTGCATAAACAGATCATTTGAATTCTATGTCCAGTAGTGCATGAATAGCCTAAAGCATCGTTGTTGTAACTTGAGAGTGAGAAAGAAAGGAGTATTCCCTTCCCTTGTTAGTTTCCCCTTAAATTGTTGATCTAAGCTCTGCAACTATATATCCACACCTCAGCATCTCAACGCATTCATGCACCCCATATTTACACCCAATTATTTTCCGTAAGCTAATAGGATACTTGGCGTAATGATCATGGTATCCAGTAATTGGACCCATCGAGGATGATGAAAGGATGGAGTTATGGATCGTGGGTATAGATTAAGCTTAAAGTAAACGGCCAACGAGAAGAGCTGCCTAGACAGCTACGATGCTTGGTTGTGAACAGTTACAATCATTTGACCGGCTCCTCGTAGAATCAATGTAAAGACGAGGGATATTATGTTTTGCTTGACCCATCAGTGCATACGTAACCTTGTATGGCGTGATTCAGATTGTGGCCGGAGAGGTCAACAGAAGATGGCACGACATTCATTGCGATCTTCTTATTTATTAAACAATTTTAATCAATTCATATATACACGGACTATGATTAGATTGACAGTAGTATTCGGTACATTTCCGAATATATTGCCCTAATCGTCATTGCAGGATCGGCCGCGTCATACCGTGTTTCTTCTCTGATGACCGCCTCAAATTCCTCAACGGCGATGATATATCTGAAACTCACCAATCAAATCAGCCGGCTCGACGAATCAACTAGCATGATTCATGCCGCACGCGGTGGAGCTGTGTCGCAGAGATATCGGATCACTTACCGGAACCTACATAGATGGTGGAGAGATCGGCATTCAAATCGCCCTGTACAGACATTTTCGTTTCCATCGCCGATTCAACCAACTGGTGGATTACTGGTGGACTGGCGTTCACTGAGTAATTCTACATCTCCACTCGACGGAGAATTTCTGAGAGAGAGGATGCTGTTTGAGATGTACCATGGTCATCGACTGGTCCTCCAGGGGTTGAGACCAGAGAACCAACTGTATATAAAACCAGCGATGTGCAACTCACGGCTCATGTTTCGTTCTTCAGCACATCTCACCCTGTCATTCTTTTTCCTTTCCTTCATTTAACTCTGTCATTCGTTTTGTGCCTACTTCCAGGATGAAGTACGCTACTCTCTTTACCGCCGTTGGCGCTCTGGTCTCCCAGGCCATTGCCATTGGCGTCCAAGGCACCGCCGAGGGTTTTGCCTCGTCCGTGACCGGCGGTGGCAGTGCTACCCCCGTCTATCCCTCCACCACCGACGAGCTGGTCTCGTACCTTGGTGATAGTGAGGCCCGTGTGATTGTGCTCACCAAGACCTTTGACTTTACTGGCACTGAGGGTACCACCACCGCGACTGGCTGCGCTCCCTGGGGTACTGCCTCTGGCTGCCAGCTCGCCATCAACAAGGACGACTGGTGCACCAACTACGAGTCGAGTGCTCCGTCTGTCTCGGTGACATAGTATGCTGCTCCATCTGTTTTGTTGCATGGTACTAACGGAAGTAGTGATAATGCCGGCTCGCTTGGTATCACCGTCAACTCCAACAAGTCCCTCATCGGCCAGGGCACCTCCGGCGTCATCAAGGGCAAGGGTCTTCGTATCGTCAGCGGTGCTAAGAATATCATCATTCAGTTAGTATTTGCAAAAAATAAAAAGGGAAGGGTTATACTGACTGGTCAGGAACATCGCCGTCACCGATATCAACCCCAAGTACGTCTGGGGAGGCGACGCCATCACCATCAACCAGGCCGACCTCGTCTGGGTCGACCATGTAACTGTACGTTTCCCTCACAGAGACAATTGAAAAAGGAAAACAAAAGACTAATCGAAGTGATGATAGACCGCTCGTATCGGCCGCCAACACTACGTCCTCGGCACCGAAGCCAGCAACCGCATCACCCTCTCCAACAACTACATCGACGGCGAGTCCGATTACTCGGCCACCTGCGACAACCACCACTACTGGAACATCTACCTGGACGGCTCCAGCGACAAGGTCACCATGAAGGGCAACTACCTGTACAAGACCAGCGGCCGCGCCCCCAAGGTCCAGGGCAACACCTACCTGCACGCCGTCAACAACTACTGGAACGACAACTCCAACCACGCCTTCGAGATCGGCGACGGCGCCTACGTCCTTGCCGAGGGTAACCTCTTCTCCGACGTTACTGCTGCCGTCGAGTCCTCTAGCTTCACGGGCGAGCTGTTCGGGTCTGCGAGTGCTTCGTCTACCTGCAAGTCGTATATCGGTCGGAACTGTGTTGCCAACTCGTTCTCAAGCTCTGGAACGCTCTCTGGCTCGACTGCGGATGTGCTGTCCAAGTTTAAGGGCGAGACTGTTGCCGCGGCGAGCGCGGCTGGCACTTCTCCTGCTTCTTCGGCTGGTCAGGGTCATCTGTAGACTGCCTGTTTCGATGGGGGGAATCCTATAATCGCGTGGACTGTACTCTAGTCAATTTTAATATCAGTCTAACAATAATTGGTGAGAAGATGTGTACGCGTAGTCATCGATTATTACCATTTCCAATGGCTCATTGACAGGAGATATAGCTAGACGGTTGCACAATGTTGTATTGATTGTCTAAGGGAGAGCAGGCTCCAGTCGCATATGCAAGTTTAGCCTAGGACTGGGAATCTTGCAGAGATCGCTCAACCATCAGCGGTAGAGAAGCACAGCTCACTCATCATATATTGCACCACAAATCAAACAGATGTGATACAGAGATTCATAGAATGCGCAAACGTGGTCGGAGAACCAGAATGCAAGACCTATATGTTCCCAGTGTATTCGATCCTGCTCACGGCTAAATGTCTCGACACTCGGACTAAGCGACTAGAATATTTCTCAACATTCAGGTCGCTTTCAGTTGAAAAGCGCGAGCCAGACACGACTGAACCATTCATTTGACTCGCTTCCGTCAAACTTTGACAGCAGTCGAATGCAACGAAGCTCCATCACAACTGCGTGATAGTCCATTGCAGTAGGTTTTGAGATTTCCCTGCACTGTAGAACGCCTGCGCCCGGCCTGACATGGGCTGGTTCAATCACGTCGCCCCCATTCGTGGTTCGTGGGCTTGGCGCACGGCGATTCTGACGCCAGACTGGATGAGCAAGCTCGAAGGAAATCATGCTCAGCTGCAATTGCCTGACTTGTGGCGTTCCAAAATGAAGAACTTTCACTGAGGAAAGTCTAAATTTGGATTGGGCGCGAAATTCCTCGCGGTCTCGATGTTTCAATCACCGGGAAGTGCTCTGCAAGCGCTTCAACTACTCGCTGGTTGGCAAACATCGTAATAGAATCCACCTAGTACGGTTTCAGTCACACTTTAGGTACGTTGAAGATGGAATTCAAGTGATGTCCAATGAGGCTCTATACGTGAGCCCAGCCATTCGCAACGAGCACCTGCATCTCGTTAATTAAACAGAACTCGCCGGGTTCATGCCGGCCACTAGAGAGACTCTTCCACTGGGCAACTCTCCGTCGCACGACCCACTTCTTGAAAAGAGTCGTGGTAGCCCAACGTCGGAATCTGTTCTCCCACAGGGCCAAGGCAATATATTGTCGAGACAGCCAGGAGCCAGCTGGATGGACCTTTTCGTATGCGGGCGCGTTATAACCAACTCGGACCTTGGGATTCACGTAGACGCCCTGATGTCCAGAGAGAGGATTGTCCGCATGGATCAAGCAACATTCAGAGCCCTCAAGATGAAACAGTGCTAGAGAATCGGGAATCCCACGGAATCGCAGCGGCGTGGTCGAGACGAAGGGCTCAATGGGCATAGCGACTGTTCACGCCAGGTGAGTCAAAGCAAAGGAAGAAAATACACTACGAGCATAGAGTGGTGTGGGGGGGAAGAAAAGATGAGCCTACCCATGCCATTCCAGCAACTCTTGACGGGAACAGGGGACATGTTGAAGAGCGCATGCCGAGATGTTGTAGAACGGAAATAAGGCCACCTTTGCATAACATGCTCGTCGCCGTGGCTATCCCGCAAAGCAAAAGTATCATAATACAACGGAGGTCGGGAATAGTCTAGAGAGCAAGCTGCGGCGTATACTCCATCGTTTGTGTCAAGCAGTTCAATAACGTCATCCACCTGCGGGCGTCCCACAGGGTGAGAAGTCATTCCCTCGTAAAGGTTGGGTAGGACTGATACGTACGGTGAATACAACGTCATTGACGAAGAGAATCTTATCAAATGCTATGCCTTGCCGTTCAAGGTCCTCCAGAGGACGCAGGGTCAAATTTCGAAGCCGAGCCAGGTAAGGTATTCGCCTGAGTTCCTTCCGACCGCGAGGAGTATCTATCCAGCCTTCACTCGAGGGAGAAACGGAAATCTCATCCTCGTGAGTAGTGTCTGAGAGGGTGATGTTCCGTCTCACACCGAGTCGATCCAGCTCAACATCAAGATCACGAAGCGCACCCTTTGTATCATCCCAGCTTCCGCTCTCATAGACACTGACGAACACATTGTCCGTACCCCATGCTTTGACCAATTGAATGATTGCATCATTCCAGTGACTGCGCAAAATAGCCTCGTTGTTCCAGTGCATGCTCGCAATGTATATTCGCTCCGGTTTCTGTGGCATACGGGGCTTGATCGCTTCCGCAGTTGAGACTCGTTGATAGATGAGGAGCACTTCTAGGAGAGTCCAGAGCGCGAAGCAGATCAACAAGGCCTGGAGAATGCGGCGGCGCGGTCCGTACCGGCGAAGCAGCCCATGACGGAGAAACGAGCCGAAATCAGAAGGGATCAGGTGCATTTCGAGCCGGAAATTGCATCATTAGATCAGTTGTTTAGAGTGAGAGAGCGAGACAGGATGATGTTGTTTCGCGCCAATTCTGCCGTTCTTTACCGATAACTGAGCTCAGGAGGGGAGAACATCACGTGCCAGCTTCGAGCCATGTCTCCTGCCTCGGACAAGACTGGATCACATTATCAGCCCAGCCTAACACATTGCAGATCATATGGCCCTCGGAGACAAACTGTATGTCTTTATATTTCATGTCCGAGGAAGCAAATAAAACAGTTCGCCTGAGAAGGTGCTTCACACGCGGAACAAGTCCAAGGCATGTCATTGGCCCAAGACTATATATATTTAGCGAGACAGCGAAGTCCGCAGCCGATGCAGTGCTCTCACATATAGCATCATATAGCAGTCATATCACTCCTTCATTTACAATAAAAAACCCAAAACCCTAGACTAAACATTCATCCACCCCCTCTGACACAAAACCAACAAATACCCATCCGGATCCCTAACCGTAACCCCCCACTTCTCCCAATACTCATTCGAATGTTGCACTCTGGTCCCCCCATTCTCAACCAACCTCTCGACAACCCCCGGCTCAATCGCCCCATCCACATAAATAACTAACAGATCCTCCTCCGTCGGCCTCGGCGCATTCTTTCCGTCGTTGCCATGCACCAGCACCAGCTCTAAATGCCACGCCGCACCCGGCCACCCCAGCATCAGCAGCTCATGGCCGCCCTCGACTTCGTGTGCGGGTCCACTCCGCCAGAGGACTTTGAGGCCTAGTCCGGTCACGTAGAAGCGTTCTGCGGCGGTGAAGTCACGACAGGGGCGCGCGATGCGGATGTGTGAGGTTGCGCTGGGGTGGTGGCCTGTTCCGGGGGTGGCTAGGGTTGGGGTTTCGGGGGTGGGGTGGGTCATTTTAACACAGTGGGATGGTTTGAATGACGCATGCAATGGTGATGGTAATGAAGCGACTGTTATGGGTGATAAGGCTTTAATATGTGTTTACACAGGGCTAGACCTTTCTCCTGGGCTTCCATTTGTCAGGTGGGGGCTGGATACGAGAATTAGTCAGGTGAGGTCTTCGCAGGGACAGTTGAGTCGTAGGATAGGATTAATGGAAGCTATACACGATGAAATCATTATCTGCAGGGGTAGTACATACTAATGCAGACGAAAGCAGTAATAACAATCAGATGGCTGAATCCGAAGCCGAACATACGAGACCAACGCCATCCCAACATAATGGTAATCATAATACCTTTCCCTCCCGGAGTAGCACCTCAGTCAGCATCGCGCGATGCAGTAGTTTATGCAGAGCTATAACATTAGAACGGACCCTAGAACATACAGAGGCAAACTACTACGTACCTTCCGGCGGTGTCCCCTGCGGCGCATGAGGCGTCACCCGCTCATAATCAACCTCCGTATCTGGAATCTCAAGCTACAGCTCCATCAGCAACGCTCATCTCGCTTGGAATTTAACAAACCTCACGAGCCCGCAGCTCCGCATGAAGTAATTCCGCTTTGGCTACTACATTCCGCAGTAATTCCTCCAATTGCGCCGCGTGCGCGCGAACAGAGAATAGTGATGGGAGACGGTACTTGCGCGAAAGCAGCTTGCGCCAGCTGTACCATTTCACGGAGGATGCAGGGATCGTGTAGTTGTGTTTCGTTAACCAGCAGAGTAGCTCGGCGTGGACGTAGCAGAGGAAGACGCCGTGTTCGACGCACTGCGAGTCCTGTTTTGAGGCGTTGATGAGGTGGCCGTCGGATTCGGCGCGGGAGGAGTACTGGTGCAAAAGGGTCTGGATGGCGGTTCGGTCGAAGCGGTTGTGGTGGAGACTGTTGGCGACTTCTTCGAGGAGAGTTCCTAGGCGGGATAGAAGCTCGATGGCGTTGGGGTCGTTGCTTTCTTTGGACATGATGGTTGTGTTGAGGATTGATGGTGAGGGATGTGAGGTGCTGGGGTGTCTCATGGTAATAGATGTCGAATGTCAAGAAAAATCATATGATCGATAAGCTGATCTGCATCGCTGGTTCTATGAAATGGTGGTTGCTGTGTAGCTATGAACCATGGAATGGATAAACCTACAACTGCCCGACAACTTGATCCGGACGGGTCTCTAAAGTCAATGCATACATGGTAGCGATGATAATATCCTCAATTCTAGGACTGTATTGCACACTATCTATCGGCCTTGACAGTGTCGCAGCCACCAAGGAGTGAACAACGAAGCGTATTGCTTCTTCAACAACTCCCCTGCCGCAGGAGGGGGTTTGGGCGGTTCCACCTCGTCATCCGAGTCCTCGAACCCTATGGGAGGGGATCTTGCCCTGATCTCTACCTCTCCAAACTCTCCCCCGGTCGGATGATCCAAATATACACTGACATTCTCTTCACGGAACGTAGTCCGCACCTTCTCATCCAATGTACGAAGAATACCTTCCCAGTTGCCATCCAAAAGGTGTATAGTGGACAATGAAAGGCGCCGCGTTGAGGGTCCCAGCCCGGTGCAAAACCTCTCTAGCTCATCTTGCTTCACAGAGACGTGCGAGATTGTTATGTCTTCGATGCGTGGCCAATTGACAGCACTAAGAACAGGGTCTATATCGTACCAGCCCTCCATCGTGGTGCGGCCATCACTGAGGCCAAACGAACTCAAGTCCAACGATACAGTTTTCAGATCTGCACTGCAAAGTACAGTGGTGAGGTACTGATCGACATAGTACCTTTCTTCCGGTCGGAGGTGCTCGTGGCGAACGCGAAGTTTGGCGTAGTTCATTCCGAAATCGACTGTCCAGAGGCTGCTGCACGCCGCTCGAAGATCCGACCATGCTGCTGGATCGGTGGAATTGCTCCCAGTATCGGGACAGAGCAGCGAAAAACTGCCTCGCCATGGAAACGGCCCAAGGTAAAGATACCTCAGCTTGATTCCGGCTTTGTGTATGGCAACCGGCAGGTCGAACAAGATCCTGGCGGGCGTAAGTTTGGCATCGCGCTCAAGTAAGGGATAATTGCCATGGCGCAAATCGCCGATCTTTTCCCACTCTAGCGCTGCGCTCATCTTTCCGGGAAGCAAACTCGTGTCTCTTAGTACAATTGACGGGTTATACCAATCAAATAGTGGTTCCATTTTGTCGGTGAAGCCCAGAGTAATCGTTTTGGGCAGTTGGGAGATACAAGATGCAAGCGTGGTGACGAAGGATCCACTGGTGATGAGCTGCAGCTGCTCTTCATGTTTCTTGCAATATTCATTATAGCCTTGGACGAAGATCTCCATGTGCTCATCCGCCTCTGCTTCGGCGACATCGTCATTCTCGTCACTCTCGTCGGAGTGAAAATAGGAGTCCCACGAATCGCAGATTTTGTGGTAATTGTGTCTCGCTTCTGCATATTCGCTCAGGTCTTCTGGGTCTGTTTCATCGTCCGATGAATACCCCCCGAGCCAGTCACAGCGATGGGCCACTTCATACAATTGCTGCTTGCAATAGCTCTTGAATCGCGGGCAGTCTGAGACAAGCTCTTCTGGACGGTATTGCAGCCCGACTTGGATGACATGCACTCCTTGAGCTATCCGGGGACATTTGCACAACTCCACCGCTCCATTCAGCGATTCCTGGTCAAGATCTACGCGGAGGATTGGACACAGCAGCGGAGACGCCAGATCGTTGAACAGGCTGCAGACGAGGCGGGTTTGGCGGATCGTCTCGCGGGCAGTCCGACGGGCAATACCTTCTTCACGGTCCCGGAGCGGCGACCACCTGAAAATTTCAGGATAAATATCGGCCTGTCGTTTGATCCTTGCGTCCTGGAAGTAACCAAAAATCTGGAGCAGAATATCTGCAGGCAAATCAACGATTGTAATTGGTCGAATCTTTGCGCGTGAAAGCTCCATTGCCCCTGCTCGAAGGGCGATGCGGCGCGTGTCGATGTCACGGAGTACAGTGTTCTTCCTGGTCTCCAGGTTGTCCTCACTATCCTTCCCAGCATTGTTATCATCCTTGCCGTTCTTGCGGGGATGGCTCGTCTCATATTGCTTCGAACTGATATATCGCTCAAAAGCATCGAGGCGACTCAGCTCTTGATAGATTTCATCCAGACTAAGCGTGTCGACATCCTTAAACTCAGGGTCCCACTTGTCGAGCAGATCCATTTGATCGGCGGAGTGCGTCGTGCGCAGATTTGCATGTCAAGTGAGCTCAGTACTTTGTGGTTTGTAGTGGATATATATTAACAAGTACCTCTCTAAATGCCCCAGTATTAATTGTGACATTCTGACTCAAATTAAGGCGCAGCAGTTTTTTCAATTAAGGCTGCCTCAGTAGCATGTCTTGAGCTAACTATGCCAAGCTTAAAATCTCATCGCAAATCGCCGACGCCATACTCTGTAAGAGTAGATAGTCCGAGCCTAAACAATTCTTTAATGGAGCTCGTTAGATTTAGGACTTGTCTTGGCGTCCCAGCCACCTTTATCTCTTGACCAGTTGGCTTAATACCTTCCAGCCTTCTAGTCTATGGATCGATGTTCCTATCATTGAAACACCCAGCCCACTATTATATCGGTCTTTGATTCTATTACCTGCGCTATCTGTCTTAACGGCCTCACCTGAAACTCCGTACACAAGACTGAACCGACTATGATCATCCCTGGCCGCGCTCTCCTCACCCGCACCATCATCCGCAATGTCCAGAACCCAGCCCTACAAGTCCAACCCTGCGGCGTGGACCTCACCCTCAAGCGAGTCCTTACCTGGACATCACCCGGAACAATCGACCTAGACAACCAGCGTCGCCAGACCGCATCAACAAATGAAATCCCCTTCCCCGCATCAAGCACCAGTACTCCAGAGGAACGCTTCCTCGATCTCCCGCAGGGAGCTTACCTCGTCGAATTCAACGAGACAGTTTCTGTCCCTCTCGATGTAATGGGCCAGATCTTCGTGCGCAGCTCTTTGTTTCGGTCTGGCGTGCTGCTCACCGCCGGCGTTATGGACAGTGGCTATGTCGGGGCAGTCGGGGCCTTGATGCAGGTGCTTAATCCTGCCGGACTGAGGGTTTACCCTTCTGCGCGCCTGGCGCAGTTCGTATTCCACCAGATGAGCGAGGAGGTAGAGGGGTATGCGGGTGTTTACCAGGGGAGGACGTCACTCTAACCTATCCAACTCTGCCATTGATACTCATCTAAGCTCTAGCCGACAGTAATGTTACATGACTGATTAATTCATATGCAACCCCCCACTAACACAAATACTCTGCCCCGTCACCCAACCCGCCCCCTCCCCCGCTAGGAACGTCACAACCCTCGCTATATCTTCTGGGATAGCAATGCGATTGCCTAACGGCGTATTCTCCTGGATATAGGCCACCACCGCGCTCGGCACCTCCTGCCGCAGCATATCAGACTCTACCGCCCCAGGCTGGACAGCATTAACCGTGCACCCCACAGGACCGAGCTCACACGCCAACGACCTCGTGAATCCCTCCACTGCTGCCTTGGAGGCAGAGTACACCGAGAAACCGGGGGATCCGCGCCGAGCAGCTACGGAGCTGAGGTTGATGATTCGGCCTGGGTTGTGGAGATGTGGGATCACCGCTCTGGTCATGTTGATCAGGCCGTAGACGTTGATGTCGAAGACGGAGGAGATATCCTCTTGGCTGGTTTCGACGAGGTTCTTGCATAGGGACACGCCGGCGTTGTTGACTAGGATGTCAATTTTGGTGTGTTTGTCTGCGGTTTGGAACGCCTTGAACGTGGCAGCGAGGATTTGGCCTGGGGCGTCTGGGTGCCTGAGGTCGGCTTGGACTTTGATTGCTGCGGAGCCGTTGTTGAGGGCTTGGATTTGGCTGCATACAGCGTCGATCGCGTTCGCGCTGCTTGCGGAGGTGTAGGTTAGGGTGAGCTGCAGCGGATTAGCGATATCATTGCGGAGGTAAAGGTGTATACATACCTTTGCACCCTGCTTTGCCAGATCAAGGGCGATCCCGGCGCCGATGCCGCGCGAGGCGCCGGTGACGATGGCGATTTTTCCTTGAAGGCTCATTTTTGTTGGTGATTTGTACACTGGGTTGGATATACGGATTCGAATATAGAAGGCGTTTAGCTTTCTTATATATGTCATTTGCCTCATCACATAACGTTATGTTATGAGACATTTCTGGAAGATTATCGTATTGGAGGATTGTAGATTATACAGGTCGGGTTATGTTACTGCAAGAGCGTCAGGGAGAAGACAACGATATCCTGTGGAGTTCGTAAATTTCCCACCATAACGTTATGCAATACGAGGGTACCCCCATAACGGTGTTTGTGAGCTCGCTGAGTGACCAAACCTCTCCTCATTATGAATTAGTAGTAGCTAGTCCATAGTATTGATTTGTTCTGTTTGTACCAGAATCGTGTAGAGGATTTGACTCTGTTACTTAGAGCGGATGCAACTATACTCTCGGCCCGTTCGTGAGGGAATACAATTGCTATGGTTGCACAGCAACACTATTATACATTACTTACATACTAGAACACGATATCAAAAAGTCATCTACCAAGTAAACGCCTCCTCCACAAAATCAAGGGCAACCCCCCGATCCACCTGCCGCCTAGCCGCCTCCCTCACATCATCCCCCAGCGCCCCCGGCCCACAAACCGACACCACCGTCGCCCCAATCCTCCTAGGAATGATCTCCTCCAGCACAGTAGCGGGATTACACCGCCCCGCAAACGTCCGGATCACACCCCCCGCCGAGCGCATCTCCCCGGGACTCCTCGGCTTCGACACAAACAGCATGATCGTGAGGATTGTCTCCGCGTGCGGCATCTGCAGAATCTCCTGGATATACTCCATCACCCAGCGGACGCTGTCCATGCTGCGGACTGCCCAGACCAGCGTGATGGAGCGCGTAGCGGCTCGGTCGGCCGCGGCGCGGAGGAGTAGATCCCGGATGAAGAGGAGGTGGTGCGTTATGCCGACGCCGCCGGAGAAGAGAATCGCGGTGCCGTAGCTGGCCATGTTGACTGCGTGGGAGGAGTACGGGCCCTCGAGGAAGCCGGTTGTGGTGAAGGCTTCGTCGGGGGAGGACATGGCGCGAGTGTACAGCGCGCGGGTCATGCCTTGGCGGGCGGCGACGACTAGTGTCACTGCTGTGTGGTTGTATGGGGAGGATTGGCTTTCGAGGGTTAGGGATTTGGTGTCGGTTAATGATTGAATGCTTTTTGGGCGGGTGGTGATGGAGGACTCTGTCCAGGCGGCGGAGAAGGGGTGGGACATCCACCAGGAGATCTGGGGGATGTATGCGAAGAAGTGGCTGCCCGGGGGGACGGGGTATTGTCTGGGGAGAAAGAAGGTGAGACGGCAGGCTTCGCCGGGAAGTGCCTCTACTCGTAGCTTTGTCATGCCGTTTCGTCGAGATACGTTCAGGAAGACGAGCCAGATAAGTCTGGTAGATCGTTCTGCACTCCAGATGATAATGACCCATTGGATCCATGGCTTTTGAGGAAGGCTGTGCATGTCGAGGTGCAGGTATATGCCCAAGACGATCAAGAAGGCACCCGCCTGATGGATGCAGAGAAAGGTTTCGTAGAATGCGTGTCGTACAGGCGAAAGAGAATGAAGAATGAAAAAGCCCATGACTGCAGTTGCAACCATTCCCCAGGCGTAGGAGGGCGTTTCAGAAAGATGCTGAGCAAGTGCGGACGTGTTTGCCTCTCGGACGGTGTTGACGGCCCAAGCAGCCATGTGAATTATGCTCTCGACGGCGGCAATACGACCCAGCCATCGGTGAAGAAGATTATATGAGTCGAAACTGATGCGTAGGAGAGGAATCAAGGGGTTGTTGCGGGTTGCGAAGAGCACAAGAGGGACGATGTTTAATGTGGCCAATGTGCCGGAACGCCCCCGAAGCTCTGCAATAATGGCAGGCGTCTCATTCTGATAGTTGAGGTCACAGCAGTAGACAATTTGGCTGAGAATATATCCAAAGATAAGAAGCGAGTGAAATCGGGATGGGAGAGTGCCCATATTCATGGCCGACGAGAGCTGGATCTCTCGGTTATGGCGTTTGCCGAACAATGGCGCGTAGAGCAGGCGGCTTTTGATTCGTATCCAAAGTGACGATTCGGTGATGCTCCATACTGATTGTTGCTTTTCAGTTGCACCGGAGCAGACAATGTAACGAAGATAGGCATGCCCGATTTGAGCCAGCCGTGCAAGTAGGACCAACCCGGCGAAACCCAACATGGACGAATAGATGAGTTGCACAAAAAGAACATCGCGAGGAGTGTTGAGGCCATCATGGCCTGTGGAGTAATCCACCATCCCATCAGTCTTCATGTTGATGATGCAGATAATTAGACTCAAGATGATCAACAGAGCAGCGCTCACTGCGTATATAAGTCCGCCTATCACCCCAAGGCTTCTTGGCTACATGATCCACCAGGGACACCGCTATGAGGAATCCATTCTGTCATTCTTCGCATCATTCCTTTTTAGGGGAAACACACCATCCCATAGCTTGATACAGGGAATCGCAAGGGTCTGTCCCGATCGCATGACACCATCGCGGTTGTCGACCTGTCTAATCCGGCCTATTAACGGATAGACTGACAAATAAGAGCATCTATCATTCTCCATCGTTCGAGGGAAGACCATCGGATTCGGTATCCCTTGTTAACCGAGAAGGTCAGGGTCCTGGTGAAACCTGCAGAGGGGTTTATCCACAACAAAAGCAGTCCCAGTTTGCCTCCCAGTCATTTATGAGCGATATCCTTTGTCCTGTAAAGGAAGTCCGAGTGCTTCAGATGGGAAGCTTCTTCTACTTTGACACAGTGTGAGACATTTTTGTGAAGAAAAAGGAGGTGTCCGTGTGGACGTGAAGCATTCCATGGGAACTTCCTTCGATGGTGAAACAATCGTTGTTCCGTCGTGTGGTATCCTCATGTTGTATCCTCTCTGTGGGGAAGCAGGAGATCGAGTTATCGACTTAGATATGGTACCTAGCATAGGACGATCTGAGACTGCCGATGAGTAACAGTTTCAGGTTGCTGAATATCCTGCTCAAACCGTGGGTCTGGACTCGGGTAACTGTCCAAAATCCCCACCGTTTCAGAGTTGCTAAATATAGCTCCAAATATGGGCATTCGATATCTCGCTTAAGTCTCGACCTCGAATGTATCAAAGTCTTCAGGTCGAAGCTTCTTGAAAACACCCGGACACGGTTTACTCGCCGCCACCTATAGAAAGGTAAACACACCTTAAGTGATCTCGGAAGTAAGCATGGATACCAAAATTTGAGATGTCCTGAACCGTGGGCCCTGACCATTAGTCGGTCCTCGTTAGTGCCTGTGCAGAAGCACTAGTGCTTGGACCTCGGCAAATCAGACGTTGCTATTATTATATTCAAAACAAATGCAACCGGATACTGTCACATGTATATCCCCTCCACCACTATAAAGGTAAAAGCTCACTCTTATCTCTGTTCTACGGAGCAACTTCTGTTTTTCATATAAGTGGGGGACTTGGCTGTTAGAGCTATAATAGGGATATTATATATTGAAAGCTAGAAGCCTGAATCCATGCTCTGTAGCTAGGCTTGAGAGTCTAGCCATATGGTGAACACTAGGGCACTCTATAGTACCCTATCGGCCTATCCATTGTTTGAGGAGTCAAAATAACCGACAAATAGTAGTAGAAGGATCCCTATCAACCTTCACGTCTGATGCGGCACCAGCCTTATCAAGGGTCTTTAGTTTCCGATTTGGAAAACATGCCTCTCCCTTTGACTTAGTTCTTTCGCATCAGGGAGAATAGTTTCGGATTCGTGAGAGCTGCTGAAGCATCTCCTCCGACATCTGCCCGAGTTATTGAGCTGACTTGGTTTCGGTAGTGATAATATGCTTCGCGGAGGTGAGGCCACCGACTGTTGCCAAACCAGCGAGTGGGAGTCGCCGGCTAATGTTACACGTTTGAATATGTTACTCAGACGAATGGCTTTTCCATTCCACCCCTCTGGAGACAATTGAGGAAGCTTTTCTTCGCCGACTGAGGTATATCCGTCTCATTACCCGGCGGCCGGATGGAGAGAGACGCCATGGCTAACGAAGGAGGCAGCAGCTGTAATGTAATCCCAATTAAGACCACCCTGGTTTCTAATGCGCTCGACGCTTTAGACTCTGCATAGCCCACAGGAAATGAAAGCAGAATAGAAAGACCCAGATGATAAAGATCAGAGCGACACTTGCAGCAAGTAGAATCAAGCTTGCCACTGCGAATCGTTGTGACCCTTGCTGGAAGACGTGGTTATCCTGTAACTTTTGTGTCCCAAGCCCTACCTGCATCGCACTTAATCCAACGGTGAGGTACGCAAAAACCGCAAAGATCCAGCTGAAATTGCGCGCGAAGAAGGCTCTATACCATGTCGATTCAGATTTGAATCCCTTGATAAAATTCGTCGTGGAGAAGACTGAAGGGGAAAATCTGTATATCCGGTGCAATCTTGAGAGACGCAGCTCGCCATATTGGTACCGGATGGAGACATTGCTAAGGGAGTCTATATCAACATGACTTAGAAAGTCGGCCAGGAATTTCACCCAATTCTCCCAAGTGATTGATTCAGGCAAAAGACCGCTGGAATGCGCCAGTGTGAGATCGGATCTATGACATATAAGCCAGCTATAAGATAGGAGAAACCCATAAGCAGATTTGCGTAAAGATTCATCTTGAAATTCCTTTTCAAGATGGTCCTCCCAATACTGATAGGAAATCAGATATTCCGGAAGCGGTTTGACGAATATACGGGACTCATGCCAAACAAGGTGCTCGTTCGGATCTTCGGTGATTATGATTGTGCGATCAAGCAGTCTTTGTCGATACAATGGCCGTGCAGCCCTAGGAAGACCTGCGAGCCAGAGATGGCGATGGATTTTGTCCAGACGGGGTGTCTGCAGATCTTGCTCCAGGTACGTGCGCAGGTCATCCACCGGATAGAGGGCTGAAGTCCTCCGCGGAATGTAGACAGGTAGACAAACGGGACTGCTTAGAAGTTCATTTTCTTTCTGAAAAGGGGGTCCGACAGCCCTAATTGAGTTGTCAACTTTTCGTCATTGGGTGGATCATTTTCATTATGTGTTGCACTCACCTAGTCGACTCCATCTTCCATCAACCTCACAACGCCATTGACTTTAGAAACGTGAACTGTAAGGCTTTATACTGGAGAGAAACATTATCAACACCCCGAACAGCCCTGCCATTGATCCCGGTCGTGCACGAACTTTGTATCATGATGAGGATGGAAACGAAAGAATGAGATTGAGATTGGAGGAATTGACAGATCTGCCTGGAGGTTTAAGCGCTGCGCAGTAAGGCTAGGAAATCGCCAGGCAGGGGGATTGGACCAGTAATATTACTCAAGGGTGTAATAGCCCTTGAAAGGTACAGCAGGGCGCCAAAAAGCAGAGACTAATTGGACATCGAGCAAGGCTGAGCATCGGCACATACTGATTCGACCGACAAGTGTGTTGGCCATGAGCCCCGTGACTTGCTTAATATTCTTACTGTTTTTTCACTTCAGCGTTGACTTTATCAAACCTACAAGGACGTCCTCCATCGGCGGTATTGCTGCATTATGGCAACAGACCACTATCAAAACTTCAGGCTAAGAGGAATCCCACTTCGATATCGAACCAGGCCTGATGTCCGGCAACTTGTCATGAGCGTCCTTTCTATTGGACCTGGTGCAAGTGTCGCGGTTCATTCTCTTGCCATCAACCCAGTTGAGCGAAATAGCAAGGTCGCTACTGTTAGTTTCCATACTGTCCCTGTGTCTTTATATCAAGGTTCAAAAGATCAATGGAAATTTGCGCTGCCCCCGGAGGGGGATGAAGACACCGTGGACACCACACACACTCTTATACTGGATACTCACTTCTCGGGTTTCACGCCTCTCCAACATTCTGAAGAAGACAGCTGTGACGTGGAGTAAGTTTTCAGGACATCTGTGACCAGGAATCGACGTTAACACGTGCTAAGCGTGATCGCAATATCGGGTCTTGGTGGCCACGCTTTTGGTTCCTTCAAAGAAAGGGGCGGTTCATTCATGTGGCTCCGTGATGCTCTTCCGTTAGATTTTCCTAATGCAAGGATCCTGATCTATGGTTACGACAGTCGGCTAGTCCGGAGCAGTTCATTCCAGAACTTGACGGACTTGGGTAGAGCCCTTCAGATCGACATGAATAGCATCCGGGTAATCACTCCTCGCATCTCCACTCAAATCCGCACGTATGGCTAATACAGTGTCCAGGAATCAAGCCAATCCCGTCCCATAGTATTCATCGGACATAGCCTTGGAGGACTCGTCATTAAAGAGGTCTGTATTAACGATGGGTATGGTTTTCAGTGTGCTCACAAGCCGGTCGACAGGCTATATGCAAGCTGAAAGAGGAAATGGATGAGACCGGCGCATCAATTCTGAATGCCACTTGCGGATTCCTATTCTTCGGCGTCCCCCATCAAGGGATGGCTATCGAGTCGCTCGTTCCCTTGGTAAAAGACCAGCCTAACCGGGGTCTTCTCGAGTCCCTCGGTAAGAATTCAGCGCTTCTTACACGCCTCGGACAGGACTTCGGGAATGCATTCGGCGAAAGGCACATTCCTATCATTTCATTCTACGAAAAGGAGAAATCTCCTACCGCAGTGAAGGTGAGTTACTGAGCAGTTCAAACGTTATTGTCCTTATAATCGCTTGAACTTCGTCTAGAGAAATGGCCGGTGGGAACTTTCCGGACCTTTGAGTGTTTTGGTTGATGTCTCATCCGCAACATGCGGCAGTAAAAACCAACACCCAATCGGCCGCTGTCACTCCGAGATGGTGAAATATAGCGACCAATATGATGCCCTCTATCAACGAGTTAGGACAGCTCTACGACCACTACTGTTGAAAGCACGAAACACGCGTGATATAGTGACTGCAGAAGCTGGAAATAACTGTGTGTGGCCGGATTTGATTATCTAGCTTCTTAATATACTAAGAGTTTCTCCAGCCTTAGTGCCGCATCCAACAAAGAGCTTGGGTATGTAGTGCAAGACCCAATGCTCAACAGGCAACTGACTAGGCACAGAGTGTCTCAGGTCACTTTCTTTCCGAGAACAAGACTGGAGACTTAACGAAATCCATTCTGCAGTAAACACCTGTGGGTGGCTCCTCGACGATCCGCAGTACAAACATTGGATGAACAAGCCAAGAGGTCTTTTCTGGATCAAAGGGAATCCCGGGACCGGCAAATCTGTCCTCATGAAGTTTGCTGCTCAAGCAATGGCTCGCAGAAAATCCGGACAGCTTGTGATATCCTACTTCCTACACGGTCGAGGAACGCTTTTACAGAAGACGCCATTGGGTGTTTTCCGCGCATTGTTAAATTGCATGCTCAATATATTCCCGACATACCTCTCTGAGCTCACTGCCCAGTTCGAGGATCGCGAGAAACGATTTGGATCCTATGAGGAAGGTAGATGGACCTGGACGGAAAAAGAGCTCCAAGAATTTCTGTTCCGAGTTCTGACAAAAGGCACGAAGGCCCATCCCGTTGTAATTTTTGTCGACGCGCTTGACGAGACGGGTAAAGACGCTGCAAGAAGCTTGCTATCGTACTTCAGAGATATGATGAGAGACGTTGAGCGCGACAAGGGGCTGGTAAAGATATGTGTTTCTTCTAGACACTATCCTATCCTTGGCCTCGACATCTTCCCAACTACTTCCGTGGAAGAGCGAAATGATCAAGACATTCGATTGGTTATTCGAAATAGGCTCGAACAAGTCCAACCAGACTCAAAGCGTCAGCAAATTGAAAATCAGATCTTGTTAAAAGCTCAAGGAGGATTTCAATGGGCGGTCCTAGTTAGTAATATGGTGATTGAGGAGAACGACAATGGCACCAAGGCGGACATCCTGCAGGAAAAGATCGTCTCTATACCGGAAGCACTCGATGAACTTTATGCGAGCATTCTGTGTAGCGTTCCGGAAACCGAAAGGCAGCAGACTGTCAAGTTATTCCAATGGGTCCTATTCACAGCGCGGCCGTTGTCTGCACAAGAACTTCGGGACGCACTTTCTATCGATAAGGGCATGCAGTGCACTACCGATATTCGAAAGCATTCAAGTTGGTCTGACACCCTGCTTGAGTTTGAGAGGCATGCTAAGCACCTTTCAAGGGGACTGATTGAATTTCAGTCCCGCGAGCTTTGGGAGCAATATGGACCTGACGGGGAAGACCCCGACAGGGAGGCTCAATTGATCCACCAATCAGTTGCTGACTATTTGCTCAAGAATTTCCTGAGCCATGTTGAACATGACCAAAGTATTTCTCAATCTCCAGTCGCAGCTGGCCATTTTCAAATATCGAGGTCCTGTGTCAGATACTTGACGTTAGAGGAAGTGCTAGAAGAAGCTCAGTGGAGGCCAAGTCAACTCCGGATAAGGTTCCCACTGGTCCCATACGCTGTGCGGTTCCTGTTGCACCATATTCAGGAGGTGGAAGGAGAGGGAATCGCCCAATCTGATCTTCTCTCCCTCATTCAGTCAGACCGACAACCAAACATGCAGAGAATCGGCAGTGTATGGAGTGTGTCCGATCCTGATTGCATCTACGCGCCTATAGGCTGGCCCTTTGCTGAAGCAACCGCGCTTCACGTTCTTATCGCACTGGGTTCGAAGAGCGCTTTTGACGAATTCTTGCAGAAGGATAATGTGCAATTTAACGGTAGAGACGCCGAAGGGAATACGCCATTACTTCTCGCGATCAGAGAGGACAAGCAAGACATGGCCCTAGCGCTGCTGAATCGGTCGATTGAGTGGCGGCTTCGACAAAATGAAGACGTTGAACAGAGCATCGACGGTGCCAAGGCCACAGAACTGGAAAAGAGCTACCTTGTGGATATTAACACCGAGAATAATGATGGTGAAACGCCACTGACTGTTGCCCTAACAAACAATACCGGAGAGGTGGTCTATGCATTACTTGAGGCAGGCGCTGACCCGAAATTTCTTGGCCAAGAGAGTGCCCTCATTTCCTACGCCATTCGTAACAGGGACGAGCCTCTACTCATGAAGCTTACTGAGAAAAAGGTGAAACTAGATGGGGCCGTCCATCTCGCACTGAAAGAGATTAAGGACAACGAGGATCTTCTTAAACGAGTCATATTGGAACTTCTGCAGGCTGGAGCCAACACGACGAGGCTACCGGAATTTGACAGGGACATTGGAACTCCCTCAGCAGATGAAACTCATGATGGATATGAGCATGATGATGAGGCGATTCTCCTGGCTTCACGAAGTGGGCAAACAGCCATTGTGAATCTTCTTCTTTTGTACGGCGTTTCGGCAACCTCTCAGGATCGATATGGGGACTTTCCATTACTTGTTGCCATGAAAAAGGGTCATAAAGAAATCGTTGAAATTCTGCTCCAGGCAGAGCCTGCCGCAGTTGAGATGGAAGGAAATCGTGGTCAGCAAGCTCTGATCACGGCAATAGATCAAGATGAAGTTGAGATCGCCATGCTCCTTATTCAAAAAGGAAGTTTCCACCCGTCAACTGCAGCGCTGCGGGAAGGCCTTTCTAAGGCCATCGAGAAGGACATGTCGGATTTGGTGGATATTATCCTACGGAAAGATAAGGGCTTAGTAGAAATTGAGATCGCCTCAGACCAGACACCACTTTCCTTTGCAGCAGAAAATGGATCCGAAGCAGTTGTCAAGCTACTCCTTGAAGCAGGAGCCAACATGGAGTCTGAGGACAATTATAATCAGACACCACTATATCTGGCAGCATTACATGGGCGTGAGGCAGTGGTTAAGCTACTCCTTGAAGCAGGAGCCAACATGGAGTCCAAGAACACCTATGATCGGACGCCACTATATCAAGCAGCATTAAATGGGCATGAAGCAGTGGTTAAGCTACTTCTTGAGGCGGGCGCAAGTCTAGAGTCAAAGGACATCAATCAACATACACCACTTATTTTGGCAGCAAAGAGAGGGCGTGAGGCAGCAGTTAAGCTGCTCCTTCAAGCAGGCACGAACCTAGAGGCAAAAGATACCTTAGGTCGGACACCACTATCTTATGCAGCATGCAATGGGCATAAGGCAGTGGTTAAGCTACTCCTTGGGGCAGGCGCCAATCCAGAGTCAAAGGATGTCACTAAACAGACGCCACTACTTTTAGCAGCAGAGAGTGGACATGAAGCAGTGGTTAGACTGCTTCTTCGAGCAGGCACCGACCTAGAGTTAAAGGGTATCCTTGATCAGACACCACTATCTCGCGCAGCATGGAGTGGGCATAATGCAGTGATTCGCCTACTCCTTAAGACAGGTGCCAATCCAGAGTCAAAGGATGTTGATGATCGGACGCCGCTGCTTTTGGCAGCAGAGAGAGGGCATGAAGCAGCGGTTAAGCTGCTTCTTCAAGCAGGCGCCAACCTAGAGTCAAATGATAGTGTCTTTCATCAGACGCCACTATCTCGCGCAGCATGGAGTGGGCATGAGGCAGTGGTTAAAGTGCTCCTTGAGGCAGGTGCCAATCCAGAGGCAAAGGATATCTATAATTGGACGCCACTGTTATTGGCAGCAAAAAGGCATAAGGGAGTGGTTCAGCTACTGCTTAAGGCAGGCGCTAACCCAAAGTCAATGGATATTTCGAGATCCGCGCCACTATCATGGAGCAGCAGTGAAGGGGAATGAGCAGTGGTCCAGCCACTCCTTGAGTCAGGCGCCAACCCAGACGATTGCGCTTCAGCTTCATGTTTGGGTTGCCTGTTCTCGTCGTCCATGAGTGCATCGGTACCACCCCACTTCCGAGAATGGTCCAAGAGTGATTCAGAAGTAACCCAACAGTAATCCAGATATAAGACTGGTCATGACGATATTCGAAAGGTAAAGGGAATGTGATATGCCGCAAGTATAGCAAGGATATGAGACGCGTCCTTATCCACGCAAGCCGTACATGAGAGAGTGGCTTTATGGTAGACTACCGAGGTGGCCTGTTCTTGTCTGAGACCCAAGCTCTAAAGCTTGGACTTTATCCGCCTGCTAAAACAGTTAGCCGAAACAAGTGAAACGCAAGTCAAACAAGCCAGACGTTAAATAGACAAGGAAATAGGGGCAAAGGTTGCATCTAGTTGTACCATAACAGGAATTGCAGTTCATTTCATGTGACATTCTATTTAATATGGTTGATCTTTACTAAGTCCAGCCTTCCCTACCCTTGCAAAAACCAACTTCAATAGACAATAGCGCTATTTCCATTCTGCACAGCGTATCGACAATAGACCTGTCCGTTCCAGGCCCGTGGTATAGTAAGATGGACTGTATGCAAGTTGAAGGTCCGTCATCTGACAGAAAGCTGTCTTACCATTTGAGCGATTGCCTTGATAAGTGTCCGCTGTAGCTGACAGAAGAAAGGGCTTCCCACTCTGGTAAGAGGTTAACTCAAAGGGCAGACAAATAGCAATTTTGTTCCTACTTGCGTGTTTTAACATCCAGTGATGCACAAGAGATGTAAGCAAAATTTTGCATCTGGCGATCATCACAATATCGCTTACTCCATGTATCCTGTAGGGCGTAGGGCGTGGGCCATGACAACTGTAAATAAAGCCGCAATTAGGCAACCACAGATGGTACATCCTATATAGCATCCCAGTTACCCAGACGCCGTTGTATAAGATTTGATATTTTTTTTATGACAATTAGTTTACCAGAACTCTGCCAAAAAATGACAATGCCAGCTCCAACCCCCACCCTGCACTACCGCCTCGCAATCCCCTCCGACGCCCCCGAAATCCAACGCCTCATCCAATCCGCCTTCCGTACCCCAGACACAAGACCAAAGTGGACCGGAGACACAGCGCTCTCGTCAGCCTTCAGCATTGAGATCACCGAGATCCTAACCACGATCACTACGCCGGACAGGGCATTCGTCCTCGCCACCGATCCCACCGGCGCCCTGATCGCCTGCGTCGGCATCTCCAGGGGCACCGCGGGCGCTGACACCGCGCGCTTCTTCATGTTAGCTGTCGACGATGCTTACCAGCGCGGTGGGGTCGGACGGAAGGTACTTGCCTACGCGGAGGAGTATGTTCAGAGGGAATGGGGTGTTCGTCGGGGAGGGCTGAATGCGCTTTCGACGCGGGAGGAGCTGATTCTTTGGTACTTGCGACGCGGGTATCAGAAGACCGGGGAGGTGACGCCGTTTCCAGTTGAGAGGTTTGCAGGTATGGAGTTGCCTGAGGATTTGTGCTTTGTGGAGATGGAGAAGGCGTTTGTTGCAATGTAATTGCGTGGGGACTCGTTTGCGGCGTAGAAGCTGGTATGCATATCATACATACGTCTGGAAGTATTTGCCTCCGGCAGCTTGTGAATCATAGGGATAGTCAAGGCAGTAAAATAAACTGAGCACCGTACAGTTGATCAGGATGTAATCGTGCTAGAGGTTCGCTATAAAGGCTCTTGACTTCAGCCACTAGTTATTGAAGATATGCAGGAAGTACAAGGTGAATTTGTACTGGTAAATATCTAGCGTTACAGGAAATGCTAATCCCGCTCGCGAAAACCCATAGCCACCCAATTAGCCCGGACCCTGGCCTTGACATCCTCAGGATAGGAGTGCTCAAAATCAGCCGCCTCCCAGTCTGCACCGGTGGTATACTCCGCAGGCATAAGAGCATCAGACACTACCTTTCCACCCCGCACTGGGGACCCAGTACCATGAGACATGTACGGAATTAGCGGGAAACCACGGACATCCTCAAAGAAAGTCTCGTCGGCATTAGGACGGCAACGGGTCGAGAACGCCCACATAACGTCCTTTCCATTGTAGACGTCGATATCATCACCCACGAGAACAATGCGATGAATGGTGTAGCCCGCCTTGTGGTTGAAGACGACGTCGCCGACTTTTTTCTGGAACTCCTTGGCAGTAAGCTTCATCTGGCGAAGCTTGGCAGTGTCGACCTTGAGTGCTACCCAGGTCACCTGGGATTCGAACGGGGAGAAGGCATCCGTGATAGGGAGGCCGGCGACCTGGCAGACTTTGCGGATTTCGGCTGCGGCCAGGGCACCGATCATCGTGTGTGTCTCGTCGGTGAGGCGACCGCAGGCTGACATGGGGAGGATGGGATTCGTCCGGTAGGTGATCTTCTCCACAGTGTAGACAGGGCATTTGTGGCTGTCGCCCGGGAAGACATAGCCGTGCATTTCGCCAAACGGGCCCTCGTCAGCGGTTTCAGTGATGGAAATGGTACCTTCGAAGACGATTTCCGCGTTGGCGGGAACGTATAGGTCATTGGTGTCGCATTTTACGAGTTCAAGGGGTCGACCGGTCATGGCACCGACATAGCCCGCTTCGGCGACCCCGTCGGGAATGGGCATAGACGAAGCCATAATCGCCGCCGGCGGGACGCCAAAGCAGAGTGCCCATGGCACGTCCTTTCCCTCCTTCTTCCACATCTGATGGATCTGCCAGATGTGCTGTGGTTCGATCACCAAGCCCGTAAGGTGGTTCTTGTCCTTGACCATCGCACGAGCAATAGACCAATTCGTCCAGGTCCCATCAGGGGACTGCACGACGTGCATACCATATGTCTGGAGGTATTTGCCCCCGTCGGATTGATGTATCATAGGGACAGGCAAGGCAGTCAGATCAATCTCGTCGCCCGTCAGGCAATGCTCCTTCACAGGACCAGTTTCGACAATCTTGTGCTCGATGGGAGGGAGGGAGCTAGCAGAGAGCATTTTGTCGAGTATTTCCTTCATGCTAGCCGTGGGTGGGAGGGCGAGATGGCGAGCCAGGCGGCCGTAGCGATCGCGGCTGGAGGCACGAAGGGAACCGGGGGCACCAAGGATACGGAAAAGCCCATTCTTTCTCATTCCCTTCAGGTTATTAAACAAGGGCGCTTTATCATCGGTTTCGCATACAAGCCGGGTAATCGCAGCAGCTTCGAGGTAGGGATCGACCTCTGTGTTGATCTCGACCAAGTCGTTGTCTGCCTTGAGGGCTTCGACAAAAGCGCGGAAGGAATGGTCTACGTCGGTATCGTTAACAGTAGTCATTGTGATATGAGTTTCTTGAGGAATGTGAAAGAAAAGACTAAAATCGAGTCGTGATGTGAGGTAACAGACGAGGTCGATCACTAGCGAGGGAGTTATATAGTGCCGCCATGGAACGGATGATCGGCAATGGCCGATGACAGTATACTCTAGAAGTTGGCCGAATAATCGGCAGGCATCGTTCTCAAAAGCTTGCCTACAATGATTTCATCAAGGCATTTCCGAAAGTTGGCACAGATGCCGAGTGAAAATGGTGGCTCGCCTATGCCGATTTCCGTTGGCTCGGGGCATCGGAGGCTCGGAGGCTCGGGTTGGCGCCCAATTTATACCTCCACAACGACATTATCAAATCCGAGCCACCGAGATCAGGTTTCGCCATGAGGAGAGCATCATATGGCCGGGTAAAGTGCCGCAGTACTGGCAGCGCGTGGCCTTAAAACCAAGTCAAGCAACCGAAGGGTCTCTATCACTTCCTCAATTCTCCAGTCTTCTCAGAATCGATCCTTGACCCAATCCACAATGTTTGCATCACTGCTACCCTCCGGCGCCAATACGCCCAATTCTGGCCGCTACAGTCCTGATCATACCTCTGATTCTCACTCTGCATCACATACAATCCTCACACAGGAAACTTCCACATCAAATAATGAGCACCTCAGGTTCCCAGCGAAAGGTCGACGGAAAAAAATCGTCGTCGCAATGACGGGTGCCACCGGCGCAATTCTAGGCATCAAAACACTCATCGCCCTTCGCCGGCTCAACGTTGAAACACATCTTATCATCAGCAAATGGGCCGAGGCCACTATCAAGTACGAGACGGATTATAGTCCTCGGAACGTCCGCGCATTGGCAGACTATGTGCACAACATCAACGACATGGCGGCACCAGTGTCGAGTGGCTCTTTCAAGACGGACGGGATGGTAATCGTGCCTTGCTCGATGAAGACGCTTGCGGCAATCAACTCTGGTTTCTGTGACGACTTGATTTCCCGTACGGCAGACGTCATGCTCAAGGAACGGAGGCGGCTGGTTCTCGTCACGCGCGAAACCCCGCTTAGCGATATCCATCTTCGCAATATGCTTTCTGTCACGCAGAGTGGGGCGGTCATTTTCCCTCCCGTGCCGGCTTTTTACATCAAGGCTTCTAGTATGGACGAGATTGTTGATCAAAGCGTTGGACGGATGCTTGATCTCTTTGATCTTGATACTGCTGATTTTGAGAGGTGGGAAGGTTGGAAGAAGGAGTCATAATCGACTTGTTCATGTAACTACGGGGCTTGCCTAATCAAGCATATTTTTCGCTCAGGCGTATTCTGTGGCATGATTAAGAACATAACATCCATGGTGGCTTCAAATGTAGTGATGTTGCGACTCATGCAGGGCCGGCCTGGCCGTCGGGAAAATCGAATAGTGGTACTGCGGTGAATTAGCAAGAAAACTAAGATAGAACAGGATCCGTACCATTCATTATAGAGTCTAGGTAGGAAATAGGCGAGACATCGATATCATTGCTGAATAAACTCCCCGACAAACTTGAGCCGATTAGTAAACTGTAGTAGACTGAGCAGGGAGGAATCTCACCCAAAGTCAAAGTTGGTAGGAACATCGCCAGATGGTTGAACATCACCGAATTCCATGGCACCTGAGCCGGATAGGACGTCTTCCAATCGTTGAGGGAGGTGGCTTCGTGGCGATTCTCGCTGCCTCTCGGGGTTTGCGTGTGCTTCACGCATTGGGGTCTCACGCACAGCATTTCTCAACGCGACGAGGGCGTGGATATGCCTCCTTGACAACCATTGACCATTACCATGTTGGCCATTACCGTCCTGTCCATCAGTGCCAACTCTAGAAAATACCTCGATGACACGTTGCTGCAAGTCGCGACATGCCGGGTCATGGCGAGTCACCTCCCAAAGGCAAAGGAGCAATGTAGAACTGAGTACCGTGTGTACCATAGACCAGGTGCGTAATGGGACGATGCTTAGAGTTTCAAAGTCGAGGAAGGCCTTTGCAGCCTCGACCAGACTGTCTTTGGCCCTATCGCGCAGAATTCGAAGGCGCGGGTAGAGAGAGGTTCCGGGTAGCCTTTGGATGGCTGGCCGACATATGACCGACACGCAGAACGAAACATGGATGCGGAGGGCCAAATGCTCCTGGTGCTGGTGCAGGCTCGTACAGTGTTCTCGGGAAAGGAGGTGGGGTTGTACACGCTTGAAAACGCCGTCCAATCCAGCTAATGCCTTGTGGCAATAAATCAGGTTGTTGCGTTCTCTCTCTTCTGAATTGTTGATTTGCAGACCTAGCCGGCATAGGTAGTGCATCATGTCCGTGTATGATACGTTCGACTTCAGAGTAGTCAAGTCCAGCTGCCAGCCTGTCGTGGACACCATAGAGGGGCGGTCATAGCACAGGCTCAACAGGCTGTCTTGCCAAACCGTCATAGACCTTCAGGGGTCAGCTGTGAACTTCATCTCGGTATATCTACTCACCACAATGCTCTAGCCTTTGGTCTCATTGGTTCTGGCCAGTGAGAAATGCTCTTCTCGGTATGTAGTCCCAAGGTCTGGGCCAATCTGACAGTAGTGCCAAGCAGAGCCCACGCGGCATCAGATTGGCCGTTGTTCTGTAGCGTATTTCCCAGAAGGAGTAGAGACTGAACAACTTCCAGAGATGGCCTCAAGAGGAAATTTGCCAGCCTTAATGCTTGGAAAGATCGGCGGGCTTGTTCCAGCGTCAGTCATGACTTCATGATAGAAGAGGGCTAATTCTTACCAAAGCTTTGATATTTTTCGGATCTCTCGGGGTTCTCAAGGTCTGAGTAGTGCGCTCCCGAAGCCAACGCAGCCAGGAGGAGACTGATCTGGCCGACAGATCGGTCCGACGACCATCTTTCTGAGATCTTGTCGTGGTCGCGCAGTTCCCCGGACGCGTATGATGTAAGGAATTGGCATATGATCAATTCGAAGCCGTCGATATCGACAAGTATTGGGTTGAATGGATGGGCGGAGACGCGATAGAAGTGAAAAAACCTACTGTCTATCAGCATCGGCACCTCTGGTTAGTCGCTCAACGTACTTCAAAACCTCCTCCCTTTGAGGAAGAATCTCCACGAGAGCCTTCCAGCGATCTATGGGAGTTTTGAGATCAAGGAACGGGTAATTGCTGAAACTGTTTTGGAGGCCCAACACAGAGCTCGCCTTGTGGGCAATTGATCCATCAGCATCGTGTGAACCCAGTATGGAAATGACTGTGTTGTCTCCAGAAAAGACGTAATTTGCAGGGTTCTCTTGATTGACCGGTTCCGACTCGGGTCTAGTATGCAGAGGAGTCGCCGAATCTCCGAGGTGAGGCCGATAATTGGCACCCCTCAAGTCAGACGGGAATGCAGCGTAAGAGGCATCAGAGATGGAATTCTGAGGACTTAACCTGGCTCGCTTCCGCGGAGAAGATTCCTCATAATCATATACACAGATCTGGGGATGACCACGTTTCTGGCAGGTTCTGCATGGATGGCCGTTGTCGCACTTGACTTTGCGCGAGCGACAGGGATAGCACGCTTTTGTCTCGCGCTGCTGCCGCTTAGCTCGTAAGATCCGGTCGATCTCTTGGCGGTCAACACTGGAACCTGTCATCTCTGGAGAGAATAAATTGAGGCGGCTGTAGGCCGTTATATATAATGTCTACGCTCACAAAGGATGGAATTGTTATGGTGAGAGATTGAAAGGCCATCGTCGGCACTCGGCGGTGTCGCGTTAGTATCCTGATTCCTGAGGCACCTTTGATTCTGTGACTTTTCACTTCCAGATTCGGTCAGAAGCAGTGCCGCTTTAGCGCTCAGCAAGCACATGCCAATCCCTTCATACGTGATTCTACATATTATGTATATTATGAGATAAAAAGTCTATAATAGTACTCTGGAATTACCGGATTATTTCTTCACGTGCGATATTCTATAGTTATAAGGGTATATGTGCGAGAGATTCCACCCGCCAGTGTCCTGTCATGATGCTTTCCCGGAGTTGACAGTGATCTCGACTATTAGATTCGCGCAGAATTACTCAAACTACTAACGAAGCGGACTGGTCCTTGGAAATGATTTCAAACTGTTGTTTAGACAGTAACACTGCCTAGTCATGTAATATACACTGCGTGGTCACATCCCAATCTAATTAGTCAGAAACTCCAAGGAAATCCTAGTCATGTAATATACACCGCGTGGTCACATCCCAATCTAATTAGTCAGAAACAAACTTCTAGAAAATCCTAAAAGCAAGTGACACGTTAAGTGACATATTCTCATCATCCTACTCATTCTCCCGCACATCAATAACAGTCGTCTTGAACTTCCTTGCAGGAAGCTTGCGGTTGAAGAGGATGTCGGTCTCACGGTAGGAGCGGTGCTTAAGTTCAGGCAGGAAGAAGTAGGCCATCACCCAGCAGACGCAGGCAGTACCACCCCAGACGTAACCGCACTTGCCAGCCAAGTTCCATCCGGTGGGGTTGAGCATGCGTGAGGAGAGGTAGATCATGGGGATCTCGGCGACGTAGTAAGCGGCACGGCCGACACCGGTGCTCAGAGCGCGGAGACGGACCGAGGAGGTCTCGGAGATGATGGTGTAGGAGATCGGGCCCAGGGTACCGGCAAACACGAAGGAGATGAGGATCCCGAGACAGGCCTGGGCGTAGTTGGTCGACGAGTTCTGGGGGATCGAGGCGCAGATACCCAGGATCATAAGCAGGGTGATGTTGGTGACGGTGCCCCAGAGATAGATGGTTCGACGACCGAACCAGCCGGTAAGAGGCCAAGAGCAGGCGTTGGCAACGAATTGGAGGCAGGAGTTGATCAGATTGAGCTGGAAAGCACGGTTGGGATTAATACCGGCCTCTACGCGGGATTAGTATCTGTCACTCGTGTAGGCAGGCACAAGGGGTACTCACGCTCGAAGAAGAAAGTTGCCTGGTTGGCAATCAAGTTACCGGCAAAGTTCTGCGACGCGTACATCAAGCAGGTGATGATGGTTCGTCTGAGATCAGTACCCTTGAACAGGTCGAGGAGGGTAGGAGTGCCACCCATCTGCTCTTCGATCTTGACGGTTCGCTCGATCATGGCCAGCGACTGTTGAGCATGCTCAGAGGACTTGGCACCGAGGCGCTCGATGGAGCGAAGAGCCTCCTTCTTGCGTCCGCGACGAATCAACCACCAGGGAGATTCGGGGGCCAGGAAGATGAGGACCAAGAGGGGGGTCTAACGAGTCAGCTTTGTAGGTATGAGACCTAGGAAAAGAGACTTACCGGGAAGAGCCACTGCAAGGCCAGAGGTACTCGCCAAGCCCACTCATCGTCTCGCTTATTGTAGCCATAGGTGGCGGCGGCGACAATGATGGAACCGATCGACCAACTCATTTGCAGAGTAGCCGTGCAGGCACCTCGAAGGGCGAGAGGGACGATCTCACTGGCGTAGGCGGGGGAGTTTGCAATGAAGAAACCCCACGGGACACCTTCCAACGCTTGTCCGACCACCAGGAGGGTGAGTGAGTCGGCCTGTAATGCGGTCAGCGACAAGTTCAACAGCAAGGGGCCGAGGGACTCACGAAGAAAGAAATGAAAATGGTGGCGTTCATAAGCATCAAGGCCAAGATGGTAGTCCAGCGGTAGCCAAGACGGTTGGTGACGGGACCAGCCAAAAATACACCAACAAAAGCACCACATTGACCGGATTGGAAGAGAGCGCTCTGCCACCGGGTTGGGATAGCATAACCACCCCCTTGCACTGGTACACCGTATCTCTTTTGAAAAGCGGATTGCGCGACGAAGTTACCATTCAAAAACATGTCAAACGACTCCATGACCTGCTGTCCATTAGCACTGCAAAAGATGCAATTTCTGCTAGTCGAGGGATACTCACAATGGTGAAGCACATGGTAAAGGCCCAGAAACAAGCCCAGGGATGGGCCTTGACGGCCGCCCACAAGCCCATCTCATGCTCGCGGTTCTCACCATCAAAGGCATCGTTCATGAGATCCTTGTTGGCCAGGATCTCGGCATGATGAACGTCGACGCCACCATCCTCCTTCAACTCCCCCTTTACCTCGCTGGTAACTGACGACATTGCTTGGATTGGTCGCTATCTATATTACCGTGCCAATGCGAAAAAGAAAACAGACAAAGGGCAGAGGGAAAAAAGAAAGAAAAAGGCCAAGGCAGGGGGGGGTTAGTATTTTTTTAATACCTGTACATCTGCATGGCGTGCGCGTGATATGTGATACGTGGATTAATTATTAGATGCAATCGAGCCAGTAGGCAGCGGGCCGAGTCCGATGTTACTGCAGCTTGTGCCGCCGGGCCTTTTTCCCATTTCCCGCACGTCGTAAGTAGGAATTGCGCGAGTAATGGGAGACAATTACCCGAAAGCGGCCAGGCGCCGAAGCAACATAGCGGAGTGGTGCCATTGGGGTTTGACACAAACTACCCTATTGGACTGGAACCGGCTGATCCGAGGACTGTGGCGCTGGGACAGCCTGCTTCTGGCCACAATTCTGAAGGGAAAGCATAAGTCCTCCACGGGGAATCTCCATGTCTGAAGATAAATATGCGGGGCCCCAAGACAAGACCATGGTTAGTGCTTGTTAGGGCTTGTCGCTGTCTTGGTTGCTTTTCTTGTTAGTCTCTTCTTAGTGCTTTGCTAGTGTAACATCACATGCTGCATTACCTAAGCTTTTGCCTTTTTGTCTTAGCTTGTCTTAGCTTGTCATCTAATTAGCAGTGGCTCCTGCTCTGATTGGTCACAAACTAGTGTCATGCACAGTCTAGGACCCCTTGGCGCCTTAGGCCATTGCGACCAACTACAGCTGTTCATAGGCCCTGTAAGTGGTTTTTGAGACAATCTCACCATCATGGTAGCACAGGCATTCAAAATGATTCTTATTCAATTATTCTGAGTGAAAACTCATACACACACTGGTCTTATATTTCTGTACCTACCACCCGCCACGGAGAAGACGAAAGAGAAAACTTCAGACACGCCAAGGGCACGCTGCAAGGGGGGAAAACTTCTTTGGGACAATTGGCCGCTGCCAAGCCTTCTTCGGTCGTGATTAGGGTTTAGCTGAAACTTTCAAGGATGCTAAGGGTAATCTTGCATTGCGACCTGTTTGCCTCGGAAATAATTTCAGTCCTGTTGGCCATTTGCAACGGGAAAAGCCAGTGCATCCGCCCCATATACAGGCCTTCTGTGGTACATCTAAATAATTACTGGAGTCTGTCCAGGATATTAGACGCAGGATTCCTTAGTACAAACCTGATCCCCTCCGCCTTCCAACGGGTTCAATAACGTGGGGAAGACCGAGCTATGGATAAGGGATTCAACCCGGGGAAGCAAGAGATCCTGGCGCAGAAACTGGGGAAGAGAAATTCTGACTGCCTGTTCTGCGATCATTGAGTTAACTAACCAGGTATGGGGCAGAATGAACCGAACCCTACAATAAATGCTCTTTCAACTTATAAGTTTTAACCCATCGGGCAGCCGGTGGAGACCCTGTTCCCCGTGTCTACAGTCTCTGCTTTTTACCCGAAGTTCCCGGTGAACCCGAATCCTGCCAAGATCGCCATCAGATTTAACCCTTTCAAGTAGACAGCTGTGCATATGTCCCCCGGCCGGTTTCTCGCTGTTCATATAAATTACACTGCCGAGGTAAAGACTGAGGACAGCTGGAGAGAGAATCCCAATGTTGTCGGAGACATACAGGCTGCGAAATTACGGATAGTACATGCTAAAGACGCTGGCGAGTATTTCAGCCAATCGAGGAGGATAACCTTCCCTGCTGTCCTTGTTTGCAGTTGCGTAAGTCTAGAGTTATTTGATATGAATCACAATGACATATATGAAGATTTGGAATCATGCGTATCACTGTTTGTATGGGTACTTCCGCATGCGGATATCCCCCGCACATTTGATGAACCTTATTCTGGACCCTCAACTCCATTCAGGTAGTCCTATAGTCAAGAATATTCGACCGCTCAGTTAAACTATGGTGTTTTGTGGTATATTCCAGCATGCTAGGATGCATTGTATGTGTGGTGGTATCAGGTCAAGTGGGATGTGTTGGGATGAATAGAAGCCCAGTTGAGACCAATTAGAAAGTTTGTAGTGGGACCAAACCTCCAAGTCTTTCATCCAAGGACATGGCCATCCACGAAGGGGTACTCTGCTGCTTGAGGGATACATGTATAACTGGCCAGAGACCATCGAGCAGATACGCCCAAGTCCATCGAACCCACGGTTATGCAATCGCCATTATCCAGCCTGGAAGATGAATTTCAAACAAAGAAATCACGCTCAACCCAAAAGTCGGATTCCGTGGACTGTCATTGTTACCTACCTACCATGCTGTCATAGGTGCTCGTTTTGCTGGATCCTAGCAGCTAATTGTGCAGTAGAGCTCTTCTATTAGGACACGTCATTGTATCTCATGTTTACTTGCTAAGTACCAATCAGGATGTGACTCGAGCACATCATACTGACACATGCATTATGTTATATAGAGGTCGGCGGTCAAAGTTATAAATGCACCTCTCAAAGGCACCTCATCGACCAGTAAGACAGATGCACATTCCTATGTAAGACTCATTCATCAGTTGATGCCATTACCACTGGTCTGTGGTACAACACAAGTCCAACATTGCCACCTCGTTTGAAGCTCACGTCCACCACCCCTTCGAGGCCCCCTCTTCAGACATACTTCTCAACGCCCGATGCGTTCCAGGCCTCACAGCTAACGGGATGCATTCCACTCTCTCCCAAAATGGCCAGCGCAAACCCAGCGTCGGGACAAGTTCCGCAATCGCAAACCTCGTGCAGTCATTAGGACGCAGAGGCAGTGGGGAGATGGCCTCGTCCAAGATCATCGGCGCGGACTACGAGGCCATTCTGGAATGGATCCGCTCGGAGCGGATGCGAAAGCTTCCTCCCGAGGGAAGTAGTTATGATAGAGTCCTTGTCTGGGCGCGGTTGTTTGTAGAGCGTCTGCATTCGTTTGATTCGGCGATTCAGCATTTCGAGGGAGATAGTCATATGGCCGCGGAATTGGCGTACATTCACTGTGCGAGTCTTCTCGAGGTATGTCTTGTCCAAAGAGAGATTGACGCAATTAATGACGTCGGTAGTTGGGAGATGAAAACGCGAGTGCTCTCGTGGACGTCTTTGGTTTCTTCTATCGTTGCTCGACCGGTCTGGAGAATCTGCTTCACCGGACAGAATTATTCTTGGTTTCACAGAGCATCAAGGATCAGTTGATTCTCGCGTTGGCGGACCTAGTCACCCTTGTCGTCGGGGTCGCAACCCACTGTCATCACTCTCTTGGCAGCCTGGCTTCGGGATCGGTCTCGATCGATATCTACAGCACGTTCGCAGCATCGATTGAGAGCTTTCGCTCGCGATGTGAGCATATATCGGAGATGATGTGGAGGCATCAGCTGCTGGGAGCTGGTCTCCATGAGGACAAGGGTATTCTTGATTCCTTTTGTCGCCTTGGTCAAACTGGAAGCTAATGCATTAACAGTGGCTAGAGTGAAGACAATCAAGAATTGGCTCGAGCCGGAAGACCCCGTTTTGTGCAACATGACCGAATTCAGAGCCAACTTTGCCCAGGAAAGGGAGGAGTCGACCTGCCTGTGGATGGCACCATATCTGACTCGTTTCCTCAAGAGTGACCAAAAGACCATGTTCGTCTCCGGCAAGCCGGGATCTGGCAAGTCTATCCTGGCGACGGTGATCAATGATTACCTCCAATATCCTATCGGGGGTGCCATGTACAAATCCATATTTGTCCCGATCAGTGAGTCAATACTGCACTTGAATGAGTTACATTTTCGCGCGTTAACGATGGCAGATGCACACATCGTGGCCAGCACGACGCCACGTGCAACAGCAAAGAGTATCCTTTCGCAACTATTCTCGGCACGTATTGGCAACGTGCAGTTGTTTGAGATACTCTCGGATGTACATGACCGCTGCCAAAAGACAGTCCTTGAAGAGCAGTACGATGATGAGCTTTGGCGTGCACTCGGACTCGCCTTGCAAGTCGGTCTGCAGGGTGCCAAAGAACTCGTCCTTGTCGTCGACGGAGTAGACGAGGCCAGCTGCGGACAGAATGCTCTGGTCAAGCGGCTCAAAGATGCGACACTGAAAGCGTCCACTCTGAAGTTTATTATCCTTGGGACGCAGAAGCAGGAGGCCTCCGCTATGCAGACAGCGGTGCAGATTACCCCGGAACTGATATTCGACGACGTTGCCGCGGTCGTACGGAGGATCCTTCAACCCTGTCATGCATTTGGCGAGCTGTCGGAAGAACAGCGGGAGATCACGGTAGCCCATATCACAGAAGCTGCCAATGGCTCCTTTTTGTGGGCCAAGCTGACCGCGGAAACGATCAGAGACGAGCACACGCCTAATGGGCAGGGGTTAGTAAAGGCCGTTGATGCCCTGGCCAAAGCAGAGCTCTCTATTACGGATCTTGTCGTTCATCGACTTGAGTCGAAAGTGTCGGACGAGGCTAAAAGAATGTTGGTTTGGCTCGCCACCGCTGTCCGACCACTGACGCTACGGGAGTTGTCTGCGCTTTTGTCCATTCGAGTGGATAAGGGCACCATAACGGAGGCCCGGGTGGATCCGCTCACATTTCTGCGACCCCTGATGTCTCTGGTCTTCTGCCAAAATAACATGGTCTCCCTGCGACATGGACAAATCCGTACAACTATTATAGACACCATCAACAAAGGCAAACTATTCCCAACCGTCGGGAATAGGCATGAGGATCTTGTCCGCAGGTTGCTGCTCTACATCAAGCTGAATGTAACAGATGAGGAGGAACTGTCTGAGACACCAACGAGCTCGCACAGAACGTCCAAGATGCTGGAGCAGTTCCCACTTCTTGACCTTGCCCTCCGGTACTGGGCAAATCACACGAAAACCGCACTGGGGAGCGAGACAGATCAGCAGATCCACACAGTAGCGAAAGAACTGCGTCCATTCCTCCCCATCAAGCCAATTGTGCCGCTACTGGAGATGACCGTCTGGCAAGCAAAATCAACTCCGGCGCTGAAGTCACTGCACGGCGTCCAGGTCCGCCTCTACCAGCAGATACTCACCGCCGATCATCCCGCAACGCAGCAGGCGATCATCTGCCAAGCACTCTTCTACCGCGAGATACGAGATGTAGTGCCTTCCGAAACTAGCGATATCTTCTACAATGCAGCGGTTATATGCCACAAGGCGCTCTCCGCCCAACACGTCATCACCAGGGAGATGGCCCAGGACTTTCTCGACAGCACCGCCGGCCAAATCACCAAGTCGCGGACGCAGATCATGATAAGACGGACTGAGATGCTCCAGCTCCTTGTTGAATGCTACAAGGTGCAGTATGGACAGAATAGTGGCATCGTTATTACGACATTGACCCAACTGATGGAGCATTTCAAATATATCAACGAAGAACGCAAAGCGCAGCAACTTGCAGCTTCGCTGCAAACAAGCCTCACGGAGTCTACTACTTCGCAGTCGACTGTTTCTCATCAGTCTGACGAATCGTTGCTTGTTCATCTCCATGGCCGAAGGCCTAGCGTTCAGGAATGCACAACTTTTGCCCTCGATGACATCGAAGCTGATGAGCCTATCTCCCAAATAATAGACAGCCAGAGCTCCCTGTACCGTGAGATTAAGAGCCACGTGCACTCCATTGAAGAGGAAACGGCGAGCTGGTCCCAGTCCGCAACAACAGAGTCGAGTTTTCTAGGAACCATCTCCAGCACATCTGCCACGCACTCCTCTTCCATCACAGCAGCTCAGCGTCTAACAGAAATGTACTGGTCTCAGCATCGATGGAAGGACGCTACAAAATCTCTAAAGGCAGTTCTGCGCCGTGTTTGGCCGTCATTGTTCAGCGCATCGGTCCAAGACGTGGTGCTCCCGTCGGAGAACGTCGATCATTGCATTGACCTGGCAGAGCGCCTGAGAGACTGCTATCGCTTCAGAGGCCGTGCAGAAAAAATGGAGAACATCTCCCTTCGTCTCTATTACAGCGTCCGACGAGGCCGGCCTATCGGAGATGAGCTGCGCGAGCGAGTCACACGGGACCTTCTGCATTTGTGTGAGCGTAAAGATCAAACTGACAAGCTGATCCTCGTGCATGAGGATATTCTAAACGACTTGACCAAGAAGTTTGGGGAGGATCATCCAGCGGTCCTCAAAGAGCTTCGGATTTTAGGGAACCTCGCACGGCCGCGCTCAGCTTCAGTCAGCTACCATCGTCGAATCGTCCAGATTCTGAACAAACACGCCGACACCTGTCACCCGGAAGCTTTCGAATCTCTTCTCATCGTAGCCACGGAGCTTTTGGACCAGGGTCAATACTCTGAGGCACGAGAGGCCTGGAGAGCCTTGTTCAATTCCCTCCGGCACCCGAACATTAACCCGAAGCTTCGAGACCAGTCATTTGTCAAGACGGTCTATGGGCGGTACACTCAGTGTCTACGTATGACTCACGCAGAGCTTCATGTGATATATGACGTGACGGTTCAGTATTGCAAGACCTGCGAGACTAGATTTGGCGCCTCCGCGGCAATTACCATCCAGGCCATGACCAGGTTGCTGGATATCTGTCGAGAGTCCAAGCGATACGAAGCCGAGGTTGTCCAGATATGCGAGCAGCTTCTCAAAACTCCATCTGTTGAGGCTGAGATCGACCAAGCCGAACTCCAAGCAATCCTGGATGCTCATTACGAAGAGCAATACGCCTCCGTCGCGTCGGCCGGTGTCGAGTCTGTTTCTACCGAGCAGATACAGCGAGTGATCACTATCCGCAGGGAACGGCTGACCACTATACGGGCTACTTACGGATGGGCTCATGAGACCACACTGGCTGAGATGAAAGAGCTGGTCAACCTGTATATCAAACGAGGGGAGACGCAACCCGCCGTGTCCATGCTCCAGGAAGCAAGCTTGCGAATTGTTTCGAAGGAAACCTCAGCACCTAGACTCGCTGCTGCCGCCCAGGCCATTGCGTCCAGCTACATCGCGGCTGGCCAGGTTCAACGCGCAAAGGAGCTCTGCGACGAGCTCTACCGTAAAACTGTGGTCAAGGAAACCGCCACCAGTAATTTCGTCATGCCTTCAGGTGGCCGTCAGAGCCTGGTTTTCCTCGCTCATTTTGAGCACAGCCTTCGGAAACAGAAAGAGCCCTCGCTCACTGTAAGCGAGATTCATTGGTCTCTGTATGCCGAGTACGTTTACTTTGAGCAATACCGGCCAGAGTCACAGTCCAAGTCCAGCACTCTCGAGAACATGGTGGGCACCGCCGCTCCTCTGTACGGACTCCTTCGCGCCAGAAACCAGGAGTCGACTGCGGCACGTCTCATGGATGACCTCACCAACTCCTTCGTCACCTCACAAAAGGAAAAGACCCAGGTGAACTTCGGTCAGGCTAAGGCCCTTATCGGCACTCTTCTCGAGTACTTTAGCATGTACAGCACTAAGAACTTCCTGCGATCTGTGGCCATCGCAAGCTACCGCCGTGTGACGCAGCTCCTCACTACAAGGAACCACCAGGCTGCCTGCGATCTAGCTGTGACCGCATTCCAGTACCTCCAGGCGCACAATGGGCTCTCCTCCTCACTGAGCGTGGTTAAGCTCCTCTTCAATCTGGGTCTAGCCATCTCCGGGCAGGGTCTAGACCCGCGTCCAGACGCAGCAACAAGAAAACAAATGCTGAGCGCATCATCCGCCATCGTGAGCGCCACGCTCACCTACTGCAAGCAAGCCAATATCGACCTCACGCACCTGGACCTGGTAACGCTGAACAAGCTGACCAAGCTCCTGGACGCACAAGGCGATTATGCCAACCTAGCCTGGCTCCTCACAGGGCTCTGGAACAGCCGCGACCAGCATCCACCCTCTCAGCAGGAGGCGGCATACACACTCGCCCTGGGACGTATGCTCGTCATCACCCGCTATCTGATGGGCGAGTACATGGCAGCCATCCGACTAGCCGAGGACATCGTATACAACTGTGCCCGCGTGCATGGCCCGCAGCACCCAAGCACCGTCGAGATGACCGTTCTCCTGTCCCAGATGTACACTAGCGTGGCACACGGATACCAGGGCCAAAAGGAGCGCCGAGAACTCGCATACCGGTATTACAAGAAAGCCGCGGCGCTGCATGAGAACGCGCTCCGAGCCTTCGTCGATCCCAGCTCCCTAGCTTCTCCAGCCATAGATGAAGGAGCGAGCTCGTCCGGCTCTGAATCCGGGCCGCCTAGCCCCCGCGAGAAACCCGAGGAATCGGGCAAGTATGTCCGGCAGCACCTGCATTTGCTCAAGCTAGCTGTGGAGCGGTTGGGCAATTGGCCCAAGGAATATAAAGAGTACGAAAAGCTCAATTCGGCTCTGTTCCAGACGTTTCGAGACGATCTCAAAGGTGTTGAGGGTGTGGACAAGTGGAATTTGAAGAACTTCGGATCTGGTCGTGCGGAAGCCAGCGACGATTTGATTTCGCCGAAGTCGCATCCAGCATTTGGTCTGGGTGAACAGTTGGCGATTGCTGTTTGATGTTTTGATCGTACCTGAATTGGTTGGACCAGTTTCACATTCGCTCTGCTTCTGCCTTGTTCCACTGCTTGATCCCTAGGTGTACCTGAAAATTTCATGGAATCCATCCTACCGTAGCATACGTTGTCTTATTCGTGCGTTTCGGGTCTCTTATTACTGGTAGCATATATCAAGGCGGCAGGCAGAAAGAGCACGGATTCCGCTCACCAGCCCTCAATCATCTTTTGAGATTTCTCTTTGCTGAGCTCGGAGATATAAGTTGTAATTTGAGTGGGATGCTAGCCATGGTATAAAACGAAGAAGTAGAGACTGCTTGTCTACGTATCTATGCGCTTCATCCATCAATGTCAAAGGGCCAGATGGACCTGAGAGTCTTTTCATCTTTTACTGGCTCATCATCATCCTGGTCAGGGTTGATCAAGACAGCCTGCAGCATCCCATTGAACAGTTCCTTATGGGTCAGTTTTGTCGCTTCCCAGGCCTCTAAAGGTACCCAACCATCCGATGCGGTGTTGAGTAAGCCTGCCAAGTCACGACGCAAATTCTGTGCTGCTTCAAAGAGTCTGTACTCCCTCTCGTGCTTCGCCAATTCTTCTGGCGTAGGCATTGGGTATGCGCATTGACCTTCGAATCCTAGCTCTCTCCAATGTCGGGATGTTTCAATCAACTCATGGCGTAGAGCCGCTGCGCCATCCTTCCACGTCCTGTAACAGTAGCGAAATGGTCGAAAGAGGTTTTCATTCATCAAACTTGGCCCAGAGAGTTTGGGTGTGAGGAACTGCGAGGATAATTCGAAAGTATCGGTGTAGATCTCATCTCCTGTTGCAAAGTCCGGCACTTCATCTGAATACCAAAATGCCGGTTCGATACTAGCCGCCTGCCAGTCAATAATACCGGTGATGAGAGAAGGATTATCTTCCGAAACAAATATATTTCTCATATGCAAGTCGGGGTGGAATAATAGCGGTGAGGCAGCGCTTTGAATCCGAGAATCCGCAGCGATTTGCCGCAGTACAATCCGGGCGTCTTCTAGAAGGCGCAAGTGCGTTTGAACCGATCCATGATAGAATGGCTTTTTCTCGACTTCAGTATTGGCGGCAGGTACCCTCGAAATGCCAGCATCAATGAGGCCATCACAATACTCTTCAAGACTAGTCCCTGGTTATTCATCACAGTAAGTGAACTTGCCAGGAGGACTGAGATTCTGCTGTAACTTACAAGGTCCATGATTTGGCTTCGCGTTGTCATAATATCTATCTTCCCCTGGATTACAGTCCCAGTATCGAGTGCTGCAGTGCGGTCCAATACAGAAATCGTCATCCAAGTATTTGCTGTACTGAGAATCGAGAGTATTGTTGAAGTATATGCTCCCGAATGCCGGAAATTCCAGGTCCACTGCCTCTTTGATCGTTCGGTAAATCGCATCTATGCACCGGACTTGCTGATCTCCAGTCATTTCATGCCATTTCTCGCGCAATGGGACACCAGCTGCGTGGTCCATGATAATATATTCAGTACCGATGAGATTGTCTGCATCTGCAGCATCATTATGCCAGTCAAGGACCCTAGGAACGGGGATACTGGTCTTCGCTTGTACTATAATGAATGGATCAATCAGCACCTGCTTAATCACCCTACTATAGCAGACTCACGGTAGCGAATCGTGGCGACCTCAGAAGCAGTGGTCAGTTTCGTTGGCCCAGCTAACGGAAATGGAAGTCTCGCCACGAGCTGCTCGGCATTATTCAGAGTGAAAATAAACACCCTATTGAAACCTCCTTCAATTTTTCGACAAGCTGCGATGGCGTCTGCTCCAGGACATAGATGAATAACCCTCTGGCAAAGCGCTTCGAAATTGAATCTGATGTAGCGCGAGTCACGCTCCACATTGTCGCGACATAACCACCGACCGCTCGTGTAAGTATGGGGGTCAATCCCTTCACTGAGTCAATCTGAATGAACGAAGTCGGTTGCAGGAATGAAACCTTACCTAGTCCCGAGTTTGCATTCATCGTGTTCGCCGTTGAAAACTCTGCAGCATAGGTATGTTGGGAAAAAAGCCTCACTGGATAAGAGTGAGATAAATGGTGAGGAGAGTATCGGTGTGTAGGTCGAGTCTGCAAAGCATGGAAAGCAAAGGAATGAACTGCCCGCATCGCCCGTGTTGCTATATTTAACTTCATTGCCCATCCATTGAATTAGGTCTGGTTGACTTCAGGGTATTTTATTTCGCTCTTGCTGGTAAGTGGATCGATCAGATGACAGATGACAGACAGACAGACAGAGGAAGTGATGAAGAAGCTACAGTCAAAGTGTCTAAATGCCACGAAGTTTATTTGATGATGCTTCTTGGCCCTTTGGCAGCGTCTCCACTTCACCAGTACCGAAAGCAAAGAGATCGGTGAAGGAGATATCACAATTCAACGAGAACCTTTACAAAACGGTGTATAACACTATTTGGTAATGTTATGTAGTAGTGATCTAACTTCACGCTGGTGGTCTGTGACCTGTGGATAGGAGACAACAATCCAAAGCAGGACTGGAATGATTCAAGGGACAGAAACAGCTATGGTGACATGCTAGAGGAATTCAAGCATGGAACATGTCAAAAGCGAATGGCATGTGTATATCTACAGTGGGGACCATTAGGGTGGTTCCACTGCCGAGCATCTGGCATTCCTTGAGCTGCCCTTTCCTTAGTCAGGGCATGCTCTGGTGGTTGGGAGCTCTGTTTCCAATTGATCGAAGCCGTATCTCATGGTAAGAGACAAGTATGTTAAGATGGATTCAGGAGGCCAGGCCAACAATAATAAAATTGACCACTTGCTTGGAAAGCATACACCTTGGATGCTTTCATTAAGAATCAACCCTGTGAACTATGTAGCTTGAGCACAGCTGAGAGCACAGGAAGCCCTATTGTCTACATCAAAGGTTGTACGTACTACTCCTTTCTAAAGAGTTGAGTGAAGAGTGGATTATCATATTCTTGCCAACTGGATGGCAAGCTATCGACTACCACCTACCAGAAAGCGCTGCTTCAGAGATGTACGGCTCATCCAGGCACTTGCCATCTGCCTTAGTCAACATATCTCCTTGGGAACCCGTAATAGTCTGTATAGCCTCCATCCCACTTGACCAGTGCTTGAAAACTTTGTAAACTTTATAACTAGGCCCCTTCTTCAAACACCACGCCATACTGACCTGCGCCATGCTACAACCCTTCGTCTTGGCCAACTGCACGCGAGGGATGATGGAAATATCTGCCTCCGTGGTGGGACGGTTATCGTCTTGGGGAATAGATTCAGCTTGCCAGTATTAAGATAACTTTTGCCGGACTTGTTTGTCTGTTTGGTAAGGACCGTAATTGTGAAGATTGTATGGCTTCAGGAACTCACGTTGTCGTATCTAGTTGCGGCCAGCTAGCGTTTTCTGACTTCCCAGCCGCAGCAACTTGATACCGGAAGAGGCTGAGTTAATATATGTCTCCTCTATCCTATGTACTAGGGTACTTCCACTCTGGTTTTTCTCTTGTTTTCGAGTATCTTCAAGTTTGCATTATCCTCAGAAGACAGTAAATCTCGCAGCCCTCATTGTACAATTCCCTTAAGATATCGCACGAGGGTTCTTGCCGATTACACTGGACCTGCTTGAAAACGAATCTGCTGCCACCACTGTCCCATCCTCATCCTCTACATGTGCAAACGATCCATCAGTGCACGGAATCAGGCCAGGGCGCGGTATATGGGGCATTTTTCTAAAATAGTCATACTGCTGATAGTCATCCGTGAAAATCCATAGTCCGGTTATATCCAGACGCATAAATTCTTGATAATTTTCATAGTCCGTTATTATGTCGCCTTCGTGAAACCTCCGATCAATAAGAATCACGTAGCCGTCGTCTAATCCAGACCGGAAGGCATGATCGGACGGTTCCGGCGACTTGAGGATGGACTGGAGGGCCTTATTGTCAATCATCAGACAAAACTCTGACCGTGGATCGCCCTCCTGGTCATGGCGTGTCATCCAATTGTCAAATAGGTGCCGGACCTGGTGGACAGAAGCACCCTCAAGAAGTTCCCGATCCTCGATGACTACATTCCTGTAACCCTCACAAATAAGCCGGATGGGTTCTGGATGCCAGTACCTCCGGTAGGGTTCTGGATCCCCGTATGCCTGGCGGGATCGGAGGAAACAATAAACATAGGCATCAAGCTTTCGCATTGCCTCCTTCCAATCAGCTTCGGAAACGTTCTCGTAACAAGTCCGGTAGATGAAATAGCCCCATGGCCACATGGTCAGATAATACTCGTCAAAGAATCTAGCCGCCCTGTCGGCTTCCCACCATGGATAGCTCCGAAAGCGGCGGTATCGCTCTTGCCAGGATTCGTCTGGGGGAAAGTCCGGAGAGGTCCATGGTTCTGGCCATGATTTATGGTGGAAGAAGTCATTGAATGAGTCAGGCGAGGAGGGCCGGGCACAGATTTCGCCCATGTTTGCAGAAAGCCACGGATCCAAGATGGTTGACGGTGGTAGAGGTTATGTTCAAGAGATCAGATGTCGTCTGGAATGGGATGTTTGTTGGAGGGGCCGACTACTACCTGTAGCTTACTAGCAAGACTCGCTTAAAGGTTACATCAACTAGCTGCATTAGTGCAAACTAGGAAGTTCAACGCACTTGAGGCCATATGAACGGTCTCTTTCTTAAGACTCGGTATGAGTGCTCAGAAAATGTATACCAATTCCTCTACCATCATTAAGCCGTTTGCTGACTGCGTGAGACAGAGACCCGCAAATCTTGGTTCCTGGCGTTGCCCTGATATTAGTATCAATGGCGGACACCTGGCTAAGTTTCTACTGGTCTATGTGTGGTAGTGTACCTTTATGGATTCTGTACGAGGGAGCGGACATTAATCTACGGATTCGGCTAGAGTAAGGGCCTCGTCTAGTCTGCTTGCCTGGCTTGTGTGGCGGCATCAGACACGACACGATTTCGGGTTATGGACCGTAGCCCACCGTCCGTGAGACAGATACTAATGACAGACTAACAGACTGCAGAGGAGCGATGCATGTGCAAGACATCCATTTAGTTCTGATACCTACAGGCAGGCTTACGAGAGCTTCGAGACTGCTGAGGCAAGACCACCAATAAAGAAACATCGATTGTGAATGAAAAGCATTCTGGCGCGCGCGTGCTACGGATTCTTGATAGGTTGCTTGACAGATTTTCAGCCTTGCGCCTCAATCACCGACCAATTAGCTACCTAATGCCTTGGCTGAGATTTGATCACTTGAGGGTAGGTAGGCCAATCACATATCACCACTAGGTACCTACTGGTGCAGCCCTCAGCCTTGAGATTAAAATTCTCTCTGATTAACAAGTGACAGCGGCCAACAACTAGTTACCTTCATCAGAGTACAGCTCACGCGAGAGACCTATGCTCTATATTATTCGCTGCAGAGCTCGATAAGTTATATACTGATTGATTCCATTTCCTCGGACCCCCGATGCAGATTTGAAAGATGTGGAGTCGCTATTCCACTTATCTCTCCCAACGAGCATCAGCAGATCGTGAAAAGGGTTATAGAGATCTCCTGGGGACTCACAGCCAGAGCTTGGGGTTTAGGCAACTTGACAGGATGAAGATTGATTGTTCATTCCTGCCGGATTCAAAATGGGGATTTCTTGGAACGGAACCTGGTATTCCTGCTTGGCTACTGTATCTTCAACTACAATTCAGCCAGCCAAGTGATTGCAAACTCGCAAGCGCAAATGTTGAGATTACATTTGAGAAGATAGCTCCCACGGATATAGAGCCCATACACGGATCCAACCTAGGGCCGATACTTACAGAATACTTCGGTCCCAGAGGAGTCATTGGGGGCCTCACAAAGCAAAATGATGTCGAAACCAACGAACAGAAGCCGTCCATCGTCTTCGAGACCACTGGCTTAAATCTCAATACTAGTGCAGAGGGGAGCTCAAAGAACCACCCGAAAATAGATAAAAACTGGTCTTTGCACGGTTATACCTGGCCGGTAGACGGAGATGAAACTGGGCTTCATCGGCGCGTGGAATGGATTATGAAAGAGGCGATTCCCCCACACCAGATAATCCTTCATCGTGACAGAATTCGGGTAGGACTTATTCTACAACATGACTCAGAGCCCTTTGCCATCACAGTACGCATTGAAGGACGGCTACAAGGAAGCCGAGGTTGGTTTAAGTTTCCTCCGACAGAGTCATCTCCAAGAAGCTTTCGGGTTCGCGTGTCGCCAGCTCCGAATGAGCATACCCCACTGGATGAGATTGCCAGACGATTAGATGAGGACCTGACAGCCCTTATTGTTCGGAACTACCAAATGGCGTCCAATAGTCTAAAGAGATCAAGGTCAGACGGCCATCAAAGCCTTGGTACTCAGCCCTCAAAAGAAGCGCGACTCTCAGTTCAAAGATCGGTCCTTGATTCAACTGTCGAGATACAAAAGACGCCCGAAGAATATACAGTCGGCTGGATCTGTGCTCTACCACTCGAAATGGCAGCGGCAAGAGCGATGCTGGACAAAATTCACCCTAGTTTACCAACTCCACCGAATGACCACAATAGCTATATTTTAGGAAGCGTCGGGCCTCATAACATAGTGGTCGCATGTCTCCCCGCTGGAGTATATGGCATAGCGCGTGCAGCAATTGTGGCCTCTCAAATGGTAGCTACTTTCTCTTCCATACGGTTTAGCCTGATGGTCGGAATCGGCGGCGGCGTTCCTAATCGCGAACCTGATATTCGACTGGGTGATGTCGTCGTCAGCAAACCAACCGGGCGACTTGGCGGAGTGGTACAGTATGATTATGGAAAGACCGTTGCGAGTGGCAAATTTGAGCAAACCGGTTCTCTAAATAAGCCACCACAGACACTCTTGACTACTATTGCGAAGATGCAAGCCGAAACCATGGTGTGTGGCAGCAGAATAGCTAGCCACCTTGCTGAGATGATGCGCAAACACCCCCAAATGCAGAAGTTTACCTATCCAGGCCAGGACCGAGATCACCTTTTCAGAGCTGAATACGACCACGCGGAGTCGAACCCTACTTGTGAGTCCTGTGACCCAATGCAGCGCCTGAGTCGTCCGCCTCGAGCTACGAACATTCCAATCGTTCATTATGGCATCGTTGCATCAGGAAACCAAGTTATGAAGCATGGAAGGACTCGCGATCGGCTTGCGGAGGAGCATGGGATCATGTGCTTCGAAATGGAAGCTGCCGGTCTAATGGATACGTTTCCCTGCCTGGTCATTCGGGGAATCTCTGACTACGCGGATTCACACAAGAACAACGAATGGCAAGAGTATGCTGCTGCCGCCGCTGCGGCCTACGCGAAAGAATTACTCTGCATGACTCCTGCTAGGCAGGTTGAAATTACGCCAAAAACAGTGGAAGGTGAACCCCAGGCAGGTAGCATCATATGGAAGTGAGAAATCCTTTGGAAAGAGAAGGAGGGACGAGATTGATCCCTGGGAAGAAAATCAATGGAAAGGGGTTTGAGGCCCTGCCACAGCCTGGCTTGGATACAATTTGCAAAGGAGTCTCTTGAAAGACGGAATGATAGAGGGGTTTAGTAGATGACTAGAAGGGAGAGGGGGGGGGGGAGAGATTATGAGAAAGGATGATGGAAAGTTGAAAAGGCAAGATGACAGGCAACTGGTAAGATGAACCAAGATAGCAGTGGTTAAAAGTAGCAGCTGACAGCCCAATAGCAACTGCACCCAGAGGGTAGATATGTAAGGGCAGGATTACCATATTACACTCCCTGTATATACTTCTTCTCTCTCCCCTCTATGCTTGTTACTTCACACGTGGAAGCCTCTGTCTCAAATTCACTGATGTTAGTTTAAAACAAGATATTGTTTAGAACATGGGATATTCTGCAATGTAACTCAGGATGATAAGGCTTCAATAGTGCCTTAGGAAACATTAGGATAACACTGAGGGAGAGAAGCTGATAAGTTAGACTAGTAATGTTGTCTTTAGCAGGGGCTGGTCGCATGCCATGAGTATTAAGCTATTTCATGATATTACCTTACGTGGTATTGACTGCTTAATGCTCTTTGCAGTTCTATTAGTGTGATAACTAACAAGTATAATGCCTGTGCAAGTAGTCATTTGACTAAGATTGGTTTTTTTATAATCCAGTTGATTAACTAAATCCTACTCTGACTTGTTGGGAGTGAGATGCATCTCTTTGATTCAATTTGAGGAAGCAATGGGACGAGTCAGCACGGACAGGGATTCCGGATGGCAGGATCCAATTAGTTGGGTCTCCACGTATCAAGCCCCGCATATGGAGGAGCCTAGGACGGGTGAGAGGTTCTCTGCCACCCTGAAGAATCTGGAGACATTCTAATAATCTTAATAGTTGTCTCTTAAACAAACTTGAATATTATCAGTCTGTTAGGCTTGCTCATAATGACATCGCGCCTGGTTGAATACAGCGAGCTGCAGCAGACTGGGACTACCTTCCCACTGGAGCTAGAGTTAGAGGAAGATATTGAGGGTGAAATCCATCACTTTGTGAAACTGAGCCGCCTGGGAGATTACGCAGAGGCTCAAAGGTTTTTTGACCAAACTCTAAGGAAGCATGACCATCTCTTCCCAGTCCTTGCTGAGTATGCCGATATGCTCCTAGAGCAGGGCCGCTGCAGACAAGCTTCGGAGATTCTGGAGAAGTATATAAAGTCAATGAGCGGGATCTTGAATGGCAATGAGATGCAGCTTCTGAAAATAATGAAGTCATTAGCGGACATGCACTCGAAGGGCGCACTAAGGTCAGCCTTGGTGGAGGCGGAAGAAGCATGGCAACTTATACAACTGGCAGGCCAAGAAAGCTCCGGTAAAGTCCTTAATGAGGTGCAGGCTAGTGAGACCGGATCCATTAGTTAATGTAGGGGACAGACCAAAGCCGACTCAAGATCAGGTACACATAGTCGAGATGTACGTCAATATCGTTGTGTTCGGGTTTTTAACATCGCCATGGGTGGATGAAACTTGGATGCGTTGTCCTTTGCTGCGGCCTACTGCGCAAACAGATAACGGTTTTGTGCAGTGGTTCTGCATATTGAGACAAGAGGGCTTGCTGTGGGAAGCATCCAGGGTTCTACGCGCTCTCCTTCCTATAATGCCGAGTTTGTCAGCTGGAGATTTGGGTGAGCTCTTGGACGATTCCTGGATCGCGGTATCCCGATCACAAGGGTTATCCGTCCCTGACCTATGGGCTTCATTGATGGTAACACTACATCAATCTCAATTTTTTCTGAATGCCGCCATACTAGCCGAGGCCATGGGACAGGACAACCAGGCTGCAAAAGTGATATACGAGATGGGCAGGACCAGGCTTGAATTTGCGCAACAAGAATGGAGCATGCTGCGATTAGATCAAGGTCCCCTGCCGTTAAACCTGCAACTGTCTCTTGAAGAGATAATCTTTGCGATTACAGGAGCTGCCCTATTTGCTCAGCCTACAGGCTACGATACGACGTTCGCCCTATCATATCTTCTTTTCGAGGCAGATCGTCGTCATGACCTCCGAAGTCAGATTCGTACTCGTCTCTATATCCTCCTGAGTGATTTCGAGGCTCGCATAGATTGGCGTGACCTCCACAGCATTCTGGAACTGCTGGAGGTGGACTGTGGCAATGTGGTAGAGCATAATCAAATATGGTCCCTGTTCGCGGACTGGACTCCAGACTCCCGAGTATCAGTTCGATATGCCCCAATGAATCTTCCCTTCGAATCCCACAGCTTCACTTTGCTTTTGTCTCTGCAGTCTTTTAAGACATTTCCATATCAGGAATGGGCGCAACAGCTTTATGGGCTGGGGCATTACTATCCGTTACGGCATGACATACCTTACCTGTCCACGCAGTTACACTCGACGGATGTGGAGCTGCCACGGTCTTTCGAGATAAATGAGTTCATCAGAAATCTCGACGCTATAAATATTCAACATCATCGCCGATTCCAATGGAAACTAGATTTATAGCGTCAGACTAGCTATGCTACAGTATCCTGCAGACAAGCGAACAAGGCAGGAAGAAGAACGAAACCGGCGAGAGATAATTGCGCGGGGGCAGCAGGGTGATGAGGAGATGAGAACAAACCAACAGAGACAGCAGGACTCGAGATGAAGCTTATCCCTGATTACTGAAACTTGGTGTCTTTTAATCCTGGATACGTGAGGTATCTCAAGTCAATACATATTGGGCTAGAGTCGTCAGGCACCTTGCGTCTATCTGTTTCATGGCCACATAATGTGCTTTTTCTTGTAATCTGTGCCGTTATAAAATGGTATGCTTATAGCCTTTTGAGAGCGATGTATTGTATTCATGCACTGACACTAGAAAAGTGATCGGCTCAAGGGCAGAGAAGGGAAGTTTGTCTGGCAGTCGCATGTATGAACATATTTTCTTTCAGCCTTGCGTCAGGCCGTCAGCTGGCGAGATACAAAATCCTATAGACCAATCACACCGTAAGCCACACTGGGTTCGCTTTCGTTCTAGCCTTGTCCTTCACATGGTCACACCAATAGTCAGCAAACAAATCATATGTAATAAGTCACCTTCAAATCATAATCGTCATAGGATACTGGAACGGCTTCCGAGCTGCTGTGGTGACTCTTTGTTACTTGACATATGAAATAAGGACAGAGAAACACCACTATTAGTCGCGGTTAGTGCGGGAAGTGAGGTGTGAAGCTATTACTAGAATTAAGGGCCACAGTCAACCTATAGTGAGTATATTTAGATCTCGGCGTATATACAGTCACCACCATAATCACAGATAATTAGCACATATCATCTTTTGCTCCCAAGCCTCAAATCGATTCTTCGTTCTTCAGTCTGTCAGGTACGTCCTACCCGCTTCTCCGGAAGGAAAGTATTGGCACCCCGGCCATATACGCCCTCAGCCTGTCGAAAAACAATATTTAGATAATGCCGCAGCTGAGACGCGGATGGTTGTTTTCAATATGGAGTCGTGATCTGGTCAACTGCATGGCATATTAGTACATTATTGATTAAAATTATACATTATATAGAGCAACCGTCCGCCAATCTAGGTATCCTTCATTATACCTAGTGGATTCCATTTACTCTACATATCATCTTGAAACTCCACACCTCTAACAAACACCTCCGATAAAGCCTCTAACCCCGCAACAAAAACACATAACGCAGAAGCAATAATAAACATGCTAATACTCTCCCCAATCTCCAGCCAGCTCCCCTCATCTCTTACTGCCCAGAAGAAACGCAGAGTCATGTAGTCACCGATGCCCATGACCACCGTGAACAGACTCCCACCTTGAAGCTTCAGTCTCTTGGTCAGAAATCCAAGGTTGGCAGAAACCAGGGCAAAAGGAGCCAGAATCTTGAAGATGAGAAGAGCCGCCTGGCTGAAGGGATCGAAGATGGGAAGTAGCCGGTAGACAGCGTCCAGCGAGAATGAGGAGACCGAGGCGATGTTGCCGGTGCTGAAGAAGGCGGAGTGCAGCAGAAAGAGGAAGAACAGACAGACACTTACATCTGAAAGAATGAGACTTCTGTAGTTCCCCTCTGATGCGGCAGCCTTTTCTCTCTGCTTCGCTGCTTCGGCGGAGGCTGTTGCAAGCGGTGTTAAAATCTCCTCTTTCAGGGCCGTCTTGGTGTTGAAGGCGTAATCATTAGCTGCGGCGTTCATGGCGTTGCCCGGTGGACGAGAATCATCGCTGGGCATGACGTTGCGGGTACTGCCGTTCTTAGAACGATGATGTATTCTGTGTTCGAGTTGGACCCAGCTGAAGAGGGTGATAGCAATGGCGAAGTAAAAGAGTCCTTCGTAGGAGATTGAGAGGATGATGAAGAGTGGCCCGAGTGCGAGGAAAATAATCATATTGCGGTGGAGATAATGTTTTCTTGGACGCATGACATAGGCAAAGGGCAGGACGAGGGATGCAACTGTTTACATGGTTGTTAGCGTGACAATAGACTTCAAGCACATATGCAAGTAAGCTAAACGTGATCAAATCCTCTGCGATTAAGACGCAATGTGGAACCAGAACTGAGCATAATGCATAAGGTTCTCGTCGATTGAAGTAGCGTGCCTGTGGGGGGAGACCCTGTTTTCATGTTTGCTGTTATAGCACGAGGTCATTGGCCTGCTGAGGACCAATGTCCCTTAGTAGCATAGCCAGCAGCGGCGTATAGATAATCTTGGTCCAGATCCAGGTAGCCGTCCTTCTAATCTAAGCTGATATCCTCTGAGCTCTTTGCGCCCTTCTCACATTGACTCTGTCATGCCACCAGGCTGAGCAGCAGCAATCTCGTCTTGCAGGCAAACGATGAGTTTGTGATGGGGCAGGCCATATGTAAGAATTGTACCAATATACTTCGTCTGGTGCTTCCAGCCGCCACTTGCGCGTTTTGAAGAGTAGTCTGAGCATCACTCGGAAGCATATCTCAAAGCCACTGCCGTAGGCGATGCTATTGAGAGACAGAAGGTCAAGAATACAGCCAGCCGAATCCTCTTACAAAGGCTTTGTGCCCTGAACGATCATCAGGGGTGCTCCATGACCGTCAAGGCATCTCCCAGTCATTGCGCGTTGCTGGCAAATATGCTCATAGCCAGTAGTTGATGTCGATTCTCGCAAAAGTGATCCAGTTGGCGTTTCCAATGTCTAGCAACAGCTGCAAGGAAAAGAAACCAAAACAGTACTTACCCAGCGTAGCCCAGCCAGCAATCTGTGTTCCCAGAGGAAGTCCCTGCTTCCTCTGTAAAGAAGCCACACTTGACCTCGTGACAAGTATTGCAAGCGCAACCAGTCCGACCTGCAAACCAAGAATCGCTCTCGACACACCATCGGCATCTGCTATGCTCAGCGCATCTTTTGAGGGTACTGTCTGTACCAATAGTCTCTTTTCAAACACAATATACAGAAAACCGACTAGAAGGATTATGATGCCACCGACAGAACTGAGATGGAGTCAGCTATAGGACATATGGTGTAGGGGCTCTACGGACGTGAGAGTTATATCCTCCAATTTGTTAGCTGGTAAAAGAGTGAAGATGCTCATAGCAGCGCAGGAAAGTGCCCATGTAGTGCAGAGGAAAATGTTTGTCTTGACGAAGCCTGTACCGTAGAGCAGTGGCCAGGCGGTAGCAGTCAGGTAGACAATCGTATAGACCTTTCGATTGTAGTAGCTTTGAACCTGTGAAACTCGTAAGCTGGCGTTGATTGCTGGAACCTCGGTACTCACCATGACTTCCAGCAATGCCAAATATGCAGCGATGTTCAATGTAAACTTAACCGTATCACTCTTCGAAAACTGCGAAAACAATTTTTTCTTGCCCTCGGCCAACGCCCTCGACCGCGCAAAAACTTCTTCCCAAAACAAGACTGGAAAGAAAGCGTACGCGTAGTAGGTGATCGGTGATGCCTGGAAAATGAGTAGACTGTAAAGCCCGACCAGGATCGAGGCAAAGGTTATAATGAGCCCTGGTGGCCTCTGTACATCGATCTTGCCATCGAGCACGTAGACATCTACGGCTGTCGTGAAAGCGAACGCGATCCAGCCAAGATAGCCTGCTGTGACCAGTGTTCGCAGAAATAGCCACGCATAGGTCTGCAGGTACCTTAGGCCCTGCAAGGCAATCTTAATCAGCTCGTCAGATTGCTTCATTGCGGTCGTGTAATCTTGTTCCCGGATGAGTTCCTCAATGGATGCTAGACGATCCTCGATGTTGGTTTCAGCAAGGCCAGAGTAAGGCTCGTAATGTAGGACTTTGGCCATCTTCTCGCGCTCCTTGACATGATACATCTCCAAAATCTCTCTCGCATTAACAAGCAGAGCCTTTGCTTTCTGCTCATCAGTGGCGTCCAAGAACGATAGCGGGAGCTCTCCAACCGAGTTGACCGGGAATTCCAGGCCAGCAAGGTACGCCATAAGAGGCGCGATATCCGCCTGAGCAACATCATGGCGGTATACATGATCCAGCTGCCAGTCACTTGAGAAGCCATCTTCATGACCCGGTGCCTTGCCACTCTTCACTGTCCTTGGCTTCGCAACTCCAGACCCCCAAGCAATCAGTGGCGTCCTCGTATTATCCGGGTGTCCATCTCCATGGCTCCCCCAATCACTCATCCCATGGTCTGCGGTGAAAATAAAAGCCGTCTTATCATCCCCATAAAACTGATTAATCGTCTCCGTAATCTCCTGCACACCCTGATCCACGATCTGGATGTTCCTCAAATACTCCTGCGAATACGGCCGATGCGCATGTCCCGTCGTATCCAGGCCCAGCAAATGCAAGAAAAACACAATCCTATCTTGCCTTAGCTTCGCATTCAACTCTTCGTCCGTGCCAGCGTCCTCGAACAGCTTCTTAACGCGATCAAAAACCCAGTAATCCAGCTCCGTAGCATCTTTACTGTAATCCTCAAATTCAGCCTCGTACATCTGATCTTCGACTCGGCCTGGTACGGCACCGGCGGAGAACATGGGCAAGATATCCGGACTCCCCCAGCTCCAGGTATGTCGACTTCTGTTGAAGACGCTGTCGAAGTTGACTGGGTTGAGTTTCCAGCCTGTTGTTACTGCTGCCACGTCTTCGTACAACCCCGCGATGAGGGCGACATGACCAGGTCGGGATTCGGTGGGGACGCGGGTGTGGGAGACGCCGAAAGTGCCGTGTTTGAGGACTCGAGAGCGGAGGAAAGGCGCCATGGGGACGACATCCTGCGCTGAAGAATCGTTTGCCGGCCTTGAAGGGTCGGCAAAGAATTGGAACGCTTTGTCGGCTCGGAGTCCATCACCTGCAAAGCTTAGGTCAGTATGCAAAAGTCCATGTGATGAGGAGAGAGAGCATGAGCTTACCGACGTACAAAACCAATCGCCTGGCGGGAGGTTCAGGGGTATCGACTTTGTATGCGCGCATTCCATGCACAATCGGCGACACAAAGTAGATGTCGAAGATGGAGTAGATATAAACCACATGGAACACGATCGCAATTCCAAGGAACCCGATGCGCCCAAGTCGCGCCATGGCGAGAGAAGATAGCGCTTTGCCTTGTGCAAGTCAGCGAAAGCAGAGGAAGAGAACACGTCCAGCTTTGACAGGGGTCTGGATGGCCGGAGTTAGGATGGACCGAATGCCCTTATACGGCTAGTACTTATTGATATAGTATAGAGATAGCCAGCTAAATGTGCATGCTGTGGAATCACTCCCCAATTATTAGGCAGAAGCTGTTCCAAGTAAGCTGCTACGCCTACCCGACTTCCCAGTGTCCGTGCCCTATAAAAGATGATGTTATTAGGTACTGGCCTGTGTGGGTCAATCAGATAAGACTCTTACCTAAAGGAGGACAATCATGATTCATAGATCCATGCTGAGCATAAGGTAGATGTCAAACCACAACACCTGCTCTATGTCCATCTTCTCAGAACCCTTCCCTTCTTCATCTCTATCCGATTCATCGTCTTCGTTACCGGCCGACGGGCTCTTCGGCTGCTTCCACCCAATCATCAGATTATTCGCAAGGACGGTATAGAGAGTCAAATAAGCCGCATTGACATTATCAAAGAAATGGACTCCACAATTCGGCTCGAAAATGGACGTCATCGCCTTCAATCCGGTCTAAGCGCCTGATCTTAATCTTGTCAAGAGGTTGCTCGGGAAGCCATATCGTGATCCCTCTAAGCCGGAGCTGGATCTCAGCCCTGAGGAGAAATTGGAATGGGAAGAAAATGAGCTGCCGGGCGGCGAGTTCGAGTTCTTCATTGAGGAGAACCTCTTGAAACTTTGCTACCCCCTGTAGAACTCGCGGACTCCAGGATGCGAAGGAATCACAGCTGTCACTTCAAACCCGTCAATATCTTCAACCCTCATAGCGAGAAGGCCGTCATTTCTGCTAGTTCCTTGTAATGCAGTGCTTGCTTGTCGCATCCCGCGCCGGCGAGTGCAATCTTTTTGTGGCTTTCCGAGCAATCTCGGCGGCCATTCGCACTGCCGTGTCTTTTCGCTCTTCCGCTCGTTGTCCTCGGAGTTCAGGATGTAGAACGAACCGCCGAGAAGGGTACAACAGGCCTTGTTAAAGGCCAATGGGCCTTGCAACGAAATCCGATTGTGAGTCTGCCTTTCCAAGCCTTGGCCCTGCCGGAGGGCTAGAGAACAAAGATGGGCGTATCGGCGTAAGCTGAAGAAAAATCCCATGAGTGCTTATATATAGTAGTGGCCGTATATTCCAGTTTAGGGCTAATGGACTATTAGTGGGTGGTATGAAGTGGTATTTAAGTGACTCCATATGGGCAGCTACGGCGACTGAACTATCTTACTATACTCAGGTTAGTTAAATATAAATTGATTTAATTCAGAGGACATCTGCCACCAACACATGAACTCCGTACTTGCTTGACTAGATGGGGCCTAAAGCGTAATAGAACAGTGCCCTCCACGTTCGTTTGGTGATCCCAGGCCCCAGTCGACTATTACCGGCTTACCTAGGGGTAGCCTTCTCAAAAGAGCACCAAAGCGATTACCGGATTGCTTCGATAGCTTAACTTACTGGTTTATGAAGATTTCTAGAGAGTTTTGCTCGAATATGATATGGCACTACTGCATATGCAGACTATAAGACTTATTTCCTAGGCACAATTGCAACAACGCCAAGCCGCGAGAATCTTTATCAATATGCTTATACGCCCTACACACTGAGGAAGAATCAAGTATTACTAATAACTTATTTAAAGCTTACTCAAGTCATTAACCATCCCTGTGGGCCAGAAGCATGGCATTGTGAAGGATCTAGGTCCTGTCGGCAGCGGGTGATCAGCAATGGCCATCGGAATTCGGCATATGAACCCTCAAGCCGGAGGCTTTTTCGCAATGAACAAGTGCGCAGTGTATTTGCAGAGATTAGTAACAAGCGCCGCTAAGATGGGCATATCCAACCCCATGTGGCGGAGCGGAGCACGTCTTGGCGGCTTACATTTCCCTTTTCAGAAAGCTCTCCGGCCTTTTATGAGCGCAACACACTCTGTCCCTGGCAAGTTCAGACAAACTGCTGCTTACCGAGGATTTCAAATCAAACCTACCTTCGACGCCTGTATAAAGAAGAAATATGCCAAACAGCAGTAATTCAGTATCTACATCCAACCAATTAACTTCGGACCTGCAACAAACCTCAGCCGAGCAACCACTGCCAAAATGGAAGAAGCGCAAGTATTCATGAAAGACGGAAAAGTAGACGTCCGTCTGCACCGTGTCCCTATCCCTAAGCCAGGACCCGGTCAAGTCCTCATCAAAGTTGTCGCCAGTGGAACAAACCCCAAGGACTGGAAGTTCCCAGCATGGATGCCACAATTCAGCGGCACCAACACCGGCGATGACATTGCCGGGTATATTCACGAGGTTGGTGAAGGTGTCGTGGGCTTCAAAGTCGGCGACCGCGTCGCGTCCTACCATGACTACAAGACACCGCATGGCAGCTATGCCGAATATGCCATCGGGGAAGCCTATGCTACATTCCACATTCCGGAGAAAATCTCCTTTGAACAAGCGGCTACAATCCCGCTTGCGGCCATGACGGCGTCGTTGGCTCTGTTTTCTCGTCTGGGGTTGCCTGAGCCGTGGTTCAAGGAGAAGACCTGGGCTCAGAAGCCGGAGGGGGAGTGCTGGTCTACGGGGCTGCGAGTGCCGTGGGGACATTTTCCATCAAGCTTCTCCAGAAAGCGGACATTCACCCTATCATTTGTGTTGCGGGCCGCGGAAAGGAATTTGTGCGCAGTCATCTCAGCGAGGAAAAGGGGGATGTGGTCATTGATTATCGGGAAGGAGAATCGGCTGTGCTCGCTGCGATTAAGGAAGCCGTACCCAAGGGGAAGAAAGTGCGTTATGTTCTGGATGCTGTCAGTGAGAAGGCGAGTTTCGCTGTTGTCTGCCAAGTGCTGGATTCCGCGGGTGGTGCCATGTCTGTTGTCAGTCCCGTGGGACCCGAGGAGTGTCCGGATGGTATCCGTGTAGAACTCACCGACGTCGGCAGGGCTCACAGGGATGACAAGGAGTTTGCATATACCTGGTCAAGATTCTTCACTCTCGGTCTCAGCGAAGGATGGTTCACGCCTCATCCTCATGAAGTTATCCCGGGTGGCCTCAGCGGAGTCCAGGTGGCGTTGACCAACCTGATGGAAGGGAAGGCTAGTGCAGTCAAATATGTTGTCAAGGTTAAGGACGTCTAGACGTTTTGCTTCATGTATATACCCCCTTATCATTGTTACGTCTTGACCTCATACGACGTAAAAGGACCACACGTGGTACTGGAGGCGAACTGGGAGGTGCCAGAGGTTTCATGGCAAGCTGTCTACGGAAGAAAGCGAACGGCGTCCTAGACTCGATACTACGTTCAACTGAACGAGGGTTCCTCAGTCCAAAGGTTCTTTCGGCATGGCTGTAAGGCATGAAACATCTCTTTGAATCGGCAAACCGAGAACCCTTGAACGTGGCATTGAACCAGTTGGCATTTCTTTGTCAGGCAGCTGGTTTCGAGAAATTGTGGCTCGTCTATCTCCTGAGACAAGCCATTGTTCCTCGTCTGGTGACGGGTTCAAAGGGTAGTGAAAGGATTATGGCTAACAATGCCATAATAATGAAGTGTCTAGAACAGAAATAAATCCATTGTTGTATGTTTAAGATAACGGTCCTAGGCCTCGAAATTATGTCTCAACCCCCAATATAAATACCACTCGAAGTCTATCATTAGCACCATAGTGATCATCTTCTTCTTCTTCCTCGGCTCTCTCACGCTCCTACTCACTCTCTGAAATTTCACCACTACAACAATACAAACAACCCAACTTCCACCCACTACCACTACAAACTACAGGCACACGCCGAATATCTCGCTCACTATGCCGAAGCAGGCCAAGTTCCAACTCCACGAGGCCCGCACCTACAGAAGCTTCCTTCTGATTCGCCCCGATGACCCCGACCTCCCTGCGCTAACCATGCTCAGAGAAGTGCTGAAGGTCCTGCAAGCTGGCTGCGGCAACTTCTCCCCCCGCCGGGAATCCTTCCCCGACACGCAGGTAGGCGATCTAATTTTCGAGATCATCAGCGAAGATAATACACTCAAGGGACTGACCGATGCTGCTGTGCAGTGCATCACGCAGCAAATTGAGAACTGGGACTACGACAAGGACATGATCAGATGGGAGCAGTTTGTCGAGGGGATGGTTCTGATTGACTATAGGTATCTGCACTAGGTGAGTTCCAGAGTTGGCCGGATTGGTGGGATTTGTCTCAGCTTGCTTTTGGGGGTTGATGAGGATATTGTTAGAAGTTTACTTTGCTGGGAGCTATCATTATCGGTTGGACTACAAAATCAAACCTAGTTCAAGACGACTGTGTAGTTCATTCTTCTTTAGGGCTGTAGAATAATGAGTACTGGCAAGTGTACAACAAGCTATGCTTTCGTATCGGAGCTACGTGTACAAGTTCAATGTGATGAGCCAGAGCTGGCCATTCTTACGAAAGCCGGAAAGCAGGATATACGGGCCGAGCCGCTTTCAAAGATCACGCTCCGTGGTTTGTTCCCCTTTAGGGCGGAGAGATCTACGCAGTGGGTCGATATGAGGTCCAGAACCTTGGGGACAGGCATAATCCCGACAATGACTTGTACTCGAAGGGTGAGACGGAGGGAGCCAATTGATAATACGACTATTGTGTGATGTTCACTTCCGATTGATGCTTTTCTTCCGTACGGAAAGTTGCCTAGTATGCTGGCTAGGACAGTGGAAGCGACGCTGCGGGCGTCTGGTTTGTTTCAGGAGGATGAAAACCGGCTTTGTGGGTGCCACGGGGCCAAGCGTTGCTTATCTACTGTATGCATCCATGATCCACCAGAGGGATTTCGGTGGACTTGGCCATCACGATTCTATAATTGGAGGAGCGACCTGCTCAAGAACGCAGACATTAACTCGATACGGAGGTGATACCGACATCACGCTGTTCACACTCGTCCTTGTGGTTATAAAACCAGACCTGCCGAGTTTTCACTGATTCTCTGAGCACACCCTTGCAAGTCTCACAAGCAAGTTAAGCAACATGTCCGCCATCAAAGCCCTCATCCTTCTCTCGCTCCTCGGTCTGGCCTCCTGCCAGAAAATATAGGACTACGGCCCACACTTCGCCCTCGGGCCTAGCTCGTCATGGGCTCGTCATGGATTCGGGGGGCTACCACGACACTTGCCCTCCCGCAGACAGGACGCCCGCAGAAGGACACTAGCAGACACCACATGATCCAGGCTGTTGCTGTAGCTTTTTCGAATCCTGCTGCGTATGTGTCATCTCACGATGTTACAGATCAAGCTGACGAGTGACGGCAAGCCTGGACAATGGTGCGCGTGGGCTAGTACTTATGTCCAGGGTAGGTTGGAGATCAACCGAAGCGTAGACCATGCTTATACCAGTATAGAGACCCATGAACAGCATCTAGAGGGTAAACGAGTACCTGCTAACCCAGGTGATAAACTCACAATTCAGTGTACGATCACCAAGAGCCGTAATGAAACCGTCTAACGATCTGCAGACAAGTATAATGACAGAACGGCTAAGTACGATCAGAGTCTCGCCATCAACGGAAGGGTGGTATCCACGTTGTTCACAGTGAGTCCCCACTTTTGTGCAGCAGCTGATACTGAGAAGCGCAGGCTCCGCCATGCTCTAGGGTATGGTACAGGCGTCGAATGCGAGGATGATATGTGCCACCATGGCATTGCGGGTGCTCACCGTAAGTTACTTTCAGTGGGTCAGTGATCGAGACTGATGGAATGTAGAGTATCTTAAGACTAAGATTATTGTCAAAACGCTTGATAAGAAGTTCGGCCATACCCTGGCCATAGGCGAGGCTACCTCGTCGCCATTGACTACTCCGGACGGAGGCAAGGCCTGGACTCTGGGTCGTGTTCATATTAACGCTCGCACTTTAAATCGGTAATCGAGTACAGTTGTTGGTTAATTTGGCCTTGACTCCGCCTGACTTGTTTATACTTCAGCTGCTCTTGCATAGTCAAAATAAACAAGAGCTGCATTTTGTCGGCCTGCTCGTTTGTCTCTTGACAGGATATATGGCAACGATAATAAAGACACCGGTGTGTTTGTGGTCCTATCTCCCCCAGAATATATAGTGTCGATTGCATTAATTTAATAGTTGGGTGCTCAGGAATATAATGTGGATGGTCCACTGTATGAGCCTTATGATTCGACAACGTATACTGAGGCTGTGAACGAGCAATGAGGCGAAGCATTTTTCCGTCAGCCAAGATAGTACATTAAAAAGACTACCCCACAACCAACAGTCGACTGCAGCGGACCGTCTGAAAACTTCCTTAGAAGTCATCTAATATTTGAATATGTCAGAGAACACGTCCCCAGTAGGAACAGCACACCCCACATTTCCTCACTTCCCCAGCCTCCCGGCGGAGCTACGAATTCTAATCTGGCACGGAGCCCTCCCGGAAAAAGACAACCCAGCCCTAGTCTTCTTCAAAAAAGGATGCTGGCGCCGGCGCTGCCTCTCTGAAACCGAGCAGGGGTACGACCCCACCGATCCCTCCCATCCGCACTTCTACTTTGATCCCGAACTACTAGACCACATAGAGGTCAATGTTCCACTGTTCTTCGTCAATCGCGAAGCCCGCAGGATCGCTCTAGCATGGTGCCGCGAGCAGCGAATCTCACTCCGCTTCGTCCGCAACCAACAGTCCCTTATATTTTCGCGCCCGTTCAACTCAAAGCACGACGTGCTGTATGTCCCGCTTGATCAGTGGAACAGCTTCCTCTGCGAGCCGTATGATCAGATGTTCACACCTGAATGGACTGGCCAGTCCGTCAGTACTTATGCTCTTGAGCTGGGGGCCATCGCTGTTCCTGAGGCACAGGTTTATAGCAACCCCGCTGTACTGCATGAGATGTTCGAGTGGCCCTATCGTCCAGCGGTGCTGTACGTCGTCCTCGACTCACCGCCGGATCTGCGGTTGGAGTATGCAGGGCAAAATGTCCAGCGGCGGTGGGAGGTTCGGACCTGCCAAGGGGGGTCATTGTTCTATACCTGGAAAGACGGCCGTGGGAGCTTTGAGGAAGGGGCTAGTGAGCGTTCTGGGCATGAAGTCTTGTACGAGCGGATCAAGGAGGTTAGCAAAGGGCTCGGTGAAGGGATTACACTGCACAATGTCCGTAGCTTTGAGGTGCGGCCTGTCTGTGTCGTTCGGTATGAGGGTAGTACATCGTTTATACTTTGAGATAAAGTCTTACTCTTGGGCCCGGTATTTATTAGATTAACGGTGTCTGATGAGGCAGAGCAGCTATACTACTTAGCAAGTAGAAATTGGACGATGGTCAAGAATAAATCCTAACCATGCGCAAACAATGAATCTCGGCGAAGTCAAGAACCATGCCTGGTATAGGTAGAGATGGCATATCGAATTCTCTCTTCTTGTCAATTTCCAGAAGATCTAGTCCTACAAATAATGAAACAAACGAGAGGCACAGAGGGCCTACGAAAAAATTCGTTTAAGGGTCAAAGCTTCTTGCCTCCAAAATCTATCCTGACAATCCCAGAAAGCATGGCCTTGTCATAAGATTTTCGGACTTGAAACGTACCTAGCAGCGGATACCTCGGGACATACGGCTTGTCCCAAGCTCAGCCTGCTAAACAGTGAGGAGTAAAGTGCGCCTCATGACCTTGACTCGGGCTAATGCAGTTCTCCCGTGCGTACCTGAATCAGGACACAGAGGGAGCACAAGCCTCTCGCTAAAACGGCAATTTCCTCCGCAGTAGACCAGGAGCAATTACTGAATAAGGCATCCCCACGACACGCCTATTTAGTCAGTACAGCGTGGTGGTAGCATTTCATAGCATTGACAGGGATTAACCTGCGCCGCAATTTCAACACGGACGAACGCGCCAGCACCAAGCCAGGGGTTAAAATGAGTGGACTCCTCCAACGAATCTCGAGGATATTTTCTAATTATCATAATCTTTCCCTACGCGCGCTATCCTTCACAGACCATTGAATCATATCCCATGGTCCCAGCTACGAAGAAGCTCAGTCGTGAGAGTCTTCGACGCAATGGCATTATTATTGAGATGGAAATCAGCGAGGACAACTGGCCAAAGGACATTGCACAAGTCAAAGATCGGATCCTCTCGTTTGACTGTATCATTCCACCAAAAGAGGTAGAATGATACGTTTCTTTCCACAAGGTGGTTCTTTGTTGAAACGCTGACTCCGTACGCACGACAAGGTCGCACGGGAGAGCCTCGAACCTCATTTTTTGACCAAGCTGTACAAGCAACTACCACAGGCGAAGCGAGATAGGTGGTTCAAGGGAGAAATGGCATGTAATAGAGAGTGTCTCCCTGGACAGAATGAGGCGAAAAACAGGCACCTGGAAAATCTGACAACAGCGTATACTCTTGTACGGAGAATGTTTCCAGCGACCGGAAAGGAAAGTGCTAATTTATTTATTTAGTACGAACATGCAGTGGACTGGACGCACAAGGGTGGCATGCACGAGGGTAGACTAGGAGACAAGCTCGCCGACTATGTATTCGAGGAATGGAAGAAGCATGCAGATGGAACGTACGCATTTTGTTTCCCAAGACCTATTAGCCATGAGGCTGCTGATGAGAGAAACCATTCTGCCCAGTTCAATCAGCTCGGCTTATAGTCGGTTTGGTGGTGAATCCGCGACCACGTTGTAAGCCACGACTCATTTAGCTACCAGGCACATTCAACTGACGTTCCTCGGTTTCCTTCAGCGGCCGAGACACAGTGTCCTTCAGTCAGGCATGGCATGTTCGCAATTACTGGCACCGTCAATGCTCCGTCGCCAAGGTAAGAGAACCGTTCCGCCGTAACACGTCCCTATACTCACGATTTCCTCTACCGTACGGTGAAGCCATTACACGAGAGTGAGAAGCTATCAGTTCCCAAGCCGGACTGGTATTTTGGGTTTCACATACACAATGATATCCGCCCTCCCCGGAAGACGGACAAAGAACAGTCTTACGTGGCATTCTCATTGACAGAGCTGAACCTCTTGGAAAAGGCCGAGGAATTGCATTCGTGTCCCCTGATCTCGCTGAATAAGTATTGCGCCAACATTCAAAAATCTCCACGGCTGGCGAAAATCCAGCGACGAAAACTAGGTAGTGAAGACGAGGTTCATAGTGTAGGCTCGGGATTCGAAGACAGCGATTCCAATGAACTTGACGAGTACGAGTATACAACGACAGAAGATGAGGACTACGAGCCAGGGAGCGAAGAAGATGACAGCAGTGATGGCAGTGACGGCAACCTGGAGGACGATGAAGATCTTGACTCTGAAACAGACGAAGAGCTCGCACCCAGCCGTGGATACAGGTACAAAAGGTCGGATGTGGATGTTGCCGAAGGTGGAGACACAGACGGAACTGATGCATCTGACATTGAAACAGGGACCTCCCGCAGAAAATTTGAAGATTATAAGCTGACCTGTTACCCATGGGCGGTGGTTGAAGTAAAGAAGCCTGGCGCATCCCCCCAGGACACCGAGGAATGTTATTACCAGGTGGCAAACGGTAGCTCCGCCTGCGTCGCATTGCTTCGGGGACTATCAGACGGCCCAGCGCATGATTACCATCATCCAGTGGTTGCCATGACATTCGTTGGACGAGATGCCAGAGTGTTTCTGACCTATGCGGAGCCACTCAATGGCGACCACGATGCCGACGATGACGGTGAGACAATCATTCTATATGTAAGTCTGATCCAATTCTTCTCGAACCCCACTAATCAAAGACCTCCTTTCATTGCTGACGGGGCCATCCATCTAGCGAATGAGATGCATCTGGAAAGGGCGATTGGATGTGCTCTGGAAGGCGCTGCAACTCCGACGCATGCTTGACACCATTCAGTATTGGGCTTTGCAGAAGTATGGAACACACATTGACGGGGACATCAAGAGACTACTGAGAAAGCACCGACTTAGGTCCAACCCCTCGACTCCAAGCAGTTTCCGGCAGACCGAAGGGCAGGGACATTCCAGGACAAGCCCGTCTCCATTGGCAAACAAACGAGGCAATCGATCAGCGCGACCTGCATTGGTGAGTGTACCCTGTATGATACACTGGCCCTAATTAACCTGGCGCAAAGGAGAATATAAAGCGCCCAAGCACGTTGGAGAGGCTTCTGGAGGAGTTAAAGGTAAATAGCATTACGTTAGGGTTTGAAAGTTCGCCGCGCAAGTCAAACAGGAAATGACAACAAGTAGATGACGGGGGAAGGCACCAGGGGGTTATATACCAGTATCTCTGCTGTTGCAAGATGAGGCCGTTGTAGACGCTCTCTAGGTTAGGAAAGAACAGTTATATGAACCTAGCAAAGGTATTGAATACGGCCTTTAATCTTCTGCTGAGTTCTCAAGACATATAGCAATTTACTTTTGAGCAATGGGCATTATTATAAATACCAATACGAACAGTTCTTAAGAGTACGTGAAAGGTCGAGGAAAGCTAGTTGGAAGACGGGCAAAAAAATGCATTTGCAGGTCAATACTGAAAAATGCAAAAAAATGGACTCGCGGGGAATCGAACCCCGGACCACCCCCATGCTAAGGGGGTATTATACCACTAAACCACAAGCCCATTTGTTGAGAGCCTTTTCTCTATATACCCTTATGCTACCAAGAGGGCCTGTTATGCTGAGATATTACTGCACATCCATGCTGAAATATAGAACAGTCAGAATTAACGACAGGTTAGAATTGACTGACTAGGCAGCTTTTATCTAGTAGGTCCTTATTTAGGCAGCTCATCTACTGCCTTAAATAAGAGTTAAGAAGAAACCACTATGCTCATGGAAGCTGTTTTCCTTCACAAATGATATTTCCGCTGTCACCGTAATGCAATGTTATCTCTGTTGCTAGATCTACTTAGGTGACGGGCGTATCTCTTGTTTCAATGCTTCTATATTGCACCGACAGAACACTAACAATAGAAATATGATCAGGTGCACTATAGAACCCAGGCTGAGGAGCGAGGTACTAGGGCAAGCGCGCGCATCCAGACAGTCCTCAGGGGATTACTAACGAGATGACCTAGACATTATTACACTATGCCAGCCCAGTTCAGTGGCTGATTTAATAGATAGAGTCAGTTGTCCTCGGACTCCATAATGTGTAGCTTGCCGAATGGAGAGACGTAACCACGTATCATCGTAGTGCTGTTTACAAGACCGAGTCTGCAGCCTGCAGAGCAGCAGAGGCGACGGGTTAGGGCCATCCACCAAATACAGCCATGACGTCCTTACATCTCTACGGCAAAATTATTCGTTGTTCCGATATCAAACTCGTACATCATCGAACATCAGTTCCTTCAGTAGATAAAGTCATTTTTCATAACACCAGGATGGAAACATCATATACAAGAAGGCAAAGAGCAATATGGAATCCCTTCGATCTCTTATTAGAGCATCTCCTTGATTTTTCAGTAGGGTTCGCAATGAACTCCTAAACAGCATCAGGGAAGGGATGGGGATTAGCCAAGGTCGTAGGCGCATCGCGCTTCTTAGGACCAATCAAATGGTCAAAAGCAGGCGAGTGCGAGACACGGGGAGTAAAGTCTTTGAGATCCCAGAGGTATCCAATGGTCTTGAGCACGGAAGTGGCACTGTACGAAGCAGTCTTGCCGGTGGCAGGGTCAACACCGTAGTTCTCAATGTGTCCCTTGGGCGTGTACGGAGAGATAAGCCAGGTAGGCATACGGCCGCCCAGACGGTCAAAGTTGAAGGTGTAGGAGCTGCCGTCAGCGGCGGTCTCGGTGTAGGTCTTGCTGTCTGGGCGGACAGCCACAGGGGGCTGAATGTGGTCGTAGAAACCACCGGTCTCGTCGAAGGTGACGAGCAGGAGGGTCTTGTCCCACTGAGGCCCGGTACGGACGGCATCGTAGATCTGCTTGACGAGAACCTGGCCGAAGGAGACGTTGCCGGAGGGGTGCATGGAGTTGGTATCGAGATCACAGCAGGAGGGGTTGATGTAGGAGAGCTGGGGCAGGAGGCCGAGGTAGGCGTCCTGGTAGAAGTTCTCGAGAGGGACGACGTTCTGCTTGGCGTTCTGGGCGGTCCAGTTAAAGAAGAGAGCGTCGGAAAGGAAGGCACCGTTGGTGCCGTCGTAGTTCTTCCAGGTGATGTCCTTCTCGGTGGCAACCTGGAAGATGCTGGAGATGTCGATGCCAGAGACGTCGAAGCTGTTGTCGTTGGTGCCGTGGCCATCGGAGGTACCAGAGAGGGCGCACAGGCGGTTGGGGTTGGTGGGCTATTCTCATCAGTATCTTGTACTCGTAGTAGGGATAGTGACTTACACCAGGGACACACGAGTGCCAGTAGTTGAAGGTGGTGAACTCGTCAACCAGGTTGACAAGAGTGGGGATCTCGTCCTCGGAGTAGTAGCCCATGACCTCCTCATCGGCCACCTTGGGATCAAGGCCCTTGTGGTGCACCAGCTGCTGCTCCACAAAGCCGTTCATGCTGGGCTTCAGGGTGCCGCTGGCGATGGCATCGTTGCTGGGAGTGTACGTGCCGTACAACTCCATGTTGTAACCGGTGACCGAGTGATCGGGGTCATGTTTGACCGAGTCAAAGTCCTTGTACACGCTGCACCACTTGGTGCTGCTGGGATCGCTCACATTCTGAGGGTTGCAGAAGGGGCCGTTGTTAACCACGTTATCCAGACCCTTGCGCTTGACACCACCCAGGATGTTGTCGAAACTGCGGTTCTCCAGCAGAATCCACACGACATTCTCAATCTTGTCCTTCAGGTTGGCAATGGACTCCTTGGAGCCAGAGGCGTACCCAAAGGGGGTGTTGCTGGACGCAGCCACGGCCGCAGCGGCAGCGCTGCCGGAGAGACCGAGCAAGGGCACTAAAGTGTTGGCCTTCATGATGATGGAAGCTAGTTCTTGCTCATTCTCACCTGTTAAGCAGTTTGAACATCTTTTATATTAAGGCAAGTATCTTTATTACTCTGCTGATACCACAACCTGCTGCTATCAATATGATATGGTGGATGAACAAATGAAGAGTGGCATTCGCCAGCACATGCGCTGATCGGCAAATCTTACAGGCAGGAATATGCAACCAAAATGTTAGCACGCTCTCTAGAGTATGGATACCAGTAAGCGATATCTCCCCTTCAGTCGAATCTTACAGCTGATGCCGATTTCCGGGTGATTGACCAACGAAGTGGGCATATTCAGGTGCTTTTACATTGAGATCGGCGTGTTAGTTGCTTTATTCGTCCCCAACGTTCCTCGAGGAAGCATGCTGAAATTAACCCGAGGTTGGTACAGCCGTTATCACCGGTTTACACATTCTGTGTCGTTATTGATGTGGGGTGTATCAGGAACAGGAAGGAGGTATACAACAGAAGTGGGCCCGCTAAGCTTTGATGGCTTACTTGGCTTTCTTCATCTTGGCGCGTTCATATTCGGCCAATCAAAGCACGTAGAAGAGCGCACTCTCTTCATTCTGTAATATTATTGGTTCACTCTTTGTTCTGTGTATCTGCACTTGCCAATCATATCTGACCATTCGAGCATGTTGATCCTACATGACGATGAATGAGATGATTGAAGATGATTGAAATGTCTCGTCTGAATGTCTTGTTTTTTCTAGGCAACAACTTGGCTACCGATATGACATAGTGGCATACGACCTTCGAGATTCTCTTGACATAGAGAAAGCCACGGCCCCAACAAAACAAGGTGACGGTTCCAAGTCCCACGTGCTAAGCCAGTTTCCCGTGTCCCAGTACTGACCGGACGATGAAGAAGGTAATGAACAGAGTTGTATGGGTGTAACTATAGCATTACAGTATGCCCTACAGTCAGCAACTAATGCAATCAGAAGCAATGCTGCTTGGCCACATGTGGCGTCCCAAAGACAGACGTCGTGGGCACTATATCCTAGGCTGGATGAAGGACAACAAAGGCGCAGACCATACTACCAAGTATAAGAATCCAGCTCGTACAATTCTGGAGAAATACTATATGAGTAGTGGAAAAAAATGGGTGAGACTCTTGCATACATACGAGTGGCGGAGGTGCGGGTATGAGACCGGCAAAGTGCCTGCGCCCCGGTCTTCAAGCACACACACTAGTAAAAAGATGAGGGAGCATCTGGACCGTGCTTCATCGTTGACCATAGCACTAGAATTAGCCGTTTAAAATTGGAGAAACCTGTGAGGAGTGGAAATTGTCTATGGCATTTTTATCAAGTAAATACAGCAAGTCCCAATTATTACATCTTCCATAGCAGGGCGACTTCCAAAAGCCAAATTTCTGGTTACCAATCAACACAGTCTTCACTATCCTGAGAGTTCATCCAGCCCACTCTAGCCAGCAGCGTACCTGGAAATTGCACGCAGCTTGGGTCCCAACCGCCAAAACGCAAAAGGCGCCACCCAACCAATACCCACGGTGACGAATGCCAGCACGCTAGTCCCCCATCCGTAGCCCAGAGACTGGTACATGTACGGAGCGAAGAGCGGGAACCCGAAGCCCGCCAGACTGCGAAGGATCGCGCAGGCCGCCATAGCGCTGGCAGCGTAGGTTTGGTAGCTGTCGACGATGTATGTCTGCATTCCCTGCAGGCAGGAAACCGTGCCCGCGGTGTAGATTAGAGCACCGATGTTGGGCATGATCCAGTGCGTGTTCCCGATGCTCCAGCCGTACCAAAAGAGGCCGATGGTGCTGAGGACGGAGCCGACGGCTAACGACGGCATGCGGAACTCGGGCTTGCCGATGTTGTTGTTCCGCGCTTTGAGGGTCTTGTAGATGCGGTCGACCAGCTTGAGGTTGAAGAAGAGGCCGGCGAAAGACCCGATGGCGATGGAGAGGTAGTTGAGTCCGCCGATGCTGGGGCTCTCGTGGTAGACCACGGTCCAGATCTCGGGGAACGTCGCAAGCATGAGATACGTTATTCCAAAGAGGTAGGCCATGTAGATGGCCATGCATAAGACGATGGGCTGTGTTGCGAACAGGCGCACCGGCCGCTCGAATGCATGGAGAAGCTTGTAAGCGAGTGTCTCTACCTTCTCTTCGGTATGCAGATTCTCGTTGCCCGTCTGCTTGACGAGGCGGTCGCGTCGCTTGCGTAGGAGCGTGGCCGGGTGACACTCACGCAGCCAGATGAATCCGACAACCTGAACCCCGACGGCGGCGGCGGAGGTTGCCCAGAAGACCCAACGCCATGTTGAGTACTGGGCAATGAAGCCGCCGGCAATGGGTCCGATGACGGGTCCAAGGAGCGGCCCAAGAGTGTAGACGCCCATGGCCTTGCCACGATCTTCGGCGCTCCACATGTCACTGCAAGACGGGTTAGTAATGGAAGACTTCAGTGGTTGCATCTCGTCTTACCCGATGGCGCCTCCTCCAATTGCTAGCGGCGCGCTACCACCAATGCCAGCAAGAAAGCGAAAAGCAAACAGCTGAGCCTTGGTCTTAGCGAATCCGCACCCCAGATTCCAGGCTAGGTACCACGCATTGCTGACCTGAAGCAGACGCACACGTCCGTAGAGCTCGGAAGCAGGACCGAAGAAGATGGGGCCGATGGCGTAGGCGAGGATGAAAATAGCCATGGAGAGGTACACCTCAATGTCGGTGTGCATTCCCAGGGTCTTGCCGACATCTTGCATGGCCGGGGCAATCATGGATGATGAGACGGGCGAGATGAAGACGAAGAGGGAAATGATCCAGGTGTTCTTCCACTTCAAGCCGTTGGGCCAATTTTTGGGGTTCTCTGGGTCATTTGGCCCGCTCCATGTGACGAGATCTGGGTCTTTGTTGGCTTCGGCATTGGTAGTTGTTGCTTTGGCTGATTCGAGGTCTCCAGGCGTGATCCCCTCGTCGGAGGCAAATGGAGTCCTATCGCTCATCTTGGATGGAATCATCGACTGATTCTTAGTGTTGCAATGCCTTGACTTCTTATACTTCTTATAAATATCTCATAGGTATCAAGCAGCCAATCACCGGGCATAATTCGCTTCGGGCCCGGATCGCCCTTGACGAACCGATGCGCTGACCAATGGCAGTGGGCCATTCTTCGGGCCCGGGGCCGGCTATTGAAAAAACATATAGGTACTATGTACAGCTAAGCCTCGTGTTCCTGGACCGTAACCGACAGGGGAAGGGTCCAGGAGACGGCTCGATGGCCATCCTAACAATAACATTCTTCCTTATCGGTCATCCAATAGCAAGGCCTGATAGATCTGTTCCTATAATGAGAACGAGGGTACTATCCCCCTTATATTGTCTGTTGAGGCAAACGACGGTCAGCAACTCTCCCATTATGAACTCATAGTCGTAAATGTGCTGGCTCACTGAAGCGTGTTGTATAAGTCCACGTAGATATTAGGCATGAAAGACGCCCGCTCAGTCTAGACTAGTTCCTCGACACAGCTGATCCCAGACGACCCAATCTGGAGAGTCGAAAGTGAAGCCACTATCAAGATCCAAGTCTCTTCCATCAATGTCGCCAAAAAGCTCATTAGAAGCAAACACACCGTCCGCAACCTGGTCGGTTTTCTCCCTTTCATCAACGCTCTCCCGCTGCTTGTTGACTTTCGGTTTATGTCGGGCCCTAAGCGCAGTTATGAAAGCTGGCTCTTGGGACGAATTAATGGGGGGATTAGCAGTCCAGGCCTTGAGGGTTAGCTTGCCAATGGTGACGTGCAGGGTTCTCTTGCGCTTGACGAGTTCTTCGTGATTCGAATAGACTTCTGCAACCTTGTTCCAGGTCGTGTTTAGCTCCGACGCCGAGTAGAATCCGACTTCTGCGAGGCTAAGCAGGATACAGAGAAGGGCATCCCACAAGAAGAAGGCTTGCATCTGCCATCGGAACTTCTTTATGCTGGGGTTGCCGTAGATGGCGCTGTTTGTATCCAGGATCTTTCCTGCGAGAGTGCAGAGGTCTCTTCTTTGCGCGTCGGTAATGGTTTGCGTCAGGAGTAGTGGCATTCGAGCACGCAGTCGGACGGCATTGGTGGCTGATCGTACAATTCCCATGGTGAAAACGTGTAGGGGGTTCAGTATATCGCAGTAGCGGAGGAACTTTGTCTCAATGACATCTTCGACCTCGTCGATGAGCCTCTCAATCTCCTCTGCATCCTTGAATTGAACTGTACCACCAGATTCCTTCATTTTAACACCCGTTCGGGTATAGAAATTGGACAGTTCAATCCGCGACAAGCAGAAGATCATCTCCGAAGCGCCCCTTTGCTCTTGAGGCTGCTGCTTCATACCAGGGAAGATCTGGTCATCGTTAATGTTCAGCGGTGGCTTGGTATCCCAGCTATTCGGCGATATGGAGATCCCAGTGCCGCAAACCTGGCCCGCATAACCATCCAGTGGAAGCAGTTGCCAAAAGAGCCGCCGTCGCATCTGGACCTCAAAGGGTGGTAATCCCAAGCTTTCACCATCACGGTGCAGCCCCATGCGTTGTGCGAGGCGAATCGCAACGCCTGTCAATATCCAAAACGTTTGAGAATCAATTTGAGTGCGCATGGCAATGAGGAAGAGAGTGTAAGCCTGGAGTACGGGCATCGCTGTAGTCTTCAGCCACGACGCATTGACAAGTGCCTGACAAACAGCCGTCCGATATCTCGACATCAAATGGTTCCTCGTTTGGTTGAACTCTTGCAGACAGTCGGCATCTGGCATGGAGAACACAGCAAAATAGTAGATGACAAAAAGCAGGCATTCGTCACTCTTCGAGGCCCCAGCAGGTTGTTTTGAAACTGTGTCGACCATCTTTGCGACAGTAGGAACATGAAGAACCTTGCAAAGAGGCTCGACATTTTGCACGTACGCATTCCAGAGCTTTGTAGCCTCCTCATAGCTGGGATGTTGGTTAGTGAGGCTCTGGGTGCTTTCAAGTATTGCCCCAGAGACTGTATGTGCTGCGAGGACGCCTAGAAGTCCAGTCTGTGTGCCCTCATCAGCTCCAGTGGCGTCGTTGTAGTCATCTTGGTCTGAATCCGATAATTCACACAAGTCGCCTTCTCCGGCATCAAGGAGGAGAACATTGTCAATATAGCGAGACTTGCCCTCGGTGGAAAGAAGTTTACCCGACCTAGCAGGTTGCACAGGGGGTGGGCCCCGTGTGCTGACCACCGAGACCTCTGCTTCCTTGCCGCATGGGGTTGATGTAGAGTTCGTAGGGAGAAGATGGTGTTCCTGCAAGATCCGTTCGTACCGTGCTAAACGCTCATACACCTCTTCGACCTGGCTTCGCTTCCTCTTGCGCGGCAGGGGAGCTTGGTAGACGCACTGGAGCTTTGCTTTGCTGCAGCTTGAGCATGTTGGCGCAACCCTATCGCATTTGATTTTTTTCCGTACACAAGCTTGGCAGTTGAAGCGCATTGTGGGCAAATGTGTGTCGCAGCCATTCTGCACGTCAGCAGAGGTTGCCCTAGGCGCGGGAGCAATTGGGACAAGGCGTGAGGCGATTGTGCTATCGGCTTCCATGGCTATGTATTATGACTTGAATGCTCCTTGTCCCTCAAGATGCAGGGGAAATATACAAAGATGCACAACTACTTCTAGGACGTGCGAACCATGTCGGGATAAGTGAGTCAAGAGATGCGCCAGTGCACCAAGGGTAATCAGCTGACAGCTTCAATAAATGTTATGCCTGTAGTAGTGGCTAAATTATAATAGTAGTAATAGTAAAAGGTTCGTAATTCCTTAACTCTATGGTGTTTGTTGTTTATCCTGAGGTGTCCTTCACTTGGTGTCTTCGCGTAGCACCACCAAAGGAACCACACTCAGTCATGTGACTTTGTTGGTGCCTTGATATCTGTTTCTGCCTTAGGCCTAGGTTGAAGCCCCTGAGCGAGTCCCAAACCTAGGTGGGCAGAGTATCTGTACTGCGCAAAAGACTCTGAAACTTCTGCAAGACAAATTGTCTTTCTTCCGGCGAGACTTCCTCCCGTCGGCTCATCTCATACCCATCCCGTAGTCGCGCCGTGATAATAGCCTTCCTCGTCTTGGACCTAACCGACGACTCGATACTCTTCACAATACCCTGAAATGGATACGCGACGAGCCCCAGTCCAGCGGACGGGACCTTGGTCATGAATCCCGCTGTACCCTTTGCCAAACCCTTGACAACGCCCAGCGCTCCCTCCTCCTTGCCCCCTTTGAGCGGCTGAGTGACCAGCCCTGAGAAGCCCTCCATCATGCCATCCACAAAGTTCTTTCCCCCGACTGTAGCCCCGGATTTCCAATCCTGCACAGCGCCGTAGTCCTTGGGTTGTTCGCCATACAGGCGCGGGACCTGCCTGAAGCCTTCCGCTGCGGCGTGCGGGATATCTACAATGACACCCCTGGTGTACGATCCCATGAACTGTCCGAAGCTTTTCGCAAATTGACCCGCCATAGCCCCCGCGGTGGCAACGGGGTGACGTTCTTTGCCATCAGAGGCAACTTCAGTTCTGTTACGGGCGAGTTCTTTGTAAGGTTTGTAGAGCATGTTTGTGGTGCTTTTGAGCAAGTCAGTGCCGGTGCCTACGGCTGCGGAGGTGACACCGGTGAGCGGATCCCAACGGCGGTTTTCAATAATGATCGGTTTGATATCATAACTGGCCGGTCAGTGTCGCGATGTAAACGGGAGAATGCAAACTCACCAGCGGAGATTCTTTGGATCAATCTTGAGGTGGTCGATGAGAATCTGCACGGCTTTCCTTGATAACCGGATCTCCCGCTTGTACCTCGCGTATTTCCACACAGAAACCTGGTCAGGGAATACCTGGCACCTCATCTGCTCCAGCGGAAGATGACGGTAGAAGGACTGTACGGCGGCAGTGACGCCCGACTCATACTGCATTTTGGCGGCGATTTCACGCGCAGCAGCAACGGTCTGTGGTTTGAGACAGAATCGAATAGCCTCGGCCAGATTCTGAACGTTAAGTGTGGCGTGCGGAATAGGCGATGGGCCTGCTCCAGCTCGTGCTATCATGTTGCCCCAGAATTGTTGACTAGATACCAGTGAGCCCTTGCCAGGTATAAGGAAGAACGCGAACTCACTCTCCAAAGAAAGGTACGACAACGGTTGGTTTCCCGTTGGCCAGTCCACAGGCAGTCGTCCCGGCACCTCCGTGGTGGACGACTGCTGAAACGTGCTGGAACAGCCATTCGTGGGGACAGTCGCCGATGAAGTAGATATTTGGATTCCCGTCTCCAGCCAGCTTGCTCCAACCTCGTGACACAATGGCACGGACACCAGACTCAGCCACTGCCTGCAATACCGTATTAGACAAGCGTTGCGGATCGTCCACAACGATGCTTCCAAAGCCGATATAGACAGGTGGTGGGCCTGAAGCAAGGAATTGCTCGAGATCTGGCGGCGGTTGGTACGACGGTGCTTGCCGGAAGAAGAAGCCGCACACATCTGTAATTATGAGTATATTCCACGTAGACACAATGGAGTACTAACCGATATGTTCGGCCCAGTCCCAAGGCTTGGGTACCAGAGCCGGAGACCAGCAGTAGGTGAAAGGAATCTTGAGTGTCTCTGCCAGACTGGGCCCCTCAGCCATAGGAATGGGTTCCAAGTCAATGGTGGCTCGCCATCGATTGATAACATCGCCTAACCTAGTCCCTGTCAGCTATACGGATTGCATACAGACTGGAAATCAATACCCCTGCCAGGTCAACCACTCTACCACACCATACGAAACCCAGTGCGCCGCCCGGGGACTCATATCCGACGGCCGCAGATTCGCCAACGGGTGGGGGAAAGCGGTCGTACTACTCCACGGCATGGTAAACATCAGATGCACCGGGATCTTCAACGCCTGCGCACAATGCACATGCGCGAAGCTGGGCGGATTCGCAATAATTGCATCCGCCACAAATGGAACCTTGGTAAGCGGATCGTCGTCGATGCACGAACGCCAGCACCCGTCCAGCATCGTTGCAACCATGGCTCGCTTTTTCTGGATCTCTCCGCCCCGAAGGCTGTTCATCTGCGGTAGGAGGCCGGGGTTCTTCACCATGAAGGCCATAAGTTCCGCTGGATCGCCCCCGATGGGATAGAACTCGAGGCCGGACGATCTCACAAAGTCTGCAAAAACGTCATGTGTGGCTAGACGGACACGATGACCGTGCTTTTTCAGTTCCGTGCCGAGTGCAATAAAAGGCTGGACATCGCCGCGGCTGCCAACAATCTGGATCACAATATTGAGGTGGATGTTGCATTCGATAGGTTTCAGTTGATGATCTTGATGTTGCTGCTGTCGGAGCTCTTGCTGATAGTTGGGAGGTGGGTTATGGATATCTTCTTGTTGCAGCTCGACGATCTGAGCGAGAGTGCGGGCAATCCGCGAGTTCAGATCAACGTCAATCCGTCCATCGGCTGGTCTCGTTAACGACATACTACTTGACATCGTTACTTACTTACCTCGAACATCAGCTGACTCCGCAGCGAGTCTACCATCCACGGGTGAATACGGTGGAGGTCCATCGCTTTCAGGGGATTGTGCACGTGTCTCTGGTCTTCCCATGGTTCTGAGTTTACTGCCAGAAGCGAGCGGAAAAGAGACAAGTGAGACTGGACGGGATAACGTCTTAAGTCATGAGGCAGACGAATAATTTTAGCAGGCTGCAAAATGTCTACCTCTCCGTATCCGTATTTCTTGCCTCTTCAGGCATATGACGGTGGAGTCGAGATTCGCCACTAGAGACGCAATAGTTTCGGATGGAGGATGTTGATTGGCTAAGTATCCGTATTCGACCTCAATAACCTTATCTGGAAAACTTTATCCTGTTCTAAATGGATCCAACGGCAATCACTCCCTAGTTCGAGCAACCTAGAAAATGGGAAAGGAAGAACCATGGACAAAACAAGGCTCAGGAAGTGGAGCATCGATTGACTCCAAGAGGGCACAAGCCTCGTTATGTCCTTCCGCCAGAATACGCTCACAGAACACATCACCGCTAACAGTGAATTTAGACCAAGCCATCTTACGCGAGTCATGGTTACGGCTGGTTCCCCAATCCCACGTGTCGCCTTTGAACCAGAATGCATATTCGAGTCCAGGAAAGTTAGCCTCATCGAACACAGGACTCTCAACAGCGGGACGTGCAAGGACGAATGTCCACTGCATTTTCCACATTCTCTGGCATCGTGTTCCCTGGACACTCATGAAGGAACCAATTCTCTTTAGTATTGCCGTTGGTCAATGGAAAGGGTCGATCTCTGTCATGTATACCTTTGACAGTCATAGTCTCCAGCCTTTTAGCTCCGGTCTTGGAACCGGGCCAGTCTTTTTGTCCTTGACTCTGACACCACTGGCACTTCCCGACCCGGATTCTTGATGCGTTGAATGTGTTGCTTTGTACGCGTTCCAAGTAATCAGTATGTCCGTGTTCTCCACTAGAAGATAACGACCCCTGACACACCCAGGCATGTAAACCTGAGCTATACGTCTAGGAAGGGGTGGTAGAGCTTCCTCTTTGGACGGATTGCACGTCAATAATTCAACAGAGCAACAGTAAATCCATAGCCAATACTACTTGAACCAATCGCACTGTGTGCCGCATCCAGGATCTCCCTGATCTTCTCGATTGTCATGACCTGCAACCCGATATCTGCAGAATCACCATACCTGGCTTTCAGGCACCTGCATTTGTGAAAGAGTTCGTTCCATCCCTGAGTAAGGATCTCCTGGCTCTGGTATCTTCGCGTAGGTTCATTTTCGGAAATCGCTTCTTTAGGTCCAGTGCACTCTTCAGATTTTGGAGAGCTTTTCCATTCTTCTAATCACCGTTCTCCCTGCCATCGTAAGGCTTATCCGCTGAACCATACTCAATATCCGTCTTGGAATGTAACCCGAAATCAGAAAATGTAGCTTTCAGAAAACAGTAAGAGGTCTCTTAGGAGATCTAAAGGCTCTGTAGCTGGGAAGAGCTGTTGAAAGCACTCGAAGTTTGGGATCCTAGATTCTGCTTCTCTGGTAAGAAGGTGGCAAGAAGGAAGGATGTGGAGGAGCTTACCAGAGTAGTCATTTTGATGAGACCATGATGATATGGTGTGGACTGTCTCCTTTTGTGGTGGTCAGAGTAAGAGTAGTATGATAGAAGGAGTGAACTGGAACGGGGAAGGAGACAAGAGTACCGAGGACGGCCATAAATAACTGAACAGTGAATAACAGGAAACTATGTGATGGAGGTCTGAATACATCACAGAAAAAGCTACCTATGAATGTCTAGAAAATACCAGCAGCTGGTATGTAACACAATTCTCACACTGTCTTCAATATATCTCTAAGATAATATTATCTAGCCTTCTTTGCACAGTGGCATTTGATCATGCTCTTGGGCTACACAAGGGTTTCTTTGAGGCAAGCACCTCTTGTCATACGCACAAAGCAATCAACCTGACAGAATCACCCAACAGCCTACACAAACTCCAGCAAACTCAACAGGCGTCACATAGGACGTGCCGAGATCTCCTTCCCCCGAATGCCAGTGTCTGCAGGAGGCCAGTGGTCAAATTCGATCGACCACTTTCTCCGGAATTCCTCGGCTTTTTCACCCTCTATGCCCCAGGCTGTGATGACCTCCTCTCCGAGATCATACTCCCACTCGGTGCTGATTTTCAAATGAGCCTCTCGGGTCTCCAGGTTCCGAGAGAACATCAAGCATTCCCAGTCTTCGTTTTCACCACGAAGACTGAACTCAAGATATCTCAGCTGTGGCATTCTCTGTGCAGCCTTGCCAATTGCCGAGTAGAGCTTGTCTACTTCGTCACTTCTAACCAGTCCCCGTGCGTCAAATCCCAATTCATCATAATCCCATCCATCGTCAAAATCTTCCATTTCCATCAATTGCTCTTTTTCGGGATCAACATCCAGAATCCATTTCCCTGATTGAGTTAGCGTAACGTGAATCAGTACCACCATGCCGTCAGAACATACCGTCTGCTGTATATGGGGGCGTGTACAATATTGTAATGACCTCAAGCACCGGCCAGTGGAGTGTATCAATGATGACTCCTTCTTCCTCAGGCGATGCCCAAAATAGTTCACTGTTGACCCGTACATTTGTCAGATGAAGGAATCTCAGTCGCATGGAGAGTGTTCGAAAGGCAATGGAGAGCTCATCCAGCCCTCTGGCCGACAGATAATTGGCTGCATCCTCAACTGGCGTCCACGACATTTCTCGTTGCGGTGCAATCTCGTACTCGAACTCCTCGACTGAAGGCGGGACTAGGGGAAGACAATGGACAAGTACTGGTTAAGAAGAGGTCGTCAGTATCCAACAAAAGCAGTTATAAAGATCATTGAGCATGCTGTATACGAACGTTGTCTTTCCTCGCGGAGGGCACGGAGTTCCAATGGTTCTATGAAGAAACTTTCTCCAGCTGAAACACAGCGAACATTTGTCAACCGGCTTAGAAGCTGAAAGAACGCCGAAGGTCGCATGTTGGTCATGGCAGTCCCAAGACTGAGTGACCTGACATTGTGTAGTATAGGATATGCTGAAGCATCTTGTTTCGTGAGATGCACTAGGTGGACTATCAAGTCCATCCGCCAGAGGTCCTCAACAGTGGCATCCTCATAATCCCAATTCCATTCTCGGATGGATAGCTCCAGAGATACTAAGTGATCCACAATAAGAGACAGCTCAATCATCGATTCGTCGCAAATTGACTCCCATCGGCTTAAGACGCGGAAGATATCTGCGAATGCCTGACGGTATAAACTGTAATACTGGTATGCCAAAACACAAGCTAGCGCCATGGGATGATTTTTCATCGCTTCGCGGATCCGCTCTGCGAGCTCAAAACTAATATATGGCTCCCAGAGAATTTGTCTTACCCATTTAACTCTCGCCATCCGATGTGGCTTGCCAGAGGTGTACTTCTCCAGCCTTGTCAGACTGTCTGGTTCGAGTAGGACAATCATCTTCCATATCATCGGTTCAAGAATCGCTTGCCATCTGCGTGAAACAGCTGTATACCTTGCGAGGCCTTCGGGCTGCCATTTCTCCGGTAGCTTCTTGCCCGCATTTAGTGCTTGTGCTCCCTCATTGAGGCGGCAAATTTTGTCATTGAGATGATGAAGGATTATGCTCAGAAGCTCTGTGGGAAGGGAGTCCATCTCTAACGAAGGCCGATGCAGGATGTTTGGGATTACGTTAAGTGATTTGGGAAGGCGAAGGATGAACGAACAACACAACACAATCACCTCGCGTTGAGATAGGTACAGTCACATGATACATGCTGTTTGCTAGGAGCAAGACGTGGTCAGTCTTCACATCTGAGCAGTAAATGAAGACCGTCTGATGACTCGAGAGCGACTTCAATCAAATGGTGAGACTACTGGTATCATGCGGATATTCAGCAGTCCATTCTCGACGGCTAAGTCAAGATCATGGATGATCTTCACTTGAATTGAGATGAATCAAGTCTCTCCCAATCCTAAGAAATGCTATTAGAGTGAACCACAGAGGTTTGAATTTCATTAGGTGTCATGAAGCTAACATTCAATTGCAACAAATAGGGTATCCGGCCGCACGATCATCAATCCAGGAATACAAGATGCCCGTTCTGGTTCGTGATCCGCTCATCCAATCTCGCCCATGCCCTCTTCCAGTGCCCGTCTCCATCGGCCAGCTCAGCATCAAGTACTCTTCCTCCTTCAGCAAGATGCACATTTCTCGCCGACGCACCAAAATTACCACCACGCGCCCATACAAACGAACCGAAGTGGTTCGAGAGAACCGAGTTCAACGAGATACTCGAACGATGCAGTTCTCCAGAGACGGAACGGCATCTAGCCGTCAGCTCATAGTCATGCTCAAGGCTGATATCCATGGACGAGGCGGAAAAGTTGCCTCGGAAAGAGGGCTCTGCAGGAGGATGTTGCTGATGATGAGTCCGACCGTCATCACTGTCCGATGACGAGGAGGACGAAGAGCGGCGACCATGTCCCCATTTGCCTTCTTTCTTCTCCTTCTTCTTCTTGTGCTTTTTGATCGCGTCCTCGGCGAGAGATCCAGTGATCGCTCCTCCGATAGTCCCTAAGACGCCGTGATGAACTTGATGACCGGCGTAGGCGCCTGCAGCGCCTCCAGCAACCGCTCCCATAAAGCCTCTTTCATCCTTCTGATCCTGTGGATACGGCGGCTGAATGGGCGGACGCTCAGGATAGGTGTCATGTGTAGGGTATGGGGGATACGGCTGTGGCGAGCCATAGTAGTGCTGGGTGTAAGGTGGAGGCCCAGAGTTGTTATACTCATTGTCATACTGCTGTGGATTTGTCTGCGGAGAAAACCCCGGGGCCATCCCTTCTGAAGGCTGAGACGGGTATACGTTCTGAGGTCGCCCATAGCTGGTTGTCGGCGGGGGCGGGGCACCATAGTTGTAAGAACGATTGTCTACTCCTGGTGAGTAGGATATCTCAGGTCCCGGAGTAACAGTTGAGGATGGCGGGGTCCATGGTCGATTGCTGCCATTGTCGCTGAGTGGAGTATCTGGCTTTCGTCCGCCGATATAGCCTGAATTGTAGTACTCTTGCGCGGACATGTTGCGCCAAACAGAAGGGGCAGACAACCCTGAAAACAAGCGTAAATGGTCTTCTTCCTTCAGAGGACGATAACTGGGTGTCAATATATGTCAAATGGACCGATGTAGATGAAAAACTTAGGGAATGAGAATATTTGCTACGTTAGGAAGATGAGGATGACCAGACAGCCTTTTTAGGTAAACAAATGGGGCTGTTGCCTTGGCTCCATCTTATCGGAGGTGTGGCAGTGCAGGTCCACTTTATAACCCGATTACACTGCCACAGTGGGGTTTCGGGCAGCCTTATGACACTATGGCTTGATCCTTCCTACAGAGTACTGTATCAATTTCCTCATCCCGTGCTCATGTAGTATGAACTATCAATGCAAACTTTACGCTTTGGACTACCAAAACTAGAAGATACAGAGCGGATTGTCCCGTTAACATTGCCCATTCTCGTACTAAGCTTCCGGGTTCCGAGACATCACCTCCAGCTGAACCCTGGAACGACTCCATCACGCACTAGTCCCACTCCTCATACCCCTGGCCAGCTATGACAGGAAAGGTCAGTTGTGTCACGTCCAAGCGTCAGGGCCAAGATGACAGCACGCACTGTAAGCAGGGAACTTGCACAGTTCCTCCCAGTTCTTCTGAGCATAAAGTTCCACCGCTTTCTGAAACTTTCCTCTGGGAATATATATTTCGTGTCGCTGGTCAGGTGTTGGGTAGAAGAAAACCATTTTGTTCGGCTCAACAGTTTTCGTACAGCTAGCTGAAGCTTCAGCTGTCGCAGTAGTGTTGACGTCTGGCTTTTGGCCTGTCGTGACTGGTGATTTGTCTGCCATTATCGTGTAGGCTTATGTCCGGCGTTTGGACCGTGCGGTGCGGTTGGTAGTAAGCTCGGTAAGATCAGTGTAGTAGAAGACGAGAGAAAACACCACGAGCGGAGAATCTCTGGACCTTGATCACGATTACGAGTCTTTATGTCAACCTAACTTACAGCTGGCGGAAAGGGACTAGTTGTCAGACGGATCCTCGGGAATTCCGATTCGACCGCTGACTGCTGAGTGCAATCATGGTTTGACCCAGTGATTCGCCGTAGATTTGGCAACCAGTCAATATTCGCGGAATCCCCTCTTCAACTTTATTGTCTATTCCTTGCTCTATTTCTCTGCCATCTTTCTTAAGACGCCAGAGCCCCTATAGCAGTGTATAGAAACCAAAAAAAGCACTGGTAGCATAAGACTGAATATATGTCATGTCTTCGTTACTGATGATGCACATGTATCCGTAGTCTAGCTGTGGAATTATAGAACCAGAAAAGTATCATCAAGCTCGAGTGGGCAGGGGTATAGCCTAGAGGCATGCTTCACTCGCGGACCGACTCCTGACAAAATGGTACTCCGCGCAGTGGACAATATCTCGACCGTCTGAGAACCGACAACATCCCGATATCGAGCCCAAAGGCGTCAAGTGGGTATCAAAACGAGGATACGAGCATAATGGCGCGAGAAGCTCGATCACTCCGGCACTGGAGTCCACGAGTCTGCGACGGGCTTGGAAAAGATTGCAATGCACATGCAAAAACCCTTCACTCAAGAAAAGTGAATGCCTTCAGTATTGAATCCATGGAGAAGGCGGAGGAAGTTATTCTCATCACACTTCTGGGCACGAGCGTTCGCCAAATCGGTCTGGTCCAAGACTCGTTGGATCTTCACTTGAACCAGTTTCGTCACCATGGCCCGAGGGACCTGTTGGTCGCCGATTGCCACGAGTGAGCCCTTGCTCGTAGTAACTGGGGCATCGCTTTCCCCTCCCAAGTCCATGAAGATATCATCCTCGTCGTCACCTCCCTCGGCCGGCTCATCGCCATCCTGGCCCATATCCATATCCTCATCAGCACCTTGCAGGGCAGAAACATCCTTGCCCTGAAGGAAATCAATATCCGCCTGAGTAACCTTCTCCGGGTGCATGGAAACCCATGTGATCCAGTTGCGCTCAATCAGCGCACGCACTTTCGTGGCCATGAAACCCGCGCGTAGGGTCTTGTTCTTTCGTACGAAGCAGATGCGGAGCATACCATCCCATTCATCCCAGCTGATGTTTGGTCGATCAGCCTTGGGTTCAATTCGGACCACGCTTGACTCGACTTGTGGAGGGGGTCGGAAGTTATTCTTGCCGACTTTCATAACGTGCGAGATTCGAGAGAAGAACTGTGCGTTGACTGATAGTCGGGAGTATAACGAGTCTCCGGGACGGGCGATCAACCGAAGGGCAAATTCACGCTGAACCATGAGAATGCAGGTCTTTGGGGGGTTAGGCATGGAGAGGAGCTTGAAGATGAGCGGGGAGGAGATCTGTGGCGGACTCGTCAGCGGTTACCACAACACCGAACTATGAGTGAAATTATACCTGATAAGGAGTGTTACTGATGCAAATCTGGAAGGGAGGCAGCTTAGAGAGATCTGTCTTGACGAAATCGCCCAGAATAACCTGGAGTTTCTTCTCCGCAGGCGTCCCCTGAACTGTTTTTGTAACTTCCGCTGCCATTCGGGGATCCAGTTCGACAGCAATGACCTTTTTCGCTTTCTCGAGAATCCGTGTCGTCAGGATACCCGTACCCGGACCGACTTCGAGTACGGTCTGGCTCGGCTGGACGTTGGCCTTGTCGACGATGGCATCGGCGATTGTTGGGTTTTTCAGGATGTGCTGGCCGATGTCCGTATTGAACTTGAATATCGCAGAGGCTGCTTTGGAGAGTGGCGCACCACTGGGCTTTTGATACGGAGAGCTGGAGGGCGCATTGCGCTTGCCTCGTGCGGCTTTACCCATCTTGATGTCTGGAGGTGGAGTTGATATGGTGAAAGACGTTGATCACGTTTCTAAAATTTTTTATCTGAAGTTTATCAGATAAGGACATTGCCATATTAGGTTAGACAGCTTTGATGTCATGTGACCTATACCTGCCAGTTCCGCGTTGATTGGTTGATAATTATACAAGGACATGATTGGACAATCGACGGTAACGTCGATGCCTCAGGCAAGATGCTGTTTATCATCTCGGCTGCATCACTGCCATGAGTCCTCCCGACGCGAATTTCCTCGTCACACGTTCCTCCTTCGTCTCTTGTCATCTTGGGCTGTTTTGCCTAATTATGGCTATTTTGAAAGAAGACATTTGAAAAGCTACGGCGAAAATTACTGATGTTCTAGACTCAGAGGACACTGGTATTTCGCAGTTCAACATGGGAACCGAATGTGTACACCAAGTATGCATGAAGCTGTATCAGCACGAGATGAATGTCATGTTAAGTTGATCCGAAGAAAAGCCGTGCCACATGCGGAGCGTCCAACCACAAGCGCCGTGCTATTGTATTCCATGTTCTGCAACGTAGCTCTCTGAGTCTGAGAGCCTGCGAAGCTTGCATTGGCTCATTCAGCCTCACATTGTGCCATCACAACATAATCATATAGTAAGCCTAGAACACAAAAGCAGTGCCTCATGACCTTGATCTGCTGTGCATCACTTTCTGAGCATCAAGAGCTCGCTACTCGGCCCGAAGTCCCGCCATATGAGTCATCACTTGATTGACGGACAAGACAGCCAAGCATTATCTCGTATTTGGTCTTGTGCTTACTTCGATGACATCTTGGTCCCGGGGATAACTTCATGGTATCGCGGAGAAAAGGATTAAATACGAGGCTTTTGAGTGCTCGGCGTACGCGTTGTTGTTGCTGCTTAGAAATCGTCACATTGCTGTTGCTGAGGATGGAAGCAGAAGGACACGCGCTCCAACATGCGGACATTGAGGGCTGCAGTATAAAGGCAAGCTCGATGCATGCCCTTGAGGAATATCAATCGACAGCTCAGAAACAATTTTCCTTGCCACTGCTTCAAGAAGAGTTCGGCGACATCAGATATAGACACCAAAGCAGAAGACTTGAAAATGGCCGCTGAGCTTCCTCCCCTGCTGAAGGCTTCACTGGAGCAAACCAAAGTTACCTATCGTCAACTTGGGAAGAGTGGTCTACGCGTTTCCGTGCCCATTCTCGGTGGTATGAGCATTGGCTCTCCGGAATGGGGATCGTGGATTCTTGACGAGGAGAAGGTGAGTTCGCGGATGGTCAAGTCGATGATGAAATAAACTGACACATCGTCAGGCTCTGCCCTTGCTGAAAGCTGCTTACGACCGAGGCCTCACCACTGTTAGTATCTCTCCGAATTATGCGATGAGCAGTGACTAAGTCGAACAGTGGGACACCGCGAACAACTATTCCAACGGCAAGTCGGAAGAAATCATTGGCAAAGCCATCAAACATTACAATCTTCCTCGGCATAAAATTCTCATTCTTACGAAATGCTGGTCACCTGTCAGTGAACACGACAATAGGTATGTTGTCCCGTTCGCCGATGACATGCGCCAGGACAAGGAATACGTCAATCAATTCGGTATGTAACTCGATTCTGCTGGCCCCACGCCATACTGACCATTCAGGTCTGTCCCGCCAAGCGATATTCAACGCAGTCAACGCCTCGCTGAAACGCCTGGATACGGACTACATTGATCTCTTTCAAATCCACCGCTTTGATCCCTTCACCCCCATCGAGGAGACAATGGAAGCGCTTCATGACCTCGTCCGAAGCGGGAAGGTGCGGTACATTGGTGCGAGCTCCATGCGAACGTATCAGTTCGTCATGATGCAACATTGCGCAGAGAAGCATGGGTGGACAAAGTTTGTCTCCATGCAGAATCAGTACAGCCTTCTCTACCGCGAGGAGGAGCGGGAGATGAATCGCTTCTGTAATGAGACAGGCATTGGTCTCATTCCCGTAAGTGCCTGATGACTTTGATGAAAAGATTGACTGACGAGACATATGAACAGTGGGGTCCTCTCGACGGTGGTAAACTTGCTCGTCCGCTCGCGCAAGTTCGAGGAACCGCTCGCTCGGAGAACACCGACCCGAACGCAGTGACCCAAGCAGATGAGGTGGTCATCTCCAGAGTGGAAGAATTGGCACAGAAGAAGGGCTGGACAATGGGTCAGGTGGCTTTATCTTGGGTCGACAAGCGTGTCGCCAGTCCGATTGTGGGCTTCAGCTCGGTCGAGAGAATGGACGAGATGATACAAGTTAAAGATAAGGCCTTGACGGCTGAGGAGGAGAAATACTTGGAGGAGCCATACGTGCCTAAGCCGGTTGGTGGTCATGACTAGTTATACAATGGAACATAGCTGTAGGTAGCTCTCAATTCTCATTGCTCATAGCTACAGACATTAGGCATTCGAAATCGCATTCCGATTTAAGATAAGTCATCAGCATGGTAATCATTCCTACAATCCAACGATGAATATCAGATAACACGTATGCCATTCTCATAATACCCCACATCAAACCGTCGGCGTCGAACCCCCATATGAATGAATCTAAGTCGCATCATCAGTATACGTCCAAAGAACAGCCACAACATAAACATACCGTCTCATCATAACACCCCTCCGGCGTCTGATACCCATACGGCCCCGTATTGATATACAACCTCCCCTGATCCCCACAAACATACCAAGCGGCCACATTCGGCCGCGCAATGCCACTCACACTCCACGTCACCGCATCCCCCTGGAACCCAAACGTGCCGTACTGGTTTTGTGTACTGTTGAACCACGTCTGCAGGGTGCGCTGCGTCTTGTCGGCGGGGTCCTCGACGTTCATGTATAGCTGGCTTGCCCCAGTGTTGTAGACTAGTTGGCCGGAAATGATGTTGAATTGGCCGGCGTTGGTGTTGGAGGCGAGATAGGCTGGCCCGGGGGTGGCGCTGGGGATAGTCTGCAGGTAGCTGTGGTAGGCTGGGGTTTCGACGGCGCGGATGAAGTACCAGCCTGACTGGAGGGTTGGGAGGGTGGTTGTTGTTGGGGATGGGGTGGGTTGGGCGGAGGAGGTGAGGGCGAGGAGGAGCGGGAGGGTCAGTTCGAGGAGCATTTTGGTCGATTCTTGCGTCGAAGGCCACTGGGTATGCTGGCTGCGCTTCGTCTGGGAGGAGTAATGATGTCAATATATAGATGGGGTCGGGATGTCGGTGCGAAAGCCGCTCATTTTCCTATTCTACCGCTCCGTGCCAGAAGGAGCAAGGAGAGATGAAACAATCTGGGGTAAGAAAGGTTTCATCACGACGATCATTGCTTAAATTTTACTAGAATGGAGCTTACGATTCTTCACGGCAAGCAATTTGCGGGGTGGTAATATCTGGTGCATGTTTTATTGGCCGGATAAATTGGAGTCTCTCTATGGTGTAGCACTTCATCCGGGATCGGATGGGTGCCTATAGTGTCTATGGCGCCTTGCGTAGGCCTTCATGTTTCACTACCCAGCTGCCATCAGAAGGGAACCCCGGAGCATCGCCGTGGGATCCGTTCCAGCCAGCTGCCATATATGCCACGGCATACAAGAAACCCGCGTTCCCCGGCATAAAGGGAGGAGGAGTGCCACCTGTATACACCGCAGTCGTTAGTGAATTAGCAGGTCAGAAGGGAAGGCAACTTACCATCGCCACCACGGACAGCGAATCCTATAGGGTAATATTAGCTTTGTGCAATGACGGAAGCAAGATACATACCAGCATCATCGAAGATCCAATAGTCATAGGCGGTTAAATGCCCTATAGCTCTCTCTGGGCTCCCAACCCGAGCAGCGTTGATGGCGAGCACAGGCCTCCCCCATCCTCTGATCTTGTCATCTGTCCAGACTTCCCAGACCTTCTTTGCCGTTGCCAATGCGACTTTAGCGTCCACTGAGGGCGTATCGGGCAGGATACCCTGCAACATAATCAAGCTGCGAGGATCCTTAGTAAGAGACGTATCATTCCACCAAGAGCTATTCAGGCCTTGATAGACGGCATAAAGTCCGTCGACTTGAGGCGGTGGTGCTAGATTCTCCGCAACAGTTGTCCATGAATCGGGCACTCGCTGGCCGAGTTTTCTCTTCCATGAGCGGGCGACATCCAGGCCGTATCGCCAGTAGGCAATCTTTGCAGAATTAGCTCTGTTAGGCGCATGAGTTGTTGGCGTACCTCGTATGCTAGATTCAGGCTCTGCGTGGGTGGAGTATTTTCGGTGACACCGTATGCTCTATCTCAAATCAGCCAAGGTCCTCGAATGGCAAATAAACATACGGCGGTCCAAGATCATAGTAACCGGAGGTCTCATTCTTCCAAGCATATGAAGCCATATAGTCTGCAGTGGCTGTCAAGATGCGATCCCATCGTTCAAGAGTCTTGCGTGTTGGTGAGGCTTGATACGCCAGTGTCGCAAGATACATAGGATGGGGCTAATCTGTTAGATAGATTCAACATACTGTATGAGATGACTGACCTGCTGCCACATGAGAAGGCCGTTGATACCGCCAGGTGAGCTGATGCCACTCTCAATATCGGTCATTTTGGGCCACCTGTGCTCTGTGAGTAGTAACCCCGGGAATACACAACGCAACAAACCGTGCTCCATCCCACCCCATAGCCTTGGCTCGTGCAAGAGACGACGGCAACAAGCTCTCATACAATGCTGGAAAGATATTGTCAAAATGTTCTTGCCGACCCCAAGTCGCCCAGTGGGCATTGTGCCAGACTACCATTTCCATATGGAATTTACCTGCAGATAGCTGTAAGTAACAGTTGCATATTGAGAATTATTGAAAGTAACGTACCATACCACCCATTGTTCATCAGACCACTCTCCTGGGGTGACTGTCCTTTCGCCGCACTGTTGACCCGTACATGATATAGTGACAGGATAATACGACGCTGAAGTTCATTCGCTTTAGGATTGGACGATGCGGTAAGGTCGACGAACCCTCCACGGGTCCAGTATTTCTTCCAGTCGATGGGAATTTGGTGTTGGAGAGCGGATGGGGAATCTGGCACCTGCTTGTCCAGCGCAAAATTGGCAGTGAATTTCAGGATAGATGAGGATGACGGCGCAAGAGTATAGCGGTGAGTCGCATTGCTCGCGCGAGACAATTGCAAAGAAGAAGCAAACCATCGCAGATTCACGAAGTATGTTGTCTCCTGTAGCTGATGGAAAATATGTGCCCGGTCCTCTGTCTTTCTAACAATCGACGTGGTATGGTTCTGCGGGAAATCGTAACTGCCGACAAACACCTCATATTTGTACTTTGTCGAGTGGATTGGGGGATAAGGAAAATCTAATCCAACGGTTAGATCCCCAGAAAAGAGAAGATCCGACTGAATCTCAAAAACAGCCGAGTCAGATTCGAGATCGCCCTGCGTCACCACTTTCACCAGTTGACCGTCGACTTTGAAAGTGGAGGTGATAACGCCGCTCCACAGATCCAGTTCTTGACGCGGATCACTAATTTGTGACGCTGTGAGGAACTCGCCCTTGTACTGAAGCCCAATTCGTCCCAAGTTGATTCGGTTCGGGTTGGAAATAAGCCATTGCGATGCTTGTGGTAGACCGGGGTCCGGAATGTCATAGGAGACGTTGCGGTCGTGGGTCAACATCGCCACACCGTGATAGTCCTCGATTTTCTCGCTGTCCTAAATTAGACGCCAATTGTTTCTTCGAGGTGTATGGTGACAGTGCGTACCCATTTGCTGGCAATGAATCATTGTGCCACGCCCAGCTTGACAAAGTGTTGAATGGAAGAAAAGACTGCAGCACATTAGGTCCTTGTCTGGAACTGAGGGGAGCAAGGAAATACCTGCATGCCTGTGTTATCAACATTAAAGGCAAAGTTTCCATTGCCCACTTGGAGAGGCGTCGTTTCATTGTCGATTAGACTCGTGCGAACAACATTATACTTGGACACTACATGCTGTCTGCTATCGTCAGCGAGCGTTCATGGAAGATCGAATTGCCAATTTTAGCCCACCGGTCAATTCGTCCCAGAGCAAGCTGTGGCACCAAAAGCAAGAATAGAATTCTTTTTCCGGCCATTGTTGGTTGAGCAATCTTTACAGAAGACGTCAGGCATATTCTGTGAGGATACTCAAATCTTTATACAACCTCGGGCTAAATGATCCCGATAATCTGGGGTAAGAAAATACCCCGCAGGGTCATCATCTTAAAATGTTAGTTTATGCACCAATCGGATCCGAATAGCAGATACAGGCTATATAGAAGTAGTTGTTCACTAAGCAATCGGCATCGTCCAGGGAGCTTCGTGGATGGTGAACTGTTGACATATATGCCTTAGTATCTCTCTCTGCAGAATACACAGAATGGCATCCAGTTCAAGGGATAGACTCTGTCTCGAATGCTTAGAGTAGATGGCTGGCGATCGTGCGCTCGTTGTCCGAGACAAAGCTCTTCAAACACCACTCGCCTCGCTCTGATAGAATATCCCCCAATGCAGTGGGATCAGTGTCGCTTAGGGGGCAACCACCTCTCTGGTGATGCCATACCAATCGCACAGTCCGTTCACCAGACGCTAACGCAGGGTCATTATGACTTTTGATCGACGGGTGTCCATCATGGCAAATATTTCCCGATACAGCAATGATGGGCCTCGATTTTATTACGACCATTGCGTCCGTTATGTATTTCATCATCTCCATCATCTCTCTTTGGTCTCGTACTTCCTGGTGCCAGTAGATGCAGTGTAGACTTCTCGAGTCAGTTTGACAGCGGGATTGATAAGACCCATCACCCACCCACTGTGCACTGTGCGTGGTACCTGTGCCTTAGGCTCACCCTCAATGCGGAGCGGCGTGGGTGAGCCTAAGGCACAGGTATAATGATGAATAATTCCCCTAGCGAATGTTCTCTCTCAGAGACGGTTACCCCACTATGTAACAACTCACCCCACTTTCGTCATCTTCCAAACTCCACTATCTGCATTCAACCACTTTTCAGTGCTGATATCGCAGCGAAGTAACTTAAGACGGTACACGGAACCAAAATGGCGATCATCCACGTTGTCCAGTTCCAATTCAAACCCACGACCAGCCCGGAAGTCATCAAAGACGTATGTCCCGAACCACTACCACTTCCAGCGCGGACACTGACCCCTCCAGACATGTACCCGCATGCTCAATCTCAGGGAGAATTGCATCCACCCCACGACGCAAAAACCTTACATCAAGGCTTCCGCCGGGGGAAAGGACAACTCGATCGAGGGACTGCAGGTGTGTATTTCTTGTAACGTAGTTATACGGTCGTACTGACGGGCGAAGAATGGCATTACGCATGTCTTTGTGGTTGAGTTTGAGAACGAGGCCGATCGGGAGTACTATGTGCGGACGGACCCGGCGCATCAAGCATTTGTGAAGACGCTGGATGGGGTGATTGACAAGGCGCAGGTGGTTGATTTCACGCCTGGTGTATTCTGAACTAGTCATTGGCCGTTTTGGTGAACTGTAGGTCAGTCTTTGAGAAGTACATAGCTTCAGGCTTGGTGAACAGATCAAATGCGAATGCCGCCTAGGCTTGTTGCAAAGCAAAAGAGAATGCCGAAGCAGCAGGAGAATCCATATGATACCTCTTTTGGTGAGATCGATGCTTGCAGCTTTCCATAAGCCTCCAGCCAATTCGATCAGCAGCGTTCACTAACTGATCGGATGGAGCCCCTTGACCAAGCTTCTAATTTGCCGTCAAGTCTGATCATCCTAAACTGATACCATGTCAAGGAGGATCTACCAATGCGATCATGCCACAGGGCTGCTTTCATATCTTGGCGGGAGACTTTCCCCGACCCCAGAGCCTTTGTCTTGGCTCTCGGGGACCTTTTTCGGGAACTCCTTCGAACCGCCAAGTGATCCGCAAGCTAAATGAGGTATGGAGAAAGTGGGGACCAGAGGCATCAATTCCGTTTTAGAGGAGCATCTACGGAGTAGATTATTAAGGGTCATGCTTTCGTGGCTGAACTCTGAAGTTAGATTATGGGTAGGTTTGTGCCTGGCTCTGGTCACCGACTAGTCGCCGTCTAGAAGTCACTGTAGTCTACTCCTTACGTCGCAATGGGTCTTAGTTGCTACTCCACGGAGAAACGTCCACTAATTGCCCACGCAGACCAGACCATTGCGCCATAGACTCATGCGGAGTACTCTTTGCTACAGCCTACAGCCTCATTCCAGGATCGCCCATACCCGGTTTTGCCGGCCAGACCCGCTGAGTCACTCTCAATGGCTTTAGTCGGGGGAAACGTCATCCCTTTAAGGACAGCTGTTTTTCATCGATAGCGTCATCTCACTTGTTTACAGGGATTCGGCGTCGGCGACGTGGTTGTAAGAGCCCCTATTCGCCTGTTGACACACTCCTCCACGCAGGCAACAATGCTTTGCGGGTGAGCCAATCCATCCCGCTGGCGTCGGCAATGGTTCTCTGGTTTCCGGCATTTACCTGAGTCATCAAAAGGGTATCAGTCTCCTCTGTCCACAGTTCAGAAGTTTCTATAGGATCCAACTGTGTCCTCTCACTTCCGGCAACTGCAGAGCTCCCGTCCAAGGGGACAGTAGCCGCACTAAACGAGCAAACCAGCATGTGTAGGGGGCGGTGCAAGGGACTTGAATCCTAAGGGAGAGGACAGAAGTAAGTATTCAATTACTGGACTATGAGGATGCATCGATGGCTGCATGTGAGGAGGATGCCGGGCAAATAAGGTGAGCCAGCTGAGGTGTTCTTCGGGTTCCATAGTCCCCGATATATTATATCTTTAGATCCCTATGGTGCCCGTATCACCGCTAGTATCCACGGTTAACATAATGAGATATCGGACTTGTTTCAAAAGTCATTGCATTCGGAATACGTAGTCGAGTTTTATTTCTTTATTTGGGGGCATATGTGGAGTTGATCGGAGGTATAGCCGTCCCCGAGACATAAACTCTGGTCGCCGATTCGGGGATCTCGGCCTCCCGCTGGGCTTCACACACTACTATTATTATTCTATATCGAGACATCGGGGATTGATCCAATTTCTGACTTGCAGGAGACGAGACAAGCTGAACTCAGTGACGATTTAGATAGTTCTTGTAAAAAGCGAACTTGGCCACTTCGAGCCACCGTAAATCTCGGGTATCTACTTCAATAATGACACAGAACCCTCGAGTATAACCATAACCATGCAGCAAGATTCCACATCGTCCAGGCCTCCCCGACGGCCGTCATCGCTGGCATGTATGACATGTCGTCGCCGTCACCTAAAATGTGACGCCCAGATGCCAGTATGTAGCCGCTGTCAGGCTTCCAGCACAGAATGTCGCTATATTCAGTCCAGACGCGGGCGGACGAAGAACGGCAATCCTTCCCAGCAGCTGCTGGATGACGATGTTTCCCTTTTCTCTGCAGTCGATCCAGACAATTTCTCAGAATGGCTCAGTGGGACAAATCTTACCTCAGACCTTGTAGATGTATGGACACTTCTTTGGAATGAGGCGATATGGGCGAGGAGTCACTGACAGAATCAGATAGGTCAAGCACTCTTCCAACCACAACTCGACGCTCGCCAGTCGTTAGACATCTCAGGCCTAACAGAGAATGAACTTGCCTGGCCCGAGTTCGAGAACACTGTAACACCAGAGGTTGCATATGATCCCCTGATCCAGCTGTATTACCAGACTTTCCACCGCTCGCATCCGCTCCTGATTCCAAGGAAAGCCCTGCACTCTCCCTTATCCGAGAAGATACCCCAATACATCCTCTCAATCATGCGCTATATCGGCGCTCACCAGCACCACGATCCGTCTCTCAAAGAGCTCTTTCGCCAATCTGCCTATTCCGTGTTGTCCGACTCAACGCCTCGTGACGGATACAAGGTCCAGGGCATGGTCCTTCTCGCCATTGTCGACCATGCACGTGGCGCTGAAGACAGTGCAGCCCGCATTATGCAGGCTGCCGTTAACCTGGCCTTGGAACTGGGTATGAACAAAGCCGCATTCGCGGCCGAACACTCCGACGGAAATTCTATATTGGAGGAGAGTTGGCGCCGGACTTACTGGGAGCTGTACTTTGTGGACGGATACTTGGCTGCAATGCGTGATCAGAGCGCGTTCCAACTGTTCCATAGCCCTGCAGACGCGAGGTTGCCTTGTGACGAAAAGCTTTATAACTCCGGGGACGCGGTACGTCGTTCAAGTTTCCTTATGGGCGCCTCGCTGATACCTGCTAGATGATACTGAGCAACCTGACTTTCAAAGATCTCACCAACAAGTGGCACTCTGCCGACGAAAGGCGGTTCCCATCATCCGCATACAGGATCCAGGCCGTGCGCCTTCTCGGCACGGTCATGGAATTAAACCGATCGCTGGATATCGACCTGGACACTCAAATCGAGACCATCGACGCTGCGCTGGTGGCATCTTTGATGCAACTTCCATCATCCCAGCGGGATGTGTACGGCAGCCATTCCGGCCTAGATGAAATGACCTTCCAAGCCCAAATGACGAGCTACCTGTGGGTGCATAAACATCCAACCAACCTTCGTTCCCCATGACACACTGACCCTGTCCAGTGCACTGATCTACCTCCACCACCCTCGATCAAACATGCGATACGCCTCCATCCACGCCCATACCTCTTGCACCCGCCTCCCAACAACCCGCGAGGCCACTCCCCCCTCCGCCTCCCTTGATCTGCATTCGCAGAAGCTCCTGCGAGCAGCTGATCTGCTGTGCAATCTAGCCACCCTGCCGAATCCGGTCAAATATCGCACGCCGTTCTTCACCTGCGCGCTTGCCATGTGTGTGGTAGTGCATACAGTTGCGTGCTTGTTTGTCTCCGTCCCAGAGAAACAGGAGTCGATCAAGGCGAGAATCCAGCTTGGGGTGGGCGCGCTGCATGTGCTAGGCAAGTCTTGGCCACTGGCGAAGACGGTGAGGCAGCGGCTGATCGCTATGTATCAGGAGCTGGGATTGCGATGCCAATAAATTTGCTTTGAAAATGTGGAGTCCATGATACCCTTTGCCTAGTAGATTTGTTAGTCGTTGCCCTTTTGCAATCTGTGACTATAATTCCTCAGTAGACTGCACTTTCGAGACACTCTGCCATTCTTTGGTGGTGGAATAGGTGCAGCTTTAGAGGGGTAGGGATATCATGGACGTATGGGTAGTGTCGATCTTGCGTTTCTGCCCGACCTGAGGCTTGCCCTCCTGTACTTGAGCAAGCACCTAGATCACATACTTTATACTGCTAGACTCCTGATATAGTATATAGCACATTAATCAACAAACAAATCACATAATATATAAAAGGTATTTCAGAGCACCCGCCTATTTACAAATTTTGAGCATATATCCAAAGAACACACCCTGCGGCAAGGGCCCAAGAGGGAAAAGTGATTCTCACTTTGACAATCACTATTTGCAGGCTTGAAATACAAGAGCATAGTGAAAGTATGTACATTAAGTAATTTCAATGCATGATCGGGAGTAGGTCTTTCTACTGCCAGACGTGACTGATAAGAAGGCACCTGTTGTGTCAGCGCAGATCATAATGTTTCGTGTCGCGAACAGAGATTCTTCGCTTTCCGTTGGTGATAGTCAAGAAGGGAAGCCATCATGAAGATCAATGGAGACGAAGATCTCGACAAGCACTATGTGTCATATTATCCTATCCAGGCATAGTCATGTCCTTGGCTGCATAGCCCAGCATCTGCCCGAGGCTTCTGGGTCCAATAATGCATGTGTACCAGCTGCACTGGACATGGACTAAATCGAGTAAATAGCAAGCCAAATAATGATGCTACCTCTGCAATTCTTGCTCCATCGCTTGAGCTATTCGGTCTGTCCGATGAGAGTTTTGTCAGTTCAGCAACGAAATCAACGGTAATCTCAGAATGGGAGTACCTCTCATTCCAGAAAGTGCCTCAAATGCGAGTGCGCAGTTATTCAAACACTTGACAAGTAGCCGTAAGCTTTGATGCAGCTCGTTCAAAAGAGCAGTCAAAGAGGGGGTGTTTGCGAAATTGGACCCCTCCATGCGGCGATCGCGCAGAGCGCGTGCTTTGAGACAAAGCATCAACATCACATAGCCGGATTGCATTCCACAGCAGGCAAAGGTGAGTATGCTTCGTGGAATCTCGACGCGGGTTGCCTGGGAGAGATATGGAGGGCTGTTGAGTGGGATCTGGTTGGTCGGGTTAGGAAAAGGAAGGTTGTTCAGTAAGGTGACGATGTTAAGGGCGCCATGGAAGCAGATTTTTGAGGATTCGTGTGAGGAGAAAGGAAAATGCAGAGGTGAGCTTGATGAAGGAGTTGAAGGCTGGCTGCTTTCTGTTCCACTAGCAGAAGGAGACTTGGGCTGGCTCTTCGATTCAGATACAGTGGGAGATGGTCCGAATTCGTACTGTCGTTGATGGAAACTGGGAATATCCTGAAAAGCACAAAGTCTGTGAGCCTTAATTCTGGCTCTAGTCGTGAGATGTTAGTAATCATTTGTGTGTTGATGTTGTGAACAGTGGGCTCACGTGTGCAATCGAATCTCTGCTATGGTGATCATGATCTGGGAGGCCGCGACCTCTGGAGATTCCACTCGAGTGGGTGCGATCTTGGGGGCACACCGCGTGTCTCTGCATCGAAAAAGCAATGATCCAATCTGAGAATCAAGACTCAACATTCGCTCCCGTATTCCAGAGTCACTTTGACCGGAAGCCTTCGTTTGCTCGAGGTCAGTCATGAACACGACTGTCTCAAGGAGCGTCTGTTGCGCCTCGACAGGAACCTTCCATCCCTTCGGGCAAAATGAGTACAGCAATACCTTAGTTCGAAGATCGAACACATACCTCAGGAAGTGGTGTCACAAAATGAGGGTCAAACGGGTCGAATGTTGCAGGCTACCGATTTTTAGTCTCGTCAACAAACACCGCAGTGATCAGTAACCTACCATGCTGTTCACAATGGCTGCTTGACACGCCACCATGTACTGTTTGTGACAAGAATCTGTCAGCTAATTTGTCAAAAGAAAACACTAAAGAGCTGACAAGAACTAACCGTCATCCACCAGGTCCTCCGCCGGGCCTCCGCGTATTCATCCTCCTCAAGAGACTCATGCAACGACAATTTCATCGCCGATGTCAGCGCCTCATTTGCTCTGTCGGCCATTTTGCATAAATCCCCTCGCTGTGCGTACTCGTAGACGCTCAGAAGATTCAGAGCTAGAATTCCTTCTAGATGCAAAGGCACCTTAGGATGAAACTGTGCTCTATCCGCACAGAGCACATTATTCGATGGGTTCAGCAGACTGGAAACAAGCTCTACAGCGTTCAGGGCATCTCGAGCAAAAGATTGCGCAAAACCCCTGCGAAGCTTCACATACTCTGCTCTCAATGGATCTGACTCATTCGGATGTGGAATGAGGACCAGGAGGGCAGAGATAGCTAGACTGAGCGGACCTGATGGCCGAAACTCTGGCCACTGAGACAAGGGGCGGTTATATACGGGCAACCGTTCGGGTGGAGGTAGAATGGGGTGGTAAGGATGGATGAAGACGTAGTAGGCATCTAGTCTGCTCTGATGATCAGCCACGGATATCGTGAGTTGTTACTGCTAGGGTCTTACACATCCTCATCACTCCCATACAGTTGGACTAGGTCTGACGCCAACGAGCGATCCAGCTCATGTGCTGCTTCTCCTGGGATAGGAGCAAACACAGAGTCAAAGATGGATTCAATCTCCTCCATCGGTGTGTCGATACTGCGCAGTCCGGCCCCCGGTCCACTCATGCCTACTAAATGGCTCACCCATTCTACGGGCAAGGAGCCCTGTTAATATGTTTTCCCAGAACTGGCGCACACACGAATCATACCATCTCCATCAGAGTTCGATGAGGTTAGTTCTTCCAGACCTCCTCCACATTTGCGCTTTCCATCAAACGAGCCGGCTGTGTTGGCCGTTTTTCTGCTATACCGTGGTCCTCCCCGTCTGCTCGGAATGTAGACGCATGTGTGGCCTTTCGCGATGCAGTTCGAGCAAGCACTTTGGCCATCACAGCGAATCCGGGACGCGCGGCTGTGGAAGGGATTTCTGTCAGATTTTGCGGATTCGAACCAGCTTTCAAGTCCAGCGGTATACACACCAGGAAAGGCAGGCAACTCTGACCGGAGGCCTACGAGACGGCGGATTATCGGGCTCGACATCTGCTGTCGTGGTAAACATTGCTGCCACAATATCGGCTCATTATTACACGGCCCTTCAGGGTTGTTGATAAGTCCAGCCGAGGAAAGACTCCCTGATCAGACTGCAGTGGCATACGTGGGGTGGGTTCTCCCGTGATTGGGAGAGAGAAAAACGCAGCAAAGCCCGATCGGGAAAAGCGAATCCCGACTTTGATGCCAATCTGTGATGCATAAGGACAGCTTCATCTTCCGTTCTTGTTCACCCGTGAAAGACCTGGAGAGAGCACAGAATAAGCTTCTTGGCGCCTAATGAAACTGATGATCCGGCACAAACCGAAAAGGCACTACAACGGCTATGGACTCCACGTTCACGAGATGTACGTCTAGTCCGGAGAAACATTCCGCGAGTGGAGTTCAGAGGTGGCTTGTGGCATGCATCGCCCATTCCCAGTTCAGGGACCTAGTAGACGCCTCAATGGATGACGGGCATTTAGTGCCTGTCATTATGTTGCCAAGAAGAGCAGCGGATGCAGATCTGGTAATTTCAAACCCCGATTGCGGCGGCTTATGCGTGTCTATCTCTGCGAGGTCAGACTCCTGGGACTGTTTCTTGCATACTATTGGCTTTGAGCAGGAGTGTACAAGCAGCAAACCATGCTCAGCCTACGGTGTATACTTTCCGAGGGTATGCCGCCGGCCGAAAAGTCTGTCGGCTGGTGGGAATTGACAGGCATCATAGCTCCTTTGGGCCAATCCCTGCAGACTATTCGTATTCAGTGCTGGTTGACGGTGCGGATTGCATCAGACCTCGGCAAAAGTCTTCGCTTTGTCATTCGATTCCAGCATTATATTTTACAAGCAATGCTCCCAAGCTGTCAAGTCAAAAGTTGACGTTCAGACCGGCCTGCCGAATTTCCAACTGGTGCTCTACTGAGGTGATCAAGAAGTAGCTTTCTGGCTTCATGGTCCACAAAGCACGAGCCTTAGGAGCCAATATTACCCCTTGCATCACGGGAAACTTCCGCTGCAGACAGTCGCAGCTCCATCCTAGTCAAATGAATCCCGAGACAAGTTCTCGGGCCAGTCCCGAACGGGCAGAAGCCGATGCTGGCTCGGTTGCCTGAAACAGGTATAAAACCCGAAACTAAACCATTGGGGTTGAAAGTTCGGGATTTGGGTAGGGATAGGGAACCTTGTCGCGAGTTGCGACGGACTGTATAAGTCTTGTGCTCACCGTGATACCCTGTGGGGTGTAGGAACCTGACACCGCTGCCCGCCTTTCAGAACAGTGCGAAGGAGACCGCGCGGAGCCGCTCCATACAGTCTCAATATCTCCATGACAGCCAGCAGTTGAGAGCGGCTTCGACCGAGCCACTTTAAACTGCTAACTTCCTCAATTTCGCGGTGCAGGTGATGCTGCGACGGCACCGCTCAAACGAGAGACGTCACCGTGACCCCCGTGACATGCGAACATGTCAGGATCAGATTCTGGCCTCTTGTATCAAATGTTATCCGTGAGGGTTGTGTCGTCCTTCTCGACTCGTGAATTATTCCAGCGAAGACGTTCCTGGCTGCATTTCCCGTCCCCTGTTGTTGACCACAGCCCGCTGTCCGTACTTGAGGAGATAGTCTTTTGGCACGGAACATTGTCCTGAATGCCGGAAGAAGCACATGTCGACTGATAAACCACACAGTTGGAAGTTCCTCATTGGCTCCAAAGCCCCATCGCGGTTTTTCAAGCCACGGAAGATACTCGGTTTTCCCCTCAATCAGCCAAGGGCAACATCCTTTAGATGACGCATCGCTCACGTCCCAGCGGCAACATATCAAAGTGACTCCCCAAACCTATGGCCACCAACATCAGTAGCCACGAAAGTCCATCATTCCCCCGGTATCCGAGAACCAGCCAACTGCATCTTCTCTTTCACCACGGTCTTCCGGCTCCGCCGCCGCTCAGCCTTGGAGAAAGATCGCGCGAAAGGCTTCCGCGTCAGCGCATGCAGCCTGGTTTCACACCCGGCTCCCCGGGCCCGTGATGATGGACAGTTTGAGCGGGCTTTTAATCGCATTTGTATAGGACGGACCTGGAACGCGTCATCCTGAAGTCGAAGGGGACCTAGAGAGTAGAGCGTATACTGTTAAGGCACGGCACGAACAGACGTTGGTCGAGATATATACTTCGAGTACCCACATGGCAATGGCAGCGCCGCATAGAGGATAAGTCAACACTCCATCTCCCCTATCGCCTTCAAGTCGACATTTGGTGATGGTGATAAACGAATATCTGTGTATTCATCGTACAATCAACCCTTTATACAGGTATGTTATTCTACTGCCAGAATTTACCCCCACATCCCGATCAGCTCCACGTCGTCTTCCCCTCATATCACTATACCAGCGATGCCCAAATATTGCAACCTTGCATTGCTCTCTGTCTACGATCTTGAATGTCCCTCAGCTGTGATTGTTAGATTGATAATAAGCCCTATTCTCATTCACGAGTGATAGCCTTGTGGTTGCTACAGTTCGAATACTATGCACTTTTACCCGTACCTTAGCTTACTGTGATGCTGCGACGCGCAAGATTCAATCAATAGTGGTTTAATTATATAGTATGAGAAAGGGTAGGTCAAATCCTGTCATAGCACTGACCAAGCCCGACAGCCGAGCTCATCCGATAAGAAAGATCATCACCAATCATCAAGTTATAATGAGTATTTCGGCCCCGGAACAAGAGACAAAAAGGGAAAAAGAAAAGAGATGAGAACATGGTATAGAATGTACAAGTAATCACCGTCGCTTTGAGTCGAGGTCAGAGTCTGCATATGCAGACAGTACCCGCTCAGCTGAGGAATCGGGATCAAGAATGGGAGTAGGAGTCGGAATAGGGCATCACTAGAAGGTTCGTACGGAGTCAAAGAAGATGAGATCAAGATAGTGGTATATAAGGTAGAAGCGACAAGGAACATAAATGTGGACATCGTGTATTTAAATGGGAAGAGGGCATTATAGACGGAGCAGATATCCATTATCGACCCCACATCCGGGATGCATTCTCATGACCCTTGACCGGGCGTTGCAACGAGTCTTTGCTCGACCGGTCGCTCCCCTCGGCTTCGGGGTATGCGGGTTCGTGGGTGATTTCGATCGTGGTGTGCTGGAACACCTTGCCCATGGGGGCCAATTCGACACCCGGCTGTACGATGTTGTCCGTTGATCCGTCGCGCGTTGTCCCATCCACGTTATCTTCTTCGTCGTCGCGGCCTCGCCGGGTGCGCAGGACGCTGATGTCTGTGCGGGTATGTTTGGGATCGGCGGTGATGGTGGTGAGGTGATTGTCCGTTCTCCGGTTCTTGCTGCTGGCAAAACGGTTGTAGCTGCGGTCTTCGCTCGGCTCGGATTCGAGGATGAGGTTCCGACGGGTGAGAGTGTAGAGCAGCACGTCGACCAAACCGGAACTTGTGATGAGCGCTCCGGCGACGCAGAAGTAGGCGAGACTCGGTGTATTGCCCCGCGCGGTGGCCATTCGGCCGGCGGCCAGCGGAAGGGAAAGCACAATGTACGCGATCGGGTAGATAACCATGTATCCGATGACTCGACGGAGACGCTTCAGACTCGCCGTGTGGCTGCTTCCGAGAATGGCGGATTGCTTGATTTGCGTGCGTAATTGGAACCACATGACGGCATACAGACAGACCGTGCCGAATTCGGCCAGGAAAATCCAGATGTAGTGTGTCCACAAACGGATGGCTTCGTACTCCTCACTGATCCAGCACTTTGATCGGTTAGCATGGGTGGGTGAGCGACAAGGGTGATGGACATGCTTACCCAGGCGCCCGAGGGGATGAACACAAGTGGGCCGTGTGCAGCAAGTGGAATAATAACCAGTATAGCGACAAATACCCAGAGCCCAACAACTCCAGTAACAAAGATTCGGTAGCTCAACTTATGGCCCATGGCGACTAGAAGGAATGTATGGACGGCGATGGCGAGCACAAAGAGACCACTTGCTGGGTCTCCGATTTGCAACCAAAATCCCTGCAGAAAGCATGCCGCAGATGAAGCTTCTATTTTGTCCTCCGCAATCCATTTTATACATAGTAGGAAGCCGAGCGACTGTTGGAGATCGGCGATAACCAGGTTGTAGATGAGGACGATATATTGGTTGTATCCGATGTACCGCTGATAATTTGAGCGCCAGAAAACAAGACGGTAGGTGATAAAACAGATCAGACAAAGCGTTGCGATAAATGAGAGAATGGCCATCACAGCCACTGCGATAAGACCTTTGTGTTGCGTGGCAGGTAGTGGGTCGATATCATATGTGATACCAGCGTCGCTGTACGCCAGCCGGCGCGACAGGCCATGACTCTCATCTTGCCTGGCTCCAGCCAGATGCAACATTTGGAAAAGACTCATTGCTCTCGAAGGTACCTGGTGAGTTCACGGCCGTGTATGTGTCGCGGTCATCGTCCTCAGGGAATCAGGCCGGTATAGAAGAGCTGGTGAGTAAGACGGTTCCACAGAGGGGAAAAAAAATGTCGTCTGATGCTGTACAACCCCTGCGATTGACAGAAGAAAGATCTCCAAACAAAGGGAATGGAACCAGGGGAAACGACCGAAATGAGAGAAGAGGGTAACAGAAATAGGAAGAAGAAAAGCTCAATAATCGAGCAAGAAGGAGATGATTAGTGAGGATGCGAAGAAAGATTTTAGCCACAGCAGTGGTTTACGCCCATTGCCATCAGCTCCCGACTGAGCCAAAGTAAGTCAGTTACGGAACCAGCAATGATATGGTTGATACTAGCGCGCAATCAGCAAAGAAAAATGTCAAAATGAAAAGTTAAAACTATTGGAAAATGAACATAATGTTGATATTATTAATAATAAGATTGTTCGGGTCCTGAATTGGTTGTGTGGAGAGTAGATCAGCGTAAGCACAGCCAGAAGGCCAACGATCATCTTTAGCCCTATTACATAGTATCGTACTAGGAATATCTAGTTTTGCTCCACCAGGAGAAAATCCCCCCTCTTCTCTTC